CCGATATCACCTTTCCGTCTGCGTAATAGGACTGTCCGCTCTTGTATATGCGGGGACTGGACGTGCTCCGTATCATCTCCTTGCTGGGTTTTACGCGCCATTCCTTTTTTGCAGCCACATCATAAGATAGATGGGATTGCAATATAGAATTTTGGTAAGTGTTCACGTCCTCCCTTAATCCACGCCTAACTACAACCCACGTCGACCTGTCTACAGGCACGGAACAAGAGGGGACGTGAACACTTACGAATTTTGGTTACTGTTCAGGGTACATCCTCAGGTCCAAGCGCTTGTCCCCCTCCGGCTAGCCGTGCCAACCAGGTGCCATCTTGCAGCGTCAGGCAGATACTGCCGGCGGCGGCTTGCCGTAAAACGGCACATGATCGGGATCGGTTATGGCGCGAGGCAGAGATGGGACGCAGGTCATTGCGGCGCGGCTGCCCGGCCGCAGGCCTGCCGCCAGCGGGGGCACGAACCCGTGCGGGTCTGCTTCCGTATCGGCCCTGTCCCCGGCCGGCGTGTGGGACGTGGCAGGTGACTGATCCGGCGGTGCGGCGGGTGCCCCGACCGGGGGCCGTTCCGTCTTGGCTACACTTTCACCGACCGCCGGGTGCGCGACGAGAGCCTGTTCCGCGTAGAATGTGTCTGACTCGGGCGCATCCACCTGATCCACAATTTTGAACAGAGCCGTGCAACATCCGTTTATGGCAATGATCCAATCATGCAGATCAGGGAGATAGGGGTAACAAGAAATGCCCCCCTGTTGCAAGAACCGCCGTAAGCGCATATGTGGCGGCCACCGCCAATGCCATGACGCCAACCGTTTTGCCTGTTTCAAACCCGTGTGATACCTTCATTGCCTTTACGAACAGCACGAAGGCCCATATCATAAAAAATGCCGTAAATGCATTTTGAATTAGAATAATGCCAAGACTGCCGGCAAAGTCAAGCCCGTACGACGGCGACAGACTCGGATCCGGATCTAACGAACCGCCTCCCAAGTAGACACCGCCATGCATGTACCCCGGCGGGACGAGCAGCTGCATTCCTAGATAAGCGGTGGCATGGAATGCCACGGGAATCAGGCAGTACGACAGCACCGGAAACATGTCTTTGAATTTGTGGTTCTCCCCAAACCGGCCTCCGATCCAGAATATTGCGGCAATAAACACAAGATTCCGCAGGATGGCACTGACAAGCGATCTTGCATATACCGATGCGCCGTTGCCCAAACCATCGAGTGTGTCGCTATCTGATTCGAACCACGGGATGGTAGACGACAAGGCCGATACTAGACACACAATCGCAAATATTGCCACCGATGACGCAAGGTAACTTCCTGGATCGTGGGATATCGTCATGAACGTGGCATTCGGTCTTCTTATGGTGCCTGCAATGGCCCAAAGCATGCCGTCGCGTCTGGCGTCTCGCCAATAACCCACGTTCGCATGGTGCCCCGCTATCTTATATGTCATCATCATTCCAAGAATACGAGTCGCGTGCGGGCCGGCAAGACTTGGCCGGCACGCGTCAGCAGGCGGCCAGGCGATCATCCTGCGCGCCCCGCTCGACCAGGCTCTGTTCAATTATGGTGATCTGACGCGCACAGACGGCTCTGGTAAATTTAGGTGATCCCTGTAAGCCACTGTTCAAGAAGTGATCTAGACTGGACTGGGGATTACCTGAATTTAACAGCAGGGTTCGCAGCTCACTTTTGAACAGCGAGCCAAGACGGATCACGACTATTGAACGGCAAGACGGCGCCAGCAAGAACCGCGGGAAATCTAACTTGGAGGAGGCCATACAGCTCGCTTCTTGAACAGTTACCTACGGCGATCACCTAAATTTACCAGAGCCCAACAAGCGTTACAGATCACCAAAATTGAACAGAGCCTAAATTTACACAAAGTGGACAAAAATATCCAGACAGGCCCAACACCCCGCAGCGCCACGACGCAAAAACTATTATACATTTTACAGGTGATTTACGCCATGGCGTCCAGAGCGATCACTGCCGGTGTTGGAATTCCGATGATCGTGGTGGGCGCGCTGATGGCAGTCTACTGGCCTACCCTGGAGCCCGAGTTCACCGGCACCCTGGAGTTTGTGGGAAGTCTGATCGGCATTCTTGGCGTGGTCTTCTTCATCGCAGGCCTCTTTTACACAAAAGAGCCCGTAATGCACTGACTCCGGTTTTTGCGGCCCGGGGACGGGGACGGGAACCGGCTGGCCTGTACCGATCTTGGAGGTTGCTTCACAGTGGAGCCCCGGCGGCATTGGCTCGTCACCGGGAGTAGATGCGCCGAATAAATAGACAGGACAGGCCCACATAACTGTTGAAGGTAAGGCTGTTTGAGATATTCACCTCCATAGAGGGGGAGGGCATACTGTACGGGACAAAGACCATGTTCGTCAGGCTGGCCGGGTGTCCGTTTTCGTGCTTTTACTGCGATACCGCAGAGGCGCTCCCGTCCAACTCCGGGACCGAGTACCCTGTAGCAGAGGCCTGCAGGCTCATCGGGCAGAACCTGCAGCAGAACACCTACAAGGTGAATTTCACCGGCGGCGATCCCCTGATGCAGCCTGACGCGGTGGCGGAGATGGCAGAGTATGTCAGGTCAAAGAGCATACCCGTCTACCTCGAGTCGGCGTGCTTTGACTCGGCGAGATTCTCCCGTGTGCTGCCCAGTATCGATCTGGTAAAGATCGAGTTCAAGACCCGGGACTCGGGTTTTGTAGATGACGGGCACTATCCGGATCTTGTCAAGAATGTCCTCGAGTGCCTGAGGCTGTCTGTAACATCAAAGAAAGACACGTACATCAAGGTCGTCGTCAGCTCCCGCACCACCGGGGAGGACATGGCGGAGCTGGCAGGGCAGGTATTCGGCGTCATCGCGGCAGGCGACATCTCCGGTTTTGTCATTCAGCCGGTATACGGGGCCGGCAGTCCCGGACTTGACCTGCTCATGGAGCTGTACGACGTGGTGTGGCCCCACTACAGGGATGTTCGCATAGTACCCCAGATGCACAAGTTCATAGGGGCGCCCTAGGTGCGTAAAGCCCGGCCGGGCATCCGCGGCTGCGACCGTTTAGCTTGGGAATTATATACAAAAGTACACAATGCTTTCATCATTTTCCGGCTTTCCTTCCGGCGCGCCATTCCTGCCAGATGCCGGCGCGGCGCCAGTGACTGGAGGAACAGCACAGGCAAGCGCGGCGGAAATAATGGTCGCGGCGGTGCGGACTGTTTGCATGGTCTGCATGGTGTTGTCGCGGTGTTTTTATACGTATGACATATTGAATGCGTAATGAAATCCGTCATGGCAGAGGTAGTAGCAGCAACGGCAACGGAGCAGGCGGACGCAACCGCAGCCGCAACCGAGCCGGCTCCAAAAAAGTGGTCAAGGCGCCCAATGGAGGGCATCATGATACGCAACATAAAGGTGGACTTTGACCAGTCGGCGGAGCTGTCGGATCTCATATCCTGCCGAATGGACCAGCAGCGGTGGGCGTTCAACATGGCGGTGCGGGAGAAGCTGGACGACCCGAGGACAACCAAGTTTGACCTCAACAAGATGCTCACTGGATGGAGACATGGGAAGGAATGGATGGAGGGCGGCTTCCTTGCGCAGAGGGCGGGGCTCCTGCTGGGCCTGGATGCCGTTCAAAAGTTCGTAATATCAAACGGCAAAAAGCGCCGCAACAAGTCATTATGGAAGTACCTGGCTAGGCTCGACCGGGAAAAGGAGGGGATACCGGATATTGACACTGCTGTAAATTTGCCGTCGAACAAGTGGAGCAACAAGAGGAACAAGTGGCGCCACAGGGATTCCCTGTTCAAGAGGAAGGGGGAGCAGCGGTCCCTCTCGGTCTTCGAGAAGCCCGTCTACAAGGGCGACAACACGGTGATGCTCCCCGGCATAGGCACCGTAAGGGTGCACGGCGATGTGGAGGATCTTGACATGCTCTCCTTCCAGCTCGTCGAGACGACGAAGAAGACCACGAAACGCACCAAAGACCGCCACAGGACGTACAGGCTCCACATTCAGGTTGAAACCAAGGCCCCGGAGCCGTCCGAATCCACGGTCGTCAGGGGCGTGGACATGGGCATAGTGCACGGCGCCGCCACGGCGGACCTCGATACCGGCCGCCACAGGTTCCACGACCTCCCAAAGGACTGCAGGAGGGCGAAGAACGACGACATATCCAAGATGTATTCCGAGATCTCAAGGAAGCGAGGGGGGCGCGGCAACAGGCGCACCAAACAGGACAGTAAGGAAGATGCTGACAGTGGAAGCAAAACCACTAACGGCGGGAACAACACGAGCGGCCGCAACAGGGACAAGCCGAGGAAGACCAAGTCAAGAAGCTACAAGGAGCTGCACAGGAAGATCCGGAAAAAGAGGGAAAAGATTGCCAACCGCCAGACCAACTGGGAAAGGCACGCGTCCAAGAGGATAGCGGACGGCGCGGGAACGGTGGCCATGGAGGACCTCAGCCTCAACAACATGACAGCCAAGGGCAAGGGAAGCTCCGCCAAGACGGGGCTAAACAGGGAGATGGCCTACTCAAGGCTCGGGACGTTCCAACGATTGATCAAGGGCGCGTGCGCCAATGCCGGCGTGATCGTGGTAATGGTGGACCCCAAGGGCACCAGCATCACATGCCACAGGTGCGGCCGCACCGACAAGGAATCCAGGGTGTCGCGGGGTGAGTTCCGGTGCACCAATGACAGATGTGAGAATGACATCAACGCGGACATCAATGCCGCGTATAACATTGCCTCCAAGGCAACAGCCAAGGCGGCAGGGCGGCCGGGAAGGTCGTCCAAAGACGCGAGACACCAGCGCGGGATTGCTCCCGGGCGTTCCCCAGACAACACACGAGAGCCAAGCGTGGGGGGGATTGCAAGAGCGCCAGCAAAAGGCAAAGGTACTGTGTACTTTTGTATATAATTCCCTTTAGCTTCAAATATTAGTGGAATCGCTGTGGGAACAGTGATGGATTGGGAGCGGGTGCAGAAGCTTGTACGCGAGCTGATAATTGAGATAGGCGAGGATCCCACCAGGGAGGGACTGCGGGAGACGCCGCGACGCATTGCCGATATGTACAGTGAGATCTTTGGCGGCTATGACTCGAACTCCGAGCTGTCAGTCCAGTTCTCCGAGGACTCGGACACGGTAATAGCAAAGGGAATCCAGTTCTACTCCATGTGTGAGCACCACATGCTGCCGTTCTTTGGCAAGGTCCACATTGCATACTCGCCCAACGGGCGGGTCTTTGGGATATCCAAGATGGTGCGGCTGGTGGAAAAGTACTCCAAGCGCCTTCAGATCCAGGAGAGGATGACCCGGAGCATCGCCAACGAGATGCAGGCCCAGGGCGTCAGGGGGGTTGCGGTCCTTGTGGAGGCAGAGCACCTATGCATGAAGATGAGGGGCGTCAGAAACGACGCACGGATGGCCACATCGGTGTTCCGGGGCATATATGAGAGCAGGGAGGAGAAGGAGGCCGTCGTGGCCATGATACGCAGGCCCGCCGAAGACATCTAGCGGCATCCGCTTTCTCAAAAAATAAATACAGAGTGTCATCTGAGTGAGCTTGTGGGAGCACACAACAACGTTCACATTCCAAAGGAGTCGTGGCCCGGCTGGACATGGTACGCCATCGAGTTTGGAATAGTCCTGGCGGTATCCCTGCTGCTGGCCCGCGAGATCTCAGACTACATCCTTGGCGGCGTGGCCTGGTCCCTGGGATACTCCAACGTGCTCGAGTCGTGGGAGGCAATCAACATACACTCTGACGAGTTCGTGGCGCTGGGCAGCGAGATCACGGCGCCCATAATATCAATGTCCAACTGGATCTTCTACAGCGTCATGGGCGCAATCTTTGGCGGCTGGTACCTGGTTATCCGGGGATTTGTCCTCAAGAAGAAGATTCTCGGATAGGCTGGGCATACGGGGTTCTGTCCTGTATTCCGGCAGTGGCAAACGAGTTCCTTCTGTTCATGCACGACTCACACCGCCCACAGTGAACCTTGCCGCCCAGATAGCAGCTCCATGTCTCAAAGATCCTGTCTCCCAGTATCTCGTGCCCCATACCGAGCAGATCGCTCTTTGAGAGTCCCTGCTGGAAGGGGCTCCAGATCTCTATCCTCCGGCGTACCCGTGACCGGATTCCGTCTGCCTCCCCGTGGTTCAGCGCCGCCTCCAGCATGCGGGCAAAGGATGGCCGGCAGTCCGGATAGTTTTCGTCTCCGGTGTGGGCGCCGTATGCCACCAGCGGGGCGTTGAGGGTGTATGCCCACGTCGAGGCGATGGTCAAAAACACAGCATTGCGAATCGGAACCACGATGGTGTAGTCAAACTCCTCGGGAACCTGCCTGTCTGCGTCGGTCAGCACGTTTGTTCCCGCGTAGAGATCCTTCATGAAGCCGATGTCCACGATCTTGTGCTGCCTGAAGTCGAGCGCATCCGCAAACGTCCTCGCCACCTCCACCTCCCGGCCCGCCCTCTGTCCGTAGGAGAAGGTGATTCCGTAGAGGTCGTATGTCGAGCCAAGGTGCGCCGCGCTGCAGACCGAGTCTGCACCACCGCTGAATATGACTACTGCCTTTTCCATGCGCATCGCCGCTATACCGGCCTGGCCCCGCCGCTGGGCCCGCAGATCACGGTGCGGCATCCCAGGCCCGCCGATGAAAAGCCGCCCCTCATGGCATCTGCCACGGCGCCGCTGTCAGCCGATCCTGCCAGGAGCGCGATCACAGAGGGGCCCGCTCCGCTGATGGTCACTCCCAGGGCACCGGCCCCAAGGGCATCGCCCTTGACCCGGTCAAAGCCCGGAATCATGTGCTTTCTGGCAGGCTCCACTATCACATCCTGTATCGCGGATCCTATCACCTCCGGCTCCCCTCTGAGAAACCCGGCCACCATGGCGGCGGCATTTGCGAGGTTTCGCACGCCGTCTGCCATGGCTATCCTTTCGGGAACCGCGCCCCGGGAGACCTGCGTTTTTTTTGGCGGCACGTCCATCTCTGGAATCGCCACGCAAAGCACAAGATCCTCCGGCGGATCCACCCGGATCACGCTCAGGGGCCCGGTCCTCACTATGACAAAACCGCCCAGAACCGAGGCCGCCACGTTGTCATAGTGAACGGCTCCCGCGCTGGCCCGCTCGCCGGCCCCGGCGCACTCCACCAGCGTGTCACCGTCCAGCCCCAGATCAAACAGCCCGTCAAAGGCCACCGCGGCAGCCGCCGCCGAGGCCGCGCTGCTGCCCATGCCAAAGCCCACGGGAACGCCCTTTCTGATCCTGATCTCCACCCCGCCGGTGATCCCAAACCGCTCCATCATGACCCTTGCGACTATGCCGGCAGTGTTCCTGTCGGGATCCGTAGGGATGCCGCCCTCGGAGAGTATGCTGATTCCACCTCCCGTCCTCTCCAGGGTGACCTCGTCAAAGTAGGCATCTAGCGCCAGCCCAAACACGTCAAAGCCAGGCCCCAGGTTTGCGGTGGACGAGGGGGCCCTCACCGAGATTCCGGCCATGCCTAATTCCCTGCCTCCTCTCCAAGATTAATGATTCTGTTCAGGGACGCCTCCAGCTCCGGCATCCCCTCCCCCGTAACGTTGGATATGGGCACCAGTCCCTGGGCAAAGCCCCCCATATCCAGTCCCCGAAGAATTCCCGTCGCAAGGGAGTAGGCCTCGCCGTCAGACGTCTGCGCGATGGCAGCCTCCAGGGCCGACAGGTCAGAGGCCCACCTCATGACCTCCCCCAGCCGGTCACCGATGAGATCGGTCTTTGTGACCGCGTTGACCGCCGGGATTCCCAGCCTCAGCCGGATGGAGGTGGCCAACAGCGCAATGGAGACAAAGTTTGCCGGGGTGTTGACGAGGGCCCCGTCGTACAGGAATATCCCGGCCTTCTGGTCGGCCGTCAGCTCCCGAACCAGCAGGGGGCCGCTGATGCGGTACGCGAACAGCTCGATCTGGCCCGGCGTATCCACTATCAGGTACTCGGGGTTTATCGTATCTATCTCCTCCTGCAGCTGGTCCAGCCTGGATGCGATGATGTCGTTTGCCATTACCACGGCGCCGTTGGGCCCCAGCCCGTAGTCCCGCATCACCGATGCGGTGCTGACCATATCACGCACGTCCACATCGCAGGTATAGGGAAGCTCCTCCACGCCGGGATCCAGGTTGAGGGTGGCGGCAAAGGCGCCATTCTTCGCATAGTAGTCGCTCAGCCGCGAGGCAAGAAGGGACTTACCAGAGCCCGCCGTACCCTCAAGAAGAACCAGCTTCACACCTCTTTGCTGTCGGCAATTATTGGCTTATATTTGAACTGATAACGAATCAGAGAGTGAACTGGAGGCCCGTGGCCATTCTGGCCAGCATGATCCCAATCGTAGTAATCATCATCCGGTTTGACGTGCGCCTGGAGGACGTGCTGGCGGTGGGGGCGGTTCCCTTTGCCCTGGCGGCGCTGGCGATGATGGCAAAGCTGGGCCTGCAGGGCATCAAGCTCTCCTACATAATAAGACACCAGGTGGGCCGCATAGACTCGATCTGGAGGATAGCCGGCATCAGGGTTGGAAGCGAGTTCATCAAGTTCACGACCCCCATGTTCATAGGGGCCGAGTTTGTCGTGATATACTGGCTGCACAAGAAGGGCGTCCCGCCGCCCAAGGCCGTGTGGGTTGCCATACTTGACATAGTGACCGAGGTGCTGGCCGGGGGCGTGCTCTCCATGATTGCGGGGATCGTCGCGCTCGCCAGCGGGGCGTACATAGTGGCCACCATAATACTTGCAACCAGCATAGCGGTTACGTCCATGTGGGTGCTACTCTTCTTCATGTCATCAAAGCGCACCTTCCAAGTTCCCGGGGGCATTGCGCGGCTCGTCGCAAGATTTGCGAAGGAGCGCGGCCAGAGATATGTCACCCAGACCAACCACTGGATGGACGAGGTGTGCACCATATCCAGGGAGAACATGGGAACGGCCAAGTCCAAGAAGCTGTTTGTAAACGCATTCATGCTGTCCCTGGCATCCTGGCTCTTCTACGGCATCTCGTTTATGATAATCGCATCTGGGGATCGGCATATCCATCGAGCCGTTTGACTCGATCATGGCGGTGATGGGGGCCAACGCCATCGGGAACCTGCCCATCACCGTGGGCGGATCCGGCCTGGCCGAGTTTGGCATAGTGGCGTACATCAACAACCTGGATCCCTTCAACTTTGACGTGCTGGAAGAGGCGCTGGAGTGGAACGCGGTGATCGCCTGGCGGATCGCCACATACTACCTCCCGATTGTCGTCACCTGGGTCATGCTCTTCCGCTTCGCACTAGGCAAATATACCAAGACCGGCACCAGTAAACACAGTGAATCTTAGGGACAAGATAGTGGTAATCACGGGCGCGTCCAGCGGAATAGGCGCGGCAGCGGCCTTTGAGTTTGCAGACAGGGGAGCCCGCGTGGTCATGGTATCCCGGAATGCAGACAGGCTCGAGCGGGCGCGAGAAGAGCTTGCAGGGATCGGCAAGACCGAGGCCATGACATGCGACGTGTCTGACAGCGGCCAGGTCTCGGAGATGGCGCGGCAGGTCCTGGACAGGTTCGGCCAGGTCGACGTTCTGGTAAACAATGCAGGCTATGCCGTGTACGGCACTGTCTCCCAGCTGAGCGTCGGGGAGATCGAGGGTCAGATGAGGACGAACTACTTTGGCATGGTCTACTGCACGAAGGGCTTTCTTCCCGGTATGATCAAGCGGAACCGTGGCCACATAGTAAACGTCGCATCCGTTGCGGCAAGCGTCGGGCTGCCCGGCATGGCGCCGTACTGCGCCTCAAAGTTTGCGATGCTTGGCTTCTCTGAGGGGCTCAAGCACGAGCTCCACGAGACCGGCGTTGGTGTCACGGTTGTGAGCCCGATCACGGTACGGACAAACTTTTTTGACCATTCCTCGTTTGGAAAGATGCGGCGCAAGCCCTACGCGATAAGCTCCAAGAGGGTCGCCCGGGCGATAGTCAAGGCATCCGCGTCCTCGCGCCTGGAGATAGTCGTGCCGTCGACGGTTCGCGGCGTGGTATGGCTCAAGCAGACCCTGCCGTACCTGATAAACCCGATGCTGGGCTCGTCGTTTCGCGGCATCGGCTCCGCAGAGTCTAGCCCGAGTCCTGCTCCAGAAGAGCCGCGTCCCTGAGCGTGAACTGGTATATGGCATTCATCTCTATGCCCTTCTCGACCTTGAGAAACTGCGCCGCCTTTTCGGACAGCGGCGCCATGCACGAGTCAATCTTGAACTCGTAGACCACCCCCTTCTCCAGGGTGCCGGTTCCGATCTCTCCAGGCACGTCCAGCGTTATTATGTGCCTGCCGTCTGCTACGGGATCGTAGAACTGCGCGTCGATCTTGTTGTCCTCATCAAAGATGTCCAGTATGTATCCGGTGCGAATCATCTGCTCCGGCTCCTCAAACTCGGCGCTGCGTATCTCGTCCTGAATCCAGCCCGGGATCTCGTCTTTGGCCATGTGGCGTTACTCCTGCTTCTCGCTCTTGCTCTTCTGCCACCACTGCTGATAGTCGTACTGCTTGTCTTCCTTGGTGTACTCGCGCTGGTTGAGCTTTGCCCTGATGTCACCCACCTGTTCCCGGGTTGCGTAAAGGCCGCACTTGGGACAGACAAAGTGCTTTGTCCTTGACTCAAACTTCATGAACAGCTCGATCTGATCAAACATCTTGATCAGGTCATCCCTGTTCCGATCCTCCAGGAGCGTCTCTGCCTCGTATCTCGCCTGGATCTTCTTTTTCTCTCTAGCGGTGCATTCGGGGCAGTTAGGCATCTTATTATCAAATTTATATTTTCCATAAAAGCGTTCTGATGTGGACGTAGCGTCTGGACGCCCGCCGCCCCGAACCGGGTGTGGGGGCCCTTCTAAGCGGGGGCCTCACGGCACAGGCGGGCCAGCCCCCCAGTATCGAGGAGCCCGGCACGCGCATTGTGTCTTCATCCCCTAAGGTCAGCTAGCCCATCGAAGTGTTGCGTGCCGGGCACGGTACCTGTGGCGCGGCGCTATTTCTTGCTTTCAAGGACCTGCGCGGCGATCCGGGCCGTGTTGCGCGCCCCCTCGCCGTCAAAGTTGGCCGCAAAGTCCGCCAGGGCCTCCTGGAACGTGGCGTAGCCGGATCTGATCCGCCGGATCCCCTCCACCGCCTGCCTGGCGTTTCTTGCCAGTATGCCCAGGTTTCGCTCCTGGGCCCATCTCAGCTGGTTTGTGTGCTCGTCGTATATGGGGATTCCAATCACCGGTTTTGACTTGCCGCCCAGGATCTCCCCCATTACCGTATGCGAGCCGTTTATCACGGCATACAGGCACCGCTCCAGCACCGACTCCTTCTCCTGCTCGGAGAGAAACCCGATGTCTATCTGAATCCAGTCCACCTTCCTCTCCAGCGCCTCGGATACGGAGTACCTCCTTTTGTCCCTCCCCGTAACGCAATCGATTGCGGGGTCGTCCCTGGCGTGGGAGACTATGCGGCGCTCGCCTGCCATCTCCGGCATGGCAAATATCTGCCGGTATCGGGATCCGGTGCCGTCATTGGTGGACCTGTTGCCCGTTCTCATCCAGTATCCAAACTCCGCATCCGCGATCAGCCTCTCCAGGTCTGTGGGCTCCCCCCTGGGCACATGCCTGCCCGTAAAGTGCCCCACGTAGGAGACCCGGCCCTTTAGGCTGTCGGGGAGGTTCAGGTTGTACTCGCACATGGTGTAGGGCGGCGCCGAGTCGGCCACCAGTATCTGGGACGCCCGGGCGATCTGCCTTGCAACGTAGCTCACCGCGGGATAAAAGTAGAACCTGGATCTCCAGAGCCTTGGCTTGAACTGGTTTGTCACAAAGAGGCTGGGCACGTTTCGCCTGCTGGCGATGATGTTTGAGCCCATGTCGCCGTCATTGATCACAATATCAAAGTGCTCGCGGTTGTAGAGCCTGCCCTCCTCCCTGAGGTAGCAGGCGATCTGCCTTACCAGGGGCGGGTTCCCCTCCACCGACAGAAGCAGGTTCAGCAGGGACCGCCAGACGCTGGGACCGAACCGGCCGTCGATGGGGGTCGGCATCAGTATGTTGTGCGCCCGGTACCGGGAGTGGGCCAGGATCTTCTCATATATGGGCGGCTTGGTCGAGACGTGGATCTGGATATCCTCGCGTATGTGATCGGCCAAGACCTCGTTGAGCCGCATCATTCTGGTGTAGTGGCCGTTTCCCCACGGATAGATGAACTGTCCTATCTTCTTCATGGTACGGTCACGTATCTGCCTGCAGCGAATCAAGGATGTCGTGGACGTTGTTGGGGCCTGGCTGCAGCAGAACCCTCTGCCTGGATTCGGGCGGTAACGGCGGCGCGTCCCTTCTGCTGTAGCCCTTGGATCTGCCGGCCTTCAGGCCTGCCAGCTTCTCTATGCGGGACAGGTGCTTCTCCAGGCCGATCTGGCCGGCCGCGCGGAAGAGATCGTCGGTCATTCCCCCCAGGGGAATCACCGGCGTGAGGCCCCGTCCCACCGTATCAAGTATGCACTCGTCCACAAAGCCCGGCGGGTGGATCAGCGGTGAGACCGGCAGGGAGACGTGATCCGCGCCACACTCCGTCGCGAGGAGCAACGAGGCATCCAGGGATGCGGCCGCATATCCCAGATAGCCGGCGGCGCCGGGTCTCACCCGGAAGAAGTTCAGTTCTACATCCCGGCTGACCATCCGCGGTATAATTTGGTTGACCATCTTTGCCAGGTTCATCAGCTCCCGGGGCTTTTGATAGCAGACGGCCATCCTGACCCGGTAGCCCTGCCGCAGGGTCTCAAGACAGGAGACGGCGGACAGCTCGTCAAATATGCAGCAGACGGCCTCTTGCCTCTGGGATCCGTAGGGCATCCCTCCCGTGCACTCGTCTGAGAATATGCAGACGTACGCGCTGTTCCGCGCAAGAAACGTGTAGAGCAGCCGGTCATACGAGCTTCCGGTGCCGGGCCCCCCATTGGGCCGGCCACTGCCGATTATGGCCGAGGTGGCGGCGATCTCCAGGTCGTCCGGGATGAACCCCTTTGCGGAGCCCTCCACCTTCACGAGAAACCTGTCCGTGCTGAGAAGCAGGTTGGAGCCGACCTCTGCCATCGCCGGCACCAGCACGTCGGGATCCTTCTCCACACGCCTTGCGATGGCCACCCTCCTTACCCCGGAGAGCAGCGCTGCCGCCGAGGACGCAAAGACCGGATCCCGGGCGTCCACCACGATGACCGGGCCGTCCCTCCTGATCGAGTCAAACTTCTGTCCCTTTATCTCCAGAATCCTCCTTACGTTGGCCGCCAGCAGGGGCAGCAGGCCTTGCGCAAAGGCAGACGGAAAGACCACCACGCAGGAATCTCCACTCATCCTGCATTCTTACCATGAACCAACTTATAATTTAGGACGGACGCAGGGCCGCGCCCGCCGTCTTGGGGCACCCGGACCCTGCTGCAGGTTCCGGATCCCGCATGGGCCTTTGGGGCACCCTCTCGCGGGACACCGCACGCAGGCACCAGAATGGAGCCGCCTGGGCACGGCTGCGGATGGGCCCTCGCAATAATTATTAAACAAAACGACCCACTCCGAGACAGTGGAATTCAGTCAGGAACAGGTAAACGAGCTCAACGCCAGGATCCATACGGCGCAAGAAGCCCTGCAGTGGGCGTCTGATCAACTGCACCCGCGGGTGGCAAAGGCATCCAGCTTTGGCGCAGAGGACGCAGTCATAGTGGACATGATGATAAAGATAAACCCCCGGTTCCGGTTCTTTACCCTGGATACGGGCAGGCTGCCGCAGGAGACCTATGACGTCATGGATGCGGTAAGGAAGAGGTACGGCATCAACCTAGAGGTGATGTTTCCCGACACGGACGAGGTCGAGGAGATGGTCCGCAAGAAGGGGCTGAACCTGTTCTATGAGAGCGTGGAGAACAGAAGGCTCTGCTGCGGCATCCGCAAGGTGCACCCCATAAACAGGATGCTTGGAACGCTGGACGGGTGGATCACCGGACTGCGGCAGGACCAGACCGAGACCAGGAGGGACGCCAAGATCTTCGAGGTGGACACCCAGCACAGCAACATACTGAAGATAAACCCGCTGGTGGACTGGACCTGGGACCGGCTGTGGGGGTACATAAGGGCAAACGACGTTCCCTACAACAAGCTGCTGGATGCCGGGTACCCCAGCATAGGGTGCGCCCCCTGCACCAGGGCCGTGGAGGCCGGCCAGGATGCCAGGTCAGGCAGGTGGTGGTGGGAGCACGACACACATAAGGAGTGCGGCCTGCACATGGACTACAAGAAGTGAGATGACAGGAATAAGACCACACGGTGGCAGGCTTGTGAGCAGGATCACCGACAGGGACACCACGGGCATGCTCTCCGTGCCGATATCTGCGGATCTGGCAAACGATGTGGAGAATATAGCAGACGGGATCTTCAGCCCCCTGGAGGGCTTTCTGGGACAGCAGGACTTTGAGGGTGTGATAGCCCGCGGCAGGCTGACAGACGGCACGCCGTGGACCATTCCCACGGTGCTTGATCTTGACCGCGCAACGGCAGACCGGGCCCGCGACGCCGGCGACGTGCTGCTGACGGATCCCGACGGACTTGGGGATTGCCGTAATGCATGTGGAGGAGGTGTTTGGGTTTGACAAAAAGGCGGTATCTGTGGGGGTGTATGGAACCGACGACGCGGCCCATCCGGGAGTCGCCAGGACGGCCGCCATGAACGAGTCCCTGGTGGGCGGCAGGATAGAACTCGTCTCGCGACCCCAGGAGACCGGGATCAGGAGGTACCGCATGACACCGACCCAGACCAGGCAGGCGTTTGTGGAGGCAGGCTGGAAGACCATAGTCGCGTTTCAGACAAGGAACCCGCCGCATGTGGCGCACGAGATGCTGCAGAAGACGGCCATCACCACCCGGGACGGCGTGTTTGTAAACCCGCTCATAGGCAGAAAGAAGTCGGGAGATTTTGTGGACGACGTGATCGTCAGGTGTTATGAGAGCATGATACAGAACTACTATCCGGAGAACAGGTGCCGGCTGGCCACACTCCATACGGAGATGAGGTATGCAGGCCCACGGGAGGCCATCCACCACGCCATAATGAGGCAGAACTACGGGTGCACCCACATCATAATAGGGCGTGACCATGCAGGGGTGGGCAGCTACTATGACCCCTTTGCGGCGCACAAGATCTTTGACGACTATCCGGATCTTGAGATCGCCCCGATATTCTTCCCGGCGTTCTTTTACTGCCGCAAGTGCATCACGTTCACAAACCCAAGGGCATGCCCGCACGGTGCAGAAGATCGGGAGCAGATCAGCGGCACAAAGATGAGGGCGATGATCCAGGAAGGCAAGGCCCCAAGCGAGTTCATTCTGCGGCCCCAGGTATCCAAGATAATACTGGACCATCCGGCGCCGTTCGTCGATTAGGTATTTATTCGCTGGAGCCGTCTTGCCACTGTGAGAGCTGCAGTCGTACTTGCACTTGTTGTCCTGAGCGCGTCCCTGCCTGCATACGCGCAGGAGCCAAAGAACCCGTCGCTGCAGATTGACACCATCAGCGTGCCGCCCGACGACTTTAACCGGGTTATCAGGGAGGCCGTGGTCATCCCGCTGGACCAGATCCACGCGGTAAGCTGGCAGGTGACCATCGACAATGATCTGATCTACGAGAACCCCGACGGCAACGCGGTCCTGCGGATCTATGACCAAGTCATGCCGGAGAAGTTCGTCGAGGTGGGAATGGGGAGCCTGCCGGAGAGGAAGTTCTGGCTGGCGGTGCAGATCCCCGACGAGGAGGGATATGTGGTGGTGCACAGCACCCTTGAGCGCGGATGGTCCCAACTGAGCAAGGTCATCATGTCGTATACGGACAGGGCCGGCCTCACCGTCAACAACGGCGACAGGATCGTGGTGTCCAACCTGGACGTGGGGGTGTTTGCGGTAGGCTCGTACTCGGTGCACGGAAAGGAGGGATCCACCGACCCGCCGGCAATAAACTCCGGCAACATAACGATCGAGTTCCTCTCGGGCGACCCGTCCCAGAACATCTTCGCGCTGTTCCCGTTTATCGTGACTGCAATCATAGGCGCCCTGGCGGGCGGCCTGTTCCTCACGAAGAAGCGCTCCGCCTAGTTTTGTAGTACCGGCACGAGCCCCTGATCCTGCAGACGTCGCACATGGGCGTTATGGGCTTGCAGATGTTCTGGCCGTACATGACAAAGGTGTCGTTGATCTCAAGCCAGTACTTCTTGGGGATCTTCCTCATCAATGCGGCCTCTGTCTCCTCGGGCGCCCGGGTGTCCACTATGCCCAGCCTGTTTGAGATCCGGTGCACATGTATGTCCACCGGAATGGCCGGCTTGCCAAAGGCATACACCAGGACGCAGTTTGCGGTCTTTCTTCCCACGCCGGGCAGCCCCACCAGCGTGTCTATGTCGTCAGGAACCTGGCCCCCAAACTGGGAGTGGATTATGGACGCGACCTCGATTATCCTCCTTGCCTTGACGCGGTAAAAGCCGATGGAGTGGATTATCTCCTCGACGTCCTCCAGCCTGGCTCCCGCCAGGGCCTCGGCCGTCTTGTACCGGGCAAAGAGCCGCCCCACCACCTCCGTGGTGCGCTCGTCCTTTGTCCTGGCGGAGAGTATGGTGCCGATGAGAATGCTAAATGGCCCCCCGGACTCTGCCTCGTGCAGCCGGCGAAGGGCCGTCATTCTGGGCGGCTGGACGGCATTCATGGTGGAGATCATCCCGTCCAGTATCTTTCTCATTAGCTGTGGTGCGGGGCACTCTTATATCTGCCAGCAGGAATACCACCCAATGGAGCTGACAAGGGACGAGGAGGCCGCCCTGCGTGGCGAGCACGGCAGCTCCATGGAGACGGCGTACCGGATTCTTGTCGCCACAGGCGAAGCAGCGGATGCCGAGAGGCTGGTCAAGATCGAGTGGGCCCACCTGTCGGGCGTAAACTACAACACCATTGGAGATGCCGGGGAGCGGTTTCTTGCCGAGTTCAGCAGGACTGCGCGCGTAAAGGTGAGGACGTCGCTGAACCCCATGGGATACGATGCCGACAGCGTGTCAGGCTACGGCCTAGACGAGGATTTCATCCGGGGGCAGGAGAGCATCAGGAGGTCATACGAGCGGATGGGTGTCATGCCCACGTTCTCGTGCATCCCGTACGAGATCCTCAAGCTGCCCGGGGCCGGGACGCAGGTGTCCTTTGCCGAGAGCAATGCGGCCATATACGCCAACTCGGTTGCCGGTCTGCGCACAAACAAGGAGAGCGCGTTCTCGGCGCTGGCCAGCGCCATAACTGGGCAAGAGCCCCTACTCGTCGCTCAGAAGGGACAGCGAGCCTGACATCACCATAAGGATGGGGATCCCAGAGCCCGACGAGCTTGACTTTGGAATGCTGGGATTTTTTGCGGGCAAGGTGGCAGACCAGTCGGTGGCCATATCCGGCGCAGGCAGCCCGGACCGGCGCAGCTGCAAGTCGCTGTGCGGTGGCATGGGCACTTCTGGCACCTGCGGCAGGTTCAGCCTGGGCGGCGGCAGCGGTGCAGAGGAGGTTGACTTTGGCAAGGAGGAGCTCCGCGGCGTGTATGACGAGCTGAACACCGCAGACCGCGGCGACATGGTGACCCTGGGCAGCCCGCAGCTGGGCCTGGAGGAGATGGCCGGCCTGTCGTCAATGCTGGGCGGGAGGCGCTTCAAGAAGAGGTGCATGGTGTTCTGCCCCAGGTTGGTGCAGGAGCAGGCCCAGAGGCTGGGATACGCATCGCAGATCCGGCGCGCCGGGTGCGAGATACTCTCTGACTGCTGCACATGCCTCACGCCCCTGATAGACAGGGGAGAGGTCGACTCGGTGACCACCAACAGCGTCAAGGGGGCGTACTATCTCAAGAGATCAAACGGCGTGGACGTGAACCTCAAGCCGCTCTCAGAGATTGTGGAGGACGAGACCGGTTGGTCGTGAGGACGATAGTCCGGGGCAGGGCCCGGGGGAGGATAATGAAGACCCGGCAGCCCATCAACTTTCTGGGCGCCGTGGACAACAAAACCGGGACGATCCGGGATCCGAGCCACGAGCTACACGGCAGATCCGTCCGCGACTCGATCCTGGTGTTTCCCCACGGGGCCGGCAGCAGCGTGGGCGCATACACCATATACTCGCTCAAGTCCGCAGGCGCAGCCCCCAAGGCCATGATCTGCCTGAAGGCAGACCCGACGGTGGCCTCCGGATGCGCGCTTGCCAACATTCCGCTGATAACCATGGGCCAGGCGGAGCTTGACGCCATGCAGGACGGCGCCGAGTTCTTTCTGGGCTAGGCGCCGGCGCCTCCCGGCGGGATCAGCCCTCCCTGAAGACCGTCCCCCCAAACCTCAGGACCTCGGTGGATTCGTCCCTCCACGAGTACCTGGGAAGCCCGGCCTTCTCGCAGGCATGCTCCAGGAACTCCTGCGGGGACCACCCGTACTCCGCCGGCACCTGTGGCAAGAGCAGGCCCGAACTTGAGTCGCGCCTTATGAGCAGTCCGTCCATCCCTATGCGGATCCCCGACAGGTACTGGTTCGGGTTGGAGACGGCCATCTTCTGGGGCTCGGAGAGGACGGTAACCTCGAATTTGATGCGGCCCAGCTGGCCGCTCTGAACAGGCAGAAACCGCGGATCCCGGGTGGCAGCAGCAACGGCCGCCTCGACCAGGGCGCCGTACAGCCTCTTGCGGGGTGCGACAAAACCGATGCAGCCCCGCAGGCTGCCCCCGCTGTTGAGGGTAACAAACACGCCTGCCCGAAAGGAGAACCTTGACTTCAGGGCATCGTCTGGAACCGTCTGCCTTCCCAGGAGATGGTCGGACACCGCCCTCCTTGCCAGCCCCACGAGCGCCGTCCCGTCTTCGTCGGTAAGGCCGTCCTTGTCCACCACCTGTGGTTCGGATCCGGTCTGTTTTTAATCTTTGAGTGGGCTGGTGTGCCACGGCTCGGGCAGCCGTCACGCGCCAAGCGAGCGCAGGGCCTCTTCAAGAAGGTTGTATGGATCCTCCATGCCCGCAAGAAACCGCCTGTTCTTTTCCAGGTAGGCTCCGTTGTCAGACTCGAGAAACCGCCTTGCGGCCCTTACCAGCCCGGGGGCATCCTCGGCCCTCCTTACCAGCCCGTGCCTCACCAGGTACCTCTCGGTTGCGTACGGCACCGCATTGTACGATATGGTCGGAACGCCGCGCATTGCGGCCTCGGCGGTCATGGTCCCCCCGGATCCAATGAACACATCGGCAAGCAAGAGTATGCTGCGGCTGTCAACCACCCTGTCGATCACCGTTATGTCGCTGCCCAGCGACGCCTGAAGGTGCCTGATCTCATCTGCATACCTGCCCAGGACGACAAGCCTGCAGTCAGGCATCATCCTTGCCACATCGGTGACCAGCGAGACCACGTCCACGGACTTGTTCACGTATGCCGCCTGCGTCTCGTAGGTGCGGAACAGGATTATCTTTTCGTGGGGTTTCTTGGATATGGGCGGCCTCGTCTCCACGACCTTGTTTTGTACGATCATATACACGTCCAGCGCGTTGTACTGCAGTATCTTCTCCGGGTCTATTCCAAATATTGTAAAGCTCTTTTTGGGTATGTATGAGGGAATCAGCAGCCTCTCCAGCAGGGGTATCGACAGCCGTGATCCCGCATTGTGGTGCGGGGCCTCCGAGAAGCCAATGTGGGGGATCTGCAGCATGAATGACACCCTTGCCGCGTCCGGCGAGCAGAAGCTGACGGTCACGTCGGGGGAGAACTCCTCGATTATGGGGGTCAGCTCCGATATCCTGTTAATGCCGGCCATCAGCTTTGCGTCCCTTGCGGCCCCCCCGTGCCTTCCCACGCTTTGCACCCTTCTTCTCCTGATCTTGACAAGCCCGTTCAGCTCCCTGTAGTTTCTTGTGGTGCACAGTACTGTGTGCTCGCCTTCCAGCCGATCCATCATGGATTCAAAGAACAGTATCTGCTTTGGCGTCAGGATGTCAAACCAGATCTTCAACTAGATACGGGAGATTCCGCAGGACAATAAAAGTTTCCTGCCGCCGGCCGGTGGGCGCAGGATCACGCGCATACTCTGCCGCACTGGCAATACCCGCAGTCAGCCCTTACCGGGTTGGGCATCCCGGGGAAGATCTGGTTCTCCGTCAGGAGGGATGCGATCGTTGCAGAGGGACGAGATCTGCGGCACATGCGAAACGAGGAGACGGCCATTCGGTTACCTGTGTTTCACGAAGAATTTGTCAGTACGTTGTGCAACAGGTTAGCGCAAATGCGCTCCCCGGCTGCCTGTATTGGGGTAACGGTTCTGACCGGCTGCCATACATCACGCTCAGAATTATCTTCCACGAGGCCGTCCTACGTTAGGGAATTATATACAAGGGTACGCAGTACCCCTGCCTTTTGCTGGCGCTCTTGCAACCCCCCAGGCGCTTGGTTCTCGCGCCTTGTCTGGGGAGCGCCCGGGAGCAATCCCGGACTGGAGTCTCGCGCCTTGGGACGACGATCCCCGCCGCCCTGCCGTCGCTTTGACGGCAATGTTATGCGCCGCGTTTATGTCGGCGTTGATGTCATTGTTACACTCGTCATTGGTGCATCGGAACCTCCCTTGGGATGTCCTGGATTCCTTGTCACTGTGGCCGCATTTGTGGCATGTGATGCTCGTTCCCTTGGGGTCCACCATTATCACGATTACGCCGGCGTTCTCGCAGGCGCCCATGATCTGCCGCTGGAACGTGCCCGGCCTTGAGTATGCCATCTCCCTATTGAGGCCGGTCTTGGCCGAGCTGCCCTTGCTCTTTCCCTTGGCGGTCATGTTATTGAGGTTCAGGTTCTCCATGGCCACCGTGCCGGCGCCATCAGCAATATCCTTGGAGGCGTGTCGCTCCCAGTTCGCCTGGCGGTTGGCAAGCTTCTCGCGCTTCTTTTTGTATCCTCCTCTGCAGTTCCATGTAGCTTCTGGACTTGGGCTTCCTCGGCTTGTCCCTGTTGTGACCGCTCGTGTTGTTGTTGGTGTCGCCGTTGGTGTCGGTACCGCAGTCCGTGCTTTTGCTCCAGCCGCCAGAGCCGCCATTACCGTCCTGTTTGATGCGCCTGTTGCCGCGTCCCCCTCGCTTCCTTGAGAGCTCGTATACATCTTAGATATCTCGTCGTTCCTTGCCCTCCTGCAGCCGTCCGGGATGTCGTGAAATTTATGATGGTTGGTGCCAAGGTCGACGGTTGTGGCCTCGTGGACTATGCCCCATGTCGACGCCCCTGACGACCGTATATTCTGACGGCTTGGGAGCCTCGATTTCAACCTGGATGTGGAGACGGTAAGTCCTGTGATGATCCTTTGTGCGCCTCGTTGTCTTCCTGGTGGTCTCGACGAGCTGGAATGAGAGCATTTCAAGGCCATCCACGTCGCCGTGCACCTTCACGGTGCCTATGCCGGGGAGCATCACCGTGTTGTTGCCCTTGGATATGGGCTTCTCAAACACGGATAGGGACTTCGTTTCCCCCTTCCTGCTGAACAGGGAGTCCCTGTGGCTCCATTCGTTCTTTTCCTGCTCCACTTGTTCGATGGCAGGCTTTCGCCCGCGTCGGCGCCGTTTGCCTCATCCGGGGCGCCGCCCCCGCCGTTGCGCGCCAGCTTGGCGGCCTTCCTGGCCTCCCTTTCCCTGTCCCGCGTGGCCAGGTATTTCCACAAGGACTTATTTGCGCGCTTTTTACCGTTTGACTTCATGAATTTATCTACGGCGTCCAGACCCTGGCAGAGCCCTGCCCTCTGGGCAGAGAAGCCGCCCTCAGTCCACTCCTTTCCGCGCCTCCATCCTGTGAGCATCTTGTTGAGGTCGAACTTGGTTGTCCTCGGGTCGTTCAGCTTTTCCCGCACCGCCATGTTGAAGGCCCATCTCTGCTGGTCCATGCGGTGCGATACCAGCTTTGACATCTCGGCCGACTGGTCAAAGTCCACATTTATCGTACGGACCATGAAGCCCTCCCTTGAGCGTTTTGACCATTTTTTTGGCTCTGGCGGCGCCGTAGATGCCGCTGTTGAGGTTGCGGTTGCCGCCATCGGTTCTGTTGCTGTTGCTGTTGTTGCCGCCATGATGGGTTTCATTACCGCATGCAAATGATCAATGTGTATAAAAACACCGCGACAATACCATGCAGACCATGCGGACCGTCGGCGCCGCCACGGCCGCCAGGGGGTGGCAGGTTACGGGCGCCCGGATGGGAGTGGATATTGTGGAGAGACCCGAACAAAAACCCCATCCGCAGGGCGGCGCGTGGTTATGCCTACCGAAGTATATAATTCCCCTACGTTACGACAAGTCCTCCATCCCCGGTCTACACACCATGCCGGGTTGCACCATCCGGTACCCATAGGTTGAACATCCGCAATAAATACAGAAAGCAGAACGTACCTGATTTGACATCTTGTTAGATGCCTCCGCTCTTGATTTCTCGATCACCTTGTGTCCTGCCTCTATGCCTTGCCACTTTCCATGTTTGGGCACACCTGTCTGTTTTTCTTTGCAAGCCCGTTGCTACTCCAGATACTGCATTATGGCGATACGCATTCTTGGGTTTAGGCTAACCTCTAGACCATATCCAGTGGGTTTTGACAAGATTAGGTTTTGTTTTATCAGTTCTCTTCCCATTTTGTCCACTCTTTTGGAACCACGCCTGCCGGTATTTCGTGGTGTGAATCCCCTTTTGAGATGCTCAAATGCCGTGTGGCTGCTGCCCCATTTTCCACGCCGGTGGAGCTTTCGTATTATTTGGGTTTTGATCTCTTCGTCGCTTAGCACATGTACACTTATAGTACCTTTGTTGGTTCCAATTTAAATACATTTAGCGGGATAAAATAGCATGGAAAACAGAACGTTACTTTTACGATACATTGGAGATACGCCCAAGCTCAGGATAATAGACTTTTTTCTCGATAACAGGGAGAGCGACTATTCCAAGAAGGAGATCATAGAGTACACGGGCATATCAAAGACCACGTTGTACAAGATATGGGGTGAGATTTTAGAGTTCGGATACCTAAAGGCCACGAGAAGGTATGGCAGGGCCCAGCTGTATGCGCTAGACCAGGACAACGAATTGATTCGGAGATTCAAGGATTTGGACGACGAATTAGGCAGACAGGCCATGAAAAATGCATCAAGTCATGCCCTTGGCTTAGAGGCCACATACGAGCGCGCAGGGCATATTGAAAATGCGCCTAGAGACCACGCTCCTGTCTTCACGAAGTTCGTAGCCAAAACCAAGCAGGCAGAGAATACACTAACGGATCCCATTTCTGCACAGTAAGCCGAGGCCTGCACGAATACCGGATGCAGCCGTGCCCCCGACTGGCCACAGATACCTGAACTGGCAGGACCGGCCAGAGATTGTCACGGGACTCGCCAGTTACTGCATAAGTAGGATTTCACACTTGTGCGATCCGCCGCATATGCCGGAATTCGTGCCTCAGGCTGATGCCTGCTATGGAGTGGGTAATCCGAACGGTCGCCACGCAGTTCACCCGCTTTGTGAACTTAAATATATAATTCCCCCCACAAACATCGACTGTAAAGTGACGCTGAAAAACCCCCGCAACGCCCAGGTATCGATAATACTCTCCACGTACAACGAGTCGATGAATGTTCTGGGCGTTCTCAGATCCATAGGCGAGAACCGCCCCGGGAACGCAAGAACCGAGACGATAGTGGTGGACGACAACTCGCCGGACGGCACGGGGCGCATGGTAGACGACTACATCAGGAACGTCAGGCGCCTGACAGACTACACCGTGGACGTGGTGCACAGGAAGATAAAGAAGGGCCTGAGCTCGGCCATACTCAACGGAATCCAGCACGCGTCAGGCGACATCATAGTGGTCATGGACAGCGACTTTTCCCACCCGCCGCAGATAATTCCCAGAATGGTGGACCTGATAAGGCAGTCCAAGTTTGACATCGTGATCGCCTCCAGGTACATCCCAGGCAGCGCGATCAAGAACTGGCCGATAAAGAGAAAGATCCAAAGCAAGATGGCCGCAAAGATTGCCCAGAAGGGGCTCGGGATACGGACCGAGGATCCCATGTCGGGGTTCTTTGCCTTCAAGAAGAGCCTCATCAGGGATCTAAAGTTTGACGCAATAGGATACAAGATGCTGCTTGAGATCCTGGTCAAGGCCAGGGGAGCGTCCATCAAGGAGATCCCCTACACGTTCCGCGACAGGCAGTTTGGCTCCAGCAAGCTGGACCTGAAGGTGGCCGTCGACTATCTCAGATCCGTCTGGAGGCTGTACAGGAACGGCAGGCGGGGCTCGAGATCAAAGCCCAAGACATCGGCGCGCTTTCTCTCAAAGGCGGCCAGGTTCTACACGGTGGGCGCCTCGGGACTCGGGATCAACTACCTCATGTCCCTGCTGCTTGCCGGCGGCTCCAATGATTTGTGGTACATCCACGCAAATATACTGGGAATACTCGCTTCAATGACCAGCAATTTTGTGCTCAACAAGTTCTGGACGTTTGAGGACAGAAACTTTGCCCCCGCAAGGACGGTGGCGCAGTACGCCAAGTTCATAGGGGTCAGCTCCCTGGGGGCGCTGGTTCAGCTGGGCGCCGTCTTTGCCCTGGTGGAGAGCTCCTCGATGAGCTATCCCATCGCGCTGATACCGGCGGTTGCGGCCGCGTCCTTTGGCAACTTTATCCTGAACAAGCGGTTTACCTTCAAGGAGAAGATCTGGTCTTAATTAAAAAAATACAGTTCTTTCGTCACGGCACTACTCAAGACTGGTAGAAACCTCTGACGAAAGCCCGTGGAAGGGAACAGATGGAAACTTGTCCCCGATCTTCTGCTCTACAACGGCTGATGCTTCCTGCAGGATCTTGTCCGTCTCTTCTGTGGAGACCTCTGATCCGATGCCGCTGAACGCCTCTCCGGACAGCGAGTCTGACATCAGGCCGTTGAGGGTCTGCGTCATGTCCTGAAGCTCCGAGTCGGCCTCTGGCATGAACTTGCCAACAGACGCCTTCAGTCCCTTCATGGTGGACATCGCGGGTCCTATCGCGACCATGGCATCACCTAGGTCGTGAATGGTCGTCAATCGCAGTTGAACCTGCTCCAGCGACATCCTTGCGTTGCCTAGCATTCTTGAAACCTTGCGGATCTCGGCCAGTTCGTTTGAGAGCACCCTGCTTGCGCCGGTGTCGTGCTGCTGCATGGCAACGACGATTCTCTGAAACAGCCTCGAGTCTCTCTCCCGCAGCTTTCCCAGCATCGAATCCATCTTGGATATCTGAACCTGAAGTTTGTTTACAGCTCCCTGAATCCTGGGCTTGAGTGCGCCTTCGGCTGTAACTGCGCCACGTAGTTTCTCAGTCACGCTTGGAGCGTCCTGCCGGGCCCAGTTCTTATCAAAGCTTGGCATAATTGGCAGTCTAGTATTGCACTCTTAATGAGAGGGGTATATTTAGATCAACCCTAGACTAAATTTAGCTAACAAAACCGGAATGTGTTGTGATTGGGAATTATATAGTTAAGTGAACAGCCGCCGCCGCATGTCCGGGGCCTCCCGTCCAGGCCGATAATGCGGTCCGCAGACCGGTCTTCCCGGTTCATGACTGGCCGATGGCTGTCCCGGGTTTTCCGGCGCCGGCAGGCATCCCGAGGCAGGCAAAAGCCCAGGAAGGCGGCGGTCTGGTCGCGCCTTTCACGCGGGCAAATGCCGGATCCGTATTTAAGGCGCCGTCCCGGACCGGTCCGGCATTGCAAGGCGGGAACTGCATTCAAAAGCGGCCAAAACCCGTCCTTTTCGGGCCTTCCGCCATGATGGCCGTTCCAGCGGGTGCCGGCGCCGCACCGTGGCGGCCGGAACCGCGCGGACAGGCGCGGCGGAAACGATGGATATGACAGTGCGGACGGTCAGCATGGTCTGCACACTAATGATAGTGTTGTCGCGGTGTTTTTATGCGCATGGCATATTGAATGCGTAATGAAACCCATCATGGCGGAGGCGGCAGCAGTGGCAACGGAGCAGGCGGATGCAACGGCAGCCGCAACCGAGCCGGCGCCAAAAAAGTGGTCAAGGCGCCTAATGGATGGCGCCATGATACGCAACATAAAGGTGGACTTTGACCAGTCGGCGGAGCTGTCGGATCTCATATCGCGCCACATGGACCCGCAGAGGTGGGCGTTCAACATGGCCGTCAGGGAGAAGCTCAACGACCCGAGGACAACCAAGTTCGACCTCAACAAGATGCTCACCAAATGGAGGGACGCAAACGGGTGGCTGGTCCATGACAAGGAGGCGCTGGCCGCTGGACGCAAGGAGGCCTGCAGCTGCATGGTGCAGAGGGCGGGGCTCCTGCTGGGCCTGGACGCCGTTCAAAAGTTCGTAATATCAAACGGCAAAAAGCGCCGCAACAAGTCATTGTGGAAGTACCTGGCCAGGCGGGACCGGGAAAAGGAGGGCGTCAAGGACATCGACACCGCTGTAAATTTACCCTCAAACAAGTGGAGCAACAAGAGGAACAAATGGACCCACAGGGATTCCCTGTTCAGCATGAAGGGGGAAGCGAAGTCACTCTCGGTCTTTGAGAAGCCCGTCTACAAGGGCAACGGCATGCTGCACCTTCCCGGCATAGGCATGGTGAGGGTGCACGGCGACGTTAAGGACCTTGACATGCGCTCCTTCCAGCTCGTCGAGACGACCAAGAGGACCACGAAGCGCACTAAGAATCACAACAGGACGTACCGGCTCCACATCCAGATCAGGATAAAGGCGCCGGAGCCGTCCGAGTCCGCGGTCATAAGGGGCATCGACATGGGCATAGTCCACGGCGTCGCCACCGTCGACCTTGGCACCGGCAGCCACAAGTTCCACGACCTCCCAAATGACTGCAGGAGGGCAAAGGACGACGACATATCGAAGATGTACTCGGAGCTCTCTCAGAAGCGCGGGGGGCGCGGCAACAGGCGCACCAAACAGGATTCCAAGGAAGGTTCCGACGGCGGGAGCAAGAGCGCGGACGGTGGGAACGGCACTGGCGGCAGCGGCTGCAGCAACAACACGAGCGGCCGCAACAGGGACAAGCCGAGGAAGACCAAGTCAAGAAGCTACAAGGAGCTGCACAGGAAGATCCGGAAAAAGAGGGAAAAGATTGCCAACCGCCAGACGAACTGGGAGCGACACGCCTCCAAGAGGATAGCGGACGGCGCCGGAACGGTGGCCATGGAGGATCTCAACCTCGTGAACATGACCGCGGGCGCCAAGGGAAGGGGAAGCTCCGCCAAGACGGGACTAAACAGGGAGATGGCCTACTCAAGGCCCGGCACGTTCCAACGATTGATCAAGGGCGCGTGCGCCAATGCCGGCGTGATCGTGGTAATGGTGGACCCCAAGGGCACCAGCATAACATGCCACAGGTGCGGCCACAGTGACAAGGAATCCCGCATATCGCAGGACAGGTTCCGGTGCACCAATTACAACTGTGACAATGACGTCAACGCGGACGTAAATGCCGCGTATAATATTGCCGTGAAAGCGACGGCAGGGCGGCCGGGATGGTCGTCTGAAGGCGCGAGAAGCCGGCGCGGGATTGCTCCCGCGCGTTCCGCAAACAGCACGCGAGAGCCAAGCGTGGGAGGCAATGCAAGAGCGCCAGAAAAAGGCATGGGTGCTGTACACTAATGTATATAATTCCCTTGTGATTATGCCCAGAATAGCGATCTTTGATTCGGGACTTGGCTCCCTGTCCGTTATCGGGCCCCTTCGACGGACGCTCCGCTCGGAGATCATATACTATGCGGATACCGACAGCTTTCCATACGGAACCAAGACCCGTGCGGAGCTTGGGCGGATCATCACGGGAACCATAGCGGGCCTGCGGAGACTCTTCAAGCCGGATCTTGTAATAGTGGGCTCCAACACGCCGTCCCTGCTGCTTCCGGAGATCCTTGATGACAGGACGCTGGGGGTGCATCCGCCACTGAGCCGGGCGGCCGGTATGACCGGGACCGGCAACGTTGCGGTCCTCACAACCGAATCAGTCGCCGCAGGCCCGGAGCTGCGCCGGTACATAGAGGGGTGCCGCCTGCCGGAGGGGATCTCCGTCCTGCCCGTCAACTGCAACCCCCTGATCCGGCTGGTGGAGTCGGGTGGTTTTGTGCTGGATGCGCCGCGCTGCCGGAGGGAGATCTCGCGGGTTCTGGCCGACCGCCTTGGGCAGGGCGGCATCGACACGGCCACGCTGTCAAGCACCCACCTGCCGTTCCTAAGGGGGATGATGGAGGCAGAGTTTCCCGATGTGAGGTTTCTTGATCCGGCCGACGATGTGGCCCGGCAGGCCGGTGCCAGAGTCGGAAGCGCCCAGACGCAGGGCCCGCTTAGGATCTTTGCGTCCGGGGACGCAGGGGCGTTCTCGCGCAAGCTGGCGGCTCTGGGAATGGACTGTCACGCCGACCCTATCGCTCTGTGACGGGTCTTGCCTTCCGGTAGCCGTGGCCAAACGACTTGTCATAGAGCCTGGAGTACTCGTACGACTCTGGGTTGATGACCTGGCCTATGATCACGATGGCAGTCTTTGTAATCTTGTGCGCCCTCGTCTTTTTTGCGATGTCCGCCAGGGTGCCCACGATGACCTTCTGGTCGTCCCAGCTGGCCCTGTAGACCACCGCCGCCGGCGTCGACTCGGTGTATCCGCCGCCGATCACATCCCGCACAATGTCATTGAGGAGGTGAACGCTGAGGTAGAAGACCATGGTTGCCTGGTGCCTTGCCAGCTCGGAGATCCTTTCACGCTCTGGCACCCGGGTGCGCTTCTCGGCGCGGGTGATGATTATGGTCTGGGTCACGCCCGGCAGCGTGAGCTGGGCCCCTAGGGCGCCAGCAGATGCAAGAAACGACGTAACCCCGGGGACTATCACCGACTCGATGCCCTCGCCTGCGAGGCCGTCCATCTGCTCCCTTATGGCGCCGTATATCGTAGGGTCGCCGTCGTGCAGGCGCACCACGAGCTTGCCCTTCTTTGCGCTGCCGCGCAGTATGTCAAATATCTCCTCGCGTACTAGGCCCGACGCATCGTGCAGATCTGCGCCGCGGCAGAACTCCATTATCGGCTCTGGAACCAGCGAGCCCGAGTACACCACCGTGTCTGCCTGCTGGATCAGCCTCTTTGCCTTTACGGTGATCAGCTCCGGGTCTCCCGGCCCGCACCCCACAAAGTAGACCTTAGGCACGCTTTACCACCAGTATGGAGAAGTATTTGGTAGTCAAGGCGGAGGTGTCGGCCTCGCCCAGGGTGAGCCTTCTGATGATCTCGTGCTCGGTGCCCAGATCCTGGCCTATTGCAAATATCGAGCTGTCGGCAAAACCCGCCTCCCTCAGCAGCGTGACTACCTGATCAAAGTACCTTCCGTCCTTCAGGAAGACCAGCGTGTCTGAGTTCCTTGCGATCTCTTTGACAGCATCGAGGTTATAGCACGAGGGAATGACTGACATCTTCTCGGCGCCCTCCGCTAGGCTGATGCCCACCTTTGACGCAAACGTAAACATCGAGACGATGCCGGGAATGACAGATATCCTGATCTTCGGGTGCCTCTCCTTCAGCTCGCGGTGCAGGTATATCCACGTGCTGTACAGGTATGGGTCTCCTATGGTAAGGTACACGACCCTCCGGCCCGTCAGGACGGCATCGGCGAGGATCTGGGAGTTTCTCCTCCACGTCTCCTCCAGCACTGCCCGGTCCTTTGTCATGGGAAAGACGAGTTGCAGTATCTTCTGCCGGCCTTGGTCTATCAGCGGGGAGACGGCGGCCAGTGCAATGCTCGGCTTTCCCTCCCGGGCTGTGGGACACGCGATAACATCGGCGCCCCGTATCGCGTTTACCGCCTTGACGGTCAGCAGGTCAGGATCGCCCGGACCGCAACCAACGGCGACTAGCTCATGCATCCAGCTCCGATGTCACAATTCCTAATAAAAGTTAGAGCGGAATCGCCTGCCGGACGCAGGGGCCTGGTGGCCGCAGAGCCGCATCCAGCCTAGATGGACACGATCCTGTAGGATGTGGGGCTATGCCCTGGTGGCAGAGATTATGGTAACCGGGTTTCTTGCCAGCATCATCGTGCCGGTGGACGTCTTCCTGCTCTTTGCCACCGTGACCTGCGTTACGTCAACTGACTCGAACCGAAGCCGATCCAGTACGCCCAGCACTGCTGCCAACGTCTCTATCTGGATTACGCCTATGACGATCCGTCCGCCCGCCTTCAGCCGCTCCTCGCACAGCGTTACTATGTCTGCCGTGTCGCCGCCGGTACCGCCGACAAATATGCTGTCCGCGGCAGGCAGGCCTGCAACCTTGTCCAGCGCGTTACCCAGTATGACCGAGGCGTTGCCGACCGCAAACTTTGCCAGGTTCCGCTTTGTGAGCGTGACCGCGTCGGGATCGACGTCTATGGCAAAGACCCGGCCGCGCCCCTCCACCTGCAGGCCCGCCTCAACGCTGACAGAGCCGCTCCCGCAGCCGACGTCATATACGGTATCCCCGGAGTTTAGCCTTGCCTTGCTGATCTGGATGGCCCTGACCTCCTCCTTTGTTATGGGGACGCGTTCGGCCCGCTCAAACTCCGAGTCCGGAATCCCCGGCGTCTTGTGGTCCCACATCATGTAGCCCTATATGACAGGCGTGACAAAGCCGCCGCCGGATCCAGAGTTCACAAGCGTGTACGTGACAATCCACACAAACAGGTAGAGGAACACAAAGCTGCCAAGGCCGTTTGTTATCAGCTTCTTTCTGCCAGAGTGAAGCCGGATCTTCATGCTCTTGGCAATGATCACCGACACGATGAACACCGCTATCATAAACCCGATGGAGGTCCACCTCTTCTCCTCTACATCCTCAATGGACTCGAACAGGAATGTGGCAGACGCCCCGGCAATCACGGAAAGAACCACGCGCATCCAGAAGAGCCGATCCATCTTCCTTTTGGTCTCGGCCGCCTCGGCCACGGAGACTATGTGGCCTTTTTTGGATCGCATCGGCGGGGGCAGCCTTGTCTTCTCGGGCGGCAGTGCGTCTATCTCCTCGGTTGGCGGCGTCGAGTCGGCATCGTCTGCCGGCTTGTCGGCAGCGGTGTCTTTTATCTCTTTTTTAGAGTCCTCTGGGCCACCTGTCGGTTTGGATCTCTTTTTCTTAAATTTGGCCAATGTAAGTTTCTAGAGTGAGTTTAATGCGCCTTGTTTAAAATCTTTAGTCGCGCGCTGCCGCGGTAAGAGGTTAAGTCACTACAGTTTGATTAGGAGAGTGGTTCTACCTGGATATCTCTGTCCACTCGTGTAGATTTAGGCACAAATGATGACAGATACGACGGAATGTGAGAGTTTGGCCCATGCCCAACCTAACTCTCCATCAGGTATCGTGCGCGTTTCGGCCCAACACGGATCAGGCCTGAGTAAAAGTATAATGCGGGTGCGTCGGTTGCTGTTTATGGGACTAGCAGGCATAGAGCTGCGCTATCTGGTGGACTCGATCTCAGAGAAGATCGCGGGATACTATGTGAGCAACATATATGGAATCACAAGGGACAGCATCCTCTTCAAGCTGCACCACCCGGACCAGCCGGACATCTTTCTGATGCTTACCACGTTTGGCATGTGGGTCACCGAGGTGAAGATCGATCAGATCGAGCTCCACAGGATGACGCGGCGCCTGAGGGACGACCTGCTCAGGCTCAAGATAACCGGGATCCGGCAGGTGGGAACCGAGAGAATAGCATACCTGTCGTTTGGGGGCTTTGAGAGGGAGTTTGTGGTGGTGGCCGAGTTCTTCGGCGACGGAAACATCATACTGTGCAGCAAGGAGATGAAGATCCTGGCACTGCAGCACTCCCTGGAGGTGCGACACCGCACGCTCAGGGTGGGCTCGACGTACGCCCCTCCCCCGCAGAACGGGCTGAACGTGTTCGAGCTGTCCCAAGGTCAGATAGACGAGATTCAGAACTCCGATCTCGGCTGCGGCAAATGGGTGGGAAGAAGCCTGGGGCTGCCAGCCAGATACATCAAGGAGGTGTTTGGGCGCGCCAGAATCGACTCCACCCTGCCCGGAAGAGAGCTTGCGGCACGCCAGCGGGAGGCTATATTTGATGCCGTGCGCGGGATCGTCGGTGAGGTGGGCAGCGGCAGGCACGATCCCGTCATAATAAGAGGCGCAAGGCCCGAGGCCTGCCCCATCAGGGTCGCCGTGCCAGACGAGCTCGAGCCGGTGCCCAGCTTTGACCGGGGCCTTGATCTCATATTTACGGAGAAGATACTCCAGGAGGCAAGGTCGGCAAAGACTGCGACCGAGAGCGGCAAGATTGCGCAGCTGGAGAGCAGACTGAACGAGCAGAACGGGGCAATACGGCTTGTACAGGAGCGGTCAGATGCAATATCCGGCGTGGCAAGGCTGCTCTTTGCGCTGGTCTCACAGGGCACGTTCTCCATAAGGGAACCGCGCGCCGAGGCCGAGTTGAAGAGGCTGGATGCCCAGCTTGCAAGCGAGCGCGGCTCCACGATAATCAAGATTCTTGACGAGAAGATCAGGATTGATCCCAGCTCGTCCCTTCCCGCCATAGCCTCGACGCTGTTTGATGAGGCAAAGAAGCAGTCCGCTGCGGTACCCACCATAGAGAAGCAAAAGAGAAAGACGGAGCGGGAGATTGCCCGGCTCAAGAGCCAGGCGCAGGACGTTCAGGAGTCCGTCGGGTATGCCAACATCAGGAAGAAGAACTGGTTTGAGAGATACAGGTGGTTCTTCACATCCGACGGAAACCTGGCCGTGGGGGGCAGGGACGCGTCCTCAAACTCGTCCATCGTACGAAAGCACATAGGTAGCGGCGACAGGGTGTTCCACGCAGAGGTGTTCGGCTCGCCGTTCTTTGTCCTCAAGGATGGCCAGAGCGCGTCGCCTGTCAGCATAAACGAGGTGGCGCACGCAACGGTCTGCTTCAGCAGGGCTTGGAGGGAGGCCATGTATGGCGCCAACTCCTACTGGGTGGAGCCAGACCAGGTAAAGAAGGCGGCTCCCAGCGGGCAGTTTCTTCCAAGGGGATCGTTTAGCATCGGCGGGCAGCGCAACTTTGTCCGGGTGCCGACCCTGAAGCTTGGCGTAGGAATGCTCGAGAGAAACGGGGAGTACCTGCTGGAGTGCGGGCCGGCCGATGCGGTGAGGGAGAACTCCCTGTGGCATGCGGTGATCGAGCCCGGCGGCTCGGAGCCTGCCGACATTGCAAAGAGGCTACGGAGCGAGTTCATAAAGATCAACGAGGACGCGGCGGCACGGTTCAGCGTGGATGACTTTCTCCGGGTGCTGCCGGCAGGAAAGAGCCACATAACAAAGGTGAACCGGCGGGAGTAGGTTGGGGCACCGGTTTGCCGTCGATGCGATGCTGGGCAGGACTACACGGAAGCTGAGGATTCTGGGGTTTGATGCAACATACCAGTCAGATGCCGGGGACGACGCCCTGCTGGAGACCGCGGCAAGGGAGAACCGCGTTCTCATCACAAAGGATGCGGCGCTGTACCGCCGGGCGCAGAAGGCCGGCATTCTGGCGGTATGTCCTGCCGGGCGCGATCCAGTGGCACACACCCTGGAGATCGCCGCAAGGCTTGGGCTGGGGGATCTGAGGATCGACTGCAGCCGCGCCCGGTGCACCGTATGCAACGGCACCCTGCGGCGGGACGACGGGCCAGAAGTCGGGGCGGTGCCCGCCCGGATATCGGAGACCCACGACGTCTGGAGGTGCACTGGCTGCGGCAAGCTCTATTGGCACGGCTCGCACATTGACAACATGCGAAAGGCCCTAGCAGACGCTAGGGAAAGGAGACCAGGCCCGTGATCTCGCCTGTGACATCGGCAAGCCGTATCCGCCTCTGCTCCATCGAGTCGCGCTCCCTTATGGTGACGGTGCCGTCCTCCAGCGTCTGGTGGTCCACCGTCAGCGCGTATGGGACGCCGATCTCGTCCAGTCTCCTGTACCTTCTCCCTATGGCGCCCGAGTGATCCAGAAAGGCGTCGACCTTTGTCTTCAGGGAGTCAAACACCTCGTCGGTCTTCTCCCGAAGCCCCCCCTTCTTTACCAGCGACAGAACCCCCACGTGGACAGGCGCCAGGTACGGCACTATGGACAGGACCGTCCTCTCGTTCTCCCTGTCGTCCCTCAGGCTGTGCTCCAGAATCGTGTACAGGCTGCGGTCGATTCCCATGGATATCTCAAATACATGCGGCAGCACCTTCTGGTCGCCGTCCATCACCTCGAACTTTTCTTTGCTCTTTCTGGCATGGCAGCCCAGATCGTAGTCGGACCTGTAGTTGCAGGCGACAAGCTCCAGCCACCCAGTCGTGGTCTCCACCTCAAAGTCAAAGGCCGCCTCCGCATAGAACGCCTTCTCCTTGTCGCCCAGCCTTCTGAAGCGGCTCCGCTCCATGTCGATTCCGGTCTTCTGGTAGAACTCTGCCAGCATTCCAAGATAGTACGCCACAAACTCGCTGGGTACGGCACCAGACTGCACGGCCTCCCGGCATGTCATGGCCTTTGGCTCTGTCCCCGTCTGGATGCGGATCACGGTATCCTGTAGGCGCGCGAATTTTTCCAAGTCGTTCAGGTTGGCGGGGTTGCAGAACACCTCTATCTCTGCCTGGTAGAACTCCCTCAGCCTGAGGAGGCTCTGCCGCGGGGAGATCTCGTTTCTGAAGCTCTTGCCGGCCTGGGCTATCCCCAACGGAAGCCTGCCCCGCATGGTCTTGAAGATCCTGGGAAAGTCGACAAAGATCGACTGGCATGTCTCCGGCCTCAGGTATGCCTCCTCGCCGTCTGGGCCTATGCCCACCCGAAACATCATGTTGAACCTTCTGGCGGGCCCAAGATCGTGGCCGCACTTGGCGCACCTGATGCCGTTTTGCAGTATGGCCTGATCGAACTCCTCCAGCCCGGCGTTCTCCGGAATCTCCAGCCCTCCGGCCTCGGAGATCATCCTGTCCGCCCTGAAGGTGGCCCCGCACCCGGTGCACTTGACTATGGGATCCGCAAAGCTCTCCAGGTGCCCTGACGCCTCAAAGACGGACCGCGACATGATCTGGGAGCCGTCTATCTCGATCATCTGGTCGCGCCTCACCAGCTCCCTCCGCCACAGCTCAAGGAACTTGTTCTTTAGGCTCAGGCCGGTGGGGCCGTACTCCCAGAACCCCGCCTGGGAGTCGCTGTATATCTCGCAGCTCGGAAAATAGAACCCCCTCTCCAAGGCAAGCTTCATCACGCTGTCGTATCCCACGAATCTTGCCGCAACAAGCGGGTTAATTATGTTAACCCCTTGACTATCCTGATGTTTTCAAAGTCGTCCCGGGTGTCGTCTATGGGGGTCTCGAGTATGATGGGTATCCCCTTCTTGCCTGCCAGCCTTGCCACGGCCCCGATGCCCTCCATGCCGATGTGCCCGAGGCCTATGTGATAGTGCCGGTCCAGCCTGGAGCCCATCTCCCCCCTGGCATCGTTCAGGTGCAGGATCTTCAGGCGCTCAAAGCCCACGGCGTCATCAAACCTCGCAAACGCCTCCCTGACCGCATCCGGGGTTCTCAGGTCGTACCCGTAAACAAAGGCATGGCACGTGTCGATGCACACGCCAAACCGCTCCTGCGGCTCCAGCTGCGACAGGATGGATCCCAGCTGGCCAAACTCCGAGCCCACGGAGTTCTTCTGCCCCGCCGTATTCTCCAGCAGAATGGTCACGTCGTTTCTTACCCCGGCCGCCTTGGTGTATGCCATGACCAGCTGCCTGATGCCGGCCTCCTCGCCGGCGCCCAGATGGCTTCCCAAGTGCGTGACCAGGTACGGGATTCCCAGATCCCCGCACCGCCGGACCTCGCCGACGAGCGTGTCTACGGATTTCTGGTGCGCGTCGCTGTTTGTGGATGCCAGGTTGGGCAGGTATGGCATGTGGGCGCATGTGGCGTGCCGGTCGATGTCGCTTGCGTCGAGCTTTCTCCTGTACTCTGAGATCTCCGTCTCGCCCAGCTCCTTTGCCCTCCAGCCGCGGGGATTTCTGGTAAAGATCTGAAATGCAAGGCACTTCCTCTCGACTGCGTTGTCGACTGCCCTGTCCACCCCGCCCGAGATTGACACGTGGCAGCCGACCTTCATGTCCTTGGATTCTTCCCAGATAATTTAAACCAGCTTTTTAAGCGCAGGCGGGCAAACCGATTCATGGTCGACATAGGGTCTGTCGAGATGGCAAAGTACCCGTTTCTTCCCGATGCCGGTAGGCATCTTCAGGATCCCAGCTTTACCATAGAGAAGTTCGGCTCCGATCCCGATCTGAAGAAGATCATCGAGAAGGCATATGACAGAATAAAGCTGGCCGTCGACGGGGGCGTCGGCAAGTCAGAGATCCTTGAGGGGTATACGCTGGATATGGAGGTCTTCTCGTTTCTGATAGCCACGGTTCTGCTGAAGCTGGGAAGATCCGGGGCGCTCGTCAACAAGTTTGTCATGGCGGAATCGCGCAGGGCAGAGCACTATCTGGAGAGCGACCTCGGGGATCTTCGCGACACCGCCAAGGAGTATCCGGCCACAAAGATCATCGAGGATCTGTTCTCAGTAAGCATAGAGAGGCGGGGGCGGGACTTTGTGATTCCGATCCAGGACTATGTCCGCCGCTCCGTGTTCTTTCACGAGCTCCCGTGGAAGCTGGTCAACCGGCGGGTGGACGGCGGAAAGGTGTTTCTGAACCGGCACGAGGTGGTCAGGCTGATCAGGCAACAGCTGAACAGATACATCGCCGACAGGATCCAGTCTGCCGCCCAGCCCCCCATGCTGCCGAACTTTGAGGAGCCGGTGCGGAGGCTGGCCCTGCTGGCAAAACGGTTCTACACCGCGCCGATTGTATCTGTAGGCTATCCCCCATGCATCGAGCATGCCATCAAGGAGTTGGAGGACGGCAAGAACCTGCCGCATTCGGGACGGTTTATGCTGGCATCATACCTGCTCTCCCGCGGCACGCCCGTGGATGAGATAGTGCCTCTCTTCAAGAGCGCCCCGGACTATAACGAGAAGATAACGCGGTACCAGCTCAACCACATCGCCAGCGGGGGCGATGGCACAACCGGATACGTCTGCCCGTCGTGCACCAAGATAAAGAGCAACGATCTGTGCTTTGAGACCGCAGAGTGCCGCGGCATAACAAACCCGCTACAGTTCGGCAGGAGACGCACGCTGGATGAATGAGGACGACGCGGCGCTCCTAGAGGGGCTCTTCAAGAGGTACTATTTTGAGAACGTCGGCAGGATTCACGTGCCGCACAAGATGGGGCGGCGCGAGTTTGGATACCAGAGGTTCAACGGCGGCATGAACCGGCACCTGGCCATGAGGGACGACGGCGCCCTGCGCGTCATGCTGGTATCGAACTCGCCGTCTGACGTCTACTGCTCCAACGCATACTACTCCTTTCCGGACCTGCCGATGAACGAGAAGGACTGGAAGGGGGCGGATCTCATCTTTGATATCGACGCAAAGGATCTTAATCTGGAGTGCAGGGCGGGCCACACGGTGTACCGGTGCAGTGACTGCATGGCCGTATCCCGGGACGCGTCTGCCTGCCGCGCCTGCGGCTCTGCAAGGCTCGACTCCAAGTCGGTTGCCTGCAGGGACTGCATCGACGCGTCCAAGAAGGAGGTGCGAAAGCTGGAGGACATACTTGTCCGTGACTTTGGCATACCGGAGGGGAGCATCCGGGTATATTTTTCCGGGAATGAGGGGTTTCACGTCCACGCATACGCCCCGCACTTTGAGCAGCTGAACTCCAGGGAACGGGGCGAGCTGGTGGACTATATACGGTTCAACGGCGCCGTCCCTGAAAGGTTTGGGATGACAAGGCGGCAGCCAAAGAGGGATCTCCAAAAGACGCTTCCGGAGCTTGGGGATGCCGGATGGGCAGGGCGCGTGGCCAAGGGGATCTTTGTAAACAAGACGGGCCGCAAAAGGTTCATCTCGCAGATTGACGGCGATGCGTACGACAGCTACCAGAGGAGCCTCAGGGAGATCGCCGGCACGATAGGGGCCAGGATCGACCCGCAGGTCACCACGGACGTGCACAGAATCTTCAGGATGCCTGACTCCCTGAACGGCAAGAGCGGAATGGCAAAGGTGCCGTGCGGGGATCTTGACTCCTTTGATCCCCACGTGGATGCCTGCGTTCTGGACGACGGGCCGGTTACGGTCACGGCTAGGTGTCCTGTGGCCTTTAGGCTGAAGGGCCACGCGTTTGGACCGTATGACAGCGAGCAGGTGACGGTTCCGGGCTATGCTGCGGCATACATGCTCTGCAAGGGACTGGCCACATCGTCCGGAGCATGAGGCTGCATCGCGCCTGAGGCAGGTTCCCCAAAGCGTGTGCGCCCGAACGGAGAATGTGGCATCGCGCCGTCTGGAGACTGGTGCCCATATCGCCAGGACTGCACAGAACCAGAACTTCCAAGTTAAAAATGTCTGATTTGTACAATATATTATCAGGTTCTTCGTAAAACGCGGGCGGTGCCGGAACGATTCCGTTCTGGCACCGATTTTGCGACCCGACATGTTTTGAGACATGCCCGCGCACAGACTGAAGTTAGAGCGACTCCGCTTTGTTGGCAGTCCGGGGAAGGTTCGGTTCTCCGTCAGGGGGATTCGGTCTTTGCAGAAGGACAGGATCTGTGGTTAGGCGGAATGGGAACGGCAGTTCCACCAACTGTATTTCACAGAGTTCTGATAAACTTGATAAATAGCTGACTCTCTTTAGTTGTAATGACCCAAATTGAGACCCCATGCTCGCTTGAGAGTTTTAGAAAGTTTATCATGATCAGCACATGCAGCTCCTACGCCCCCAGGAGCTATCTGGAGGATTTTGAGGTCTTTCCGGAGAGGGACGAGAAGCTGGGCGCCGTATACGTGGAGGCGGCCGACAAGGTAACCCTCAAAAAGATCAGGGACATTACCTTTGTCAACGCCAGGGACGTTCTGGGAATCATATATACCTCAAAGAGCGGCAACACCAGCATGAAATGGCGGCAGATAAGGCGGTACAACGGCAAGGCAAGCGGCGAGGCGTCGTTAAACACCCTTGTCAACTTGGCCGAGGCCGGAGTCATCACGCAGGAGTGGGCGGAAAACTACGCGAGGAAGAAGGCCCAGGAGCAGACCTCAAACATAAAGAAGATTATTGGCTGACTCCTTTTTTTCTCCACCGCGTCATGAGGCGCCATGATCTGCAAGAGAATCAGCGACGGCTCGGTGGCGGTCACCGCCGAGGAGCCAGATGACCTGCTGACGTTAAGAAGGGTAATCGACAGGGACGACCGGGTGGTCTCAGACACCACCAGGGTGATAAAGCTCGACAGGGAGTACGCCCGCCCCGACAGCGGCCAGAGGGTCAGGATAAGGATAGCCTTGGACGTGGAGCGGGTCGGCCTGGACTACCGGCTGGACAGGCTCCGCATCCAGGGGGTGATTGCAGAATCAAACAATGAGGCCGTGCCCCGAAGGTCGCACCACTCCCTTGTGATAAAGCCAAACGACAGCTTCACGCTGACCAAGAGGACGTGGTCCGGCCTGCACCGGTCCCTGCTCAAGTCCAGCCAGGGCGGCGCGGGGTTCGTGCTGGTTGCAATAGACACGGGCGACTGCGGAATAGGAAGGCTGAAGGGAACCCATCTGCACACCATACCAAACATCTACTCCGGCTACAGCGGAAAGAGGTACAAGAGCTCGTTTAAGATCGAGGGGTTCTTTGACGAGGTCAGGGTGGCGCTAGCAAGCATGGTAAAAAAGAACGATGTCGTGATAATATTCGGCCCGGGGCAGACAAAGAACAGGCTGGCAAACCACCTCCAGGCATCCCGGCTTGGAAAGGGCCACCGGATTCTGGTCACCGAGGGTGTGGACTCCAGCGGCGAGGACGGGCTCTACACCTTCACAAAGTCCGACTCGATGAGGGAGGCAATATCGGAGAGCAAGCTGGCGCGCGTCTCATCGATCATAGACGAGATCATGACGCTGGCAAGCAAGAAGAGCGCCAGGTTTGCCATGGGGATCGAGGAGACCAAGAGGGCCGGCCGCCTTGGGGCCGTAGACTCCCTGGTATTCTCCGAAAAGCTCCTGCAGGAGACAGACGAGGACGCGGCCATCGGCCTCATCAACGAGGTTCAGGCCCAAGGGGCCAAGACATACAGCGTGGACTCAAGCACCGACGCGGGGCTGAGGGTAGACGGCCTGGGGGGCGTGGTGGCGCTCCTGAGGTTCTCCGTATCTTAGAGCGTGGACTCTGCCAACCACTTTAGGTAAGGCTCGTTTATCGAGGGGGCGGCAATCTCGATGACCTCCGGAACCTGGTACGGGTGAGTCTTCTCTATCTGCTCCCTGAGCCTGTCCTTGTTTGCCTGCGTGGTCTTGAACAGGGCCAGAAACTCCGGCGCGTTCTCTATCTTGCCCTGCCACGAATATATCGACTCAACCCGGGATATGTTGACGCAGGCGGCAAGCCTGTCCCGGACCAGCCTGTCTGCGATCTTGGTGATGGACTCCCTGTCTGGATACGTGGAGAGTATGATGGCAGGCTTCATACAAAACGATAAATGACGCAGTTAAAAAAAGTAACAGATTACCAGTGCTCGATTTCATCACGGAGAATGCCATCATCTATGTGCTCATAGCCTGGGTGGTGATGGTCGTAACGGCCAAGGGGCTGCGGCTGGACAGGTACGGTTTTGAGATCAAGGCATACAGCCTGGTCTACAAGAACCGGGGGATCCAGGATCTGCTGACCAAGGTACTGTCCAGGACCAGGAGAGGCATCGCGGTCTTTGCCGACCTCAGCGTGGTGGCGGGGTTTGCGATGATGGGTTTTGCGTTCTGGTTTCTGCTCTCAAACATATCAAACTTCTTTGTAGAGCCTAGTGCCTTTGCAGAGGTGACGGTGCTCATTCCCGGCGTCACTCTGACATCGTCCACTGCGATCCTGTACTTCCTTCTCTCCATTCCCATAGTGCTGGTGATGCACGAGGGGGCGCACGGCATAGTGGCCACTCTGGAGAAGATCAAGATCAAGACGGGCGGGTTTGCCATCTTTATAGCTCTGTTTGCGGGTTTTGTGGAGCCCGACGAGGAGGAGTTCGCCAAGGCAAAGAAGATCTCAAAGCTGCGGGTAATCGGCGCGGGCGCAACCGCGAACGTGGCATTCTCCATGGTTCTGGGCGCGCTGCTGCTCACCAATCCGATCTTTGCCATCGTCCTGCCGGAGCCTGTCGTGGGGGCCTTTTACGAGTCTCCTGACGGCATGATGGTACTCTCCATCATCGAGGGCTTTGGCGCGGAGAGCGCAGGCATGCTTGCCAATGACATCATAATCCAGATAGACGATGCCCGGATTGCAACGCCGGCGGACTTTGCGGGGCTTGATCTGTCGCCAGGCCAGACCGTGGATATTACCGTGCTGAGGGGAGAGGAGTCCCTGGAGTTTCCTGTGGAGATAATGCCGGCCCCTGACGATTCCGGGCGCGGCCTCATCGGAATCATGAGGGACAGCTCCTTTGCCTACAAGCCCATCTACGACTTTATCCAGTGGGACAACGCCCAGCTCTCGCTGTTTCTGCTGTGGCTGTGGATGATCTCGTTCTTTATTGGAATTATCAACATGCTGCCGCTACCCATACTGGACGGCGGCAAGTTCATCCACAGCATAATAGACCAGAAGGTTCCAGAGAAGAGCGTAAACGGCATAATGCTGGGGATCTACGCGTTCACGTTTGCCCTGTTCATCCTGAATATCGCGCTCTCCTACTGGAAGTCTGGCTGGATCAGCATCTAGGCGATCCTGCAATACCTGCCGGCTTGGAGAGATCCGCATCCAACCAATTTATTAGACACATAGCCGCGCCACACATCATGACTCCTGGCATCGGCCTGATGAAGAGACGGTTGGAGAACGAGAAGAGCGCCATATCTCTGGGAATGGCAGGCATCGCCAAAATGTATGACATCGGTCCGCAGGACATCAAGGCCTTGGAGACCAAATACCACGACGAGACCGGCGACTGGTACGTGGCCCTGGGCTGGCCCGGCAAGAAGGCGGTGGTGAGAATGGACTCGGTATTTGCCACCATCACCGAGATTAAAGAGATTTAATCCCGTACCGTGCCCGGTATACCCGTATGACTGACGCCATAGTGGCGGGCGGCTCCCGGGGAATCGGCAAGGCCATCGCCGCGTCCCTCCGGTCCATGGGATGCAGCGTGCTGGCCACCTCCAGGAGCCAGCTGGACACATCGGATCTTGACAGCGTACGGCGGTTTGCCGGGGAACACCCGGAGACCGACATCCTGGTTCTAAATACGGGCGGGCCGCCCCCCAAGGAGTTTGGCGATGTCACAGAGGAGGACTGGCTCAAGTACCACAACCAGCTCTTCGTGGGATTCTGCCTGCTGCTAAAGGGCATCGCCGTGAGGGACGGCGGATACATCTTCCTGATTAGCTCCGGCGTCATCAAGGAGCCGAACCCCAAGCTCGTGATATCTGGCGCCTACAGGGCCGCGTTCTCCAGCGTCTTCAAGGTGCTCAGCAGGGAGTTTGCCCGGAGGGGCGTCAGCTGCATAAACATCGCCCCCGGCCTAATCGACACGGACCGCACCCGGGAACTGTTCCAGGATGTAAGCGGGCGCGCCGCATCCCTCCCCATGGGACGGATGGGCAGGCCGTCGGAGATCGGGGATTTTGTCCGGGGCATAGTGCAGAGCAAGATAGGATACCTGTCAGGCGTCACCATAAACTTTGACGGCGCAGACTCGGGGCACATCTTTTGATGGCGGCCGCACGGCGGTGGATCTTGAGCTGGAGCTGTGGCCTGGTTCGACCAAAAATCTGAAAAATTACGTTGCTACTTTCTGAACTCTACGTTTGGCGCGTCATGGTTGGTGGATATCACCACAAGCCCGCCGTCGCGCATCTGCTGAACCAGCTGCATCACCTCTTTCTCCACCTGGTTGCGCCGCAGACCGGTCCGCTCTGCAAACACGTCCACCAGTTCTGTGATCCTCCTCTTGCCGTTGCACGACTTCCAAAAGTCCACGATGGCTTGGTTTACCATGAATCCCTGCTCGTGCTCGTTTGTCAGCACCATCGAGCCGTCCTCCTGCTTGACCAGCTTGCCCACCCCCATGGGGCATTGCGGTCTTGTAGTCCACGGGGGCCGGCGTGGCCATTCCGCCGCCCATCTGCTTCAGGGTATCCTTGGCTGCATCTGACATCTTGTCCATGGTCCATGGCGGATCCCAGACTACATCCACATTGACTGCGTTCACGCCGGGAACCTTTTTTGCGTATCTGGTCACATCAGACACCATCGTGTCATGAAGGGGGCAGCTCTGGGTTGTCATGGTCATCTTTATGTTCACGTTGTTGTCGGCTGCCACGTCTATTCCGTATATGAGCCCCATGTCCACTATATTGATTGGAACCTCGGGATCCATGCACTGCCTGAGGGAGTCTCTCACTGCTTTAGTTGTTACCACACCCATAGTCTACAAAAAAAACAATAAAAATTTTTAGTTTTTGCGCCCGAACAGCTCCCGGATGGATCGCTCGTAGGGTGGGGATACCACGCCTCTCTCGGTTATGATACCCGAGACCAGCTCCGGCGGGGTCATGTCAAATGCGGGGTTTATGACGCCTATGCCCTCGGGGGCGGTCATCCTATCTCCCGTCCCGGTCACCTCACTTGGCCGCCTCTGTTCTATGACCACGTCGGCAGGATCGCTCTCCATGTCAAAGGTGGAGAGCGGCGCCGCCACGTAGAACGGTATGCCGTGCTGTCTTGCCATGGTGGCCACCTGGTAGGTGCCAATCTTGTTGTAGACGTGGCCGGTTCTCAGTATGCGGTCTGCTCCCACTATAACCTTGTCCACCAGGTGGTTTGCCATCGAGTAGCCCACCGCCGTGTCTGGGATCAGGCTGACGTCTATGCCATCGTGTTTGAGCTCGAATGCCGTAAGCCTGGAGCCCTGTTGCACTGGCCTTGTCTCAGTAGCGATGACCCTGATCTTCTTTCCTGACTCCCTGGCGGCGCGGATGACACCCAGGGCGGTACCGTATGCCACGGTCGCCAGGGCGCCAGCGTTGCAGTGTGTCATTATGGTGTCGTCCCCGAATAGTCCCGCGCCGTGCCTCCCCATGCTCTTGTTTATTCGGATGTCGTCCTCTGCCATCTGCTTTGCGGCGTCCAAGACGGAGCTGCGGGTGTCACCCACGCCGGTTCCCCGTCTGGCTACTGCCATTATGTGATCCAGGCCCCACTTGAGGTTTATGGCCGTGGGCCTTGTCTCAAAGAGCGTCCTCTGCGCAGTCTGCATGTCTTCAACCAGCAGATCCTTGGTTGCGGCATCGCTGTGCAGCGCCGCCAGGGCCAGGCCAAAGGCTCCGGCCACCCCTATGGCCGGCGCCCCACGGATCACCAAGTTCCGTATGGCATCTGCCACCTGGTTGTAGTCGTCATACTCGACGAACGCAAGCTCGGTCGGGAGCTTTGTCTGGTCTATCATCACCACCCTGTTGTCCCTCCACTGGATGGTCCTTATCGGCTGCGCGTCTGCCATGTACGACATACCCGGGTGAAATATTCTAAATGAATCTTGGGTTGCCCGGCGGGGCCGTTACCCTATGTTCTCAAAGTGCGCGCTCTTCCACAGGTACCATGCCGCCACGGTTCGGTAGGGCCTCCATCCCTCTGCCAGCCTTATCATCCCCGCTTCGTCGGTAATGCCGTACAGCGCCTGGAACCTCTTCCTTATGCCCAGATCCCCTGTAGGCAGCACGTCCTGCCTGCCCAGCGAGAAGATCAGAAACATCTGCGCGGTCCACACCCCGACTCCCTTGATGCCTGTAAGCTTGTCGATGACCCGCTCGTCAGACATTCTGGAGAGGGATCGCATCCTGAGATCCCCCGACTCGATCCGGCCGGAGATGTCCCGGATGTAGCCGATCTTCATTCCCGAGAGCCCTGCCTCCCGGAGTCTCGAGTCTGGGGTTACGATGACCTGGCGCGGGCTGGGAAACCTTCCCGAGTAGATGCCGCGCATGTTCCTTAGAATCCCGTCTGCCACGCGCCCCGAGAGCTGCTGGGACACTATCGCCTCCACCAGGGCGCGGAATCTGTTTGGCCTTGTCTTCAGGCTGTATGCGCCGACCCGGTCTATTATCCCTGCCAGCGTGGGATCCCCCTTCAGGTGCCTGATTGCCTCCTGGTGCGTCATAGCTTCAGGATGGAGAGCAGGGCATCAAAACTCTTTCTTGTGGGTTGCTGCTTGTATCTGCGCAGTCCTGCGATGATCTCTTCCTGTGGCGGCACCCGGTATAGCCTGCGCGCACTCTTTGATATCGCAGAGCCGATAAAGATCCCCTGTGTCGCCGAGGTCACGTTTGATACGCGTCTGTGCATGCTTGCGCTCTCAAAATCTATCATGGTGGCTCTGGTTCCCGCCACAATCACGTGCTTGAGGAGGCTGCTCAGCTCGCCGTGGTCCAGGCCCGCCTGATCCAGCCTGAAGCAGTCCTCCAATACCTGGCGCGCCGTCCGCTTGAGCGCCGCAACGACCCCCCTGCCCGAGAGGTTCTGCACCCACCGGCCTATCCTCTCACCGTCCAGAAACTCCATGACCAAAAAGTCCCGGCTGCCAGAATGCAGGGAGGGTCCGACACCCGCACGGTTTGCCTCCCTCAGCAGCCTGGCCTCCTCCTGCAGCCCGTCCCTCTGGGAGTCGAGGCGCCTGATCTTCAGCGCCACCGCGTCGCCTGGTGCGGTCTCTGCCAGCACCACCAGCCCCACGTAGCCCTTTCCCAAGATGGACACCCTTCCTACCCGGGTGCCCCCCTCAAAGGAGACACCGGAGATGCCCAGCCGCTTCAGCTCGCGGATCCTGGATGCGATCTGCCTTTTGGCGGCCCGGGGGTATCCGAGAATTCCCGAGTACGGCTCCTCGGACAGGCCATCAACGGGAACAAAATATCGCAGCATCAGTTGACAGGGACTCCATCAGTGACGCTTTAATTGGTTTTGGCAGCCGGATCCCGCCGACAGATATCTCAAACCCGTCCGCGACGTCCCTCTGGAGGCCCTCAGGCACGCCGGACTTTCCAAGGCCGCCGGTAAGCAGTCGCCTCAGGAAGTTTTTTGCGTTGCCCCCCGCGCGACGCTCAAGCGAGCAGACCCGCCTGTTCTCGGCAAGCCACATCAGCTTGGAGCGCGCCGCATTCTTCGAGACGAACCTGCCCACATCCGAGTCGCAGAAGAACTCCGGGCCCTCCCTTACGCGGTACCCTGGGAGCTGCAACGATTCGAGGAGGAAGAAGAGAACCCCCAGACCCTGCTCGTCAGTCAGCGCGCCGCTTCTGATCACGTTGAATCCGCCCTGGTCCAGCTGGACGGCAACCGCGTTTGATGCCCTCTTGATCTGGCCCCAGATCATGTCCGGGCTCCGTGCCCTGTACCGGAACCTGATTGTGATGCAGTTCTTGAGTATCTCCACATCCGTCCTCCTTTTGGTCGCCTCAAAGAAGGATGCCGAGGGGCCCCTCAAGAATGCCCTGCACAGCAGGACGAACCTGCCCATGTTCCCGTTGGATATGGCGGCCGCCAGGTTTCTCTGCGGATCAACAGGGTCGATGATCACAACGGGTGTGTCAAATTTTTTGGGCGTCTTCCCGACTGTCCAGCCGGGACAGGCACCGGCAAACCCCCTTATGACGCCCTCAAAGCTGCCAAAGTGCAGCACCAGCACCTCGGTCACGTAGCCGCTGAAGCCCTGCTTGGAGATTTCAGAGCCGTACAGTCCGTTGCACCTGAGGAACTGCTTCAGCAGCCTGATCTCGCACTTCATGGGCTCTGAGAGTCGATCCTGCATGAACCTGGTGTGGAACGGGGTCCTGTCTGCGGCGCTCTGCCACTGGCCCTCCTGCACGTCAAAGCACGGGACGACGTTTATCTTCGTGCCCCGTATGACGGCCTCGACGAATGGGTGCTCGGAGTATCTCACGTACGGTCCGAACTCGTCCAAGGCGGCAAAACCCACATCGTGTGCGGCATCTGTGAACCTGTCTCTGGGAGTGGACCTGTCGAACTTGACAAGTATGTCTACATCTGCCATCTCAGACAGCCATGTGCCCTTTGAGAGCGAGCCCCCTAGCGCAACCTCCTGTATCTCCGGGTACCTCGCGGTCTCTCTGTTTATCAGATCAATGGCCAGCCCGGCGATCTTTTTCTTCTCGTCTTGGCTGGCGGCAGACGGCTCGACGATCCTGCGGGCCTGCGCTATGACCGACTCGACACTCATGCACTTATCACCTGCAGATCCGAGTATCGGGGGCCTTGGGGGGTCAGCACGCTCTGCTTGAGCTTTATCTCGCTTATTATGCAGGCCCCAAACCCGGCATCGCCGTACCCGGCCAGATCCTCCGAGACGTCGACCCGGTTCCTGACCCTGAAGACGGTAACATGCGGCACAAACGGCCTGTCATTGCGAAAGTTCAGGGGCAGCAGCCTGTCGCAGACTGCTCCCGCAAGGGATGTCAGTCTGCGGCCCCCTATGGGGTCGGTGCCGATCCAGATGATTCTGGGGGATCGTGTGTTTGGGAACGCGCCCACGCCAGCAAGCTTGATCTCAAAGGGCTCGAAGGCTATCGTGCCCAGCGAGTCCTGCACCTGCCGGTTCTGCGACTCTGAGATCTCCCCCAAGAATATCAGCGTAAAGTGCAGGCTGTCGGGCCCGATGGCCCTGGCTCGGACAGGAAACCCGTCCTGGAACTCAGCGATGGCGTCCCGGATGTCCGGATCGGACACCTCCACCGCTACAAAGGCGCGCATGAAATGCCTAAGGGTATATGTTTATAATGATTTACGGTTAGCGCACTAGTCAACTTGCCAAAACTGATCGTCTGCCTTACCGGGATGCCTGGGGCGGGCAAGTCTACGATTGCAGACGGGCTGCAGGCCCGCGGCTATGAGGTGGCAAACATGGGCAACGCCGTAAGGGCAGAGGCCAGAAGGCGGAACCTGGAGCCGACGGGAGAGAATCTGGGATCGCTCATGCTAGAGCTCCGGGAGAGGAACGGGCCTGGGGCGGTGGCCATGCTGATAGCGCCCCAGATCCGGAAGGCCGGAACAGATACAGTCATAGTGGATGGAATTCGATCCAACGCCGAGATCGAGGTGCTCCGGAGGCTTGGCAACGTCAGGATTCTCTCGGTTCACGCGTCCACAGACACCCGCTTTGGCTTTCTTACCAGGCGCAGAAGAGCAGACGATCCCAAGACTCGTGCGGGCTTTCAGAATAGGGACGACAGGGAGCTGGGGGTAGGCATCAGCACTTCCATTGCGCTGGCAGACGAGACCGTCTCAAACAACAACATGAGCGTCGACGGGCTGGTCGAGATGGTTCACGGCATAATTTTACGCTGGGTGAGACGGGATGAGGATGCCAGAGTGTAGCTGTGTGGTGTCCTGCCACTGCCCGGTGTACCCGTCAGAGGATCCGCAGAAGGTAGTGCGCGCGGTATCGCAGATCTTTGAGGGCGTCACGGTCACGGCTGGCCCGGACGGCGCCGGATTCAGATCCGACGGGCCCGAGATCCTGCAGAAGATACGGGATGCCACAAACTCCCGGCGAAGCCACAAGCTGTACAGGAGGCACCTTGAATCAAACCTGCACGGCGACTCGACCTGGCTCTATCTCAACAAGCAGGCGGCCTGTGCCGGCACGATAGCGCTCTGTTCTGGCGTCGACGAGTCTCCGCTGGGCCCGATCAAGGTCACGATACAGTCGCCTGACATTGAAGAGGTAATCCGGTGGCTGGCCTCTGACCCGGCTGCGCCGTAGCCTCCGGACTTGGCAGGCCCGAAAGACCGGTGGCGTATGCGCAAAGGGCCGCCACATCCCCAAGTGGAATCAGCTCAACAAAAATCAAGCAAGTTTGACCAAAAATTTTAGCTCTAGAGTAAAAAAGAAAGTTGCCGAATTGGGGATGAAAAGATGCTCCGTTGGATAATTATAGGTGTGGTGTTGGTTGTAGGCGCGTTCGTCTTCTTTCCGCTCACAGACGTGATAGCGGGTATCAGCGTGGAGGATATTGATGACAGGCAGGAGATCGCAGACGTTGCGAGCCAGATGGAAGACGGGATAGTAACCTCGCTTGATACGGTCGATGAGAGGGCAGTCGTCCTGCAGGAGGACACGATGGCGTTTGTGGAGGACACTGGGGTGCAGGAGTGGCTGATTGACCCCATACAGGATGCGCTCTCTGGAGATGCCGGCGGCGATGCCGCGCCGGACAGCTAGGCGCGCCTTTCGGATCCCTGCCACATGTAAGCTTGGGGAATTAATCTTGTGTGCGCAAGATGATACCCATGTCCGTGTTCGGGCACCCGGATGCGGGCCAGTCTACTCTATCTCGATCTCCAGAAGATCCTCGGCGGCGACCACCGAGCCGTGGACCGCACCCGCCTCATCAACTAGCGCCTGCGCGTCGTCGTACCTTGCCGAGAAGTGTGTCAGAACCAGGTTGGACACGCCCGCATCCCTTGCCAGGGTGGCCGCCTCTTTGGCCGTGGAGTGAAACGTCTTTAGCGCCTTGTCCCCCATATCATCCATAAAGGTGGAGTCAAAGACCAGGTAGTCGCATCCCTGAAAGAACTCCTGCAGGGGGCCGGTGGGTCTGGTATCGCCGGAGACTCCGATCTTTTTGCCGCGCCGAGACGGCCCGAGGACGTCCCCGGGCTTTACAACACGGCCGTCCACCGTAACATGCTGCCCTGCCTGCAGCCGTCCCCACATCTCCCCCCGGGGCACCTGGAGTTCCTCTGCCCGTTCGCGGTTAAATCTTCCCGGCCTCGGCCGCTCCTCAAAGACGTACGAGTACGCCTCGACAGAGTGAGCCGCCCTGCACGCAGATACCACGTAGGATCTCTCGTCTGCCACAACGCCGTCGCTGACGGGGTTGATGATTACGGGAAACGACACCCCAAAGTTCAGTATACGGATGTTTGCGGCCAGAAACTCGTCTATGCCGGCGGGGCCGTATATCTCCAGCCCCTGGCTCCGCTTCTTTAGAGACATGGTCTGCAGCAGTCCCAGTATGCCGATGCAGTGGTCGCCGTGCAGGTGCGTCACAAAGATCTTCATGGGCTTGTTCCAGCCCAGGCCGGATCGCAGGTATGCCATCTGCGCCCCCTCGCCGGCGTCAAACATCAGCACCTCGCCCTCCCTTTCAAGGCAGACACACGACAGTCCGCGCCCCCGGGTGGGCAGGGTAGCCGAGGTTCCCAGGAATATGAGTCTCGTCTCCGTCACACCCCTACAAGGCCGAACCTAGCAATGCGCCATCCCTTTTATGATCGCCCCGGATACGTCCACCACGCCGGCAGGGCCGGGAACCGTGTTGGTGCCGACAATTTCAGAGACACCAGCATCCATTATCCGCTGTCGGGCATCGCCCACCAGCAGCGCATGGGTGCACGCCGCAAAGATTCTCCGGCACCCGCGCCCACGGAGGAGTTCTGCCGCCTTGGCTATGCTGCCCCCGGTGCTTATCATGTCGTCTACCAGTATCACATCCCTATCTTGGATTATGTCAGGAACCGGGGCAGATACGCTGACGCTGCCGGTGTTCTTGTCCCGTTTTTTTTCAAGCGCGATAAAATCATGGCCGCACAGTCCGGCAAACCCCTCTGCCCTAGCGGCGCCCCCGGCATCAGGTGATACCACCAAGGGGTCCTTCAGGCTCATCCCCTCAAAGTGCCTTGCCAACTCGGGTATGGCAGTGACGTTTCTGGCACCGGCCCCGAAGTGGTCCAGGGCGGTCTTGCTGTGGATGTCCACCACGATCAGCCTTGAGGCATCGACTGCCCTGAAGAGCCTTGCGATGGCTTGGATTGCCACTGCCTCTCCGGGAAGAAACTCCCTGTCCTGCCTGGCGTATCCCATGTATGGGATTACGGCCGTAACATCAGAGGAGAACTCCCTGGCCTTTGCAATCATGAGCAGCGCCTGGACCAAATTCGAGTCAACGGGCGGGCACAGGGACTGTACCACCACCGCCCTTCCGCTCTCCGGCGTTGCGCCAAAGGTGATCTTGCCCTCACCGTCGGGAAATGTCCTCAGGCCGGCCCTGATGAGCGGTGCGCCGAGTCCCGTCGCCAGGCTTTCTGCCAAGCCGGCCGATGCATCTCCGGCAACAACTGTCACGCCGTCCAATGTTACAACGGTTATGAGGACACTCTTAAATTTTGAGAATCGGCGGCGATGCGGCACAGGCGCACCTACTCGTCGTCTCCTCCCTTGCCTATGTCTCCGTAGCCATACTCATCCCTTACCTGCGTGCGCTCGTCCTTGAGGCGGGCGATCTCCTCGGCCTCACGATTCTCGTCGCCCTGGTATATGGTCCTGATGGGCCAGGGTATCCTGATGTCGTACTTTTTGAACTCCTCGTACATTATCATGCGCAGGTCAGTCTTGACCTTGAACTGGGAGCCAAAGTCGCGGACGAACACCCACACCGAAAAGTCCAGTGACGAGTCGTTGAACGCGTTGAATCTCACCACCGGGTGGTCGATATCCACCACTATGCCCTTGTCACAGCCGCAGCTGGGCTTGTTCTCACCCAGGTACGGACACCTTCTCTGCACTACGAGGTGCCTCCCCTTGTAGTCGATTGCCTCCTTCATGGCCCGCCTGCCGACTTTGACCAGTATCGCCGCAACCCCCCGGGGGTTGTTCAGGTACGATACCCCGACGTCCACAACTGCCGGCACCATTCTCAACTCCTTGGTGTAGTTGATGATCTGGGCGCTGACCAGCTGCCGTGTGGGAATTATGGCAAAGGACTCGTTGAGGCCGTGGCGTATGTATGTGACCCTGGCGGTGATCTTGTGGACGTAGCCGTTATACCCGCTCTCTAGCTGAATCCGGTCACCCTCGCCGACGATCTTGTCCTTTCTGATCATGATGTACGCAAACCAGTTCTGCATGGTCTCCTGTAGCGCCAGGCCCAGCCCAATGGCAAAGCCTCCGGTGGCCGTGGCCAGCACGAACAGATCCACCCCCCACGAGCTCACCACGCCAAGAATGACCGCCGCAAAGATCGCTATGGGAAGTATCTGGCCGATCGACTTGGGCAGATCCTTGCGTATCTTGAACGCATAGCCTGGTGGCCTGTAGGCCGCCACGATCGGCCCAAAACCGCCAATGCGCTTCTCCTCGCGCCAGGTGTCTATCGGATAGATCTCTTCCGGATCCTGGCCCATCTTCAGCTTGCGGCCTGACTCGTTGTTGTCCGAGAGGCAGTCCTCAAGATACCTGTTGTACTTGACCCTCTCTGACTTCTTCCATTCCTCAAAGGGATCGTCTGTAAGTTTTGTGTAGCTTCCGATCTGGAGCCCTTTTGCGGTGTGAAACGCCTCCAGGGATCTTCTTCCCTCCTCGGTCTTCAGTTTTTCGGCAAACTCCTCTGCGGCGATCTCTGATGGGGCGTGCGCCGGGGGGTTCCACCTGAACAGCCGGTGAAAGAGATCCCCGTCGTCGTCCCTGAACCCTCGCAGACCCCGCCAGCTGGCAAAGTCCTCCTGCTCTAGTATCGACTTTGTTCTCTTGTTGAGTATGATGGGAATCAGCTGGGCCACGGTATACCCTACTACCAGCACGTTCACGCTGTTGAGTATCCTTGCAAAGGTTTCTGTGGCCGCCGCGTCCACCCCTGTCCCGAGCGCCGCAGTGCTGAAGAGCTCAAAGAACTGAATGTAGGCGTTGATGGATGAGAACAGGACGATTGCAAAGAGGGGCATCACCAGAACCATGATGAACTTGGAGAGGTGCGGGCGGGCATAGCTGATCTTGCGCGATTTGAGCCGCTTCGAAAACTTTCTGTACGCCACGGCGATTCCCAACAGCCCCAATACCAGTGCGCCAAGAGCCACCTGAAGCGACTCAGAGGCGGTAACCAGCTGCCAGAGGCCGGCAAACTCGCCTGCCTGCTGCGCCACGGTTCCAATTACGTCGTCTTCAGCCATGATGTTATCACCTGTGTGCCACCACACTAAAATATCAACTGTGTGGCTACAACTCCGCAGAGCCTTGCGCGTCCTGCAATATCCTTCGCATGCCCACGCCCGCGCAGAAGACGGGCAATGCCCCATATGCGCGGCGCGTGCAGCCAAAAGCTTCCATTTGGGCACGGGCATGCGCGCCTGCCATGGTTCCCATGTCTGGCGCGGCCAGCAGTCTGGCACCGTCTGCCGTGTGCGGCCAGGCCGCATGCGCACCAAGATATCGCATTGTCGCATCTGTCATTATTTACATCCAGATCTTCACGAAACGGACAGAAGCGTCCAGACAGGCCCAGTTCTCCGCCGCCCGCCGATCTTAACATTTAACAACCGATACTTTACAACATAATGACATGTTACAGGAAACGGTATGGGACACCGGCAAGCCCCCCTCGATAAAATCGTATACCCTAGGCAACTTCCGCGGCCTGCCCCAGATCCAAAAGCTCACAGAGGAGCAGCGCTTTGAGATGGAGGTGGTCGGAAACGTCCTTCCCTTCAAGGCAAACAACTACGTGGTAGAGCAGCTGATAGACTGGAACGACGTACCCAATGACCCGATATTTGTCCTGACGTTTCCGCAGAGAAACATGCTCAAGGAGCGCCACTTTGAAAGGATGGCCCAGACGCTCAGGGACGGGGCGGACAAGAAGACCGTGGCGGCCGTTGCAAACGAGATACGCCTGCAGCTAAATCCCCACCCCGCAGGCCAGCTGGAGCTCAACGTGCCGGTCCTAAAGGACGGCACCCAGCTTTATGGAATGCAGCACAAGTACAAGGAGACCTGCCTGTTCTTTCCCAGCCAGAGCCAGACATGCCACGCATACTGCAGCTTCTGCTTTAGGTGGCCGCAGTTTGTGGGAATGGATGAGATGAAATTTGCCATGAGGGAATCAGACCAGATGGTTCAGTACATCTCAGAGCACCCAGAGATCTCCGATGTCCTGTTTACCGGGGGCGACCCCATGATAATGAAGGCCCGCATCTTTGAGACATACATAGACGCGCTGCTTGACGCCAACCTTCCAAACCTCAAGACGATCAGAATAGGGACAAAGGCTCTGGCATACTGGCCCTACAAGTTCATTACAGACAATGACGCAAAGGAGACGCTGGGACTCTTTGAGAGGGTCACCGGCAGGGGGCTGCACCTGGCGCTCATGGCCCACTTTAACCACCACGTCGAGCTGTCCACTCCCGCCGTCAAGGACGCAATAAGGGTGGTCCGGGCGACTGGAACCGAGATCAGAACCCAGTCGCCCCTGCTGTCCCACATCAATGACGATGCTGGCGTCTGGGCAAAGATGTGGAGGGACCAGGTTCAGCTGGGATGCATACCCTACTACATGTTTGTGGTAAGGGACACCGGCGCCCAGCACTACTTTGGCATATCGCTGACAAGGGCACACCAGATCTTCAGGGACGCATACAAGCAGGTAAGCGGGTTGGGAAGGACGGTCAGAGGCCCCAGCATGTCTGCCACCCCGGGAAAGGTACAGGTGGAGGGCACGCCGGTGGTCGCAGGCAAGCGCGTGATAGCCCTGCGGTTCCTGCAGGGACGTAACCCGGACTGGGTACAAAGGCCGTTTTATGCAGAGTATGACGAGGGCGCGATCTGGCTGGACGACCTCAAGCCAGCGTTTGAGGACAAGTTCTTCTTTGAGGACGAGCTGAAAACAAGATACTCGGGTGCAAGAACCCTGGAGAAGAGCTAGCTCCGTAGTGGTTTGGGACGGGTAGGAATCATTCGTGTGCAGAGTATGATGCGGCAATTCAACCACGTGAACGCGGGATCCGGTAGCTGCCGTACGGGGGTGTTGCACTAGTGGACGCCAAGGGTGTTTTGGATGCTGTCGAGAAACAGAACATCACGTTTTTTGACTTTTGGTTTGTGGACATCTTCGGCGAGCTGCACCGCGTAGGGATGCCGTCGTATGCAATAGACGAGGAGAGCTTCCGGCACGGCCTTGAGAAGCTGGATGCCAGCTCCATAGTGGGATTCAAGCAGATCAACCACTCAGACATGATACTAAAGCCGGATCCGGGCACTTTTCAGATCCTGCCTCCGGATTACGACAACGGCCAGAGAAAGAACGCGCGCATGATCTGTGATCTGTACGAGAGCAACACATCGTCGACGTCGCGCTACAACAGGGACTCCCGGGGCATAGCCCACAAGGCGGCCGAGGCGTTCTCCCAGAAGGGAATAACACACACCAATTGGGGGCCGGAGCTCGAGTTCTTTGTGTTTGATGCGATCAACGTGTACCCGTCGCCCTTTGCCGCCACCCACTCCTACGGCGGCTCGGGTTACTCGATCGAGTCAAAGGAGTCGCCCTGGGCCAAGGGAAACGTAAGCACCGCCATAGCCATCAAGGAGGGATACTACCCGTCGCAGCCAAAGGACACACTGGAGACGTTCCGGAAGGACGTCTGTGACGATCTCTACAAGTACTTCGGGATCAGGATCGAGGCGGAGCACCACGAGGTTGCGACATCGGGCCAGTGCGAGATCAATCTGGCATACGGTGAGATGAAGGCCATGGCAGACAGCATAATCACGGTAAAGAACGTCGTCAAGGTAAAGGCAAAGCGAAGAAACACGGTCGCAACGTTCATGCCAAAACCGATCTTCGGGGACAACGCCTCTGCCATGCACATGCACCAGAGCCTCTGGAACGACAACATCAACGTCATGTTTGACCCCGATGATCCGGTGGCGCAGCTCAGCCAGACGGGGCGCTACTACATTGGCGGAATTCTGGATCACGCAAGGGCGCTGTGTGCGATCTCAAACCCCACCACCAACTCCTACAAGAGGCTGGTGCCTGGGTTTGAAGCCCCGGTGCACCTGTGCTGGGGGATAGGCAACAGATCCGCCGCAATCCGGGTTCCCATGTACAACAGGAACCAGGAGCGGAGCAAGAGGATAGAGTACAGGGTGCCGGATCCCACCGCGAACATCTACCTGCTGGAGGCGGCGCTTCTGCTGGCGGGCTTGGACGGGATAACACGGAAGCTGGATCCCGGCGATCCGGTGGATGAGAACGTCTACAAGCTCTCTGCAAGCAAGAGGCGGGAATACGGCATAGGTGCCCTGCCGCTGTCGCTCAAGGGGGCGCTGGACTCGCTCTCAAGCGACAACGGGTTTTTGGTATCCACGTTTACCAAGGACTTCTTGGACAGGTACATGGAGCTCAAGTACGGCGAATACACCGCGTTTGCCCAGACCCCCACACCGTGGGAGGTTTCGATGTATGCCGACAGCTGAGTGGTACACCCAATGAAATAACGCAAAAAAACCACTCTAATTTTTTATATCAAGGGGGTTCAAGCACGCCGTATGCGCGTCTGGATGCTTGTGGTGTTTGCGTTGGCGCTTGCCCCGCTGTCCGGGGCGCATGCCCACACGGTTGATGCCATCGACGACAAGTACAGGATTGAGATCGGCTGGATGAACGAGCCTGTGGTGAGCGGGGAGACCAACGGCATCGAGCTGTTCATCAGCCCTCTGGTCCAGTGCCCCGGCGTCGAGCCCATCACATGTGCGGGAGCCCAGAGCTTTCATGACGGAATTGCGGGCCTTGAAAAGGATCTCAAGATCCAGATGGTCTACAAGACCGACAGGATTACCCTGCCGCTCAGGGCAGACCACAGTATAGACGGCAAGTACTATGCCTTTGTGGATCCCACGGTGGCAGGCTTTTACCAAGTCAACGTGCTGGGCAAGATCTCAGACACCGTGGTCAGCCTGTCGATGCACCCGCCCAAGGTGGACGAGCGGGAGTACATCGAGTTTCCAGAGAGGGAGAACCAAGATATCCTTGAGGCGCAGGTTGCCATCATGGCGGAGATCGCCGCCCTCAGGAACCAGACCTTGGAGATCAGCGAAGAACTTGATGTGGTGCAGGACGCGGTCAGGTCAGGCCAGGGTGTCAGCCTCACGTACGTGGCAATCGCCCTAGGCGGCATCGGAATAGACCGTCGCCGCCATAGCCATAACAAGAAGATAGCTCAGGTAGATATTATGCCGGCCTCGATCAGGAACTTTATTCCGTTTGCAAAGGTCTGGTCGTCTATCACACCCTGAGCCCACCACCCGGCGGAGGCCTTTACCCACCCGGGGATTGCCGCCGAACTGTCGCCGGCTTCTTGGATGCCAGACACCTGTATAACCTCCTGCCTGACCAGATACTCGATGCCGGCAACAAATGTCTGGTCGTCTATCACACCCTGAGCCCACCACCCGGCGGAGGCCTTTACCCACCCGGGAATCGCCACTTCCGGCTGTACCCTGTCAACTATTATCGGTATTGCGGTTCGGGCAAAGCGGTTGTCTGCCAAGTTCTCAAAGCGCACCGTTACGGGACCAGACGAGTTCTCCGGGATGGATACGACAAACTCGTTGCGCTGCTCTTGCGAGTCCGTACTTGTTCCGGTACCCGAGTAGATGACGATGTCGTCTCTGACTAACGACACGTCATAATCTACTGCCACCGGCGTGTTCCGCAGGAACACATCGCTGATGCGGAAGTGGAACACCGTCTCCTGGCCAGAGCGGATGTCTTTGGGTTCCCAGTCAAGGGTAACCTGGAACTGGCCGTTGGCAGTTATGGTGCCCCGGGGGCTGCCCTCTTTTGCCCTCAAAACAAGATCCATACCCTCTATGTCGTCTGCCTGCCTCTCGCTCAGATCAAACAGGTCGTTCTGGCCCAGCACTACATGTACTACTGTCTGGTTCTCCATGAAGCTGTCCACGGTAATCACCCGCCCCGGCACGGACAGGCCGTTGACGCTTGCGGAATACTCGGCAAACAGGAGATCGCCAAAGGTCTTTGGAAACGCAAACTCCTCGTGAACCGCCACCGTCTCGTTGATGTTCCCTGCGCTCCAGTCAAAGGGCATGTGAAATGACACCCCGTTGACGCTCGGGTCATACCGAAAGCCGGTAACCTCGTCATAGTATGTGATGATGCTCACCTCTGTAGTGCCAAAGTTTGGATCGTCGATCTCATAGAAGGTCTTCTGCGGTATAGAGAGGCCGACCTTGTACTCGATCGGCGGATCCAGTTGATTCGAGAACGACTCTGCGGTGGTAATCCTGACATCAAACTTGTACAGCCCGCCGGTGCCGAAGAGCTTGCTGTCTGCGTATATGATCTCCTCCTTTAGTCCCAGCAGGGAACCGAAGAGGCCGGAACGGTCGGCCTTCTCCAGGGTCACCTCTTCAGAGTCGCCTGGCCGCAGGGCAAAGACAAAGATCCCGTCGGGCGCCCGAAACGTTCCGTTAAACAGGAAGGTATCCCCCTTGTACCCCGTAATCTCAAAGGTCACGTCCCGCACGGTAACGCCGGTATCCACATCGGCAAGGGAGAAGGTGATCTCCTTTTCGGGGTTGTCAGGATCGTATCTCGATGAGCTGATCTCCAGTGCAACCTCCCTGTCACCCAGCTGGACGGGATCCAGAACCTCAGAGCCTACCCCGTGCCCGTAGGCAGCAGAGAACGAGACGGCCAAGACGGCGCACACCAGAACCGGCCACAGAGTCCTCATCTTCTTCCGGTCCTTCTTCGGATTATCAGCGTCAAGATCGTCCCTGCGGGGATCCCGATTAGTGTTCCCAAGCTGACATAGGGAGCGATGAAGAAGCTGCCCACCCATATTCCGCCGTCCGTAGTAAGTTCCATGAACGTCCTAGGCCGCAGCGTTGTGGAGACCGTCTCGGAGTCCGTAACCAGATCCCCTGCGTCGTCGCTGTATGTCAGATGGATCTGAAACGGCACCCGGTACTCCTCTGCTATCTCTTGGTCGGGGGTTGTGATTCTGGAGGTGACGCTGACGGAGCTGCCCTTCTGGATGGACGAGAAGGTGTGCAGGGTCTCTCCACGAAACTGGATGTCCTGTGGCGGGAGAATCTGCAGCTCCACATCAGATATGTCCGCGTCATCTGAGATGATCTCCACGGTGACCGGAAACTCCGCTCCCGTGAAGATCGGCTCGGGAATGGTGGTGTGTATGCTCACCCTGGCCCTCTCCTGCACCGTTATCGGTATGGCGATGCTCGTTTTGGTGGGCTCCTGCGGATCGTTGTTGCCGGCAAGAAGAACCTGGGAGTAGTCCACGTTGATAAAGCGTATGCCCGGTGACGCGTCGGGGCGAGCCGCAAACTCTAGCGTACGGCCGTAGGAGCCGCCTTGGTGCATTATTGGTACCAGAATCGAGTCATCCAGCACCGGTGTGAAGGCACTGCCAGCATCAAACGTCAGGCTGACATTCTGTTTGTCCTCCCATCCGTTGTTCTGGATCAGGACGGTGATGGGAAATGTTCTGCCGGCGACCACGCTGTCGGCATGGGTAATCTCCACATCCATGCCGCCTTCCATGGTCTGCCTTACCGTCTCGCCGTACGCAGCGCAGAAGCAGGCAGAAAGGGCAAATGCCGTCAGTATCATCGCGCCTCTCAATCTGGATCAGTAGGTATTGGTAGGCTTGGTTTTTCTACCTTTGGGAATTGTGCCGGAGTCGTGGGATCCGCCTTTTTCAGGGCGGACAAGAACGAGGCTGACAAAATCGTACAGTTCGGACCAAAAAGTTGTTGATTCATAAATAAGCTCATTACAAGTATCCTAAAATCGTGGTGATATGGTAAAGCAACAGAATCCCAAGGAGCAGTGCCCAAGGTGCGCCAAGGGAAAGATGGTAACAGACACTGAGTCAGGGGAGACGTTCTGCTCCAACTGCGGTTTCGTTCTGTCTGAGAAGCTCCAAGAGTATGGTCCTGAGTGGCGCTCGTTTACCCAGGATGAGCGCGGGGACCGTGCCAGGGCTGGAGCCCCCACCTCGCTTACGATGCACGACATGGGACTTGCCACCATAATAAACCCGATAAACAAGGACGCGTCGGGCAGGCCCCTCACGACGTCGATGAAGTCCACCATAGAGAGGCTGAGAACGTGGGACAGCAGGAGCCAGGTACATGAGCCGGTAGACCGTAACTTCCGGCAGGCGTTCTCGGAGCTGAACAGGCTCAAGGACAAGCTGGCAATATCTGATGCGGTGATAGAAAAGGCGGCATACATATACAGAAAGGCGTTGGAGAAGGGCCTGGTCAGGGGAAGATCCATCTCCGCACTCATGGCCTCGGCGCTGTACGCCGCATGCAGGGACACGTCCACGCCGAGAAACCTCAAGGACGTGGAGCAGGCAGCCAACATCAAGCGCAAGGATATCGCTAGGTGTTACAGGCTGCTGGTAAAGGAGCTGGATCTGAAGATGCCGGTAACCGACTCGATCCAATGTGTTGCAAGAATTGCCAGTAGAATCGGCATAGCCGAAAAGACAAAGCGGTACGCAATCAAGGTGCTCAAGGAGGCCCAGAAGCGCGAGGTCTCTGCGGGCAAGGACCCCATGGGACTTGCCGCCGCAGCGCTGTACCTGTCCTGCGTAAAGAACGGCGAGGACAAGACGCAGCGGGACATTGCCGAGGCGGCCAACGTTACCGAGGTAACAATACGGAACCGCTACAAGGGCCTCAAAGAATCGCTGGACGTTTAGTGGGGAATTATATTCTTGAGTGAGGCGTTCTCGGAGCTGAACAGGCTCAAGGACAAGCTGGCAATATCTGATGCGGTGATAGAAAAGGCGGCATACATATACAGAAAGGCGTTGGAGAAGGGCCTGGTCAGGGGAAGATCCAGCTCCGCACTCATGGCCTCGGCGCTGTACGTCGCATGCAGGGACACGGCTACGCCAAGAAACCTCAAGGACGTGGAGCAGGCAGCCAACATCAAGCGCAAGGATATCGCCAGGTGTTACAGGCTGCTGGTAAAGGAGCTGGGACTTGATCCGTAATTAAAGATCGAGCCTTTTTCGTCCAACACTTACAGAGATGTGTTTCGAAATAAACAAATTTTGCGTGATTATGCCGAAGATTGCGCTATTTTATGCCCGGGCGCTAATTACGAATCAAGTCTCTGGAACTGAAGATGCCGGTAACCGACTCGATTCAATGTGTTGCAAGAATTGCCAGTAGAATCTGGGATATCCCGTCGTTCTTTGCCCTCCGGCAGTCCTTGGGCATGTCATGGAACCCCGCGTATCCGGTGCCGAGGTCCACCGTCGTTGCGTTGTGGACTATCCCCATGTCTGCGCCTCGTATGACAGCACATTCAACCGGCTTGGGGGCACGCAAGAGCCAAGCGTGGGAGGGATCGCCGGAGCGCCAGAAAAAGTCTTGAAAGTCCACTCAAGAATATAATTCCCGATCGGCGCACGGATCAAGTTAAATGTGCCGAAAGCTGGGCAAAGATGACTTGAAGGCCAGATTCGCAGGAAAGTGTGACGAGTGCGGCGCAGAGATCAGGCGCGGAAAGGAGATCTCAAAGAACTCCGGCGGCAAGTGGGTCCATGCGGCGTGCTCGGACCAGCAGGAAGAGCTCCTCTAGGCCCGCCTCCCCGGCAAAATGAAATAAACCGGCCGGATCAACGGGCACTGTTGAGCGCCACCGACACTCTGAGGGAGGATCACCGGCAGATTCGCAGGCTGGGAAAGGTTGTAGATGTCTGCCAGAGGAGGCTGTATGCAGGCGGGGATGTCCCGCTGGAGGACATACGCAGAATTACCGTCGTCATCGCAGAGTTTTTGGATGCGGTACACTACTCGCGGGAGGAGAACTCGTACTTTGCCTGCGTTGCCGGGTACGGCACCCTGCAGGAGGAGATCAGAAAGTTCATGATCGAGCACGAGTTCGGCAGAAGGATAGCTAGGAGCATAACGATACACCTGAACCGATGGGGGCAGGGACACGACTCCAGAGAGCCCGTGGCCCGGTTTCTGAGAACCTACTCGATATACCTAGCAGACCACCTGTCAAAGGAGGATGCGTTCTTTGATGCGGCCTCAGAGTCCGTCCTCCAGCCCGAGGAGGAGCGGGAGATGTACGAGCAGTTTCGTGCTGTGGTGGCCGTCTCCAGAAAGATGGACGCGATGGTGCGGGAGATAGACCACCTTGAGCGGCAGCCGTGGTGTTCAGAAAGCTCTTAATACGCGCAGCCGGGTTCCCGTTGTGATGAAGCCGTTTGTGCTGTGGATGACGGGCCTGCCGTGCTCTGGCAAGTCCACGCTGGTTCGGGAACTTCGGAAGGATGTGCCGAATCTGGCCATGCTGGACGGGGACGAGCTCCGCGAGTGGTTCTCACCCAAGGACTTTACAAAGAATGGACGAGACGAGCACAACAGAAAGGTGGCCCACCTGGCAAAGCTTCTGCTCAGGCATGGTGTTCCCAGCGCGGTATCGCTGATATCCCCCTACAAGGAGAACAGGAGCGACGCTAGGGGCATCATAGACCAAGGGGAGCAGTTCCTTGAGGTGTATGTGAGGTGCTCTCTTGCGGAGTGCGAGAAGCGCGACGTAAAGGGAATGTACGCCAAGGCCAGAAGGGGCGAGATAACCAAGTTTACCGGCATTGATGACCCGTACGAGGAGCCGGACAGCCCCGACATGTTGCTTGACACGGAGCACGAGACCCTTCAGGAGACTGTGACCAAGATCAAGGACAGCCTGAGATCACGGGGCCTCTTTGAGTAGATCCCGGCAGAGCTGTCGCCTGTATATGTCCCTTCAGACCGGCCGTGTGCCGTACCCGGATTCTGGAGAGCCCGTTCCCAGATGTGCATCGCCGCAACCACCGCAGAGCGCCAGTCATACACAAGAACCCAGATGGTGGGACCGGCAGGATTTGAACCTGCGACCTCTAGCACCCCAGGCTAGCATCATGGCCAAGCTAGACGACGGTCCCCAGTGGTGGTCTGAAGATGAAATTATTAAATCGTAGTGTTCTGTCGTATACGTATGAAGATCTGCTCGATATGCCACAGAATATCCGGGAACGGCGAGGATCACTTGGACTGCGTCCAGAAGAGGCGGGTAGAGATGGGCGACGAGGAGCGGAAGCAGAAGCTGCCAGAAAAGCTGGGCATGGCCGGGGATCCGCAAAACTTGGGCATCGAGATAAAGGCACTGCTGGAACACATGACACGGAAGAAGGAAGAGGAAGCCTAGCCGAGCCACCTGCTGAGCCGGTCCCTCTCAAATGCCAGCTTCTCCTCCAGGGTGTCCCTGGACGCAGCGGTCAGCTTGGTGGTGGGGCGGTCGCCTGAGAACATGTCAACCTCCACCAGAGATGCCGTACCCCTGCCCGACTCAAGGAAGCACGCGCCCCTACCGTCAAATATGGACTCCTCCTGCCTGGACTCAATTCCGGCAACTATACTCCGGGCGACAGTCAGGCCCTGGCCCTCTGCAAATACGCCGGCCTTAGGAACCGCCATGGAGCCGCCTGCAGGCATACTGGTAACGTCCCCTATGGCGTACACGCGCCCGTACGGCGTCTGGCAGTCTCGGTTTATGGTGATGAATCCTCCCTCCTCTGCCAGTCCGGCATCGTAGATCACCTGTGGCGCGATGTGCGGCGGGATCGACAGCAGCAGTTCAAAGTCCGCGCCGCCTTCTTCAAACTCCATCCTGTTGCGCCTCACCGACCTTACCCTGCAGGAGGGGTGGAACTCGATACCCTCTGCCTGCACCATCTCCAGAACCTTCCGGCTCACGGCGGGGCCAGCGGCGGGCAGGGTAAGCGGGGCGGGGCTGTAGAGGTGTATCTGGACCGTGTCCCGGGTTCCCGCCTCCCTCAGCAGCGAGTCGACCAGCAGACCGGCCTCAAAGGGGGCCGGGGGGCACTTGTAGGGCATGCCCATTATGGCAATGGCAACGCTTCCGGATGTGATGTCGGTCAGCTTCTCCCTTATGGTTTCCAGATGATCGTGATCGTACAGGTTCAGCCCGTTCTCGACCAAGCCAGGAATTTTTTGCGGGGCCAGCCTGGCTCCCATCGCAACAACAAGATAGTCGTATGTAAACCCGCCTTGGGAGGTAGCTACCTCCCTCTTCTCCGGATCGATTACCTCGATCTCTGCCTTGACAAAGCTGATCCCGTTTCTTGTCAGCCTGTGGAGCGAGCCGACTGATTCCTCAAACGTCCTGGTTCCCCGGATGATCCACAGCTTTGCAAAGCCCACCATGAACCAGTCCTTCTTGTCTATGACGGTGATCTTGGCCCGCGACGGCGGCAGCCTTTTGCGTATCTCTGTTGCCACGGACAGTCCGCCAAACCCGCCCCCCAGCACGAGTATGTGTGGAGTTCCAGATGACACCTTCAGCGCTCCTGTGTTATGGGCCTTATGAGAATCTCGTTTACGTTGACATGCGGCGGCGAACCCACCGCGTAAAGAACCGAGTCTGCAATGTCTTCTGCCCGCAGCGCCTCCATTCTCTTTGTGTTCTCGACAAACTCCCGCAGGGATCGATCCGTGATTGTATTGACGAGCTCTGTTGCGACGACTCCCGGCTCGATGCAGGTGACCCGGATGTTTGAGCGCGCGCTGAGCTCCTGCCTCAGTCCCTCGGTAAAGGCGTTAACCGCGTGCTTGGTCGCACAATAGACGCTTCCGGCGGGAAACACCACCCGCCCGGCCACGGACGAGATGTTCACTATGTGTCCCGTCTTTCTTTTGCGCATGTGCTCAAGCACCGCTGCCGTGCAGAAGAGAACGCCCTTGATGTTGACATCCACCATCTGTTCCCACTCGTCAACCTTGAGACTCTTGAGAAAGCTGAGCGGCATGAGACCGGCGTTGTTTACGAGTATGTCGATGGCGCCCCAGCGATCCATGGCCGCCTTGACAAATGCCTCACACTGGGGCCTTTGAGCAACGTCAAGCCCGCAAGATATAACGTCTCCCCCTTCGGCCCTGATTTTGGCCTCCAGCTGGGCGAGCCGGTCGGTTCTTCTTGCGCCCAAAGCGACCCGGGCCCCCGCTCCTGCCAGTGCCAGCGCGGTCGCACTGCCTATCCCGCTGCTTGCCCCTGTGACAAGAGCCACCTTGCCCTTTAGCGTAGACAACAGTTGCTCTCTCCGGCCTCGCTGTAAATATGTTATCAGGGGGAGAGGATAGGGGGCTAGGCCGCCATCGTTTGAGGGGGTAGGGAATCGGCTCTACACGGATATTTCTGGCCATTCCGTGCAGATTTAGGCACAAACGACGATGGATGCGACAGAATGCGAGGGTTTGGCCCATGCCCAACCGGCTCCTTATGAGTATGGTGAAGCAGCCTAACCGCCTACGGAATGGTTCGTCTCACAAAAGCAATAGGCTTTATTAAAAGTACGCACCATATTGCAGCTGTGAAGCCAGAGAAGTGCTGCTACTGTGGTGACATGACTGACATGCCGTTTGAGTGCACGTACTGCAAGGATCCGTTCTGCCCCGAACACAGACTGCCAGAGGAGCACCGCTGCGTCAAGCTGACGCAGATAAGGGCGGGAAGGTTCGGCAAGAAGGGCGTGATCCGCGATGGCGGAAGGAAGGGAGGCGGCTTCTTCAAGAAGGTCTTCAAGCGGCTAAAGGATTAGTAGATGGTCTTGCTGGGGTCTATCTTGGCCCGCTTTGCTTGATAGAATAGCGCAATGGCCAGTGCGACCAGAACCAGGGACGTAAGCCAGTGTGCCGTAATCAGGGTGACATAAGCTGTCGCAAAACCCACGGTGGCCACACCCTGGGCCGACAGCTTTATCCATGTGGGGATCTTGCCGGCCCTGCTGACCATCTCTATCAGAAACAGCGCCGCCACCGGATAGATGGTCAGCAAGAGAAAGTCGACTACGTCTACATCCAGGTGAGACAACTGCCGTTGTTTTTAGGAGCGATAATTTCTAGTCTTCCCACCGGATCTTCGCCGCAATCTCCTGGGATATGAGCGCCTGGGCGTTCTCGTACGGTATGCTGGCAACATCCTCTGCCGCAAAGGGCCCGTATCCCTCCAGATCGGCACCCACAAACTGATCTATCTCCTTGAGAAATCTTACGGCAATCAGCCTTGTCTTGTGCTTCTCAGACATGGACTCTAGGAGCTTTGACTTGCCGTTCAGTATGGCCGAGAGGATCATCTTCTGCCTCTCCTGCATCTCGCCAGCAGAGTCGATTATGTACTTCTCCTCATCCAGCAGGTTGTGGTGTCCGGCCGATCCCCCGGCCGATGCCTTTCCCAAGCCTGAGCCGGAGCAACAATCCCACTAGCCCGACGGTCATTTCAATGAGCTCCTCCTTGATTTTGGCCTCGATGTTGTCATACTTGGCCCGCTTCAGATCTCCCAGATGTGAGGAGAAGGCCAGGTAGAGGTTTGCAGGCAGTTCCTGGATGATGTCACTCTCAGCCTCTCTCAGTACTGTGGTGTACAGGGATCCCATGCTAGTCTCTGTCGTATCTGGCATTGCTTGCTTAATCCTTAAATGAAGGATATTTTTGTGTTAAGACAGAGAGAATTGCCGTATAGAGTAATAGATGGGGAGCCGGTTCAGGTGTCGTTCTCGTCAGAAGATGTGTTTGCAAAGATCAAGGAAGAGAACATCAAGTTTCTAGATCTGCAGTTTACCGGCCTGACCGGCAGGTTTCATCACACCACCATCTCGACCAACATGTTCACGCCCAAACAGATGAAGGATGGCCTGCCAAAGCTGGACGGCTCGTCCATTTTGGGATTTACCAGTATAGACGACTCGGATCTGATCCTAAAGCCGGATCCCAGCACCTTTGCGGTCATTCCATGGTATGAGGAAAACAAGACCGCCCGACTTCTCTGCGATGTGTACTGGGGCGCAGGCCGGGGAAGGCTCTCGCGTGACCCACGCGGGATAGCACAGGGGGCCGAGGAGTGGGTAAAGACCGCCGGTTTTGATTACAGTGCCTGGGGCCCCGAGGTGGAGTTCTTCGTGTTTGACAAGGCTCATTGGGATGTTCTGACTCCCTACAAGGGACAGTCGTACTCGATCGAGTCCGTAGAGGCCCCGTGGTCCCAAGAAGGCACCGGATATCCCATGGGGCTGCAGGAAGGCTACTATCCCAGTACGCCGTCTGATACGCTTACGCCGTTTAGGAATGAGTGTGTAAACGTGTTGAGTGAAAACTTTGGCATCCTGTGCGATAATCACCATCACGAGGTGGCCACCGCCGGCCAGTGTGAGATCGACATAAAGTATGACTACCTGACAAACTCCGCCGATGCCACACAGTCCTACAAGTTTGTAATAAGGAACATTGCAAAGCGGTTTGGCAAGATTGCAACCATGATGCCCAAGCCCATCTCCATGGATTCGGGCTCGGGAATGCACACCAATGTAAGCCTGTGGAAGGATGACGAGAACGTCTTCTTTGAGGAGGGCCAGGATGGCGAATTGAGCCAGGTTGGAAGGTACTTTTGTGGCGGAATTCTGGATCACGCAAATGCACTGTGTGCGATCTCAAACCCCACCACAAACTCTTACCACAGACTGGTGCCTGGGTACGAGGCACCGGTGTATGTTGCCTGGAGCGGCAGCAACAGATCTGCTATTGTGAGGATACCCAGACATTTTGAGGGAAGGGACTATGCGCACCTCAAGAGACTGGAGTTCCGGGCGCCAGACCCGTCTGCAAACCCCTATCTCGTGTTTTCGTCGGTGCTGGCAGCAGGTATTGACGGCGTCAAGAAGAAGACCGACCCGGGAGACCAAGTAAAGGAGGACATCTTCAAGATGACAAAGGAGGAGAGGAGAAAGCACGGAATAGGCGTGCTGCCTGCAAGCCTAGGCGAGGCGCTGCTTGAGCTTGAAAGTGACAGGATCTTTCTGAAACCCATCTTTAAGGACGAGGTGATAGACAAGATCATAGAGCTGGAGAGAAAGGATCAGAGAGATATCGCCGTCCGTCCCCATCCGCACGAGTTCTACCTGTACTTTGATGTATAGGGCAGTCGCCGGAATGCGGTCGCTGTGTCACGCCGGATGACTAAAACCGGCCCGTGAGAGAGAGGACAAAGATTAGGGACAGCGCAACCAAGCCGATTCCGACACCCAGATAGAAGGGCCTGCTCTTCTCATCTGTTGCCGCCTTGTACAGCGGCCATGCCGCCACAAGCCCCACAAGAAGGCTCAGTGTCCCGTATACTACCTGGTCGCCTGGCTGGTCTGTAATCAGCGGGTGAAAGAATCCGGCCATCAGCACAAAGAATATTATGATGTAGGCGTATTTGGCGCCCAAAAACACGCGGGAGTTTGTTGTGCTCAACGGTTTGTCTTGATAGGGGTCGTGAAATAAACTTTTGATAAATTTACATCATGCCGCCCATATCCGGCATTCCGCCCATTCCAGGCATGCCACCCATGCCGCCCATTCCAGGCATGCCACCCTCGGCCCCCGGCGGGGGACCAGCAGACTTGGCTGCGGCGACAACATCATCGATTCTCAGGATCATGCAGGCGGCCTCAGACGCGGCAGACACCACCTGATTCTTTACCGATAGCGGCTCAACTATATCGCTTGCCTTCATGTCGGCAATCTGGGCCGCCATGACATCAATGCCGGTCCACTTCTCGCCCTTGTTCTGCTTTGAGCGCAGTGCGGTCAGCGTATCGATGGGATCCATGCCCGCGTTCTCTGCCAGCGTCAGTGGAATCACCTCTAGGGCATCGGCAAACTTTTCTGCCGCCAGTTGTTCCCTGCCAACCAATGACTTTGCCCAAGTTCTTATTTTAGTTGAGACATACGTCTCTGGGGCTCCGCCTCCTGCGACCACGGTGGGTTCCTCCATCACATCTCTTACTACCATTATTGCGTCGTGAACAGACCTCTCAACCTCGTCGACCACCCTCTGGGAGCCGCCGCGGAGAAGCAGTGTTACGGCCTTGGGCTGCTTGCAGCCTTCGACAAAGACCCACTTGTCTTCCTCTATCTTTCTCTGCTCCACCAACTCTGCGGTACCCAGATCTTTGGGTCGCAGATCGTTAAGGTTTGTAGTTATCTTGGCGCCTGTGGCTCTTGCGAGCTTTGCTAGGTCGCTCTCCTTGATTCTTCTCACTGCCAAGACCCCGGCCTTGGCTAGATAGTGCTGTGCCATGTCGTCTATTCCTTTCTGACAGAGAACCACGTTTGCCTCCGTCTCAAGGATCGTGTCAACCATGCCCTTCAACATTCTGTGCTCCTCGTTAAGGAATGATCTTAGCTGCTGGGGGTTTGAGATGTTGATTTTGGCGTCTGTCTCTGTCTTTGTGATCTCAAGCGGTGAGTTGATCAGGGCGATCTTGGCGTTGTTGATCCTTTCTGGCATCGAGTTGTTTACAATTTCCTTGTCGAGCACTATGCCCTGAATGATGGAAGAGTCCTTGACAGAACCGCCTGCCTTCTTCTCCACCTTGATATCATCAACATCGACGGCAAACCTCTTGCCGTCCTTGCGGGCGACGCTGGTAACGGCACTTACCACCATGTCAGACAGTAGATCGGAGTCCTTCCTTACCAGTTTTGTCTGCATCGAGGTTCTTGCAACCTTGGATAGGATTGCCTTGTCGTCAGCGGTAACCGTCTCGGCGATCTCCAAAAGACACTCCTTTGCCTTCTTTGTGGCCTTGCGGTATCCGTCTACTATTATGGTGGGATGAACGTCTTGGGATATGAGGCTCTCGGCGTTCTCAAGAAGGGCGCCCGCTAGAACAACCACGGATGTGGTGCCGTCGCCTACCTCGTTGTCTGTGGTCTTTGAAATTTCAACCAGCATCTTTGCGGCCGGATGCTGTACATCTATCTCCTTCAGGATGGTGGCTCCGTCGTTGGTAATGGTAACATCGCCCAGCGAGTCGACGAGCATCTTGTCCATTCCTCTAGGACCTAGGCTTGAGTGAACTATCTCGGCAACAATTTTGGCTGCCTGGATGTTGTTCTTTTGCGCGTCCCTGCCTTTTGTCTCAGAGGCGCCATCCTTCAGCAAGACTACTGGCATGTTTCCCTGTGATGCCACTCTCATGCTCATACACGCAAATCCCGCAATCCCTATTTTATATCTTATTGTGGGTGTGCCGTATGCACTCAGGTCCGTGCCCAGAATTTCACTGCCGGTGTACATTATTAGACCACATATCTTATTGATCACGAGATTCACGAGCTTTCGTGAGACCGTCTGAGGTATCGCTCCTGCGCAGGGAGCTGGTAAAGGTAACTACAGAGTACAGGAACTTGCAGAAAAAGATGGCCGGGCTCGAGGCCGGCCTCGCCAAGAGGATAATGCTCCTAGAGATAGAAAACGACCGCCTGAGGCTGGAGCTTGCGGAGCGCGACAGGAGGATGGAAAAGTACGAGAACTCCGATTCCCCCTCATCCACTGGTTCGTTGTACAATGCAGAGCGCACCGCCTTCCGAAAGCGGATGGAGAGGGAGGATGCGGACGGGCGGCAGGACGGACCTGAACCGAAGGACGGGGACAAGACCCGCAGGGGGCCGCCGGCGGGGCACGCGGGCGTGTCGCATGGCAACAAGGCCGAGAGGACAGTCACGCTGTACGCGCGCAAATGCAAAGCGTGCGGGCGCGGGCATCTCTCCCAGCTGCCGCCCAAGATAAAGATGGTATACGATTTTGCAGTCGACGGAGCCATGAGAATCGAGTGCGTCGCGTACGTGATCGAGCGGGCCGCATGCAAAAGATGCGGTGTGATCAGTGCCGCCAATCCGCCGACGATTCACGGCACGTCGTTTGGGCCCCGGGCCCTGGGGTTCGTCGAGGAGTACTATGCCAAGCGTAGCACGGACGAGACCGTGTCGCACTACTTCGAGGCGCTGTACGGGTTTGGAATCTCGCCGAACGCCATATGGAACGCGCGCAGGGCCCTAAAGAACCTGCTCGCGCCTGCGTACAGGCAGATCTTGGCCCGCATCGCCGAGGCCCCGTTTGTGCAGTTTGACGAGTCGTCCTTCAAGATGAACGGCAAGAACAGTAATCCCAGATGTGCCAGATCTAACACCTGTGAGAGTTTAGGTCACCCCCATCATGCCCATGAAGAGCTCAATTTGGCATGGGTCAAACCCCCGTATTCTGCCGCACGCGTCATCATTTGTGCCTAAATCTACATGAAATGGCCAAAAATATCTGAGTGGGACCAACCCTCCACTCAGACACTATGTGTTGCTGATATAAGAGCAGCCGTAGTAACCGCCCTGTTGGACCTGAGAGTCGATTTGACCTTGCCACGTATGAGGGCGTCACTCAGACTGACTCAAGGTATGCGGATAGTGAAATACCGCTTTGACGGTGAATGGGAGTTTTCCGCTGGTCGGGTCCACTTTACTGCAAAGGAGGTGAGAGAATGTATTACATTGGAATAGACGTTCACAAAAAGAAATGCGTTACAACGATCAAGGGAGATGCCAAGAAGGTACTGAAGCGTACTCGTTTGACAACGACATCACCGGAATAAACGGGTTCACCGGGATGCTCCGCAGTGACGGGTACCTGCCGGCCACGGCCGCCTGCGAATCCACCGGCAACTACTGGATCGTCCTGCACGACACGCTGGAGGCCGCAGGCATCGACACCCTGCTGGCGCACCCGTACCACCTCAAGATAATCACCCAGACCGCCTACAAGAACGACAAGGCCGACTCGGAGAAGCTGGCCGAGCTGTGCAGGCTGGACATGATCCCGGAGTCGTTTGTGGTGAATGCCGCCCAGCGGGACATGCGCGAGCTGACCCGCAGCCGCCTTGGACTGGTGGGCGACACGGTAGCGCCCAGAAACCGCATCCACGCGATCGTTGCCAGGTATCCCTACAAGCGCCCCCGCGGCGGACTGTTTACCGGCGGCGGACTGGAGTGGCTGCAGAACCTGGACCTGAGCGAGACCGACCGTCTGGGGGTGGACACCCACCTGGCCAAGCTGGTCTTCCTGCGTGGGCGGATCGCCAGGTACGAAAAGAGGGTAGCCGAGATCGCCCGGGACGACCCGCGGGCGCGGCTCATCATGACCATCCCCGGGATAGGCTACATTACGGCGGTAACCATACTGGCCGAGATCGTCGACCACGGGCGCTTTGCCAGCGCAGAAAAGCTGGTCTCCTACGCCGGACTGTCGCCGAGGCACCACAACAGCGGGGAGACGGTCAGGACGGGCGGCATAACAAAGCGCGGCTCCGTCTGGCTGCGCACCGCCATGGTCGAGGCCGCCTTCGTCGCCGTCCGGCACGACGCCCGGATAGGGGCGCGCTACCAAAAGCTGGCAGCCCGCATAGGGTCCATGAAGGCAAGGGTGGCCACGGCCAGGGTCATGCTAGAATGGGTCTGGGAGATGCTCAACAGCGGCACCGAGTACAGGGGAATAAATCGGGATCTCGTCAAGCGGAAGATGCAGAAGACAAGGCGTATCGCCGAGTCCCAGGCGTAACGCCAAGCACGTCCGTCCGGGGGCGTCTCGCCGCCCCTGCACAGGCGAGGGGCGGCTCAACGCCCCCTCCCGTTCCCCCCGGCTGCCAAAAACAGTGTTGGCAGCAGCCGTCCGGCGCGCGCCGCCCGGCGCGGCAGCCGCCGGCACACTGGAACTTCCCGGGTTTTTAACCGCCTTCCCGCCGCGGCCGGCGGGGCAACTGCGGCTCCCGCGTAGGGGGCAGCCAGCGCGGGCTGCGCGCCATCCGGCGATCCCGCCCGGGACAGGACAGGTTCCGCTCCGAGACGGGCCCGAATATTTAAAAAACCGGCCGGCCAACCTGCAACTGGACTGGACCAGACGCATTGCCAACACATGACATCTGCGGGCGCAGACGCCCGTAACACATGGGAGTCAAATGGTGGCGACTTAACCTCTTACTGGCACATCTGGGATTACTGAAGAAGGGATACGTGTGGCTGGTCACGACCAAAGATGCCACGTATCTGGTGGCCGCCCTGAGCAGGGCCGCCATCATGCTGGACAGGCACTTTGGAAGGCTGCTCGGCATGCCGGTCGTGGTGGACGGGTACACGGTGTACAACGCATTCCCCGTCAAGCAGAGATGCTGGGTGCACATCCTGCGCAAGGCAGAAAAATACGCGATAAAGAAAGGCGGCAACTACCTGTCCTGCTACCGCAGGCTGCTTGCCATATACAAAAGAATCAAGGGCAGGGAGTCTGCAAGCTGCGCCGAATGTCTGGACCTGGAGAGAGCCGTGATCGAGATCGCCGCCGCGTATGGGGAAGCAGAAAGGAAGAAAGAGCATGACGGCCACAAGTTCAAGGTGACGCTTGAGGGTGCCGCGCCGTGCCTGTTCACGTTCCTGAGGTATCCGGGCATGCCTCCCCACAACAACGCAGCCGAGCTGGAGATACGCGACGCCGTCGTGCTGCACAGGAACGTGCGCCACCAGCTCTCCAAGCCGGAGGGAAGGGAGGTCTTCTCGGTGCTAATCTCGGTGGCGCGCACCTGCCACAAGCAGGGAATCTTTCCGCGCGTCGCCGTGGAGAATCTGATCAGGGATCCAGACTGGAGCGTATTCAAGCCCCCAGAACAGGTGCAAAAAGAGATTGCCGTGGAAGCAGTAGCCGCATAGCGTGGAAGATCCGCCAGGATCACATGTTTGGGAACCTGAGTCTATACAGTGTGCCTAGCAGCATGGTGTATGAGATCTGAGTGCATGGATGGATTGCTGGAGATACCCGACGCCCCGGGTAGCGGTGATTTAGCCGTCGTACGGCGAACCAAGACAGGCGCGCGTGCCTGACAGATGCGGCAAATCCCGGCACTTGCCAGATAGATGTCCGGATTGGGCACGGTGGAACGGCGGTGCGCTACGCATTAACGGTGTTTTTAAATTGGGACGGCGGAAAGGCAGAGCAGATGGCAGAGATCTCTACCAACAAAGAGTCGTATGAGAAGATATTCTCTGCGCTGAAGCGGCACCACCGGCTGTTTGAAAACTCCATTCCGCTAATTGCCAGCGAGAATGTCCCGAGCCCTGCAGTCCGAGAGGCCATGGCCTCTGACTTTGGTAACAGGTACGCAGAGGGCTGGCCCGGTGAGCGGCTTTACGCAGGCTGCGCTCACATAGATGAGGTGGAGTTCATATGCATGGATCTCGCAAAAAAGATCTACCGTGCCGGATTTGCCGATGTAAGGCCCATCTCCGGAGTTGTCGCCAACCTAGCAATCTACTCAGCCTTTACAGATCCCGGTGATGTGATGATGGCCGCATCCATTCCCGCGGGTGGACACATCTCCCACGGCAGGAAGGAGAAATTCGGAACGGCCGGGTTGGTTCACGGCCTGAACGTCGAATTTTACCCTTTTGATACGCAGGAGCTGGCCATTGATGTCGACAAGACAAAGGCAAGGGTTTTGGAGCTTGAGAAGGCCGGCCGGCCGCTTAAATTGGCCATGTTCGGGGGCTCGTTGTTTCTGTTTCCGCATCCGGTAAGGGAGCTGTCGGACTTTATGAAGGAGCATGGCATGCATGTCAACTATGACGCCGCCCATGTCGCCGGGCTGATTGCCGGGGGCAGGTTTCAGGATCCGTTGCGTGAGGGGACCGACACGATAACCATGAGCACGCACAAGACGCTGTTTGGGCCGCAGGGCGGTCTGGTTCTGGGCTCCGAGAAGCACGCAGAGCAGATCAAAAAAGCCGTCTTTCCCGGGCTAACGAGCAGTCACCACATTCATCTAGTGGCCGCCAAGGCCGTTGCGTTTGCTGAGGTTTTGGAGTTTGGCAGGGACTATGCCAGGCAGGTAATCAGAAACGCCCGGGCGTTTGCCGGAGCACTAAACGAGATGGGGTTTCAGGTACTAGGCGAGAGCCGCGGCTTTACGGAGTCCCATCAGATCGCCGTCAATGTGCTGGAGTTTGCCGACGGTGGCCGCGTAGAAGAGGATCTGGAGAGGGCCGGCATCATAGTAAACAGGCAGCTGATACCGGGAGACATCAAGGCGGGCAGAAACTACCTCCAGCCCGGCGGCATCCGGATAGGGGTGTCAGAGATCACAAGACTGGGTATGGGCGAATCTGAGATGAGGGAGCTGGCATCGTTCATCAGACGGGTGATAATAGATAAAAAACGTCCCGAAGAGGTACGATCCGACATCGAGTTGTTCAGAAAGGCATATCAGAAGGTAAGGTTCTGTTTTGATGACAGCCTTGGCGCGTATGAATACGTGAAGCTCCGATAGTTACGCATAATCGGTCAGCAGCGCCTGATCCCCTCGGCTCTTTCCAAACACCAAGTCAATCTCGTCAGACAGCACAAGAATTCTGTTCATTTGATACCGGCTTACGTGATATTTTTCGACCAATCTCTTTGCCAGCTTGAGGTACTTTTCCACCGATGAGCGGGTGATCGTCTGAATGAGCTGGTGGCCGCAGTTACATCTTCTGATCAGGGGAGGCCGCCTGTAGCTGGCCCTGCACAGGGTGCAACGAAAGCTCTGCCTCGCATACGAACGCAGGTTGCCCATTATGTCCGGGATCAGATGGGTCGAGATCAGGTTTGATACGATCTCGTTGGTGTCCACCGCATTGATGATGTCTGCGTTTCTGATCTGAAGATCCAGCTTGTCGAGCATGGAGTTCAGCGTCGAGTAGGCGCTGCGGGACTGGGAGGTGACAAGGGATGAAGTGGGATGGGTAAAGTGATACCCGTGGAACTGTTCGGAGGTATCCAGCCTTGATTTAATCATCTCAACCGATGAGATGTCTGCGGCCCTGGGTTCGGACATGGTGGACTCGAAGAACTCCAGAGGGTAGCGTCGCACTACCTCAAGGTTGTGCGCCTGGGACTGTGACTCGTGAGGGAAGACCAGCGGCTGTATCAGAAGCGGGGCGTCCATCAGGCCGCCGATCTTGTCTGAGAGAAACCTGCGGGAGAAGTTAAGCAGCGTGTCCAGCAGGAGCATTATCGAGTCGGCGTCGCCGTCCGCGTCCCGCCGCTTGGCCGAGTGCCAGTTGGGTGTTGCAAAGCAGACTTGTGTGTTTGCGAACCCGATAACCCTCCCGACTATTCCCACCGAGGTGTGGGGAGCCAGACCGATTATGAGGTGACCCACCAGATCGTCGGTTCCTTTCACGTGGTAGAATGGCTGCCCCCCGTAGAAATGCTCAAGCTCCTGGTCTACGTATCTGCAGACCTCGGTCAGGTATCGTCCGGCGGTGTATGGTATGACAACATCTTGCATGAGCAGCTCCACTGTCTGTTCGGGGCTCTCCAGAGGCTGACCGTCGGCGTCTGTCAGGTATCCAAGCTCCCTGAGTTTTGAGACCGGTGTTCCGATCCAAGCGGGTTTGAAGTGGGTCAGCGGACAGTTTGTTGCGTCAAATCTTACGGTTCCGTCCTTGAAGACGGTCAGGTTCCTGCTCTGTCTGATAAGTCCCTTCTCCAGAGGTTCGGAGATCTTGTCTTGGTTGATCATCTCCATCACGCCTTTGAATGGTTCCTGGGCACGGATCCCTGTCCTCTTCTGGGCATCAAACAGCATCTCCTTTAATGGAAATTTTTTGTGCACGTAACCTCTCGCGGTCTTTTTGCACCTTTGGCAGAACCTTGTGTCCAGCTTGCTATGGCAGGACGGGCATGTGTACCTTAGCAGCGTCTTGCTGCCGCACTTTGAGCACCTAATGCCCAAGGAGGGAAAGTCGCATTTAGGACACGTACGGTCTGAGATTCTGGTGGCAAAGTCCGGGTTATTTGATGCCTTGATGAGATTCCTGGTGGCCCCGCCCCAGTGCCCCACCGGAAAGAGTGTGTGGATTGGTGGTTTCATTACCCGGGGGGAAGCCTTCTCGGGCCGTCCTATGCGCGCTCCGATGGAAGTGGAGAATTTGGCCCGAATCCTTATTCCAGAGTGTCTTGAGATGGTCTCAAGAACAGAGCCGGATTTTGTGTCGATTGTGTTCCTGAACAGCAGCCTGTGGAATATCTCGGCCTCGCTGCCCTTTAGGACGGCCTGCCCGTCAGAGACTGTATGCGGCACCCCCATCTTCTCCAGCACGGGTTTGCAACGCATCTCATAGCAGATTGTGTTCTCTTGCGCGCTAGTAGGCTCCAAGATCAGTCCAAACTCATCTGCTGTAATTTGATCCCAGTAAAAGAGGAATTTTGGGTGCAGGGGAACGCCAAAGTCTTCTGCCAGTTGGAACGACTCGGCCAGATCAGGCTCCCGCAGTAGAAACTGTGCGGGTATGGGGCTTGTGGTGTTTTTTATGATGTGTCTCAGCTCCTCGATCCAGAACTCCTCTACGTACCCCGACGGAACCAGCTGCGCGTTGTTCTCAAGAAAGTCGCCAAAGGAGATCAAGATGTCCCCCAGGTGGAGTATCTTTTCTATGTCGGCCTTTAGCTCAAGCCCGTGCTTGATGTCCCTGATCCTCACGACGCTTCCGTCCCTAAGGCGCACAACGGGCGTCTCCAGCGAGTCCACAAACGCCACGGTGGCGCCCTTGCCGGGTATGTCGATCTTGATTTGGGTTCCCGCGGTTATCGTGTGGTCAAGAATCTCCCCTATGATGGGGTGGAACCCCACAGCCGCAAAGCCCGTATTGCAAGCTCGGCCATATCTGAGCCGGAATCCGCCCAGTTTTTTTGGCATGGACAACACGGAACGGCCGGTAATTACCTCGCTCATCCGCTTTGTAGCTGCATCTTCCTGCTTGTCGCCGGTCTGGACGGCGCCCTTGAGGTCTTTGAGCCATTCCCACCCGTCTAGATCGTATACCTCTACCCTCTTGAGGAGTTTCTTGGCACGGCCGATCAGGCCGTCGTTGAGCACGCGCAGGGCGCCGCCCCGAACCCGGTCTGTTTTAATCCGACGCATCGACTTGTGGTTTACAACCTCATATGGATCCGTATCCACCCCATCCAGCTCAACTGGCAGGTTGGAGATTGTTCGGACTATGTCCTCGTCTAGCACGTGGTACTGAAAGTTACTGGCCTCTCGTTCATAGATTCTAAGCTCCTCGACAAAGCGTCCGGTTTCATCATCAAACGAGTTTGCCTTGTATGTCGACAGGCCGACGGCCTTTCTCACATGATCGGCAATCAGCATTGTGACGGCAGACTCTGTACCGCCCGCCGAGCGCATCGGCCCAGCAATGGATATGGAGAGATAGTCCGTGTTGTCTGCGTTCTGCCTTATTCTGACATCGGATATTCCCTGCAGTGGCGCGATGGTAACCCCCTCGGTCACTATTGCCAAACCCACCCTGACTGCCGCGTCCAACCGCTCCTCTAGGCTTGCGTCGCTGGGAAGGTATTTGCCCAAGGCAAGCTCCTTTGAGAGAAGCAGGGCGGTGATCTCCTTTCCGTTGGTCTCCAACAGATCTCTTATCGGGGCGGCGATGTCGATATCGTGCATTTTGGCCACGCGATCGGCAAGATCAAAGGCGATCTTCGGCTCCACGCCGCTTGACGAGTCTGCCAGCGAGGATTTAGGACCCGCCGCGGTCTCAAAAAGCTTGTATGATTTTTGTGACAGAGAGGTGTAGTAGTCAAAGTAGTACGGGGGCATATCAGTATCCCTCAGTTTGGTGGAGGTATCATCCTCGGACATGATAGATTTAAGCCGTTCTGCCTTGAATTGTTTTTGTTATCTCTACCAAGGTCTCCAGCTTGCCGTCCTGCTCCAGCAGAGTTCCAATCACCAAGGCATCGGCGCCAGCATCAGCTAGTTGTTTTGCCGTTCCGGCATCGCGTATTCCGCCACCCACGATCAAAAACCCGTCAAAGGCTCGTCGGACGGCCCTGACCATCTCCGGGTTTACGTTCGTTGCGGCGCCAGACCCAGCCTCAAGATACACAAACCGCATGCCAAAGAACCGAGCCGCCAGAGCGTAGGCTGCGGCAATATTTGGCTTCCCAAGGGGAATCCCCCTGGCGGAGCCCACAAACCACGCAGAGGTGCCCTGGCCAATTATCAGGTATGCGGTGGGTAGCGCCTCCAAACCGAATTTGAGCACGCTGGGGGCTCCTAATGCCTGTGCCTGTGTAATGAAATACGGATTGTCGGAGTTCATAAGGCAGCTGAAGAAGATTGCGTCTGCCTCTGGCACTATGCCTGTGATATTACCAGGAAACAGTATCACCGGTATCTTAACCGACTTTTTGATGGCCTGGACGGTCTGGGACATGCCCATCTGATCCGTGGCGGACGAACCGCCCACCAAAATGGCCGAGGCGCCGGCCTGCTCTACACCTCTTGCCAGCTTGATCGATGCGTCCATATTGGAGATTTCAGAGTCTATGAGCACAAACACCAAGGCGTTTGCCTTCTTTGCTTCTGATTTTAGATACTCTTCAACTCTTCTGCTCATACAGCGGGTTTGAGGGCGTCTCTTTAAAGTTTAATTGGGATAAAGATACAGTTTTGTATAGCTATGGTGGGGTTTGAGTCGTCCAATTTCAATAACATTATCCAAGAAATTATAAAAAAATCATCGTTTACAGAACGACAGCTCAGGATTATTTTAGATCGCCGAGGTGTCCTAGAAACACAGTTTGACGTATCAAGAGGGGCATACTACCGGCAGTTGGGCCAGACAAGAGACAAGTTGGTCAGGTTTTGTTATGCGTTGGTGATGTTTCGTAGCCTAGGCGTTCTTGCACCAGATGACATGGACACGATCATCAAGGTAGCAGAACGGGTTTCTGTGATTAGTGGTAATGACATGTCTTCCAACAACGAGCGTGATGTTATTAATGTGATAGATACGTTGATCCGCCAAGCCTGTAAGTTGTGATTTTTTTATTCTTTCGGGGCGGGTTTGTGAGGTTGGGTGTGATTTTTCGTTCTTTTGGGCATTCTTATGAGACTTGGTTATGACTTTATCATCCAGTGAGTGTTTTTGTGAGATTATGTTGTGATTTTAGTGCCGCAATGTTAAGTAATGTGTGAACAAAGTTTATTCGAGCATGATATATCACAGGCGGCATCATAAAGTGTGATGTTAGTGGAAATCCCAGATGCTGTGGTTCTGTTGGGCTGGGTGCTGGCGTTTGCCGTTGGTCTGTTCTCATTATTTGCGTTTAGCAGGGTAAGGTCGTACGTCGACCCAAAAAGCAAGGGTGTTGACCCCACAATTCTCAACCGTTTGGAGTATTATGAGAAGCAGATCATAGGTATGAAGCTGCAATTGGATACCCTGGTAAGTGATGGGCCCGGAGCTGGTAAGCACCAAGCTGTTGGGGATAGTGAGTCCGCGCTCAATAAACCCAAATCAACTGGCGCCGAACCCTTGGTGATTATGGCCAGAAGCTTTGAGCCGACGACGGCCCCAAATGCCCAAAAGACAGCCGTTCGCAGTGAGCCGGCTGGGCAGAGGCGGAACGCCCAAGGTGTTGTCAATCAAGTGTTAGAGTTAATCATAGAGGGGGGTGTGACATCACGTGACATACGGACCACGATCGGGCGTACAAGGGAGCACACATCACGGTTAATGAAACGGTTGTTTGAGGATGGGTATGTGAAAAGAAACACAGACGCAAAGCCATACACGTACTCAATTACGGACAAGGGAAGGGTGCGGTTGGAATCTTCTGGTGGTGTGGTATAGTTGTCACCATTTTAGTATGTGTGGGGTGTTTGTGGTTGTGCCATGACTCTGCCAAGTATCTTACACTCGTGGTGTCGTGAGTAATGCCTAGTTGCCAATGGTTGGTGGTTAAAGGGGATCTATCAGTGATGGTTTGTGTTGGGTATTAGGTGGGTAAATTGTGGTTGTTTTGTGTTGTTAACGCAATGAGATGTTGTAGGTGATTTTTCTTGTGAGTTAGTGATGGATTTTGGGTGCTTGGTATGTCCATTCCCGGCCTGTTTTGTTGCGCTGCACCTTACCACGAATCGAGAACCGTGATAGGTATGTGGATATCACACTGAGTTTTATTGGCTCGTTGTACTCGTCCTCATATTTTTCCAGAATGGTCGAGGAGGTAAATTTCCCCATGGGGTAGTACTTGTCCACAATATGCCATATTTTGGCGTTGATGGAGTCCAGTTTTGGTGCCTTCGGTCCTTCCTCAATATCTACCAGATCCATTATCTCAAACAACCGAAGCACCTTCTGCCGGTTGATGTTTCCATCCAGTTTGATATCATATCTAGCGCCTTCCGAATCCTCGATGTTGATACGAAGCCTTTTACTACCCAAATACAGATAGTGGTCTTTTTGTTAACAATTCAACCATTATGCTCAAAGTTGTTAACAATCAACGTTGTTAATATTCACCGCCTGGTTTGGTATGTAGTGTTTGTAGTGGTTAACATGGCCGTCTGCAGGCCTGGTGGCGGATCAGCCTGTTTCATGCCCAGAGTGGAAATAAGGGGGTCAATATCGGGGTCTTAACAATGTTAACGCCCATCTTCACACCCAGAGTGGAAATAAGGGGGTCAATATCGGGTGTTTTAAGATCACATTTACAAAATCTTAACAATTTGTTAATCACAATACTACACCATAACCCACACACCAACATTTCCACTCCTTTTTCTTTCAATTTTTTATTATGAGGGTATGAATATGAACATGTGGCATATACCATATCCGATTACCATGTACCACACACCACACACGACGTCTTGTTCCAGAATGGAAATTATGGTGTGAGGGGTCTTGTTGCAAGTCTAGAGCGATCTTGTTGGGCGGTTCTGGGAGGTGTGCAGCAGGAGGCTAGGCCTGCAGCCAGCCGAACCATGATCTAGACGACATGTTGATAAAAGCTAACCAAAAACGATCCGATTCGTTGAAAACATTCACAAACACATTCAAGTGTTGATATAGGATCTAAAAATCCTAGTATGGATGCGTCAATAATCGATCCGATAGACAGAATCTTGGATGCGGCTGAGACAGGCATGTCACTAATCCAAAACCGAGAGATATTGCACTTTACCTACATTCCGGATGTGATACACCACCGTGATATGGAGCAAAAACAGGTCGCACAATCACTATTACCAATACTAAAACAATCCAGGCCATCAAACCTTCTAGTCTACGGCAAACCAGGGACCGGCAAGACGTTGGTAGTCAGGAAGGTTTTGGCAAAAATCCAAAAAAAGGTGGAGTTGAGCAACTTTCCAATCCGGCTGCTGTATGCTAACTCCAAACAAGAAACGACGCTCTATGGGCTTTTAGTGAGTTTTGGACGGCAATTAGATCTGACGGACAGGGATCTTCCATCCACCGGCCTGGCAATCAGCGAGGTCTTCAAACGCCTACTTGGCGCAATAAACAAAAACAGATTGAACGCGATCTTTGTGATAGACGAGATCGACTACTTGGCGCAACTAGTGTCAAAAACCGGCAAGGACATTCTTTACCAACTTACCAGATCAAACGAGTTGCTGGTTCGCGGCAGTCTGACCCTGGTGGGGATATCAAACAACCTTTCCTTCAAAGAGAACCTGGATCCGCGTGTGATCAGCAGTCTGGGGGAGGAGGAGATCGTGTTTACAAACTATACCGTGGAACAGATACACAAAATCCTAGGGGAGAGAGCGGAACAAGCGTTTGTCAAGGGAGCGGTGGGAGAGGCCGCCCTGAACCTATGTGCCGCAATGGCCGGCCGCGAGCACGGGGACGCAAGACGGGCCATTGATCTCTTGCGGGTAGCCGGAGAGATCGCCGAACGGGAACAAAAGAACGAGGTTACAGAGCAGCAGGTCAGGGACGCATCTCAAAAAATAGAGGAGAACAAGGAGGTCACGGCGCTCAAGACATATCCACTACATGAAAAGTTAGTTATTTTAGCCGTTATGAGATCCGCCGGCTCTTCCACAGGGGAGATATACACCTCCTACAAAAACCTCTGTACGGGTGTCAGACAAGACCATCTTACTCCAAGAAGAATAACCCAAATACTCAGCGAAATAGAGATGTCCGGCATTATCTCTAGCAGAATAATACATCAAGGAACGCACGGCCGGACAAAGAAACACAGGTTGACCATCTCTGCCGATACTGTGAAAAAAACATTCCAAGACGATCTAGTGTTGGAAGATGTACTCTAGCGGCTCTGGTAAATTTAGGTGATCCCTGCAGGTCGCTGTTCAAGAAGTGAGCTAGGCTGGACGGAAGATCACCTGAATTTAACAGCAGGATCCGCAGCTCACCTTTGAACACCGCGGCAAAACGGATCACTACTTTTTAACGGCAGGACGGCGCCGACGAGAGCCGCAGGGGGCAAACCTGGAGATCTGGAGCTCACTTATTGAACAGCGACATTCGGAGATCACCTAAATGTACCAGAGCCATTCAGGGGCAGCTCATATAGGTGCAGACCACTCCGGCATACTTCAATCCCGCCACAATAGGACAATGTTCAGAATGCCATGGGCCAAGGGATGTTCGGCATGCCCCGCATGCGGCACTGAAATGACTGTTCCTGTCGGGAGATGCTACTTATATGATCTGATCTTGTCATGCTTGGATCATTGCGTGCGAGTGAGTCTGATGGCATCATGCATGTGGAGCCTGAGATGCCATACGACCAAGACAAACCTTCAACAATTCGCAAGAACGTGTCGAATTCCCATAAACCTGCCACATGGTTATCAGTACGCGAAGCACGGGAACACGGTATCTCGGATTGGGGGGAATCATGGATGCAACCGAAAAGCAGTGGAACCTCATTGGAAACGATCAAGTCTTGCCGTCATCTGGATTGTTTTCATCAAGCGTCCAAGGGGCGAATCGGCCAAGGACTCTTCCCCAATCCAACTTGAACAGAAGCACTGCCATTATGACCACTGACGCACCAAACGGGATGATTCCTACGTAGATCGACGCGGTGGTGTCGATGTTTTCCCTTATTTCAAATAGGGACTGACCAAGATAGTGCGAGACAAACACTATGATGTAACTCAGAACAAGTTTGCCGGCGAGTGTTGCGACGAAGAACCGCAGGGGACTGTATTTTGCCAACCCCAACAGAACGTACACCAGATCATCAAAAACAGGCATGGCCGCCGCCAAGAACGTAACATATGATCCGTACCTTTTCACCATCATCTCAAACGGACGCATGCGGTTCTTCGTTTTTTGGGTAATGGCATTCCTCCAGCCGTAGCTTACAAGAAAGAACACCTGCTTTGTGGCAGCCATGGTTATTGCAGAAAGGAGTGCAAGTATGTGCAAATCGAACATGATGTAGCCCACTGACGCTGAGGCCAAAAGGAGGAACCCGGGAAGCGACGCAAACGGGAACAGGGAAGTAACAAAAATCGCGATTGCCAGAAAACCATAATCCCAGTCTAACGCAACCGCGGACCGTGGTTCGTCATCAGGATTAATCGAGACTTCCAGATGGCCTGCCCACACGGGAGTGGGCGCGCCGACAATGACTAGAATTACTACAACCGCGGGCAAGAGAAACCGACATTCCATGGCAGGCTTGCGCAAGTCGCGCTAATATGTGGTCTGTCGAACGATCCTGCGTAATTTTCGGGTAGCGCAAATTGCCGGCAGAGATAATTTCCATGTACCGCAAATCTTGATGCCACCGTTGGAAACATTTTCTTCTGTCGCCAATCCAAGATCACATAAGTGTCAACAAGCACAATCGATACAATGCTGAAAACCACGATGCTCGGTCTCGCGCTGGCGGCATTCGCGCTGTCCGGCGCCATGGTTACTGCAGGTGCCGAAACGATCCCGTCACCGCTCCAGCAAGTGCGCGGCTCTGGTACATTTAGGTGATCTCCGCATGTCGCTGTTCAATAAGCGAGCTCCAGATCTCCAGATTTGCCCCCTGCGACTCTCGTCGGCGCCGTCCTGCCGTTAAAAAGTAGTGATCCGTTTTGCCGCGGTGTTCAAAGGTGAGCTGCGGATCCTGCTGTTAAATTCAGGTGATCTTCCGTCCAGCCTAGCTCACTTCTTGAACAGTGACTCACAGGGATCACCTAAATTTACCAGAGCCACTCTAGCTCCCAGAACCGAAACCCATAGCTCTGACTTCAAGTGTCTTCAGATTTACAACCGCGGCTAGGCCCGGCGTCGGTTCCAGACCAACACTGGCTTGGAAGGGCGTCTGGCTTTGGAAGGCGCCCGAGTTTACCAACAACACCCCCCGGTACATCTCTAGGGCCATTACATGTACATGTCCGACATGAAAGATGTCTGGGACATCTTCAATTACCAACATGTCCTCCTTCTCCGGCGCAATAGGCGTCAGGCTGCCGTAAATAGGACTGAGGTGTCGTGCCCGAAGCAGATGCTTCATGACATCTGCCGGCTTGCCGTAACTCAAGCCCGGGGTGGTCTTTACAATGTCGTCGATGCTTTGGCCATGAAACACCAGCACCCTGACACCGTTCAGGGACACGACACAGGGGTTTCCAACCATGAAAAAATTCTCGCGTTCCCAGAGCCCAGCGCCGTACTTTCTTGGAATGGCCGGTTGCGGCAGAGCGCGCCTTCCCGGGTCGTGGTTTCCTGGGGATATGACAACCTTGACGTTCTGTGGGATCTGGGAGAGTAACGCCTCTGCCCGCCGCAGCTGCTCTTCCACCGTTTGGTATACCAGTCCCCGATCTTGGTTGGGGTATATCCCAACACCATCTACAAGATCACCACCGATAACGACAAATCGTACTCTCTTAGCGACTTGGTCGGTACTGGATAACCACGAAACAAACTCCAAAAAAGCCTCCTCCATAAAGAAGTCACTGCCAACATGCAAGTCTGAAATAAACACGGCAAAGGACTCAGTTTCAGAATGATTGATCGTGTGCCCCGGTATCCCCGGCAGAACCAATTCCTTCACAACAAATCTGTTGTTTTTGGCCCTGCCGATCCGGATCATTACAAACTGATCAAGCAAGAGCATCTCTGCTTCTGTCCGAGTGCCTTCCTCAAACACCCACGCCTCAAGACTCCCCGTGGTGTCCTCCAAAACAATTTTTACAGAATCCGGTCCCGTGCTCTTCTTGGTGACAAGACCGCAGACAAACACGTCGTTATTAGAACCAGACATCTTGGCGACGTTTCCAATCGTTCTGAGCTTTTTGGCTTCCGGCCGTGCACTAATAACCTGCTTCATCTTTGCAAACCTGCTGGCAAAAAGAGCATCATACCCACTCAACCCTTCTGCCGTGGTCACCTTGTCGGTGGGGTCAAACAACACCACCAGATTTGCCTCCAGTGACACATCTTGGCCAATGCCCAGAAACGACTCGACGTCTTCCCGGCTTATCAGGCGCGTCCCCTCTCTGGTCTTTTTTTTAACAATGTATTTGATTACGGTATTAAGGTCACCTGTCTCAAGCTCTTCCAATACCTGCAGCGCGGCAGGATGAATCTGAAAACCAAGATTTAATGCGTACTTTAAGGCTACGGCGACCTCTTTCCTCAATACCAAAAACAGATCCACGTTTTTATTAAATCTGCCCTCACTCAAACTCTTTATGAGCATGCTCCATAACACCAAATAGGCTTCAATCCGAACCACAAAAACCACTCACACGAGGCCGGTTTCTGGTATCGCTCAGGCACCAAGACGGGTTCTCGCATCTTGGCCGGTACCGCAGGCGACCTGCGTACCCACCAACATATTAAACACAAGGCACGCCCAAACACAATGAGACGGCTTTGGACATTTTTGATCTTTATGGCGCTGTTCACCGTCGCCTACCAACTGGGCTCTTTAACCGAGATAGACGTAGATGATGCCAGAAAGCTTCTGGACGAGTTTGACGATCTGCTGTTGGATATAGATGCGCTGAAAATCTTTGTTCATAACGCCACCCTAGCCCTACTCATGTTTGTACCCGGGTTTGGTGTTGGGTGGGGGCTATTCTCCGCGTGGTCTACCGGGGTGGCGTTTGCTTCCATTGCCACAATAATGCCAGGAGCCGTCACGGTATCACCACTGTCCATCCTGTACTTCTCACCCTTTGGGATACTCGAGCTGGCGGCGTATTCCTTGGGGATGTCCCGGAGCTTCATTTTGATCTCTCTGATTGTCAGAAAGCAGGAAGTGCGCCCCCACATCAAAGCAACACTGATCGAGATTGCAGTCGCAATGGCGCTGCTTTTGGCTGCTGGCTTTATCGAGTTTTATATGATTGAGATGATATGGCAGGGCGGCCTGCAGATGCCCAGCGTATGATCCGAAGATGCCTCAACAGACCCGGATCCACTGCGACAGTTTAAAAATGACAGAAGCGGGCTCTCACTTGGTAAGGCACACTGTCACAAATATCATCAAACTCGGATAAAACAGAGCTAGCCAAGCTCGTCAGAACGACCGGCGCATTTCAGCGATCCGACGGCGAGCCCTTTGTACTGGCTTCCGGGCTGAAATCACACTACTACTTTGACCTTCGGAGGCTAAACGGAGATGCGCAAGGCATTCATACCGTTGCCAAAATCTTCCACAACATGATCAAAAAAATGGACGGGGTGAATTCGGTGGGTGGCTTGGAGTCTGGCTCAATCTCCATAGCCACGGCGATATCCCAACTAAGCCACATCGAGAATCCGACCCGGCCCCTCACCTCGTTCTATGTTAGGAAGAATCCAAAAAAATACGGAACCAAAAACCAGATAGAGGGAGTTCTTAGATCGCCAGCTGTAGTGGTTGATGACGTGATAACCAGCGGGGCGTCGGCGATACTTGCGGCAGACACTATAAGGGGGGCAGGGTGCGAGTGCCGCGCCATCCTGTCGATCATATTTCGGGGCGGTAACAAGGACAAGGAGAACATCAGGCAAAACAGCGAGTTTCATCACATCTTTCGCGAATCCGACTTTATTGATATCTAAGGCTGGCGGTTCCGTTCCCACTGCCACCGGTAATTCATGTATGAATCCGGCTTGGTTTGGCCAAATACCATCACACACATATCGGAGAATTCCATCCCCTTTAGATCCTCCACCATTCCCTCAAACACACTCTCTTCATCGGTTGTGAGCTTTTCAAAGACTTTGACCTGCAGGTGCCTGACATCAAAACCACTGTCCTCCAGATAGTGAGCGATCTCAGAGGGCATGAAGTGCTTGTCAGGCCTTTTGGGCCACGGCCTTGGAACCAAAATAACACTACACCCATCGGCTATGGCCGCTTTCAATTCCTCCTTCTTCCCCTCTATGGCCGAGGTCACATGCATGGTGATGACCCGTGACTTGTCCAGCGGCACGGCCGCCTTCGCGGCGGCCACCTGGATCGAGCTGATTCCGGGAACGATCTCCACGTCCCCAAAAATCTCTACTAGCCGGTCTACTACTTCTGACTCTGAAAAGTTGACATCACCGGTGAATGGGATTAGGATCTTCTTTCCGGCGTCCTTTGCGAGTTTTTGGTATATGTCCTCCTGGTTCTTCATGGTTACCTCGTAGACGTCCTTTCCGGCAATGTAGTCCCTTATTATATTCAGTGTGTATTTGTAGCCCACAACAACATCGCATTCCTTTACCAAGTCAGCCACCACTCCGGTAACATACCTCGGCGAGCCCGGCCCGACACCTACTGCATAAACCCGGGCCAACCTATTCTACCAGAACCCGCCTCTCCGCGATAAAGTCAACAAAGGGCTTCCAATCAACCTTCATGAACTTGGTGGGATCCTTTACAGGATACTTGACCCAGTCCTGCGCGACAGAAAACTGGTACTTTTCCGTGCTTCCGTCTTGCATATATTCAAGGTACAACACGCTGCCCCACACCTCCTCCTTGGTGGTGATCTTTGTGATATTGTTGAAGGTCACCGCCACGTTCTTCTCATTCTGCAGGTCCTCTTGAAAGCTCTCTTCGTCATATCCATCATGTCGTATCATGGTGTTTTTTGATTTCATAAAAGTCAGCGCTTGGCGCGGAACGACGGATTGCCACCACTTCATCTTGGCCTTGGTTTTGTGGATGAATGCCAATCTTCTGTCGGTCAGCACCAGCATTCCCTCCTTGCCACCGATGGTAAAGAACTTCTTGCCTTCACGCCATACCGAGACCACATGCGCATAGATTCTTTCATCTTGGCTCATGCTTGTGGTCTGGCAGTACATATTAAAAACTAATATGGTACACAAGCGGTACCGCTTACCCGATGTATCTACACGATGGGTTTTATTACCGAAAGACAGACGTACAATCGTGAAGGTTTATCTCGCGTCCCCCTACGGCTTTACACAGTCTGGCGTTGAGTACTTGCACGGCATAAGGGCGTTGGCAAGAGACCGTTGGAAGGTTGAGCTCCTCGATCCTTGGGGTGTTGAGGGATTTGACTATGCGTGGTGTCTCAAAACCGCTAGCGATCCGAGAGCCGCCAAGGAGTGGAACCTAGTTGGCTCCCAAGCGCCCGGCAAAAACTTTGAGATGATAAGGGACAGCGATCTTGTGGTGGCTGTATTGGATGGTTCAGATGTCGACTCCGGGGTGGCCTGCGAGATTGGCTATGCCTTTGGCAGGGGGATTCCGGTCATCGGATACAGATCCGATTTTAGGTCTGCCGGCGACAGCATACACTCAAAGATAAACATCCAAGTGGGGGCTTGCGTACAAGGGGAGATATGCACCAACTGGCATGAGGTTGGAGAGCGGCTCTGTGCGCGACAAGGCGGCAAGAGCCAGCGGCCATCGGTGCGTTCGGCGGATCTTGACGGTTCCCGCAAACCGTGACGACCCGCATCTGCGAGAAGGCCTCTATCGGGTCTGCAGGAGCCCAGCAAAAACATATGCCCCGGCGGCCAACGCCTCGGGATCGTGCTTGGATGGCTCAATAGGCCCCACAATTGCAGGGTATTTGATGCCTGCCACACCTGTCCGTGCGGTTTGTGCAAAGCCGGACGTTTTTCATATTTATACCAGGTGATGGACCTGCGCCGTATGGCCATATACCCCATCGCCCGCTGGAGCGAACGCTTCGTGGCGTTTATGATCGATATGATCATAGTCGTGATCATCATCTTTACAATTGAGACGGTGGCGTTTGGCGACACCGATTATTATGGCGAATGGTATGGCTTTTCGAATCAAGGCGGCGAGTACACGGGGTTGTCGGTTACGGAATTTATTGGGGTGCCGCCGTACGGTCCAATATCTGCCGCCGCGGAGGATAATCCGGAACTTGCCGTCGTCGTTGTTACGGCTAATGTCATGACGGGTCTGTTGTCCCTCGAATACCTGGCGTGTTCTGAGTGCTCCTTTGAGGCTGTGGTGTTCAACCTCCTCCCGTATGCTATCACGCCGGCGTACTTTGTCGGCATGGAGCGCGCCCTCATGACTACCGTCGGACGGCGCGCCCTGCGGCTCAGGGTAACGGGCATCGATGGCCAAAGGCCGTCCAGCCGCGGCCTCCTTCTCAGCAACTTCGGCAAGACATTCCCCCTTGCGATTGACTTGATACTCGGGCTGATGTTTGCCAGGGACACGCGCCAGAGGATCTTTTCCAGATGGGGCGGCGTCATCGTGGTCAAGATCCCAAAGGACAAACACCACACGAAATTTGAGCTCGACTGAATCCAGCGCGCCAGCTTCAAATTTCCACAAGCGAATGCGCCGCGACTGGCATGGCTGGGACGCACGAAGCGGCCACGGCGTTTGCTTACCCGGGCATTCAGATCCAGCCGGATTCCGGCGCGCCGTGCGCGCGTAGTTGCTGGTGTCCCAGACGGCTGATGTATAGCTAAGAGCATAAGTTTGTGCAGAGCATTAACCAGCATCTACTAGAATCGATCACAACTATAGCGCCGACTAAAAGTTCTTGCAGAATCCACGAATCATTTCAGTTAGGCTTCCCTGCAAAGCCACATACCAGAACGTTATGTCTGTCAAGATTAGGAACGGATTAGGCGGCAATTGTCAATGGCTGGTGTCCATGTTTGAGACAAACGTGATCGAAGCCAGCGATATACTCTGCAGGAACTTTCGATCGGCGCCATAGTCAAAAAACAGTGTATTCTATGAAGGATTTGATTCCATAAGCGGATTTTGAGCGCGCCAAAGTCTTACGGTCTGCTTACATTCTGCACGAATTTTTGCGTGTCGCTATAGCTAGGTGACGGAGGGGCGGCCGCTCAAGGCTGAGCATGCGTACGTGTGCCTGTACACACCCACCGGGTTGTCGTGCAAAACCCGGCATGTGCCCACGGTGCCGTTGAACCTGCCGGAGGATCTGTTCGCGCCGGCGGTTTGTGCGGTTTTATGTGATTCCCGCTACTAACAGCTTTTATCCCAGTAGTGCGGCGGGCTATTATTGAAAAAGTCACTGATCCCGGCCGTTCTCCTGATTGTGGTCACCTTGGTTCCTGCCTCCTTTGCGCAGAGCCCCGGCTTGGCGACGGACGCGGAGTCCGGCGAGCCGGTGGCAATCTTGCATACAAAATCCGGCGAGATTGTAATCGAGTTCTTCCCGGACGATGCGCCCGAACATGTCCGGAACTTTCTGGAGCTGTCCCGGAGCGGCTTTTATGACGGAACCATGTTTCATCGCATAATCGAGGGATTTATGATTCAGGGTGGCGACCCGCTGACCCGGGAAGGTGAGGAGACCGTCCAGAGGTGGGGCACCGGCGGCCCTGCTGGCACGATAAACGCAGAGTTCAACAGCATACGGCACGATCGCGGCATTGTGTCCATGGCGCGTAGCGCAGATCCCAACAGCGCAGGATCCCAGTTCTTCATAGTGCACAGTGACTCCAGCTTCCTTGACGGGGCGTATACCGTATTTGGCAGGCTTGCTACACAAGAGAGTTTTGTGACGCTGGACGCCATAGCAGCAATGGACACACCGGCCTCGCTTCAGGGAGGCACGGGCTCTACAGTGCCGATCAACTGGCAGGATACGGAGATCGAGACGGTCGAGATTGTAGACCGCGCCAGCGTGCCTGATCTTATGGTGTGGTCAGAGCCGGGGAGGACGACGGATACAACACCGGTGCTTGCCACCTCCAGCTCAGAATACAGCAACGACGAGCTTGGCATCTCATTTACCATACCGGAAGGCTGGGACGCACAGAGCGGCTGGGGCACGGGTTCGGACGCCCCAGACCTGGTGATCATAGGCCCTATAGCGGGGGCCGTACCGGCATCGATCCACCTCGTTACATCGCCATCCGACGGAAGAACCTTGGATGAGTTCGTAGCAGAGGGGGCTGAGCTTATTCAACAACTGGTCGAGGGGAACCGGATGGAGATAATATCTGAGGGCGCGACTACACTGGGCGAGAGGGATGCCTATGTAAGAAACGTGGTGAGCAGTTTTGTAACCAACACCGGCGCCACAACAGCCATGCAGTTCAAGGAGACCACCACTCTGAATGAGAACACATTCTTTGTCATCACATACGCGGCCGATGCGCAGGCCTTTGGTCAGTTTGAAGACAGGTATGATGCGCTGCTAGACACGGTCGCCTTTGGAGAAGACGGCTCCGGTGATAGCATGCCTGATTCGGGGTCAGACCAATCCGGCACATCGGTTGCTGAAGCCCCGGAGGGCGGTGGCGGCTGCCTGATTGCGACTGCCGCCTTTGGAACCGAGATGGCTCCCCAGATTCAACAACTGAGGGAGCTCCGGGACGAGGTGCTGCTGCAGACCGGTACGGGCCAGACATTCATGACCGGATTCAACCAGCTGTACTACTCGTTCTCGCCTGCTGTGGCAGATCTCGAGAGGGAGCACCCCGCGTTCCGGGAGCTAGTCAGGGCTACAATCACGCCGCTGGTATCGACGCTCTCCCTGTTAAACCATGCAGAGATTAACTCTGAGGCAGAGATGCTCGGATACGGCATGGGTGTCATACTGCTGAGCCTAGGACTGTACGCCGGCATTCCGGGGGCGGTCATCTACCAGTGGAGACGCTACCACACATCATCCACCGCATCCAAGCTCTGATACTCCTTCTCGACCCGCGTCTTAAACGTCCGCAATCGGGAGATGTCTCTGTCAAAAAACAGGTCTATGGTCCAGTCAAGCAGAACCCTGACACGCTTCTCCAGATTGGGAATCTTTGAGAGATAGACGTTTCTCCACAGGAACCACGCTAGGAAACCAGACATGTTGATGCCAAAAATGGTTGCGACTCCGGTCCGTTTTCCTATGATCGCCATCTGGCCCTTCCCACGGAACACAAACCTTCGCTTTGCCCTGTTTCGTATTAGTGAGTGCAGGTTGTATGCTGCAACCCTTGCCTGCGCCTCTGCGGCTTGCGCAGTGGGGGCAAGGGGCTTCCCGGTGCCAGGTTCCACAAACATGGCACAGTCCCCAACGGCAAAGACCCCCGGATAGCCGGGCACCCCAAGAAAATCGTCGACGGCTATCTTGCCCCCCACCGTCTTGAACAACGAGCGCTTTATCGTGTTGGGCGGCGTTACCCCGGCGGTCCAGATCAGCGTCTTTGATATTATTCCCCGGTCCCAGGGCTTGTTGGTCTGAAAGTTTTTGACAGTGACCTCATCGCCGTCAAAACCGGTAACCGCGGCCGACAGCATAATCTCAATCCCCCCGTTCTTGAGCTTCTCATGCGCAAACTCTACCAGCTTTTTGCTAAATCCGGGCAGTATCGCGGGTCCCGCCTCCAAGACCACCACCCGAACATCATCCCTGTTAATGTGGGGGTAGTGCTTCTTTGCGTCCACTAGGAGATCCAGCAATTCACCTGCCGTCTCGATCCCGGCAAAACCACCACCCACCACCACAAACGTGAGCAGCTTCCTCCGTAGGATGGGGTCGGACTCGTTCTCCGCATGCTCTAGCATGTCTATTATCTGGTTGCGCAACAGGACGGCGTCGTCTAGCGTCTTCATGGTATACGCATTACGTTTCACGTCCCCCAAACCAAAAAAGTTGGTCTCGCTTCCTAGGGCAATAACCAGAAAGTCATAACTGATGCTGATGCTTCTCTTGCTCTGGGTGCCCCAGAGGGTTACAACCTTGCCGTAGGGATCCATGTTCTTTACCCGTTCCTCATAAAATATGGTCTTCTTGCAGATGCTGCGGATGGGTATCACGATGTGCCTAGTCTCGATCATGCCAGAGGCCACCTGTGGCAGCATCGGCGTGAACAGCAAAAAATTGGACTCTGACACCAAGGTTAGCTCGATATCCGGGTCATCGCCAAAGTATGACTCCAGCCTTCTGGCGCACTCAACCCCGGCAAATCCCCCACCCAGAACCAGGATCTTTTTCTTCCTCTCCGTCATCTGCAACGACCCCGGCTCAGGCGTCCCGGCTCGGCTGGGGGGCGCACACCGACCACGGGGCCAGTCACGACTGGCAGCCGATTCCCAAAAACAACTCTCCGCTCATATTGCATGACGTTTTCCTCCGTCTGCCAGCCAATAATAGTTTCGCCTTTGAAGGTGCACAAGGCTGCCTGCTACGCCGGACTGCCGTGAAGGTTCTTTCGGGTGCGTGTTTTTAGTGCCTGAAGGAAGACATGATCTAGCACCCAGAGTCGTTTGAGCAGATGCACCTTGAAAGTTCTTGTCTGTTGGGCCGTGCGCGCGGCCCGGCGGCAGTTGTACTGCTGCACGGACAGACATGCAGGTCTCCCGCGCGCCAAATCCCCCGGCATCTCTTCGGTCGGCGGCTGATCCGGGGATGCTCGGTGCGCGCCAGACTATCAGATTCGCGACCCCCCAAAGTCCGGCGCACCTCCCCACCTTCGACACAAGGCCATGGTTCCGGACACTTTTGCTACCAGCGGGATGAGGTGTTTTTTTGCATCGCGTCCCGTCTCCCTCTATACACGGCATGACATGCGGCCTGACACGTGTCTTAGACGGATGTCTTGGAGCGTAGAACCTCATACGCCTTTGGCGCATCGTCCTCGTTTAGGATCAGAACTACGTTGCCCCGGTCAAACGAGACGTTGACCAGCTCGATGCCGTTGTAATGGAGGGTCTCGACCACATACGAGACCACATCAGACCTGTTTCTGTATTCAGGGGCAGTTATCTTGATCTTGACAAGCCCGGAGCTGGACGGTTCAAAATCCCCCAAAAGCGGCCCGAACATACTCCTTATATCCCCGGCATCCTCCGCCAGCACCCTAATGGTGCCTGCCATCCTAAACAGATCATAGTCCTGGGGGCTACGGGAGAACCTGTCAAACAGCAGGGCGGCAGCCTCTGGTTCAAAGTCGCCAGCAGGTATTCTGACATCCACGATGCCGTCGATCAGGGACAGCCTAGCGTTCTTCAGGACCGTGCCTTCCCGCACATCCTCCGCTTGCCCAAAGGAGTCCGCCTGTCTCTTGATGGCTACCACTATTGTGTTCAGGTTTACCGGACTCCCCAGCAGTCTCTCTACCTCTGGCCGGATCTTCATGGCCAAGGCGGTGTAATTTATGACATTCATCCGCATGCAGTCATGAATCGATCTGTTCCGGGTTACTATCTCCCGAACCACAGCGGGCACCGAGGCTCTCATACAGGCATAACACACATCAGTAATAATAACATTATGTAATAAGCAGTACATTATGACAAAATGTATATATAGTGTAATATACATTACATTACATAGGTGAATATGACATGTACTACAACGAGATAGATCGACGCTTCAGACACATGGCCCGACTCCTGACGGACACGGACTCTGTGTTTGACGAGGTCGAAAGGACGAGCGACACCTTGGGGCCATTTTATTACGGCTACACAGTGTCCGTTGGACCCGATGGCAGGCCCGTGGCAAGGGAGTATGGAAACATCAGGCCAGAGCAGGTGCACGCCGTCGACTCCCAGAACCTCTCGGTTGAGACCATCGTGGACGATGGTCAAAAGCTGGTAAAGATGGTGGCTGAGATGCCCGGCGTTGAGAAGTCCGACGTCAAGATCAGGGTGGAGAGCAAGACCGTGAACATAGACGCAGAGCGTGGCAAGAAGAAATACCACGCCGCGGTGCCGCTAAAGCCCAGAATTGACACCAGCTCGGCAAAAGCCAGCTACAAAAACGGCATTCTTGAGCTGACCTTCAAGCAGCTCGGGCCGGAAAAACCCAAAGGCAGAATGGTGGAGGTAGAGTAACCTCCCTGCCCTTTTTTATGGTGATGTGTTATGAGCAAAACTGAGCTAAAGGTTAAGGAGGCCGCCCAGCAGCATGTTGGAAGGGGCGTGGCCGTTCTGCACCCCGGTGTTATCCGCCGATACGGCTGGGCCGCCGGCCAGATCCTCGAGCTCGTCTACAACAAAAAGACGCACGTAAAACTGTGGCCCGGGTCTTCAAAGGAGCACGGCACGGACGGCATCAGCATCGACGGAGTTACCAGATATAACATCGGCGCGGGGATTGGCGACAAGATCAGCGTCAGGGCGGTGGAGGCCGTCGACGCAGAGCAGATCGTGCTGTCGCCCACCGAGAACATCACGGTAGACGGCCTGCAGGAGTACATGCTGCGCAATTACGCCAACCATGTCTTTACAACAGGCGACTCGATAACGGCAGGCACCAGGTTGGGCGGCCGGGCCCAGTTTTTTGTAACCGGCACCAAGCCCGCAAAACCGGCCATCGTTACCGAAAGGACAATCTTCAAACTGGGAAGCATGACCAAGGCCGTAAACCCATACGTTCCAAGGATAACGTATGACGAGCTGGGCGGCCTGAAGAACGAGGTGCAGAAGATCCGTGAGACGGTCGAGCTCCCCATGAGACATCCGGAGCTGTTTGAGCAGATCGGCATCGAGGCGCCCAAGGGCGTGTTGCTTTACGGTCCGCCGGGGACGGGAAAGACACTTATCGCAAAGGCGCTGGCGGGCGAGACTAGCGCCCACTTTACCTCCCTTAGCGGTCCGGAGATCATGGGCAGACACTACGGCGAGAGCGAGGAGCGCATTCGGGAGATATTCAGGCAGGCAGAAGAGCATGCGCCCAGCATAATCTTCATAGACGAGATCGACTCCATTGCGCCCAGAAGAGAGGAGGTCACCGGCGAGGTAGAGAAGAGAGTCGTCTCACAACTTCTCGCACTGATGGACGGGATAAAGGACAGAGGAAAGGTGGTAGTGATCGCCGCCACCAACAGGCCCGACTCCATTGATCCCGCGCTGAGAAGGCCGGGGCGGTTTGACAGGGAGATTGAGATAGGAATTCCCGACGAGGGCGGAAGGCTTGAGATTTTGAACATTCACACACGTGGAATGCCACTGGGGGATGGGGTAGATCTGCGGCAGATAGCAAGGATCACGCACGGTTTTGTGGGCGCGGATCTGGCGGCGCTCTCCCGAGAGGCCGCCATGAGATCGCTCAGAAGGGCCCTGCCAGAGATTGATCTTGACCAGGACAAGATCTCCGGCAGTGCGCTGCAGAAGATCAAGGTGGGACATGATGACTTTGGGAGCGCGCTGAGGGAGATAAAACCCTCCGCCCTTCGCGAGGTGTTGGTTCAGATACCCGACGTGTCCTGGAACGATGTGGGCGGGCTGGGGGAGGCAAAGGAGGAGCTCAGGGAGGCTGTAGAGTGGCCTCTGCAGTATAGGGATGCCTGTGAACATGCCGGGGTCAGGGCCCCCAAAGGAATTCTGCTTTACGGCCCGCCGGGAACGGGAAAGACCCTCATCGCAAAGGCTCTGGCAAAGACGACCGAGTCCAACTTTATCAACATAAAGGGCCCCGAATTGCTCTCAAAAGTGGGTCGGCGAGTCTGAAAAGGGGGTGAGGGAGATATTCAGAAAGGCCCGCCAAGCGGCCCCGTGCATAATCTTCTTTGACGAGATTGACGCCTTGGCTCCAAGAAGAGGCGGCGGCGACTCGTCCCATGTGACCGAGAATGTGGTGTCCCAGATACTGACTGAGATTGACGGACTGGAGGAACTGCACGGCGTACTGATCATCGGCGCAACAAACAGGTTGGATATTGTGGACGAGGCGATGCTGCGCCCAGGGCGGTTTGACTACATCGTGGAGGTTCCGAATCCGGATGCGACGGCAAGGGAGCAGATCCTAAGGATACACGCCAAAAAGAAGCCGCTGGCAGGCGACGTGGATATGGCAAAACTTGCCGGACTGACAGGCGGACTGAGTGGTGCCGAGCTTGCCGCGATTGCAGACAGGGCAGCCAAGGATGTGTTGCGGCGCCACATTGCATCCGGGTCTTCGAACGTGAGTGAGATCATTATTGCCCAGCAGGATCTGGAGGATGCCATCAAAAAGGTGAGGAGACCGGCAAGGCATGCTTCGGGTCTGTATTCCGCGCCCACGGCTCCCCCGGCCCGGACAGACGCGAAGTCCGATCCTGAAGGTATAAAGACTCACTCTGGCTATCACGTGTGAGGAATGAAGCTCTATCTTGACTTTGAACCATGTGACGAGTGTGCCACGATCATGGACGCACTCTCCAACCCACAAATACTCTTCGCTGACGAAGGCACGCGAAAGGACGAATCGGCAAAGTTTCTGAGGCACCTGACCTATGCCCATCCAGAAGTGGTACGGGCAGTAATGAACGACCTGCCAAAACAGAAGAAACGCCAGGAATACGACTTTTTCAAATAATTCCCTCAAAACATGCTGCCCACTCCGTATGGGGGGCATTGAAAATTAAAAAAACAAACAAAATCTAGGCCGCATCGGCCTTGTTGCTCTTAGTGACCATGGAGCCTATTATCCGGTCGATCTCCACCAGAGCCGGCTTGTCCCTGCCAACCAGATCAAACTTTTGCAGCATTGTCTCCAATACCGTCTCTTCTTGCACCTGCTCGTTCACATACCACTGCAGGAACGCAAAGGTGCTGTAGTCCCCCTCCTTCTGGGCGTACTCGGCCATTCTGGCAAACGCTACCGTGACAGCCTGCTCGTTTACCAGCGCGGCCTTACACATGTCTTCTAGAGACTTGTAGTCCTTGGGGGGCTGTTTTATCGCCGGAATCGTCACGGCGGCCCCTATGTTGTTCAGGTGTAAGACGATCTTCAGCATGTGCTGTCTCTCCTCATCAGATTGGGCATAAAAGAAGCTGGCCGCTCCCTCGTAGCCCATGGTGTCGCACCACGACGCCATCGAGAGGTAATAGCTCGAAGCGTAACCCTCCATGCCTATCTGGTCGTTTAGCATCTTCTTCATCTTTACAGACATCTTCATTGTACAGTACGTGGCGTGCCGGGAAAATAAAAGTCCTGTGATGGCCGAACCGAGAGCGGGGTATCTGAGCTAGGGACGGCCAATGCAGCCGGCGTGGTGATCTGGTATACGATCCGGCCAAGAAGCCCACAGCGTGCACCACCGCATTCTGTGACACGAAGGCCAGCCCCTGCCACCATGTTTCGCAGTTCCGGATTCGTCGCATGGATTGCGACACTGGCCGCGCGCATCATTCCATAAAATGCCGGACTTGCAACAGGAACGGGTTTCCGGCAGCGCCAGCGTGCGGAACGTGAAGCGAGACTCGCGTGTCTAATCCTTCGTGATCGAGTCTCGGGAATGGCCCCGATTTACAATCATCTGGATCACCGCATCAACAGAGTAGTCGATGCCGTGTTCCTCCTCAAAGTGATCCCTTAGCTGCTTGATCATGGTGAGGGTCTTTTCTTCTTGCAGAACAAAATCACACTCAAAACCATAGTCCTGGCACTCTAGTTTGATTATCACACCTGTTCATCAATAAAAAAACTATAAAAACATACTACTCGGCTTGCCCGACCCTAGCTTTGGCTTCCTGCTCGAAGAGAATACAGCATGGCATGGCCGCCTTTACAACCCCGTACCCCTCCGGCTGCACGAGATCCGGGCCTGGCACCACCGTCATGGCCCTTGGGGTCCGGCGCCATTCTGCGCATGCCGAAAGGCCCGTCCGGCCGCGCCGAGCGTGGCAAACCATGGCACCATGCCGGGCCGGCAGATGCTGTGGGCGGCGGAGCCGGACACGAGCCGGGTTGGCACACCCGCTGCCGTCCGTGTCGGGTTCTCTACGGCGTGGTGGTAAGTTCTAGGATATGTCGGAGGGAACAACGGGGAAACCCCGCAACTGTTGCCGCCGGCCGATTACGCACACCTCTTGATTTATATCCATAAAGGGGACTGCCAGAAACATATGAAAGTCGAAAAACTAAGCTCTTCTTCTGACGAGATCAATCTGTCGGTTAAGGAGTCCGATATAGGGGCACTGTACATAATTCAGCACGAACTTCTCAAGAATCAGGACATAAACTTTGCTGGAGTCATGGTTAAGCATCCCCTCACCAAGGAATGCTGGATGCGCGTAAGCACAAACGAGAACGAACCCGTCAAGGCAGTTACCGATGCAGCGGATGTAGCAGTCAAAAACATCGAAGAGTTGGAGAGTTTGTTCAAATTAACGATACGGGAGAGCTAGCTATGAAGTTCTGTCCCGTGTGTCAGACGCGTCTAAAGACGGGACTCACTGGGCTGAGGTGTAACAAGTGCGATTACTCAGAGGCCGCCGCGGTTCGTGTCGATGCGCCCAGCACGGATACTAGCGATTCCGGATTCAATGTACTAGACGAGTCGGAGGGACGGGAGGTCCTTCCTACTATAAAGATCGACTGCGGCAAGTGCGGGCATGACGAGGCAGTCTGGTGGATGCTGCAGACGCGCAGCGCTGACGAGCCCACCACCCAGTTTTACCGGTGCGTAAAATGCAAATACACCTGGCGGAACTACTCCTAGTTCACGCTACGGACGTGACCCGTCGCAAACCGATAAAAGACCCAACATGCAATGACCCGTCCGCACATCAGCGCCACATGTGGCATGAACCATCCCATCACAGGCACGGTCTTATTGATCGGAACGCTGGAGCCAACATCGCTGCCGCCGGTACGAGATCCAGGCACAAACTCCGGCGCGCCATCCCGGCAGTTGTATTGTTACAGCAGATTGGCGGGTGCCACTAGCGCATCTGGAGAGTCTCTCTGATCTGTGCTATTCTGTTTCTTATGGTGACGTCGCTTACGCCCGCTGCCTGCGCGAATCCCTTCTGGGTTATCTTCTCCCCGTTCATAATGCACGACAGATACAGTGACGCGGCGGCCTGCGCCACAGGGTGCTTCCCCACCGTAATTCTCTCCTCCTCCGACCTTGCCAAGATGTCTAGGGCGTCTCGCTTTATCCTCTCCCGGAGGTTGAGGTTGTTGGCAAGCCTCACAACAAATGCAGACGTATCATACTGGTTCAGATCCATGTCAAGACTCCTGATCAACATGCGGAGATCCCTTGAGAGCACCCTCTTTGCGACATTTGCCGCACCTGCCACATCATCCAGACTTCTGGGCGTGCCGGTTCTTCTGCATGCTGCATAGAGCGAGGCGGCAACCAGCGATTGCATTGTGCGTCCTCTGGTAAGCTTGGCAGAAACAGCCTTCCGGTATATTGATGCCGCGTCTTCAAGTATGGGGCTGGGAATTCCCAGCTTGGTCTTTGTCGCATTCAAAATAGTCAGTGCCTTAGCCAGCGATGAGGAAGAACGCGTTCTGCTTCTCTGATCCCAGATCCTCAGCCTGTTAAATGTCTCCCTTGTGCTGGAAGATACGGCACGGCCGGTTGCGTCCACATCCTTTCCTATCACAGTTGATAGGCCCTTGTCGTGCATTGTAAGCGAGCTGGCAGGACCGACTCTTGTCCTTTCTGCTTGCCTGTCTTGGATGTACAGGCGGCCGTCAGTTAATACATCCGGCGCGCTCTGAACCAGAACAAGGCCACAGCCGCCGCAAAACACCTCACCCCGTTCAGAGTCTGTCACTGCGGGTTGTGTCTTGCAGGCATCTAGGTGACATCCGGCATCATAATCACTAGCATAGTTACTTACCATTTATATACAGTTACACAAATTAGGATAAAAGGAAACAGATAGTGGCAATTCTATAATATAAATGGCAATTCTATAACAAAATTTGTCAACTTTTCAAGGCCCGAACTCGGTGCGGCAAAAGACCTGATCCGGCCCGTGTCCGTCCTGTGGGCAGACTCAGCCGTGCCACGACCTCTACCGCATCCGGCAATGCCGGCCCCGCGGCCATCCGCCATAAGGGACAGGCGGGCGCTAGAAGCCTGTTGCCAACCTACACTCCGAAACGCTGGTTGATCGAGGAGAGCTCGCACTCCTCATGAAGGGCCATTACGGCGGACTCGGCATCCTCGTCCTTTACCACAAAGGCCAGATCCAGCTCCGACGAACCCTGAGCGATCATTGCCACGTTTATGTTGTGCCTGGCAACCGCCCCAAACACCTTCGCGGCGATGCCCACGGTGCCCCTCATGCCGGAGCCTATCAGGGCAACAACCGCAACATCTACGGTGACTTCCAGCCTTTTGATTATCCCGCCCAGCAGCTCAGTCTCGAGCGCGTTTATCGCCCCGTCCAGATCGGTACTATTTACCACTACGGATATGCTGGACTCCGATGGGCTCTGGGAGATCATCGTGATGTTGACGCCGGCCTTTGCCAGGGTGGAGAAGATCTTGGCCGCGGTGCCCCGGGCGCCCACCATATTGCCGCTCCGGATGTCGACAAGCCCGTTGTGCCGCCTCACGCTGACGCACTTGATCGTCTTCTCTTCCCACGTGCTCGGGGAGGGTGTTATCAGCGTTCCGGGGTTTGACGTATTGCTGGTACTGCGCACCCGCATGAGTATCTTTTTTGTCAGCAGCGGCTCAAACGTACGGGGGTGGATCTGCTTTGCCCCAAACAGCGCCATCTCCGTCGCCTCTACGTATGAAACCTCCCGGAGTAGTATGGCATCTTTTACGATGCTGGGATCCGCAGTCATCAATCCGTCCACATCGGTCATCAGCCATATCTCATCTGCTTGCATGCACACCCCTATTATGGTGGCCGTGTAGTCCGAGCCGCCGCGGCCAAACGTGGTGATGTGGCCATGTTGGTCTGCCCCGGCAAACCCACCTATCACCGGTATCATTCCTCCGGCCAGTATCTTACCGATCGTCTTTGAGACCCGCAGTGTGGTGGTATCCATCAGGGGCTTTGACTCCCCAAAATTCGAATCGGTAACGATCCCCGCATCGCTGCCGGTGATGGACTGTGACCGTGTTCCCCGATCGGCTATTGCATGGGCAACTATCTTTATTGAGAGCCTCTCGCCAAACGAGAGAAGATAATCCTTGGAGCGCGGCGTGATCTCGCCTAGCAGCACTATGCCGTCGACCAGCTCGGTAAGCTCGACAAAGTCGTCCTTCAGCGAGTCCAGCAGACTGTTCCTGTTTTGAAGGTCTGTGATGGTTTGTCTTGCAAGCCTTCTGTGGGTACGGATGAGCTGCGTAACCGTCTGCTTTGCGCAAGCTCTGTTGCCCCGGTTGACCTGTGCCGATATCTCGATCAGGCGGTCGGTGGTCCCTTTTATCGCAGAGCACACCACCACCAGATCATTCTTCTTTGAATTGTCTGACACAAACCCGGCTATGTCTTTGATCTGTTTGGCGGTGGAAAGTGAGGTACCACCATATTTTATGACAATCTTCACTTTCAGCTCTAATTGCCCGAATTAACTTAAATCTTTAGTTGTCGACGCGGGGTGCTAGGTAAAAGTGGATTCTGCCGATGTTTGCCACCATGAATTCTATGCGGAGCGGCTTTGACTCCGAGTACTCGCATGTGATGATCTCGGCGGTGGATCCCACCGCCTTTACTATGGGATTGAGGTATTCGAGGCTGTAGGATCCGGTGCCGTCGGCCTTTACATCCATGCTCTTTATCGAGTCTGCATCGTCCTCCTCCTTCCCCAGACTCATCCCGATTGTTACCTCGCCTGCGTCTCCCTTTCCCGAGAACACGGCGCCAGACTCGGTGGTGGATATGGTAAGATAGTCAGACACCACATGCACATCGCCCAGTATCTTGTCAAAGGTGCCCGTGGTAAGCCCAATCTTTACGTCAAAGGTAATCTTTGGCAGCGGAGTGTCTGTGACGGAGCTCTCAATCAGCCGCATCTTGTACTTTTTGTTCTTGCCTATTGTGACTAAAAGCATGTTGTTCTCTGAGATGCTTATCTCAATGCTGTCCTTCTTGCTTGCCCTCTTGATCAGCTTTGAGAACTCGTCTACCCGCACCCCAAATTTTATGTCGCTGTCGCACTCGTATCTCTCAAAGGCGGAGTTGGGCCATAGAATATCTATCAGGGCCACATGCGAAGGATCCATTCCGCGGAATGTAATTCCTTCGGTGTTTGCGACAAAGGTGGCCTCCTCTACTAGGGTGGAAATGGCCGAGATGATCGCCTTCAGCTCGTCTGATCCGCCGGTCTTTGCTACAAACGTCAAACCTGTCTATTGCCTCCATTAATCCCGTATTGCAAGAGACAATAAATCTTTTGACCCGCTGCAGGGCTGAGAAGTGCCCCAGCCCGCGGCGCCGTCCGGTGTCACCGCCAGAATACGGATACCTGAGCCGGGAGCCGGTACATCTGGACACCGCCGTGAGACTGCGGCGGCCTGCCTGCCGCGACTCGTGCCTCCCGGGTTTGTCCCTGTGGGCCGGGCACGCCGCAGCGGCCGTGACTCCCACTCTGGCCGCTCTGCGTGGCGAGGCGTGCGCGCACACGCAGCCGGATTCTGGGTCAACCCCCACGCGGCGCGGGATTCCAGACGAGCCTGGTAGGTGGCCACCATGGCGTGCACCGGTCGCACGGAGGCTAGGCGCCCACTCACGTATCCGTGCCTAATGCAGAACGCACGGGCACGTCCGGGTGCGGCCCGCGCCGTACCCCGGCATCCCCAAACCTCCCAGTCCACGCACGAGCCCCACGGCCCGAGATCCGAACCTGTAGGAATATTACAGGGATACAAAACAGCTGGCATGCATGAGTCAGATTTCAAACATGGAGCTGGTGGGTTCAAAGGATCGGTTTTCCGCAGACGAGCGTATCACAATCAACGTCAAATTCTCCATGGTGGGCCAGATTCGGGCCTCCTTCACCGAGGAGCGATGGACCCAGGCATACGACAAAAACGATGTCGTCTTCAAGCTAAAGTACGGCATCAAGCTGCAGGTCGGGGGGTTCAGAAAACGGACCTTGGGCAGCCAGATAGACTCCTACAGAAAGGCATCCATCTTCTGGACCCGAAATCCCCTGCTTGTCAATCCCATGAAGGAGCGGCGGGTCTGGGTTCAGGTTGCAAAGAACTTCAAGCCGTTTATCCGGCTTACCGAGGAGGAGGTGAGGGAGGAGCTGTTTGATTTTGACGAGGGGATCTCCTTCCAGGCATCCGAGCTGGGATCTGGAAGACACGCCATATCCGCCGAGGTGCAGGCCTCGTGGCAGAAGCACGAGTTTATCCCCTCCCAGAGCTGCAAGAACAACAGCCCGGAGATCGAGCTAATCATAAATTAGGGTTATGGCCCACTACAGCTTGGATAACTCGATGGCAAAGTATGATGGGTTGCTGGGACAGCCGGTATTGGAGGTAGAGGAGCCCGACAAGGAGGGCGGAATAACCATCATCTTCAAAGACAACCGGTTTCTCTTTATCACGCCAGTCGATGGCAAGATCGAGACGGTCTCGATTCCGGAGTGATACAATGGCAAAGTTTGACGGAATCAGAATGCAGGATTTGGTAAAGGTGGAAGATCCGGACAGTGAGGGCGGCCTGACGCTGGTCTTCAAGGACAACAGGTTCCTAAAGATCAGAATAGTTGACGGAAAGATGGTCTCAGAGTCGATTCCAGAATAACTAGCCCCTGACGTGCCTCTCATAAAACGACACGACAAGCTCCTGCGCGTCTGATTGTATGGATCCCGGCCGCTTCTGCCTTATCTCGGATATGGCCTCCCGCGCAGAGTAATTTTTGTGTCTAATCAGATAGCATGCGAGTATGGTTCCCGCCCTGCCCAGACCCGCGGCGCAGTGCACCATGGCTGGCTGGTCCTTTGACACATGCCGGTGCACAAAATCCACTGCCGCGTCTATGCCGTCTATGCTGGGGGCCGCAAGATCCTGTGTCGGAACGTGGAGATAGTCCACGTTCGACGTCCACCGGTCGGGCAGCGGGTTCTCGGTCATGGTCACCACGGCTCGGACGCCCTGCTGCACTACCCAGTCAAACTCGTCGTACGTGGTGGGCATTCCTGAACCGGCCAGCCTCTCCTCGATGAGCCATGAAAAATTGGTGGGTTTCTTTGTGATCCGCCCGTGCACCCTTCGCCACGCATTCCCTGCCTTGCTCATCGATACGTGGTGGTCCTGCCACGCTTTTAGGGTTGCTGTGGCACTTGGGGGTTATCGCAACGCTTCCACGGCCGAACCGGCCGGCGCACTGCCAGACACGGCTCCCGCACACACGAGCAGGAGGGGCCAAACCGCAGATAGTGACTGCGGCCAGGATGGCGCAACAACCCGTACTATCTTATATGCGAACAGCCTGTAGTAGAATGGATGACGGGCAAGGAGGCCACCCTTTACGAGAAGCTGCCCCAGCAGAAGGTGCGGTGTACCGCATGCGCCAGATACTGCGAGGTGGCGCCAGGACAGATTGGCCTGTGCGGAATTCGCGGCAACACGGACGGGAGGCTGGATCTCTTTGTATACGGCAAGGTGATTGCGGGCCACGTTGATCCGATAGAAAAGAAGCCCGCGGTTCACTTTCACCCCGGCTCCAGGGTACTCTCCATAGCCACCACCGGGTGCAACTGGCTATGCCGGTACTGCCAGAACCATGATATCAGCCAGAGGAGGCGCGTAGAGGGACAGGATATGACGCCCCGTGAGGTGGTGCAGACCGCCCTGGAGTACGGGGCTGACGGAATCGCCTATACGTATAACCAGCCGTCCATCTTTATCGAGTTTGCCAGGGATGTTGGAGTCATCGCTCGCAAGAACGGGCTGTACAACGTCTTTGTCTCAAACGGGTACGACACACCCCAGACAGTGGAGATGATGGGTGAGTTTCTGGACTGCATAACCGTGGACTTTAAGGGCAGCGCAGAACCCGGCTTTACCAAGAGATACATCGGGGTGCCCGACCCGCAGCCGATCTTTGACACACTCCTAGAGATAAGAGACAAGACAGACATCCACATCGAGATCACCGATCTCATTGTTCCGCAGGTAGGCGACGATCTGCGGTACGCAAGAAAACTGTGCGAGTTTGTGTACGACGAGCTGGGCTCTGATACACCAATCCACTTTTTGCGGTTTCATCCGGACTACAAGATGATGGACCTGGAGGCGACCCCGGTTAGGACGCTGGAGAGGCACCACCACGTGGCAAAGGAGGTGGGGCTAGAGTACGCCTATCTGGGAAACGTGCCCGGCCATCCCTTGGAGCACACGATCTGCTTCCGCTGCGGCGCCACGGCAATCGAGAGGTTCGGCTTTGATATCCGAGCATGGAACCTGGATGAGAACAACCGGTGCCTGTCCTGCAAAAACCAGCTTCCCATAGTCGGCGAACTCTCCCGAAACTACAAATCCAACCGTTTCGTGTTTGTGCGCTGAACCGCAATAGCCCGAACCGGGGAACCGGTAGCTCCATGAATCTTTAACGGCAGCACCACCAGGTCAAAGTGCGCGCCGCGGATCTTCTCTAGGTTTATCAGGTTCTCCAGTATCAGAATGTCATTCTCCGCCAGTATGCCGTGAGCCGGAAAGCCTCGGGCAGTGCCCAAGTCTATACTGGGCGAATCGATTCCAACCAGATTTACCCCCTTTGCCGCGATGTATATGGCGGCGTCTGCCGTCAGCCCCGGATTCCTCTCAAAGTACGATGCGCGGCCAACCTGCCCGCTCCAGCCAGTATTGAAGATGAGTGTGTCGTCCCTCTTTATGGGACCAGATCTGTCCTCAAAGCCGGTTATGTCATCTACGGTTATGCCTCGATTGTCTGACCCTGGCAACCTTATCAGGGACGCGCGTCGCATCAACCGGCCGACGGGAACCTGGTGTATCTTTCTGCCGCCCTCCGCAAAGTGGTACGGCGCGTCCAGATGCGTTCCCGTATGCGTGCTAAAAAAGACGAGCTCCAAGTTGTATCCCGAGTCGTGTATCCTATTCCACTGAACAAACTGCGGGCCCGGCGAGCCCGGAAAGGTGGGCAGTCTGGGCGATATGCTCATTGTGAGATCTATCGGCTTCATGTCAAGCCGACGGCGTTGCCGCTAATCAGTGTTGATGCGCCTGCAGTACACGGAGCGGCTGCCAGTCGTTTGTGCGCGGTTTGTACGTCTGGCCGTCTTCTCACGCGCCGTTCTGTACTTGGCTGTCTGCTGCATCGGAACGTGCGCAAACACTCATCCGAAATGTGCGCATCCGTACCTAAATGGGAAAGGCGCGATACGGTACGCTGCCTTCTGTTAAGAGTTAAATACCTTCTAAAGAAAAATTGGATGTGCCAACATCTTATGTTCTGCTCAACTCAGATCTGGGTTCGGACAGATCAATAATTACCGAGGTAAAGCAACTGCTAGATGGTGAATCCGGCATTGCCTTTGAGGTTCAGGGCGTGTATGGTGTGTATGATATAGTTCTGAAACTGACCGCAGACAGCACGGAAAAACTACGGACACTCATCACAAACAGAATCCGCAAGGTTCCGAATGTACAATCCACGCTTACAATGATAGTAATCGAAGAGCAAGAAGGCCTATAGATCCCTGATCGCGCGTATTACCGCTTGAATATCGTCCTCTGTATTGAAGAGGTGCGGCGACGCCCTGACCATCTTCTTGTCAAGGCTCTCCCGCTCTGCAAGCACGATGCCCCTCATCTCCATCCTCTCTACTATCTGCTTTGGACTGTGTCCGGCCACGGTAAACGAGACTATGCTGGTTCTGCGTTCCTGCTCGGCTGGCCCATACAGCGTAACCCCCGGAATCTCTGCCAGTCCGTCACGCAGCTGGTCTGCGAGCACGATGATCCTTCGCCTGATGTTCTGCAGGCCGTGCTCCAGCAGATATCTTGCCGATGCCTCCAATCCCACCATGCCGACATAGTTCCGAAATCCTGCCTGGAACCTATCCGGCGCATCCTTGAACGCCAGCTGGTCCCCATCGTATATCATGGCCGACTCGTAGCCAATTTGTGTGGGCTCGAGCAGACCGCCGGAGTCTCTTCTGCAGTAGAACAGTCCCGTCCCCATGGGACCGCACAGCCACTTGGATCCGTTAAATGACATGAAATTGCACCCCAGCGCCCCGACATCGAAACTGCCAGCACAGCCGACAGTCTGCGCCGCGTCCACAAAGAATGGGATGTTCTCCTTCCCCAGAATCTCACCCACCTCCTGTATGGGGAGTATGGCGCCCGTATTGTACAGCGCATGACTTAGGGCCACCAGTCGGGTATTGCTATCGATCGCACTCTTCAGCTGGCGCATATCAAAGAACCCGTTGTCGTCTATCTCCAGACTCTTTATCCCGGCCCTCTTTGAAAGGTTGAGCCACGGGTAGTAGTTTGCATGGTGCTCGTGGGCGGCCCCGCGGAGTATGATGTTGGAGTGTGGCGGAAGCTTTATGCCGCTGGCAACCATGTTTATCCCGTCCGTGGTGCTCTGTGTGAGAGCTATCTCTTCTGGCCTGCACCCGATCATCTCCGATATCACCTTTCTCGTGCTCCGCAGGTTTCCGGTGACGTACGAGTCGGCGTACATCGAGTCGGGCCCCGCCCGGTTATACGTCACCAGAAAGTCAGTCATTGCCTTTATGCTGACCGTGGGCAGCAGGGAGACAGACGCGTTGTTGAGGTAGATCTTTTCTGCCCCGGCAAAATCATCGATCAGGCTTCTCGGGTTCATTATTATACCAGAACAGGCCTGTTCCTCTGTTGGTTAAAAATGGTGAGGGCGTAGCAGACCTCATCAGCAAAGAGACACTAAATCTGGTGTGTGCCCGGGATCCCTTTCTAAAACAGATGTTCCTAGAAGAGCTGACCAAGACACACCCGTCCGTAATCTATCTGGACTTTGATCTTCTGTACAGCGGATATGTGAAGACGGGCGTCATATCCCAGAGGCCAGGCACGGTTCTCCAGCAGGTATGTGCAGGGAACTTGGTAGATATGCTTGCAAGGACATACCGGACAGTCTCGCAGAACAGATGCCTGGTAATCGTGGACTCACTGAACGGTCTTTACAGCCTGCCTGGCATGGGAGACTCGGGCCGAATGCCGAACTCCTACGTCATGATGCTGGCTGCCATGGCAGGGCAGTCAGGATCCAGGGTGGTCTGCTCCTGCATGTTGACAATGGATCGGGATCTGACCCTGTCTCCGCTGAACATTCCACTGATGCAGATCAGCAAAATGTGCATAATCAACCTGAAGGGCTCACAGAAGGGAATCACGGCGGATCTGTTGCGAAACGATCTCTCTGTGAAGACATCCGTGTCGGTGGTCGGGCTCCGGTTCCAAACACCGTTATAAAATTTTCAAACACCGTTATAATCTGGTCATTTTAAGTAAATTATATTAAGATCAAGCACAGACCTAGATTGAAATGCCAGTAGCAATTTTACCGGACATCAGCGAACAGATGTGTATCGGATGCGCTCTATGCGTTGAGATATGCACAACACTGGGACCTGACGTACTGAGAGTAAAACCAGTTGAAGGCTGGAAGAGAGGGAAAGCATTCGTCTTTTACCCCGAGAGATGCATCTCTGATGGTGCATGCATCGGTGTATGCCCGACGAAGGCAATCTTCTGGATGAGGCCAATGGACTTTACCGTTGGACAGCCAGTCCCACTCTACAGAAACTCCGTCTTCACAAAAGGTTGGACAGAACTAATCGATTAGTAAGGTTCACTAACTACTTTCTTTTTTATTTACTTTAAAGGGATACCGCGCTCTTACCTGCGGCAGGATCACGCCTGATTGCCCCTAGAGCACACGTAGCGCGCTCGGGTGCAGTCCCGTGCCGGCAGGGTTGCAGACCGCGCGTCGGCGGGCGCAGCGCACTCCGCGTACGGGACCCGGCCATACGGGACTGCCAGAATGGCGGGCTCCTCCCGTACCAAATCAGCAGTCTATTGTACAGAAATTATGTCGCGCGCCAAGAGTCCGGCGTACTGCCCAAGAGTATTTTACACTACACAAGTCCAGGCACCCCATGCCAACACGCCTGACCAACAAGGCCATCCGATACGCCGTCAGGCAGCTGGAGAAGGGCAAAGACACCAAGGCGGTCGCAGAAGAGATCAACGCCACCCAGAGGCATGTGCAGCGACTGTGGGCCGAATTCAACGGGACCGGTTCGATCCATGTCCAGCAGCCTGCAGGGCGGCCGGCAGATCTCCCACCGTCCAACGAAGAAATCAATATGGTATTAGACGTTCACGGGCGCAAGCCGGAGGGTGTGCTACGGACAGCCAGGAGGCTTCGGAAGGAGGGACACGATATAAGCTACTCTCGCGTATACCAGATAATGAAGTCCAACGGCCTGGTCGTCGACTCCCCGGCAAAGTCGAGGAGGCGCAAGTGGGTCAGGTACGAGCGCCTGTACTCGAATGCCATGTGGCATACTGACTGGCATGTGATGAAGGATCCGTGCATGAAGGATCTGAACCTGATCACGTATCTTGATGATGCCTCCAGATGCGTTACGGGCGCGGCATTGTTCAAGGAGGCCACCTCAGAGAACGCGGTGGCGGTGCTCCGGCAGGCCGTCGGCAGGTTCGGCGTGCCGGCGACTGTCCTGTCCGACAACGGCTCGTGCTTCGTCGGCAGGGGCGGCCACAAGAAGCAGACAGGCACCTGGACTCCGACCCTCTTTGAGAACGAGCTGCTGAACCGCAACATAGGGCTGATCAATTCAAGACCATATCACCCGCAGACCAACGGAAAACTGGAGAGGTTCCACAGGAGCATCGAGGAGGAAATATGGCACTACGGTGGTCTGGACGACTATGTCGAGTACTACAACACCGACAGGCTGCACTTTTCACTGGACATCGACAACTACGAGACGCCGCTGATAGCGTTCCGCAGCAAGAGGGCGATCGACGAGATAAGACAGCAAAATTCCAGATGGATGGAGGCAGATATCAATGACTGACGGCCCAGACAGAGGGCGACATGATTTTCATATACTACACGTACCAAATCAGCAGTAATAATCTTATATAGAACAATTAGAAACTTGAAACTATGATCCGAACGAATCAAAGCGCCGTTATCAAAGAGGCAATCAACTCCTATATTGACCAGGGTCTGACCAGCAAGCAGGAGATATACAGCAAGATCGTTGACGATCTTGATGTGCCAAGACCAACAGTGAGAAGAGTGGCAAGCGATCTACGAAACGAGCTGATGGAAAAGATCAAAATTTTACAATCCGAAACCCAAAGATCAGACAGCGAATGATCAGACGGTTTCCCCCTCTTCTTTTTACCATTTCTCAAATGACAGCGACAGCTGCTGAAGGGCAGGAGCCGTATCGGCAGACACGCATGCACCTCCTACGCGGGCCGGATGCCGTGTGTACGTGGGGCAAAACCCCGCCTGTACATACCCTGATCCCGTTCAATGCTAAACGTGGTTTTGCATGGTGTCATGTATTTTTGTGCCTAGACAGACCTTGGATCTGAGCATATACCCCCGCCTGATGCCATTACTGTTATAAACCAGAAATTTCTATCAGTGTCATGGGATACCTGGGAAACCAGCTAGCCACCGTCGCAACAGGTGCGTTTGCCGCGGTTCTGACCGGGCTATGGCCATGGTTCATGGGATTTGCTCCGGTACTCAACTTTATCTTCATAATGGCGGTGACCATAACGTGGTTTCTGACCTTTGCGTGCTGGTTCTCGCAGAAGAGCGCCGACTACATGAAGGCTTGGGAACATGCACAAGCCGGGCATGGGGAGAAGAGCGCAACCAATGAGGGCCAGGTCGTCCAGGTCTTCAGGGCCGATGGAAGCGCGGCAAACGATGCCGAGATAAGCGAGGCAAAGATCGAGCTGAACAACGAGCTGGACCAACTGAGAGCCACGGTTAAGATAAAGGACTCAGAGATAGAGCACCTCAAGGCAGAGATCGCAAACCTTGAGACCAGGGTCCAGATCGAGTCGCTAAAGACCGAGCTGACAAACCTCAAGGCGCTTGCATCTGGGCGATAGCTACTTGCAGTGCTCGCACTTGAAGGCCCCGTCATGCTCTGCCTTGCAGCCGGGACAGCTTACCGCCCCGCCAAAATGACACTTGCAGGAACATGGCTCTGCCATGTGCATAGTTATGGCACCGTCTTAAAATGTGTGATGACGCGCGGCGGGCGGGCAGCTAGAACCTCCGGCCCGGCCAAACCAATAAAGCACCAGCGCACACCCTGTACAGGTACATGAGGGAGGAGATTTACTCTGGAAAGATACTGAGCCTCAGCAAACACCATGTCAAGATAGAGGGAAGAAGCACGGTTCGGGAGATGGTGGAGCATGGTGGGGCTGCCGCCATGCTGGGATTTGATGAGAACGGCAGGGTGGTCCTGGTGAGGCAGCACAGGTACCCGCACGGATACGTGCTGGAGATTCCTGCAGGCACCATAGAGCGCGGCGAAGATCCCGTCGAGTGCGCGCACCGGGAGATGGTCGAGGAGACCGGATACCGAGCAAAGGAGATGATCCCGCTGCTCTCATACTATCCCTCCATAGGATACAGCACCGAGCTGATCCACTGCTATGTGGCCTCCGGCCTCAAGAAGGTGGCCGAGGCGGATCCCGGCGACGACGAGTTCATCACGGTGGTAAAGATGGATATCGGGGGGCTCCTCGGGATGATCACACAGGGAAAGATACAGGACTCAAAGACCATATGCGCCGTCATGGTATACGCGGCAAAGAACGGGCTAGTCTGATCTGCCGTAGACTGGCTTGACCAGATCCGCAATGTCCGCCCAGGATCTCTCCACCCTGTCAAACATGTAGAGTATGTCAAGAAAGTCGATCGGTACCTGGCTCCCACCCTGCAGCGAGTTTCTCATGGCGGTTATCCTGTCCTGGCTTCTCTTATGGAGCGTAATGGCTTCTATGGCCCGCCTCCTGTCGTTGTTCACAAACGCTTCTATGGCCCGCTCCTCTATCTGCGGAAGGCCCCTTACCACGGCGTGGATCTTCCCAAGCTCGTCGCTCCCGACGGATGTCTTCAGAAGTGCGTCTGCCAGCTCCACTATCGTGTCGCCCGTTCCTTCCAGTATGTTTGCGGCTATGCGGTAATCCATCACATTGATGTTCTCTAGGTTGAACGCATTGGCAAGCCTCTTATCGGTGATTGCGTTTCGAATAAGCCGCACCAGCAGAAAGTACTGCCTGTTGACCTCATCGTCCCTGCTGGAGAGGGTCTGCAGGTTGCTCCGGTCCTTGGAGACGAGCGCGTCCAGCACATCACCAAACATCCCGAGAACTATGGCGCTCATCCTCTTGAGTATCCTTTGGGGATTCAGCGTGGCCGCGTCCAGCAGGAATTGGGCGGAGATGGTGGATGCCTCCTCCTCGACTATCTCCATTCCCACCAGCTTCCTGATCGAGTCCCTTATGTTCTGCCTGTCCTGTATCGGAATGGACTTGACGCGCCTGATATGGATCAGGTCATACCCCAGAAGATAGGCCCCCGTGATATTGGCCACTATATTCTCCTCCTCTGGCAGCGGATAGGATATGGTCACGTCCTTTGTCGGGCGCATCTCGTTGCCGATCGTGATGGTGAGGGTGTTCTGGCCGACCTCGATCTGCACCTCGTCGCCCTTTGCCAGCTCGTTTTCGTCGATCCACTGTTTGGGGAGGGAGACTAGGATGCTGTTTCCTATTCCCTGAAGGCGCCTGGTGTATTTAGTCAATTTAAACTTCTTTAAATTATTTAAGCCATATTTTTATATTTTTCTCTGAATTTAAATAGGCAGATGAAAACCGTAGCCTTTTGCCCCGCGCACATTACCGGTTTCTTCAAAGCGGCCGTGGATGGGTGTGACGCGGAGCCGGACAGAGCTGGAACCCTAGGTGCAGGATTCTCGATTCAGGACGGGGTCACCACTACGGTAAGGGTGGAGCCAGCGCCAGCTCCGGAGTTTGTGATTACCACCGGAGGGTACAGGTCGGGCGACACCGGGGTATCGGAGTTTGTGGCAAGGGCTCTTCTTGAGCGCTGCCGCCGGGGATATCGCGCGTTCATACACCATGAGATCTCCGTTCCCGTAGGATACGGGCTTGGCTCCAGCGGGGCCGCCGCGCTGTCGCTTGCTTTTGCGCTAAACAAGGCGCTGGGCCTGAATCTGCCAAGGGAGGATGTGGGCAAGATTGCCCACGGCGCCGAAGTCCGCTGTAGGACTGGACTGGGGGACGTGATTGCCTCGTACCACGGGGGGTTTGAGATCAGGACAAGGGCAGGTGCCCCTGGGGTTGGAGCGCTGAAGAAGACGGTTCTTGACTCCCGCGTCGTCCTGATCTGCTTCTCGCCCATCTCCACAAGGCGGTTCATCGCGGAGAAACTTGAGACGATAAACGGTCTTGGCGGCAGGATGGTGGATCGGCTGATCAGAACCCGGGATCGCGCCGACTTTCAGGACATGTCAATGGAGTTTGCAAGACACATCAACGTGATGACACCCAGGATGGAGTCCGTGGCAGACGAGCTGCGCCGGAACGGAATCGGCTGCGGCGTGGCGCTGTTTGGGGAGACCATATTCGCGCTGGTTGATTCGGAGACGGAGCAGAAGGTTCTGGACGTGCTCCGGGGGTACGGGGATGCCATAATCATCCGATCCGGGGTGGACAACTCCGGGGCCAGATTAAGAGAGCCGGGGGGTGCGTGATACTTGTCCGTGGTGCCTGCAAGTCACCCGCGGGCGGAGTCCCTGCGGATAAGGGAGCTGCTGGTGGACGGATACAGCACCGGCCTGGTCGCCAGGGAGGGACTCCTGGCCCACGGCCGGGGCGAGGCATTTGACTACCTTCTGGGGGAGCAGACCGCGGGGTTTGCGAGGCGGGCGATACGGGCGGCGGCTGCGGCAATGCTTCTTGCGGCCTCGCCGGTGATCTCGGTCAACGGAAACACGGCGGCCCTGTGCCCGCAGGAGATGCTGCGGCTTGCCCGGTCATCAGGCTCGATGATCGAGGTGAATCTGTTTTATGCCTCCGAGGAGAGGAGGAGAAGCATCGCGCGGGTGCTAAAGGAGTGCGGCTCTGACACGGTGCTGGGGCTTGATCCTGCGTCACGGGGAAGCCTTCCCGGCATCGACTCGGCCCGGAGGGTGGCCGACACGGGCGGTATCCTGGCTGCGGATCTGGTGGTGGTGCCGCTGGAGGATGGGGACCGAACCCGGGCCCTGAAGGCGGCAGGCAAGACCGTTGTCGCCTTTGATCTCAACCCGTTCTCTAGAACCGCCGGCGATGCGGACATCACAATAGTGGACAACGTGGTACGGGCAATGGGACTCCTGGCAGACCGCTGCCGGGATCTCTCGGCTGCGGATCGGCTGTCGCTGGAGGGAATCCTACGGGACTACGACAACGGCCGGGTGCTCTCTGAGGCCATGTTACATATGGAGAGCAACCTGAGGGAGAGGGCCCGTCTTGCATAAGACGGTGGCAGACATACTGAAGATGAAGGAGAAGATCACCATGCTGACCAGCTACGACTACACTACGGCCCGCCTCTGTGACGGCGCCGGGATTGACGTGCTTCTGGTGGGTGACAGCGCCGGGATGGTGATGATGGGATATCAAAGCACCATCCCCGTTACGATGGACCAGATGTGTCTGTTTACCTCCGCGGTAAGCCGCGCAAGAAGGGACGCCCTGGTAGTAGCGGATCTCCCATTCATGTCGTACCAGGCAAGCATAACAGACGCGATAGCAAACTCCGGAAGACTGATCAAGGCAGGAGCAGATGCGGTAAAGCTGGAGGGCGGCTCCGAGATGGCAGACACCATATCATCCATAGTGGGTGTGGGGATACCTGTAATGGGACACATAGGACTGCAGCCCCAGACCACCACACTCTCGCAGGGTTACAGGGTGCAGGGAAGGACAAAGGAGTCTGCGGCAAGACTGATCCGCGATGCCCGAAGTCTGGAGCAGGCAGGCGCCTTCTGCATAGTGCTTGAGATGGTCTCGCATGATGTGGCAGAGGTGATTACCAGGGATGTGGCGAACATCCCCACCATCGGGATCGGCTCCGGTCCCGGCTGCAGCGGGCAGGTGCTGGTGATCCAGGACATGCTCGGCATGTATGAGCTGCAGTTCAGCTTTGTGAAGAGGTATCGCAATCTGTCCAAGGAGATCGGTGATGCCGTAAGGGAGTACGTCTGCGACGTCAAGGAGTCCAGATTCCCCGCGCGCAGCGCGGATACACCCAAGGAATTCTTGAAGGGGATCGAGTTTGAAGACCGGAAGGGATCATCCGTCTCTTGACATTGTGGGTTCCCATGGCACGGAGCTTGCAGGCAAAAGGATCGTCCTATGCGTGGCAGGAAGCGTGGCCGCCTACAAGGCCATCGAGCTGGCAAGGCTCCTTATGAGACACGGGGCCGATGTCACCTGTGTGGCAAGCCCGGCCGCAACCAGCCTGATCCGGCCAGACTACTTTGAGTGGGCTACGGGAAACGATGTGGTTACAAAGCTCACAGGCAAGTTGGAGCATGTGCAGCTGGCAGATTACGGGCGGTCAGACGCCATAGTGGTGTATCCGGCAACGGCAAACACGCTGGGCAAGCTGGCAAACGGCATAGATGACACGCCGGTCTCCGCGGTTCTGACGGTGGGCCTTGGGGCAAAGATTCCGATCATAATGTGCCTGGCGATGCACGAGGCAATGTATGAGAATGCGGCAGTCAAGCGAAACATCCTCTTTCTCAAGGACGAGGTGTCCTTTGTATCGCCAAACGTGACAGAGGGGAAGGCAAAGGCCCCGGAGCCCGAGGGCGTGCTGGACTTTGTCCTGCGCAAGTTTGGGCGCTCTGGCGTGCTTGCCGGTAAGAGGGTGCTCATGACGGCTGGGCCCACCGTCGAACACATCGATCCCGTGCGCGTCATCACCAATACCAGCTCGGGCAGAACCGGGGTGTCAGTGGCCCGGGAGCTGGTATCGGCTGGCGCCAGCGTTACCATGATCTACGGCCCGGGATCCCAGAGCCCGCCGGCCGGGATCCGGGTGATCCCAGTCAGGACGACGCAGGAGATGGCAGACGCGCTTGGGGGGGAGCTGGGGAAGAAGTTTGATGTTGTAATAATGGCGGCGGCCGCTGCCGACTATACCCCCAAAAACCCCAGCGGCAAAAAGATCAAGAGCTCAGAGTCCGACATGCAGATATCCCTGAGGAGGGTGCCCAAGATGATCAACCAGGTAAGGGCCCTGCAGAGGGATGCCCTTCTGGTGGGATTCAAGGCCGAGGCCGGCGTATCCAGAGCTGATCTGGTGGCAGAGGCCAGAAGAAAGATCGCAGAGACGGGGGCCGATTTTGTGGTCGCAAACGACATAGGAACCAAAAGGTACAGGCAGAATCCCGCATGCAACGAGGTGGTAATAGTTGACTCTGATACCGCCGTCCCCTCTGGATGGAAGCCAAAGGAAGAGATAGCAGGCGTTATAGTGCGGGAGATAGAGCGGCGGATTGCCTAGCCAGGACGTGCGCTACAAGCAGCAGCTGATCGGCATCTGGAATGAGCTGGCGCCCAGATACCACAGGAGGTGGGCGGGGCCCGGCGTGGGGCCGTTTCAGAGCACGCGCGAGCTCCAAGAGATGCTGGAGATCGGACAGGACAGCCGGATCCTGGATGTCGGATGCGGAACAGGTGCAGCGATCAACATGCTGCGTGGCGGCATCGGGCCGGGGGGCATGGCTGTGGGCCTGGACGCCTCCCTGTCGGCGCTCAGGATTGCAAAAAAACGGAGCGGCGCGGATTTTGTGGTGGCCGACGCAGAGACCGCATGCCTCAAGGCGGAGTTTGATGTCGTCACCTGCCAGTTTGCGCTCTTCTTCTTTCCGGATGCCGGGCGCGCCCTCCAAAACATCAGGGGGCTGATGAAGAGGGGCGGCACGCTGGCAGTCACGGTGCACGGCGCCGGAGAGAGTGTCCCGTACCACAGGATCATCCTGGACGAGATCATCCGGGTCATTCCGGACTATCTGCCTCCCGGGGCGCCGCAGATGGACAGGTTTGGGACGGAGGAGGCCCTGAAGGCGGTGGTGACCGGTGCCGGCTTTGGCAGAATCAGAGTCCGGGAGCGCATCTTTGAGTACAGCCCGGGGACGGCGGACTGCTACTGGAGAAACTACACCAGATATGTGGCAGGACCGCTCAGGGCAAAGCTTAACTCGATCCCTGCAGGAAAGAGAAGACAGATAAAAAGGGCCGTGGCGGCAAGGGTCAAGCGGTTTGAGAGCGACGGGAGGGTTGTCTTTCCGTGGAAGGTGCTGATGCTTACCGCAAGGCGGCTATAGCACGACCAGCTCCTTGGTAAAGCCGTGCATGACGGCCTGCCGTTCCCCCACTATTATGGAATCCTCAATTCTTATACCGAATCTGCCGGGAATGTACACCCCCGGCTCGACTGTGACCGCCATGCCCTCTGCAAGCTCGGCGGCGCTGCCGCCGGATATGGTGGGCCGCTCATGAACGTCCAGCCCTATTCCGTGTCCCGTTGAGTGGATAAAGTACTTGCCGTACCCTGCCCCGTTGATGTGGTCGCGGCAGGCGCCATCCACCTCGCTGCATCGTGCGCCGGGCCTGGCAGCCTCCAGCCCCAGCCTCTGGGACTCCCTGACCGCATCATACGCTCGGGCCGCATCATCGGAGATCCTCCCCAGCGCAAACGTCCGGGTGGCATCAGAGACGTACCCCCGGTACCTGAGGGTAAGATCCACCACAATCAGATCGCCCTCGGCAAACCTTCTCCCTGTGACCTGGGCGTGGGGCAGCGCGCCGTTGGGACCGCCCGCAATGATCAGCGGGTTCAGGGTGGACCTGTACCCGGTATCAAACATCTGGCGCGATACGGCATATGACATCAGGTTCGCCTGAAGCTCCGACTCCTTCTGGCCGCGGCCTATCTTCTGCGTGCACAGCTCAAACATCTCGTCTATAATCCCCGACGCTTTTTTAAGAGTGGCAATCTCCGCCGAATCCTTTACGACCCTTGCGCTGTGAAAGGGTTCTGACGACGGCTCCACCCCCGGAGCCGACCTCTTTATCGACTGCATCGTGTGGTAGTTCTGGCAGTCAACGCACACCCTGCCGGATTTAATCCTGGATGTGAGGTACGACATCATCTCGGCTCCCCGTCCGGACTCGACCACGTCACAGTCGACCGATTCGGCTCTGGCCCTTTCGGCCTCGAGGGCGGGGGCAACAATCGTGGTGCGGCCGCCATCCTCTAGCAGTCCCACTGCCTCCCCCCAGAATCCGGTCATGTAGAACAGGTTCTCCGGCTCCAAGGTCGCTACGGCGTTGCAGCCCATCTCCTCTGCGAACCGGAGAAGCCGATCCCTTCGTTGTTTCACGGCGTACAGTCCTTGCGTTCCACATTTATTTCTGATGAGGGGCCTGTGGGCCCTGATCCTGCGGACTCGAACATATGATTCCTCGGGCGTGTGGGCGCGCGTTTCGGCTCAACACGGATCAGGCTTGTACCCCCTCAAAGTATGTATACTAGAGGGCTGGTTTCTGGATCATGCCAGACGGGGAGAAGAAGAAGGTAGTTGCCCTGTTGTCGGGCGGACTTGACAGCCAGCTTGCGGTAAGGATGATGCAGAAGCAGGGCTTTGAGGTATCTGCGGTGGCCATCAAGACACCGTTCTGTGATTTTGACTGCGGCAGGGGCTGCGGTTTTGAGATAAGGGAGAGGGCCGACGAGCTGGACGTCAACCTGAAGACGGTCTACCTCGGAGATGAGTACATCGAGATGCTAAAACACCCCAAGTACGGGATAGGCGCCGGCATGAACCCGTGCATCGACTGCAGATCCATGATGTTTGAGGCGGCAAAGAAGCACATGAAGGAGATCGGCGCGGAGTTTGTCATCTCTGGCGAGGTCCTGGGACAGAGGCCCATGAGCCAGCACAGACAGGCGCTCAAGACCATAGAGAAGGAGACTGGACTTGAGGGAAAGATACTGCGCCCGCTCTCGGCACGCCTGTTGCCGCCCACAGACGTGGAGAAGAGCGGACTGATAAGGAGGGAGGATCTTGGAATGATACGGGGACGAACCCGTCGTGCGCAGCTGGACATGGCGCGGGAGTTTGGAATAGTCGACCCCCCAAATGCCGGCGGCGGATGCCTGCTGACCGATCCCGCCTTTGGCCTGAGGGCAAAGGATCTCTTCGGCCACACGGAGACGCCGTCAATAAATGACACTGATCTGCTAAAGGTCGGAAGGCACTTCCGGCTTGACCAGCACACAAAGCTGATAGTGGGCAGAAGCATGGATGAGAACAACGTGATCAGCGCACTGGCGCTTGACGGGGACATAACCCTGGAGGTGGCAGACTTTATGGGCCCTGTCTCACTGCTGCGTGGGGAGACCTGTCTGCAGCATGTTGACTTTGCCGCATCTGTGACTGTCAGATACTCAGATGCCCCGGCAGACAAACGCGTGGCGGTCAACACGCGCCGCGACGGCAACCAGTCGCAGACACCTGCCAAAAGATGCGCAGAGGCAGACTATCTGAAATTCAGAATATAGGCGCCCGCCTGGCAGGGTGCAAAAAACGCACAAAGTCGGAATCCGGCCAACAGCCCCGAACTTCAAAGAAGGTTTTTGTAAAAGTATGACACCATATCTACACATGCAAAAGCATGAGGGCCCCACGTATCTGAAGGCCATCACCATACGGGATCCCAGCGACATACACCACATCAAGGAGGACATCAAAAAGAAGATAATTCTGATACTCAGGGTTACCCCGCTGGCGCAAAAAAACATAGACGAGCTCAGGGGCGTGGTGGAAGAGATATACCTGATTGCAAAAAACACGGAAGCTGACATTGCCAGGCTTGGCGAGGAGAGAATCGTCGTGGTGCCTTCGGGCGTAAAGATATGGAAGCCCGAGTATGATCTAAAATAACTTTATTGCTTCCTGAATCTGTGGATAGTGTGCCGGAACCTTGAACATCCGCCGTATGTTTAGCGCCAAGTTCTCTGACTTTCTCCGCTCCCCGTGATTTACCAGCACGCGCTTCAACTTGGGACGCAGCTTTTGCACAAACGACATCAGCTGGTTGTAGTCGCTGTGTCCGCTAAAGCCGTCCAGCTTCTCTATTCCGCAGTTGATGTTGACAGCTTCCACCTTGCCCTCCCTTCCCAAGAGGGAGATCTGCCTGGCGCCGTCCAGCACACGGCGGCCCATGGTGCCGTTTACCTGGTACGACACAAACAGAATCTTGTTGGCCTTGTCCGGCGCCACATTCCTAAAGTATTCCAGTACGGGTCCCCCCTCCAGCATTCCAGACGTGGCCAGAATAATTCCCGGCGAGTCCTCGCGCAGTGCCTCCTCACGCGCGTCAGGGTGCTCCACATTGGTAAAGTACTGCGAATCAAACGGATTGTCGTCGGTCTCCAGTATCTTCTGCCGGAGCTCCCACGCCAGATACTCGGGATGCGCCTCGTGGATTGCCGACGCTTCAGATATCATCCCCTCGGTGAATACGGGCGCCTCGATTATCTGGCCCTGCTTCATGTACTTGTCGATGACCATCATGATCTCTTGGGCGCGGCCCACCGCAGGTATCGGTATGAGCACCTTGCCGCCGTCGTGCAGGGTCTTGTTTACCGCATTGATGAATGTGGACTCGACCTCCTGCCTGGACGGCTGGATGTCCTCCTTGGCGCCGTAGGTACTCTCTATCAGCAGTGTCTCGACCCGGGGAAACTTGCTGTTGGCGGCCTCGAACAGAATGCTCTTTGCAAACTTGATGTCCCCCGAGTACACAAAGTTGTGAACGCCGTTGCCGATATGAAAGTGGCACAGGGCCGAGCCCAGTATGTGTCCCGCATTTGCCAGAACCAGCTTGATGTCCGGAGAGATGTCCGTTACGCTCCCGTATGGCAGGGTTATTGCCTGCCTCATGATCTGCCGCACATCGCGCTCTGCATACATGGGGGTCTTTCCCTGTGCCGATGCCACCTTGATGGCGTCAAGCTGAATCAGATTCATCATGGGCAGCGTGGGCTCTGTACAGTAGATGGGTCCCTTGTATCCATACTTGCACAGTACGGGGAGAAATCCCGTGTGGTCAAGGTGTGCATGCCCTACCACCACGGCATCCAGGTCATCCAGGGTGGTGTTTATCCAGTCCAGCCGGGGGAACGAGTCCACGGGGTTCTGGGCTCCGGGATTGACGCCGCAGTCGATCAGAACCTTGCTCTCCTGCGTGGACAGCAGCATGCAGGAGCGTCCGACCTGCCCAAAGCCGCCCAGCGTGAGAAGCGACACCTCTGTGCGCTGGGCCAGCCGGGGCCGGAAGATCTCGTCGCCTATCTGGCGCAGCTGCTTGCCGCGCTCGTTTGATGATACCTTGAGATTGTAGCTGATCTCACGTATGGTGCTAGACGGGTTTGTGGTGGCCTTGCGCACGCGCAATCCCCACCCGATCTTTTCAGTTATCTCGGTGTGATCAAACTCCTTCACATTCCTCTGCAGGAGCCACGGCCTCTTCACCTCCAGAGAGACCTCGCCGGTGGCGGTATCAAAGAAGGCGCCCCCCAGCTTGGCATCCGGTGGCATGTGCTCCCTTAGTATTCTGAGCGCGTCGTTCTCGGGCTTTCGTATGGACTCGTCCGTTCTGACTATGATCCTCTTCTTGATCACATTCACCAGATTTGATATGATGTTGTTGTTCTCCATCAGGAACCTGGGCGAGTTGGTGTACAAGGCAATCCGAGGTCCCTCATACTCGATCTTTGTAACGCCGGCCTCACGGGGTATACTTTTTAGTATGGTTGCCATTATGTATTGGCTGCTGGATACTTCTTGCTGTCTTTTTTGCATTAAATCACTATAGCTGAATAATTGCCTTCTTCTGCTCCTTGGTCAGAAGCTGAAAGCCGTTCTTGTCTATTACGGCAATATTGATTCCGTCTCCGGTGCCTATATTTCTAACAATTGCCGCCTTTACCGCGCGCAACGCAATGGACTTTGCCTCACCCACCGTCAGGCCGTCGTGGTATGCCTCCTCTAGCGTACCGTATGCCACAGGCGATCCGCTGCCGGTGGTTACGTATGGTTTGGCCTCGACGGATCCAAACATATCAATGTTGAAGAGGGCAGGCCCGTTTCTGTCGTATCCGCCCATCAGGATGTCGGCTATGAACGGGTAGCCGCGGTTTTGATGAAAGATCAGGGACGTGAGTCTGGTCAGGGTCTTGATGGGCATGGCCTCCTGGTTCTGAATTCGATGAAGGTTTGCATGGTACCTCAACACGTCTACAATATTCTGTGCGTCGGCGACACCGCCTGCCAAGGTGAGTCCCGCATGGTCGTCAATCTTTTGGATCTTCATTGTGTTGTTGTTTGCGATAAAGTAGCCTGCGCTTGCCCTCATGTCCGCACACAGAATAATACCATCGCTGGCCCTGATACCTACCGTGGTTGTTCCATGAAGAATCTTCTCTTCAACACTATTCGACAAAAAATACACCTGTAAAGTTATCTTGGGTGCACAGCACCCGTTTAAATAACTTTTTGTTAGTGTAGTGTGTTGCATAATTCCCCCTGCTCGCTTAGAACATGCACGGGCCTTGCATATTTTGGACTACACCACACCTGCCCCCATGTCTACCAGCTTGTTGTACGTGGCCACCTTGATCCTGACTTCCTGTACCATGTTCTTCCACTTTAGCGAGTACAGGTGCTCGCCGAACATCCGCTTGAATGCAGAGAACACGATCTCCACCAGCCATCTCTTGCCGTACTCGACCTTCTTTTTCCATTCCTCCCCGAAGCGCCTTTTCTCGTCGTCTGACATCTTCCACACGTGGCTGTCAGCAGATCCGCCAAGCTGCTTCCTGACTGCGATCCCCCATGCGTCGCCGGTTCCTTTCCCGCGCGCCGTCGAGTTTACCCTGAGCTTGATGCGTGAATCCACGCCACGATCCCCGCATGCAGTCACGTTGCTTCTGGAAGCGTAAGCGGCATCCCCGTACAGGCAGCATCCTGCGTCTGCCGGTCCGGCGGCGGAATCCTGCGCCTGACCTGTCCGTGCCACAGCCTCCAAGGCCTCGTCAAGCAGCGGAATGAGCATCGGCGAGTCTCCGGTTCTGTCGTCGGTGACCTGGACTGCCAGTATCTTCTTCGTGTCCACGTCCACCATCACATGGAGCTTGACGAATCCCCTTCGGACCTTCCATTTGTGCCTGATCCACTCTCCCCTGTTGTGCTGCTTTAGGCCGGTGGAGTCGACTGCGAGGCGGACCGGCACTGTCCCGCCGCCCGTGACGGTAAACACGTTGCCATTCCTTTTGACCTCCAATGCTTGGAACCTCCTGTATATTGTGGTGTAGCAGGGCGTGTCCCAGTCACCGAGCGTCTCAATCAGCATTCCCTGCAGGTGCCTGTACGGCAGTCCTGTCATCGATTTTACCGCCGCCAGGGCCGCAAACAGTGACTCGGCGTACTGGAACGGCGCGCCCACCTTGTTCCTGTTGGCGACCATCACCTCCTCGTGCCTTTGCGGATCGTCCCGGATGATCAGCGATTGGCCGCGCTTGACGTATTTCTCGTTGTCAGTCGTCACCAGTTTGCATCTGATCCACTGATCTTTAGCTTTTTCGGTCTCGGACGGAGTGGGGATATTCACGGTAATGTGCTAGGATGAATTATGCAACACACTATGTTAGTGATTGAGTGTGGGATCAAACACCCATGTTCTACCATACCTGCCATCATCTGCGCCCAAACCTTCACGAAACGGCCCGAGATGCCAGAGCAGACCCGGCTCCCTGCTGAACCGGCAGGCACCCCGCGGACAGACCCGTGCGGTAGGTACCGGCCACACTTAACGGCGCCCCCATGCCCTGCCACAAAAGGTCTGCGCAAGCAGGCGATCCAAAACACAGGCGCAGCGTTTGGATAAAACGGCATGCATGGATCTGTATCCGGCCGCACCCGCCTGTGTCCGGGTGGCCGGAGATGTCCGTGGCGAGCCTGCCCTAGGAGCGGCAGTCCCATGACTGCTATCTCCTGAATGCCTCGATCGGAGCACATAAGATTAATTCCTTATGTTCTTATAGTTCGTGCAGAGATAATGCCCGTGGCAGACTTGGATGCCGTTTTACTACAGAATATGCCCTTATCTAAGGAATCACACACCAACAGGGGGGTGGCGTAGTGCCCCCCAATGGCCCCGTGGTGGGAAAACCCCCGGAATCAGCATCATCTCATACAATGGAGCTCCCCCGGCTGATAGTGATAGGCGAGAAGAACATCGGCGGCATCGGAGGTTTTGTCCGCTCGCTTGGCAGGACAGGCAGGATGGCCCTGATCTCCGGGGTGAATGTAAGGAAGCTGGTTCAGGACAGGGTGGAGAGATCCCTAGAGGACTGCGGAATCAGGTACGACTGGCATCTGGCACCAAGCAATGAGGTGGGCGCCCTAAAGATACTGGAGAACCAGGTGAGGCGGCGTCACAGCAGACTCATTGCGGGTATTGGCGGCGGCCAAGCGGTGGATGCCGCCAAGATGTTGGCATTCAATCTGAAGGTGCCCTTTGTCAGCGTGCCCACCGCGGCCTCCCATGACGGCGTTGCCAGCCCATTCGTGTCGCTGAAGGGCGACAGGCCACATTCCATGGTGGCTACAGCTCCCCTGGGTGTGTTTGTGGACATTGACATAATCAAGGGCGCCCCCCGGAGATTGCTGTCCAGCGGGTGCGGGGACCTGATTGCAAACGTGATTGCCGTTAGTGACTGGGAGCTGGGGCGGGACAGGACTGGAGAGTACTATGGCAGGTATTCTGCGAGCTTGGCCATGCTGAGCGCAGGAATCGTGCTGGAGAATGCGGCCAAATTTGCAAAGAGTGGGATAGACGCAAGGGTGGTAGTCGAGGCCCTGATCAGTGCCGGGGTGGCATCGTGCATAGCGGGAAGCAGCAGGCCATGCTCTGGAGCAGAACACCTGTTCTCACATGCGCTAGACAAGATAGCGCCGGAGGTTGGCCTGCATGGAGAAAAGTGTGGGATCGGCGCGATCATGATGGCAAAGCTTCATGGCCGGGACTGGAAAAAGATCTCCCAAGCTCTGCGGGACGTGGGTGCGCCAACAACGGCAGAACAGATAGGGCTGGATCGTGATACGCTTGCCAGCGCGCTGGTTATGGCGCAGGACATGAGGCCCGAACGGTACACCATTCTCAAGGAGAAAAAAATGACAAAGACGAAAGCCATCTCCCTGGCAGAAAGCACGTTGGTTCTGTGAGATATTATGCGCTTGCGGACTGTGGCGCCTGTGCCGGTACGGCCTCGTCCCCTGGCGGTGGTGCGGACTGTGCCTTCTTGTTGGCAAACGACTCGATGAAACTCAGCTTGGTCAGATCGCTTGTAAAACCGAATATGTCCAGCTGCGTCAGATACTTGATGCTCACGAGAGCCTCTAGCCTGAAGAGTTCCTGGGGGATGTCTATGGTGGCCTCCCCATCGCAAATTGTAAAGGTTGGAAGGTTTTTGTGTGGAAACCTTTCGGCAATAATTCTCTCAACTATTTCGTCATCTGACTGAAGGAACTTCAACACGGTTGCGTCATACACGATGGTCTTTCCGGCATACTTGTGGTTGTAGTCTAGCTGAACCCTGCCGGATCCGATATGGCGTATGATTGCAGGTTTGTTGTCCAGAACGATCGAGTCGCCCACGGATATCTTTTCTGCATCGTCGCCGAACTTTCGATGCGGAACCATTCTTACCTTGCCGGGATCCCTCTTACCGTATCCCTTCTCTGGCGGCACCTCCACTCTGAGAGTGGCGCCCACCTCTGACTCTGCCAGGGCTTCATTAAACCCCTCGGTGACGGCAAATGCCACACTGCTGATAGATACCAGTCTGGATCCTGACGGTTCAGAATCATCCGGCGCGTCTTCCCCCGTCCGGTTCCTGTTCGTCGAATCGACGATTACGTCGCTGCCTTTTATTGTGGCGGTAAAATCCACTAAGAGTAGGGAATCTCTGGGAAAAGTCAACAGTGTGGTTGTTGAAATTCCTTATATTAGAGTTTAGAGTTGGCGCGCAGCAAGCGCAATCTGAGACGGACCAAACGGATGGCCTAAATCCCAATATTGCCCATGATCCCGGCCAAGCGAGACAAGATGCAGGCAGCCACTCTATCTTGGTGATGGATCTCGGACCGGTCAAAGTCCGCTTTTATGGTACGAAGCATCGTATCTGGCGCCGCTGCTGGGATAGGTTCCGCTTCCGCTACCGATGCCGTTGCGGCGATTGATTTCATTATCGCATGCGACATGACAAATCCGCATAAAAACACCGCGGCAATACCGTCGTTAGTGTGCAGACTGTCATGACCGTTCATGCCGTCATGGACATCCGTGGTTAGTGGTCTGAATTGAGCTGGTCTCAGAGAGCGGCCAGCTTCTCTTCGGCTGCCAGCAGCCCCGCCCGGGAGTCTGTCTGGTATCCCATCATTGCCAGCGTCGATGAGATGGCGGAGATGGTTCTCATTACATGGTACCTGTTGACCTCTCCCATGCAGCCTACGCGGAATACCTTTCCCTTCAGGTCACCAAAGCCGCCGGCAACCAGCACCCTGAACTTTTCTGCTAGCGTGTTTCTAAACGTGCTATCCTTCAACCCATCCAGATAGTTCAGCGCAATTACCACAGTAGAGCGCGAGTCCTTCTTGGCAAAGGGTGTCAGTCCTATTGCGCTCAGGCCAGAGTACAGGGCCTCGGAGCAGACCCGGTGCCGTTTTATCCGCGCATCCAGTCCCTCTTCCAGTATGATGTTCATGGCCTCGTTGTATGCGTACAGCAGGGGAAGCGCGGGAGTGAACGGAGTATGCTTTGACTCGCTGTAGTACTTGAAGTACCTTGGCAGGTTAAAGTACATCGTGTTTGGCGGATTGTCCGTCATGTACTTTTTTGTCCTCTCGTTGACGCATATGGGCGAGATCCCCGGCGGAGCGGCAAAGGCCTTTTGTGCGCCGGTCATTGCAACATCAACACCCCACTTGTCCATACGGAGCTCCTCGCCGCCTACAATCGACACGCCGTCCACTACGTAGAATGAGTCATTCCTGGCTGTCAGGTCTTTTACCCTGTCCAGGTATCGGAGCATGGTTCCCGTGGATGTCTCATTCCAGACGCAGTAGAACGCCTTGACGTCTTTGTTGTTGTCAAATGCCTCCCTTACCTGGTCAAACGTGGCATTCTCGCCTGGGGGCGTCGTCAGCCTTACCACCTGTGCCCCGGCCCATTCTAGCATCTGTGACAGCCTGCTGCTGAACTCGCCGTTGACTGGAATTATTACCTTGTCTCCCTTTTTGATTAGATTGACGACACTTGCCTCCACGGCACCGGTGCCAGACGAAGAGAGGCACACGGCCTCACCTTGGGTTTGAAACACGGCCTTTGTCTTTTCGACGCATTGCTCGTACAGCTCTACAAAATCGTTGCTGCGGTGGTTTATCATGGGAACGTACATGGCGCGCGTGACCCGCTCGGGAACGTTTGTGGGGCCGGGCAACATGACTAGATATTCCAAGTATGATCTCCTGTTTGCCGTCTTTTGAGGCACTATTTATAATTTAAAGGGAGGCCAGGCGCTCCTTGGCGTCCAAACGCAGGAGAACCTCTCTTGTGCCATCGGGTACCAAGTGCTCCCACCTGCCGCCATCCCGGATCAGGGTCCGTACCCCTGTGCCGGACAGCGCATCCCTGTTGACAAGCGGGACGCGGACAACCCGAACGCCGCGCTCAGAGTACAGGTGGGCAATCAGCCGGTCTATGGTAAAGACCATCCCATAACGGGGCACCACGTCGTCTATGCTCTTGATCCATCTCTGATGATCGTCCACATCCGGTATCGGAAACACCCTTACTCTGGGGGATCTGACGGATCCCAAGGACTCGGCAATCATCTCCTGCCGCTCGTTAGCAGAGAAGGGATTGTCCCTCTCCCGCGTCTTGTTTGAGCTTCCTATTCCCAACCACAGGGTGTCTGTCTTGGCCAGGGCAAAGTCCACTGCGCTGAGGTGTCCCAGATGAAATGGCTGAAACCGTCCCACAAGGAGTCCGTCCACACCGAGGTTCTAATATGCCGCATGTTAAAAAACTATAGTGGACTGCCTAAAGATAGACGGATCCCGCGGCGAGGGCGGGGGCCAGATACTGCGTACCTCAGTTACGCTGTCTTGCATAACGGGAACGCCGGTGCGCATTGTGAATATCAGGAGGGGCAGGAAGGTGCCCGGCCTGAGGGCGCAACACCTTGCCGCAATCAGGCTGCTTGCCAGGGTGTGCGGCGCCCGGGTGGAGGGGCTGGAGATAGGCTCGGAGGTTCTGGAGTTTGAGCCGGGCCCCGTACAGAGCATGGATCTGAGCCAGGATATCGGCACCGCCGGCTCCATCCCGCTGGTGCTGCAGACCCTGATCGTCCCGGTGGCCGCCGCCTCCAAGAGGCTGAAACTCGACATTATGGGAGGAACAGACGTGTCGTGGAGCCCCACAACGGACTACACCAGGTACGTGCTGGCCGCCGCATACTCCCGCATGGGCATCAACTTTTCTGTGGACGTAAAGAGGCGCGGGTACTATCCGCGAGGGGGCGGCAGGATCTCCCTGGAGGTGCATCCGTCAAGAGGCGTTGCCGCCGTGTCGCTGACAGGTAGGCCGGGCCGCATAGCAAACCTGTTCTGCACGTACTGCGGGTACTCCCGGGATGCCATATCGCGGAGCGTGCAGCCCCTGCTGGATACGCTGGAGCGTGGCGGCCTTCAGGTCAACACGCTTCTAAGCGGGGAGGAGGCCGCAGACAAGGGAGCTGCCGTCATGATGTACACGCAGGATCCTGCATCCATAACGGGATCCGACGGACTGATGGGCAGGGAGGGGTTCCCCGCCGGCATATCCGGCAGGCTTCTTGAGTCCCCCGGCACGGACATCAACCTGTCAGACATGCTTGTGGTGCCTGCCAGCATAGCAGAGGGCACGACGGTATACAGGATCGGCAGCATCTCAAAACACCTGGAGACGAACCTCTACGTGGCATCCAAGATAACCGGATGCAAGTACGGCGTCGGCAGGACATATGACGGGTATGAGATCCGCATTAGTGGAAGATCAGACGCCGGCATCCAGTAGGGCCGCAAAGAACAGAATTGCCACGGACATTACGGCAACCAGCTCTCCCAGCACGATGATCTTCCTTCGTACCCGTTGCACCTGGGCCTCGGAGAGCTCCTTTGACATTATCTTCTCCTCCACACTCCGGTTGATCATCCTGACATGGACCACATACGTGATGATTACCGCTACCACAAGAATCATCTTGACCGTGAGGTAGACGCCATAGCTTGACTCCAGCAGGAGATTCGGATGAGACAGAAGGCCGCGCGAGGTGTAGATTCCCGTCACGATCAGCACCCCAAGGGCAGGGACCCCTATCATGTTAAACCTCCTGCCCACTCTGATCATGAGACCGATCCTCTCTTCCAGTGAGAGGGACGTGTGCTTGAGAACCGGAGCCAGAACCGCTCCCAGAAATATTCCGCCGCCTACCCATATGGCCGCAGAGACCAGATGGACCCACGTAATTATGGCACCCTCTATCGGCATGATTGCAGGTACCCCGGATGAATATTATGTATTTGGATTGCGTGCCGGATGTGCGCACCGCGCAGCAGGATCGTGCTGCTTGGCAAGGTTTTTTAGCGGTTCGGCAAGCACTAGGTTGGGAATGATACTTCAAAGCAAGCTGGTAGTCTATGCGGCTATCGCTGGCCTGCTGGCACTGATGGGCTGGTTTGTGTTCTTTGCCAGCCTTGAGAACCCCGAGCTGGAAAAGGTGACCATCAATCTGGAGAGCGTGGATGTGATCGCGGTAAACAACATTGATGACAGGGCGGAGCTGGAGGTGATCTTTCTCATAGGGAATCCCAGCGAAAAGACGTTTACCGTTCCCCTGATAACCTATGACCTGTATGCGGACGGCGCCCTTATGGGCACCGGGCAGTATTCTACCGAGGATATTGCCATGCCGGGAAGGGCTGCGTTTTATTCTGGTGTTGAGATTCCGCTAAAGAGCAAGTTCGTACTGAACCTGGATCCTGCCAATACGGAGACCTACGGCATGATAACCAGCGGCAGCAGCGTCCGTTACACAGCCGAGGGGGTAATCACGGTGGAGACTTCCTGGAGCCTGATAGAGAAGGAGTTTACCACCAGCCTTTCATGAGGGAATTATATACAAGAGTACGCAGTACCCTTGCCTTTTTCTGGCGCTCTTGCAATCCCTCCCACGCTTGGTTCTCGCGTCTGGTTCACAGAGCGCGCGGGAGCAATCCCGCGCTGGTGTCTCGCGCCTTTGGACGACCTTCCCGGCCGCCCTGCCGCCTTGGCGGCAATGTTATGCGCGGCATTGATGTCCGCGTTGATGTCATTGTCACACTTGTCATTCGTGCATTGGAACTCCCCCTGCGATATCCGGGAGTTCCCGTCAGCGTGGCCGCACATGTGGCAGGTCGTGCTCGTTCCCTTGGGGTCGACCATTATGACCGTCACGCCAGCGTTATCACACGCCCCCCTGATCTGCCACTGGAAAGTCCCCGGCTTGGAGTAGGCCATCTCGCGGTTGAGCCCGGTCTTGGCCGAGCTTCCCTTGCCTTTGGCCTTGGCGGTCATGTTGTTTAGGTTGAGGTCCTCCATGGCCACGGTGCCGGCGCCATCGGCTATCCTCTTAGACGCGTGTCGCTCCCAGTTCGTCTGGCGGTTGGCAAGCTTCTCGCGCTTCTTCCGGATCTTCCTCTGCAGCTCTTTGTAGCCCCTTGACTTTGGCTTCCTCGGCTTGTCCCTGTTGTTGCCGTTGGTGTTGTTGCTGCTGCCGCTGCCGTTCCCGCCGTCCGCGCTTTTGCTCCCGCCGTTAGCGCCTTCCTTGGCATCATGCCTGATGCGCCTGTTCCCGCGTCCCCCTCGCTTCCTTGAGAGCTCGGAATACATCTTGGATATGTCGTCGTCCTTTGCCCATCTTGCAGTCCTTTGGGAGGTCATGAAATGTGTGGTTGCCGGTGCCAAGGTCGACGGTGGCGGCGCCGTGGACTATGCCCATGTCGACCCCCCTGATAACAGCATATTCCGATGGCTTTGGAGCCTTGATTTCAATCTGGATGTGGAGCCGGTACGTCCTGTTGTGATCCTCGGTGCGCCTCGTGGTCTTCCTGGTGGTCTCCACGAGCTGGAATGAGCGCATGTCAAGGCCACCCACGTCGCCATGCACCTTCACGGTGCCTATGCCGGGAAGATGCAGCAGGCCGTTGCCCTTGTACACGGGATTCCTGAACACGGAGAGGGACCGCTGCTCCCCCTTCCTCTTGAACAGGTAGTCCCTGTGGCGCCACCTGTTCCTCTTGTTGCTCCACTTGTTGGACGGCAGGTTGGGCGCGGCGTCGATGTCCTTGACGCCATCCTTTTCCCTGTCTAGCCTGGCCAGGTATTTCCACAGTGACTTGTTGCGGCGCTTCCTGCCGTTTGACTTCATGAACTTCTTCACCGCGTCCAATCCTTGCAGGAGCCCTGCCCTCTGCACCATGCAGCTACAGGCCTCCTTGTGTCCTGCGGCCAGCGCGTCCTCGTCGTGTACGAGCCACTTCTTCTCATCCCTCCATTTGGTGAGCATGTTGTTGAGGTCAAAACTTTGTGACCCTCGGGTCGTTCAGCTTCTCGCGGACGGCCATGTTGAAGGCCCACCTCTGCTGGTCCATGTGGCGGGATATGAGATCCGACAGCTCCGCCGACTGGTCAAAGTCCACCTTTACCGTGCGGACCATGAAGCCCTCCCTTGAGCGCCTTGATTTCTTTTTTGGCTCCGGCGCGGTTGCTGTTGCTACAGCCATGACGGGTTTCATTACCGCATGCAAATGATCAATGTGTATAAAAACACCGTGGCAATACCATGCAGACCGTCCGTGCCGTCACGGCCGTCAGGGAGTGGCAGGTTGCAGGCGCCCAGATGGGAGTGGATACTGTGTGGAGAGACCCGAACAAAAACCCTATCCGAGGGCAGCGCGTGGTTATGTCTACCGAAGTATATAATTCCCTTTCATGACACACCCGGCCAGATCAGGGCGCTTGCCCCAGTGGATCTCCCCACCCGACCCCATGCTGTTGGTGGGCAGCCCATACATATGTCCCCAAAATCAGGCCGGGAGGCCCCGCGTGCGGGGCAAGGCCGTCCGGGTCGGCCGTGCGGAACCCGCCTGGCGGCAGCACCGACACGCCACAAAGTGCAGCCGCAACGCCCGAAAAAGATGAAGGTGGGCCGAGAGAGATTCGAACTCACGATCACCGCCGTGTCGAGGCGGTATCCTAACCAGCTAGACTACCGGCCCAATAAACTATGGAAGGCCCTGTAACCATTATTAACCTTAATGGAATAAAAACAAGATTGTGGATAGCATGAATGAGTTTAGCGACGAGGAGAAGGACGGGCTGTACAAGACCATATTCTCCAGAAGGGACGTACGCTCGGGGTTTGTCAAGACCGCCATTCCCGACGAGGTTCTGACCAAGATACTCAATGCGGCACACCACGCGCCGTCTGTGGGATTCTCGCAGCCCTGGAACTTTATCCTGATAAGGAGCGCAGCCACAAGAAGCATGGTAAAGGCATCGTTTGACGAGGAGAGGATCCTGGCCGCAGGGCGCGCCGAGGAGCCCAGAAGATCCAAGTACCTGTCGCTCAAGCTGGAGGGAATCATGGACTCGGCCGTCAATGTGTGCGTGACGTATGATCCCACAAAGTTTGGGCCGTTTGTGATAGGCAGAAACAGCATACCGGAGACCGGCGTATACAGCGTCTGCTGTGCGGTACAGAACCTGTGGCTGGCCGCAAGAGCCGAGAGCGTGGGCGTCGGATGGGTGAGCATACTCTCAAACGACACGCTGAGGGAGGCACTGGGGCTGCCAAGCCACGTGGTACCTGTTGCATACCTCTGCCTGGGCTATGTGAAAAAGTTCTCCAAGAGGCCCGACCTTGAGGAGACGGGATGGCTTCCCAGGCTGAACCTGGAGGACGTGGTGTACTATGAGCGCTGGGAGCAGAGACCTGACCCGCAATAAGCGGAACCGGTACATGCTCGTGCCTGACTGCCAGCCACGAGCCAAACCTTGGCATTTGAGCGGCGACCCGGTTGGGCGGCAACCATACCATTCGGCAGAACAACTTTGTTTCCCAATCCAAACATTTCGCACTTTTACGATTAATTTAGTCCGTAAACAGTGTCAAGTCACACGAGAACCGTGTTCTTTGTGGCAACTCAGGTGCGTTTATCGAAATTGGGAAACAAAGTTGGCAGAACCTTAGGCTTAAATAATTAGGACTGGGTTTTCTGCTGGGCTTGTGGCGCAGAACGAGATCGTGCGCAATATGGATAGCGTGGTAGCCTCCTAAGTTACAGGTCGAGGGATCGAAGCCCTCCAAGCCCGCTTCCTGTTTAAGACCAGGTGCCGGATCCCGCATCCGGGGGTCTCTAGGATCATGCGCGGTCAGGAGCCAACCTGCTGCGCATACTGCGTTGGCAGACGCTACCATGCTTTAATCTGGGAGCCCATATCCGGGGGCACGGCTACACACTCTGTCGCGCGCCTGCTAGCTCCTGTAGGAGCGCAGGATGCTGACGACCTGCTCGTCGTCGGCCTGCTCAAACCTTCTGTAGAACTGTCCCACGGAGAAAAACTCCGAAGGCGTCTCCAGGTACACGATCTTAAATTCCCGCATACTCCGGAAGACATCCCTTGGCATTACCGGAATGGCCAGAATAACCCGGCGTGGACGGCTAGCCGGAAGCCAGCGCAGGATGGCCATGACGGTGGAGCCGGTGGCGATTCCGTCATCACATAGGATGACATCCTTGTTCTCCAACCGGTAGTCCAAACCTCCGCGGTAAAACCTGACCCTCCGGGCGACCTCGTCTCTCGTTCGCTCTATCTCCTCCGGCATCCGCGGATGGTTCCTGTAGCGATCCCAGCCGGGGCCCCGGTATATCGTCCCATCACCGGTTATGGCGCCGATTGCGTACTCCGGGGCATATGGCGGCGTTATCTTCTTTGACATCACGACATCCATGCTGCAGCCAAGGATCCGGGCGATCTCGTCCCCGACCACGATGCCGCCCCGCGGTATGGCCAGCACTATCGGATCCTGCAGATCCATCTCCCGTATCTTCTCGGCCAGCCTTCTTCCCGCATCCGTTCTGTCCTCAATCATTCCCGAGACGACTCCTGCATAGGGTGCGTCGTCATCACGTATATGTGGGACTGCGCGCCGTGTCCCCGGATACACGCGGCGGCGGCGCCCCAAAACCAGCATAAAACAAATCCCAAATACTTGGCACATTCTATGATACGTGATGATTGAGAACAACTATGACATTCTGGGCGTGCCTGACGGTTCCTCGAAGAGAATAATCCAGGAGGCGTTCAGAAAGCTTGCGCTGGAGCACCACACAGACCGTGGCGGTAATCCGGAGAAGTTCAAGAAGGTGAAGCAAGCATATGAGGATCTAAAGATCGGAAAAAAGTATCCAGATACCGACCAGGAGAAGCAGCTAAAGTCCCGTGTCTACTCGGGCACCGAGGAGGAAGAGACCAGGAGAAGGAACCAGATTCTGGCCGAGGAGATCTTCCGGGAGGTGAGGGAGGCCGAGGAGTGGCTGGGCGCCCTTGCGCGATCCAACGCAACGGGAACCCGGCTGTTTGGATCCAAGACCATGGGGGAGATGGAGTTTGAGAGAAAGGCCACCGGAACGCTCCTGATCAAGGGCAATCTCATGGCGGGAAGCCTGCTCTACGACGGTCCCGTCCTGATGCAGGGAAACATCACCAGCCCCACGTTTGGGGAGGATTACTTTACAAACATCATACTGACACAGGGCGACTTCAAGTTCCTCAACCCGTTGGAGAACAAGTACAAGATAGAGAACGGCGCAAAGATTACCGCCGAGGAGGGCGACATCGTGGTCGGAAACGTCTTCGGCAGGAAGATCAGGATCCAAGATCCGGACGGCAGGGTGGGCGCCTCCCTGGTCAGAGAGAAGAGAACCAGCCTCCATGCCTCCCAGGGCAAGATAGTCGTCGAGAACGCGGCAGACACCGTAACCTTGGAAGGTGACACGGTGATCATCCTTACCATGGAGGATGACGTCAGGGTCACCGCGCGGGAGATTCTGATCTACGGCAGCAAGATAACCTACGACGTGCAGATCAACCTGAAGCGGGGCGGGACTATGAGGTTCTTTGAGAGGTACTCGGTGCAGGGGCTGAGTGACGACGCAAAAGTGGTGCTTGAGGACGGAAAGACCTTCAGGCTGCGGGAGCTGAAGACAAAAAAGATCTGGGATCTGGCAGACGAGTTTGTGCCGGACAAGACCAAGTTTGCCAAGGACGCAACAATGGTGGGCCACGGCTTCTCGATAACTTATGGGATGCTTGACAACTTTGACAAAAAAACCACAATGGGTGGCGGCGGGCGATGGACGTCGAAGATTCGCTTCAAGTAGCAGCTCCGCCCTTCACAGTAATGGGCAAGCCGTCCTCTGATGCGCTCAGAGAACACGCAAGTTCGGACTAAAAACGAGTCCTGCCTGCGGAGCCCCCAGGATCCCCGGCATCTGTTGCGTGCCGGCACCGTCAGGCCCCGTTCCCCGCAGACAGCTGAGGCGAGACCGGCGCACGTTCGGGCTCCCACCCGGCTTATGCTTGGCCGTCCTCCTTCAGGCGTGCCAGCAGACGCGGATCAGGGAGGGCCCCAAACGGCTGCGCCAGGATGTATGTACTCAAGTCGGCAGTCTGTCTAGACACAAAAATACGCGACACTATGCAAAACCATGCCTAGCATTGAGCGGGACCTGGGTATGTACGCCAGGATCTCCAAAAGACTCTTATGATAATCGTGACTGAGAACACAGAATGGGTACCGCAGTCATCGAGACCAATCACGGTGTCGTGGTACTTGATCTACTTCCGGATATAGCTCCCGAGACGGTAAGAAACTTTGAGAGTCTGGCCAAATCGGGCTTTTACGACGGAACCTTATTCCACAGGGTAATACCCGGATTTATGATCCAGGGCGGGGATCCCAACACCAAGACACCCGACAAAGGCACGTGGGGAACGGGAGGACCTGGCTACTCCATCAAGGCAGAGTTTAACCCAAAATCACACCTGAGAGGCACAGTCTCCATGGCGCGGGCAGTCGATCCCGACAGCGCGGGCTCGCAGTTCTTCATAGTCACCACCGACAGCGCATTTCTTGATCACCAGTATACTGCATTTGGCCAGGTCAGCACGGGGATCGAGGTCGCAGACAAAATTGTAAATCTTCCCAGGGACAGCAGGGACTGCCCACGCCAGGAAGCCCGGATACTCAAAATTTCGGTCTCGGGGTAGCGGCGCTTGCGACTTGTCCTCATTGTGCTACTGGCAGGACTGGTCTCGATACCTGCCGCCTTTTCCCAGGAGGCGCTTGTGGCAGAGCATCTGAGTATAAAGACAGCCATATCCGAGGAGGGCGACGTGGATGTCGTTCATGAGATCAGGGCAAACCCCGCAGGTACGGTTACCCTGCAGCTCCTTGACCGTACAGCAACAGATCTGCGGGTATCCTACAAGAACGGAGATGCGGCAGAGTACACGGCAGGGAACGGGACGCTGTCGCTGGTCGGCCCGATCCAAAACATAATCGTGCAGTATACCCTGCCCGGAGCAGTAACAGAGGAGGACGGATACCTGGTGTGGCATGTCAGGTACGCGGGTGACGTGAACATCCGCCTGCCAGAAGGAATCGACCTCGTATATGCAAACGGCATACCGGTTCTGCTGAACGGCAAGGAGATAGCCTGCCATGGGTGCAACATGGCCCTGCAGTATGTGCATGACGAGCCACGCACGCGACACGATGCCGTGTGGGAGGATCAGGAGTTTGAGGTTGAGTTTATAACCACATCGGAGATCTCCTCGTTTGTCTTTGATCAGCCCTCAATGAGAATCAGCTTTGACGCGGAGGCAGACCGGTTCGTCACCGCGGTGATTCCCACGGGGCTGCTGGGGCCGCCCTATAGCGTATTTCTTGACGGCGAGCGGATACGCAGCGACGACTCCTACAGCAACGACGAAGTCGGCAGGATAACCTTCCGTCCGGCAAGTTCTGGCACCGTAGACATAATCGGAGCCACCGTGGTGCCCGAATTTTCCCTTCTGATTCCACTGGTGGTCGGCGTGGCCATGGTAGCAGCCATGCGTGGGGGCCGGCTCACTCTCCGCTAGAACCGCAGGAGCAGAAGCCATATTCGTCGATTCTCACATCGCATACGGGGCACCTTTCATCGTAGCTGACCTCCCATGGCTCCTTTCCATACAGCCTGAAGTGGTCGTCGATCTCCTCGGGAACCACGCGCTCCTCTGCCATACCTATTGTTGGCACTACGGCTATAATAGGCTATTTTGGATTTGAGGGGTGGACTGTGGCTGTCACTGCATCAGGTGCAAGAGTACCGACATCACATCCAGGCAGGTGGGCAAAACAGAGGCCGACGGCTATTTTGACATACACCACACCTGCAGAAGATGCAAAACCCACTTTGATCATCTCGAGGGAGTCGTCTTTGCCAGATGCGACACATGCCGCTATCCGGACTAGCTCCCAGGCTGCATGTCGTCCGCGCCTGAATCGGCGATACTGCAGGCTTTGCGCGAGTTCGGGCATGCGCCTCTCCATGCCGACATCCCATCTGGGGCTGCAATAGAATTAATAGAACAGATCAGGAAGCGCGTATTCATGCTGACGGTGTTTGGTTCTGTGGTGCTAGATACCATCAGGACGCCAAACGGGGTGTGCGCCGGGGCCCTCGGCGGGGCGGCTACCTATGCCGGAATCTCGGCCGGCCTCTTTGTAAAGACCGGGCTGCTGGGCGCGGTCGGCACGGACTTTCCAGAGGAATACCGTGACATGCTTGCCGGGCGCCTGGATCTGCAGGGACTGCACACAATCGAGGGCAGGACGTTCCGCTATGAGTGCAGGTACGACAGAACCATGACCTCCCGCGAGTCTCTGAGGACCGAACTGAACGTGCTGGAGAGATTCGAGCCCAGGGTTCCAGACGAGTACAAAAAATCCCGCTTTGTGTACCTGTCAAACAACGACCCGGAGCAGAACCTCGCGGTCATGCGCGAGTTTGACAACGTCAAGTTCTCGATGTGCGACACCATAGACTTCTGGATCGCCAAAAAGCGGGATGCCGTCATCAGGATGATCGGAGAGACAGACGCGGTCATAATCAACGACGAGGAGGCCCGGCTTCTTACCGGGGAGCACAACCTCGTCAGGTGCGCCAAAAAAATGATGGAGTGGGGCGCGGGCTATGTCATAATCAAAAAGGCAGAGCACGGATCCCTGATGTTCTTTGAAGACACGGTATTCTCCTCGGCCGGGTTTGTCCTGGAGGACGTGGTGGATCCCACGGGAGCAGGCGACTCGTTTGCGGGCGCCATGATAGGGTACATGGCGAGCAGGAACTCTACCGGCCTCTCTGCCATCAAGCGCGGCATAACCTATGGAAACATGCTGGGCTCCTTTGCGGTGGAGGGTTACGGACCGGAGGGACTGCTCAAGCTAAAGAGAACAGACATCGCCAAACGCATCAAAGCGTACCAGAAGATGATCCGATCCTAGATGGCGGCCCGCACAACTCATCCTTGGGAATGCTTTTAGATCACCGCATTCTACCACATGTGTATTGGCCCAGACCGAAGAAGAGATCCCAGACAAGCTGGAGGTCATCTTTGATCTGCAGAGGGATTTTGCCAGAATGGCAAAGTCAGACAGGTACCCCGGCAGCCGTGAGGAGAAGATATCCGTCCTGTGCACTGCCATCATGCACGAGGCGGTGGAGCTGCAGCGGACGACAAACTGGAAGTGGTGGAAGACTGCCACCGCCTTTGACGAGAAGCAGGCCCGGGAGGAGCTCATAGACGTGTGGCACTTTGTGGTTCAGGCATCACTGGAACTGGGACTGACAACTGACGATCTCCTAGAGGAGTACAAACGCAAGAATGCGATAAACCGGGACAGGCAGAGCGCCGGCTACTGAGTCATGGACCTGACCAGCCGATCTATCTCGGCGCGATCCGTCTGCCCTATCCGGTCGACTATGGTTACCTGCCTCCGGAACCGCTCAATCTCGGCATGAGGCGTCTGCAGCACTGGATCAGGGCTGCTGGAGCCCACTATCCTGCCGGCGCCGTCGGCGCCATTCCTGTATAGCGCCAGCAGGGAGTGTCCTGCCCTGTGCCCCCGGACTTCCCGCCCGCACACCACAACGGTCCTGACATTTGGGCTGGATACCACAAACCTGATCAGGGCGTCAATGCCCCGGTTCTCGGAGAGCAGCCTTCCCGCTATCGCCACGCGCCCGAGCGTCTCTGAGCTGGCAATCTCCTTTAGCAGTGATATGCTGGACAGCGTACAGACGGCAACAGGCGATCCGTCGCTTCCGCGGTAGACCTCCTCGGGTATGGGCAGCAGGATCTTGCACGCCTCCCCGAGTACATACTCGATACCATTCATGTCGCCCGCTCCGGCGCAGCAGCCATATCGCGCGCGCTTGCACAAACCGACACCCCCGGAGCGGCCAGTCCTGCAGGCGACGGCGTCCTCTGGCCGCGCGGTATACCGCGAACCGGCACCAGATGGCACGCTGCGGCCCCGAGTCCTCGGAGTTCCCACATTGCGATGGCTGGTGCAGGCACGATCCGCCTGAAGGCATCCCGCCAATAAATACCACGTTAACCGAAATTTATATTTCAGAGCAGAAGAGGCGCCGTTGATGGAGAGGAGGCACCTTCAAGAGACAGATATTGGCTACCGCATCTTCCTGTACATCTTTTACGTGTGTGCCTTTATCATGACATCCATCATGATCTACGGCGCATACGCCATGCTGGGGGAGTGGGAGAGAGACGGAACGTACGTCATGGGGGAGATTCTGGTAACCACCGAGGTGCCCTTTGAAAATTTCGCAAAGCTGACCACATGGCTATTCTTCTCCTCGATTATAGGCTGGTACTGCGTATCTAGAATAGGCTGGAAGAAGACAACCCGGGGGAAGATAAGCTCGTGGAAGATGTCCCTGCTGCAGCTCATGCTGCTGGGATTCGTAGTTATAACGCTGTATGAGGTGCTGTGGAGCTTCACCGTGCTCAACGCAAAGATCTCCGCGGGAATAGTGAACGGCATGGTTCCGGACATAGACAGGCTGACCGTGGCCTATCCGGATCCCGACAGGCCCTGGAACCTGATATTCAGCACCAAGGTGTTCCTCATGGGGCTGATAATCAGCGCCCATGCGTTCTATCTGAGCACAAGACAGCGGAAGGGCCTGGACGATGCAGAGGCGTAAATTTATACTAAATTCCGTGGGGGTATAACCAGTGGATGTTCTAGAGAAGGTTGATCTGGTAAGCCGCCCGCCTACAGAAGAGGTGGTAACCCGCGGGGAGCTGCGCGCGCTCTTTGAGACAAAGTCCCGCCCCAAGCACTACATCGGCCTGGAGATCTCCGGCCGCCTGCACCTGGGAAGCCTGGTTACCACCGGATTCAAGATCAATGACTTCATCCGGGCCGGCGTGGACTGCACGGTGTTCCTGGCAGACTGGCACACGCTGATCAACGACAAGATGGGCGGGGATCAGGATCTGATCCTGCGCGTCTCCAAGTACTATGCCGATGCGTTTCGCATCGTGTGTCCGGGAGTCAACATCGTGTTGGGTTCAGACCTGTACGACCTTAGGAAGGAGTACTGGTCGGAGCTGGTCCGCTTCACAAAACACATGTCGCTGGCAAGAACGATGAGGACGCTGACCATTATGGGGAGGACCGAGGGCGAGGACAAGATAGATCTGGCAAGGCTGCTGTATCCGCCCATGCAGGCCACCGACATTCATTTTCTTGATGCCGATATTGCGCACGCCGGTATGGACCAGAGAAAGATCCACATGCTGGCCCGGGAGATCTTTCCCAAGATGGGCTGGAGCGTGCCTGTGGCGGTACACCACAGGCTTCTTCCGGGACTCATCCGGCGGCCCGACGGCCAGGACATCGGAAAGATGTCCAAGACGGATCCGGGCAACAGCATATCCGTTCACGACTCAGATGACGTGATTCAGTCAAAGGTAAGAAAGGCCTGGTGTGAGCAGGGAGTCGTGGAAGGGAATCCGCCCCTTGCCATATGCAGGGATATCATATTCCACAGGTTTGGCAGTGTTACAATAGAGCGGCCTGCAAAGTTTGGCGGCGATGCCACCTTTGGCAGCTATGACAGTCTGGAGGCGGAGTTCGGAGCAGGCAGGATCCATCCCATGGACCTCAAACAGACCGTGGCACGGTACCTGACAGAGATCATCGGGCCCATAAGGGACAAGCTGGTCTTGGGCGACGATCTGACGGATACGGTAAAGCCTGCCTAGGATTCCTTTAGGTTGTACTTTGACTTGTAGCCCCTGGGGTTTATCATCAGCTCCTCATACGCGTACGTAGACGAGTTTCCCACAATTACGGTGCTGATCATGCCGAGCCTGTTCGAGTACTCCTCCATGTGTTCCAGATCCGTGAGCACCACCGACTGGGATTCCCGGTACGCCCCCTTTATTATCGCCACCGGCGTCGACGGCTTTCTGTACTCCAGCAGCAGCTTCCTCGTGTCCTGCAGCTGGTGAATCCGCTTCTTGCTGGACGGGTTGTATATTACAATGACAAAGTCCCCGCGGGCGGCGGCCTCCACCCGCTTTATTATAATCTCCCAGGGAACCAGCAGATCGCTCATGCTCAATACGGCAAAGTCAGTCATCAGTGGAGATCCAATTATCGATGCGCAAGAGTTCAGCGCCGATACCCCGGGTATGACCTCCACCGGAAGGCCGTCCTTGGGGCTCCAGCCTCGTTCTGCAAGCGTCTCGTATATGAGGCCGGCCATTCCGTATATGCCCGGGTCTCCGCTGGACACCAGGGAGACCGTTCTGCCGGACTCGGCAAGATCTATGCACTGCCGCGCACGTTCCACCTCTTGCGTCATGGCGTAGCGATACACGTCCTTGCCGTGAATCAGATCCTGCACCAGGTTGACATACGTCTCATAGCCCACTATGGTGTTGCTCTCCTCAATGGCGCTCTTTGCGCGGAATGTCATGTGATCGTGACTTCCAGGCCCGACCCCGACTATGTAGAGTTTGCCGCCCAACATGTACCTGCTGATGCCCGCAGATAATTTATCCCTTTAGGGGAACTGCGCATCCAAACCCACGGGCATTTGCCGCACAGCTGCCGGGTGTGTGGGGAACAACCCACAGCACGAGGCAAAAGTCCGGACCTACTGGAAGGGATCAACAAACGGGCAGTTTACCACGTGGTTCATGTTCATGGGCCTTGCCAGGGTGATCTCGATCAGGCCCTCTGCCCTCAGGGCGGCGATGTCGCCCGTGGTCTCTACTATGGCCGCGTCCTCGGGGTCGACCCACTCGATAAGGGATATCCTCCACATCGGGCTGTATCTGTCGTCACCGAGCGCGGAGGTGGAGATGCCCGGCTGGAATCCGAGCGCGCCGGGGCCCTTTATGCCGTTGGAAAACTGGTAGAGATCAACTGCTGCCGGGCTTGTGAGGAGGCTGCCATACTTTGGCACGTCGGCCACACCCATGGCCTCTGCAGGCCCGGAGGGCGTGGCGCCGGTTACAATGTAGTATATGGTTGCCCCGTCCGGACCCCACCCGCGGTGGGCGACAAACGTGACGGTCATGTTACCGGTATCGATATCTGTTACCTGCGCGCCACCATACCCGAAATCGTCCGAGGTTATATTGACATCCAGAACGGGCAGCTGGCCGTTGGGCCACACAATCTGCGGCATGTTCAGGATCGTCTCCTCCTCTGTAAGCATGATCCGTCCCTTCTCCACGGCGTCAAGGATCTCTGCTTCGGAGTCCAGCATCCTGGGCGTCTCGCCTATCCTCCATGTCACCGTTGTTATCTGGCGCAGCTCGCTGTAATCGCTAAACTCCCACGGGGTGCTGGAGAATACCTCCACCTGATACCCCTTGATGCCATCACCGTGAACGCCGTTCTCAAAGATGTATACCTTCTCCAGAGCAATCTCCGAAGTACTCTTCAGCGGCGGAGCAAGCTCAACCCTCCAGCCCTGATGGTCGGTGAGCATCTCGGCATAGTCCTCATCACTGGAATCGGTTATGATGTAGTAGAGGGACGACTCGCCATGGAGTCCCTCGTGCATGGGAATTGTAATGGGCACATGTGCCCGCGCGATCCTAAACTCACTCTCGTCAACCTTCACCTCTACGCTCGGCGCGCCTATCTCTACTGGCGTGCCACGAATCCATCCGTCGATGCTGACGGTGGAGACAAACTCGTCCCCGCTGCGCAGTGCCAGGCCTGCTCCGGTAAACTCGAGAGTGCCCGCGCTGGCGCCTTGGTCAATTACGGACGCGCCGTAGATTGTGTTGCCGTCAACAGTCCATGTGGGCTGTCCCAGATCATCCCCAGCGGCCAGCTCGTGAAGTACCACAAGCTGCACCGGCTCGCTGGCAGTATAAGTTAGGGAGCCATCATATATGGTGCCGGCATTTGGCGCCAGGATCATTGTCATCTGGCCATCCTCCTGGCCAATGGCCGGATCCTGTGCGGATGTGGCGGTTCTTGTAAAGTGGACCTTTGTTGTGGTGCCCGCATCGACAAACTGCTCTGTAACTAGGGGTATCGCGGCAATCCCCGATACTGCGATTACGGCAAGTATGATAACAGGCACCCTATTCAACATTGCCGCTGATCTTTACATACATAAATTACTTTTCTTGCACGGGTTATTCTGTAAACCCGGTTGATGGGCGCCGATCCAAGCTCAACCCGAATGCTGTACGAGCAGCCCGATCCCCCCACTGATCCGATCCGCACACGGCCATATCCTTGCCACAAATGATGAACTTTAGACCGCCGTGGGTGAGCCGTCACGAAATCACAACACCTGCGCATGATGGTTATCTGGTGAAGGGTGACTTTGAATATCAACCGAGTTTGCAGGAGCATCTTTGTGTGTTAATCCACTTTTAAATACGGTGCTTGGCAAGGCGGAATGTGAGGGTCGTAATAATCTCCGGGAGCCCAAGAAAGGCGTCAAACACGACACTGGTAATGAAGTTTGTCAACGAATATACCAAGACAAAAGACCACACGGTGAAATTCATCAACCTGTCAGAGGATGATATTGACTATTTCCGCGGAGACGGCAGGCACAACCAGACGACGGAGCAGGCCGCAAGGGACATTACCGATGCGGACGTATGGCTCGTGGGATCTCCCATCTACAACTCGCTCTTCAGTTCGGCGCTAAAGAACCTCTTCGAGTACATAAACTACAAGGAGACGGCAGGCAAGGTAGCGGGACTAGCCATTGTGGCCGCGGGCAACATCGGATTTACCTGCGTCCAGACCCTGCTTACGCAGCTGATGTCGTACTTTAGGGTGACCACAAACCCCAAGGCCGTGTACATCACCACGGACCTGATAAAGGACGGCAGGGTTGGCGACGGCGCCCAGGACCGGCTGAAGGAGATGGTCGACGAAACGCTGGAGATGGCCCTCAAACTGCGCACCGCCAAAGGCTAGAGGCGCGCCACCACGCAGCATGTGGAAGTGCCGCGAGATCTAGAACACGTCTTCTCTTCTTCTCCGTCTCTTTACCGCGTACAGGACGATGCCGATCACAGCGGCCACCGCCACGACTAGAATTATGGACTGGCCCCCGTCATTGGGGAGCAGGGCATCGATCTCCACCTCCGGCGAGCCCAGGATCTCCGGACCGGATATGCTGTTCTTCGTTACCGGGGGCTCTGGAATGGTTATCACGGCCTGATGCGCCACAAAGTGCTCCTCGCGGAGCGAATCCTTGTAACGCGCAGTGATCTCAACCGTGTGCTCCCCGTACCGGGGCGTACCGTCAAACCCGACTTGGATGTTAAAGGGGACCGGCGAGTCCGTCTGTATCTCGTCGATGAACTGCGTAATCTCGCTGATGTTCGAGTCCCCTATGGGCTTGAGCATCACAAACCCGAACAGGGCATCCTCGTTTCCCTCGTTGATTATCTCGCCTATGATGGTCGGCCTGCCGGAGAACTCCATCACGTTTACGTTATAGATCCTGATGTCGATCAATCCCTGTATGTAAAAGTCCACGTTCCGGCTGATGACCTGCCGGTCTCCGTGCGCATTAAAGTAGGAGATCTCCAGCGGTAGCCTGAGGGTCTCGCCCTTTATCAGCCCCGGAACGTAGATCGTGCTTGTCAGGTACTTGACATCTCCGGGGTTGATGTTGCCCACGTTCCAGTCTGTGTCGGGTATGACTACCCTCTCCACATTGCTTGTTGACTGCGCCGCAGACGGCATGGCGTCTTGCGTGTTTGTTATCTGAATGGCCACCCCCGAGATCGGCGCCGTGCCGTTGTTTGAGATCTCGATGACGATCTCGTTATTCTGTAGTGAAACCAGGAACGGATCCTTGGCATTTACGTTGATGACGCTTCCGCCCGTTACCTTGAAGTCAAAATTAAAGAAGGTGCTGCGCACGCCCGCCTCCCTCAGCCTGGAGTAGTCTATCTTGGCCGAGGCAGGATACTGCCGGATGTCCAGATCGCTGCCCAGATCTACAAAGAATGTCACCGTAAATATCTCCCCAGCCCGGGCGACGTTCTCCGCGCTTGCCAGAATTATCGGACCAGATCCGTCCGTGGGGGTGAAGCCAAACGGCGGGGACAGCTGCCCCCGGATTCCGGTAATGTCCAGCGTGCCCACGTTTGTCATGACTAGGGTAAACGGGACGTTCTTGTCGCCCGGATTCACCTCGATCCTCTCGCCGGCGGTTCCAAAGTAGGCCTCGTGAAACTTGATGTCGACAAAGTCCCTGTCGAAGATAGATACCTGCCCCTGCGCGCTGCCAAGAAGCGCGGATGCCGTTATCACCACGGCAAGCGCCGCAAAGGCATACCCGTTCACCATACCGGAATCTCCATGGCCACCTTTCCGTCCTTGATGGTAATTACTCTATCCACGTCACCGAACTGCTCCCTGTCGTGGGTTACCACAACAAAGGTGGAACCCATCTTTCTGGCTATCGACTTCATAAGGTCTACCACCGATTCTGCAGAGACGGAGTCAAGGTTGCCGGTGGGCTCGTCGGCCAGAACGATGGTGGGGTTGTTTGCCAGTCCCCTGGCGATGGCGGTTCGTTGCGCCTGGCCCCCGGATATCTCGTCGGCCTTCTTGTGGGCATACTCCTCCATCCCAACCGCCCGGAGCAGATCGAGGGCATCCTTGGCTCCACTCGCGCCGGCGCCGCCTATCTGGCTTGGCAGCATCACGTTCTCCAGCACGGTAAGATCTGCCAGAAGGTTGGAGAACTGAAAAACGAAGCCCAGCTTCTTGTTTCTAAACCTGGACATGCCGGACTCGCTCAGACGGCCGGTGTCTATCCCGTCTATGAATACCTGGCCGTTGGTGGGTCGATCCAGCAGCCCTATCATGTTCAGCAGTGTTGACTTGCCCGAACCCGAGCTTCCAACGACCAGTGTAAACTGCCCCCTCTCTATGGCAAATGAGACATCGTACAGCGCCTGCACCTTGGTGGCTCCCTGGCCGTACACCTTGTTCAGGTTGCAGATCTCCAGCGCGCTATGCAAGGCGCATGGCCTCCACGGGCTGCAGCTTTGTAGCCCGGTACGACGGGTACAGGGACGCAAGCATGGCAAGCCCAAAGGAGGCCAGTGCCGTCTGGACGATCTTTTCCCAGTTGTAGCTTACCTCCAGAGGCAGGCTGTTGTTGAAGGACAGTTTGGTCTCCTTTGCATAAAAGGTGTACCCCAGCCCTGCGGCGGTTCCCACAGATGCGCCTATTGCGCCTATTATCATTCCCTGAAGTATGAATACGAGCAGGATGTCCCTCCTTCTGGCGCCTATCGAGCGCATGATTCCTATCTCCCGCGTCTTGCCGTTTACCAGCATCATCTGGATTGTGAGTATGGCAAAGGCCGATGACATCATTCCAAAGTATCCGATCATGTTTATCATGGCTATTCCCGACCGGAACCCTGCCAGCTGCTGCTCTGCAGCCTCTTCTATCGTCTGTGCCTCCAGATCCCCGTGGGGGAAGGACAGCAGGAATGTGTTCTTTACCTCCAGCGCCTTGGACTTGTCGCTTAGCTTGACCATTATGCGCTCCGAGGAGCCAGCCCGATCCAACATATCACGCAACGTATCTATGTGTACTATGGCAGTATAGTCAAAGCCCTGGCCGCCGGGGGATCTGGCTATGCCCGTTACTATAAACCGGCGGGTCTGCTCCTGCCCCCACCGGTCTGTAACCGTCACCTCTATACTGTCGCCTACCTGCGCCCCGCCCAGGTCCCGCGCCACAATGGCTCCAAGCACCATCGAGTTCCGGGCAAAGACATACTGGCCCTCGACCACGGTCTCATGAATCGTAGATGCCCTGACATCTCGGAGCGGGTCTACGCCCGTCAGCGGAACCCTGAACTCCTCGATACTCTGCCCGTTCTTTGAGATGGTCATGGTCGCCGCGGTCGAGAGCCGCGGCGCCGCCGCTTCGACGTAGGGAATTCGTTCCAATGTGCCCAGCAGTACTGCATCAGACTCGTCTATGTATCCCTCCTCGCTGGTGATGAGCACATCCCCCGTCTGGTAGTTGCTTATATCCCTGATGATCGCGTCAAACAGGCCCTGAAATATTACAGAGTTTACGTGGAGTACCAGTATGCCTATGGTCACGGCAAGCACGGCTCCTATCAGACTGCCCCTCTTGCTGAAGAGCATCTTCTTTGCTAGGTTTAGATGATAGTCCACCGATACATAATGAAAAGTCTTGTATTTAACACAATTGATCCTTGGTCGCGTATATGCGACAATTTTATAGGTAACGGCGTTCTAATACATGTCTGGAATGAAAGATAAACTGGATAGACTGGACATGCAGATTCTGAGCAGGCTGCTGAACAACTGCCGGGAGTCTGAGCGGCAGATAGGCGAGGGGATCGGCATTGCCAGCGGCACGGTAAATGCAAGGATCAGGAGGATGAGGAGACGCGGGATTATTCTGGACTTTGTGGTAAGGATAGACCCGCCGACCTTGGGGCACAGTACCCTCTACACTGTAGTTTTAGGACAGCGCATGGAGGAGATGCTGGGCCACATGCGATCCATGGGGGAGCCATTTCTGGTAGCTCCCTGTGTGGGCGGGTTTGCCGTCTGTGGAGTTATAGTGAGGGATGATGTGCAAGAGAAGATCGAGCTGGCAGAGAAGATAGACGGGATGCGCGTTCTGTCAATCTTTGAACCTGAACGGAGCGTCAGCCCCCGTTTCACAAAGACGGACATGCAGATCATAAGGGAGCTGATGATCAACCCCCGGGAGAAGATAGACATTATTGCAAAAAAGACTGGCCTGTCCACAAAGACAGTATCCCGCTGTATTGACAGGCTGCACGGTGATGACGGCATCCACTTTACCGTGGACTATGATCCCACAAAGATCCGGGGTTTTATAACACACGCCATAATGATCCAGGTTACCGGAGAGGCAAAGCCCATGTTCGGGAAGCTGGCGCACATGTTCTCAAGAAACTTTCTGGAGGTTCCATTCCTGATGGAGAAACAGATCGTGCTGTTTCTGTACAGTGACGACATATACGAGATGGATGAGACCATGCAGAGCATAAGGGAGATGCCCGGGGTCAAGTCTGTCGATCTCTTCATTGCCAGATCGACAAAATACTCGCAGGAGTGGATGCTGGATAACATAAGGAAGGCAGAGACATCGCCCACGCTGCACTTGGAGCAGCAGTGGGCAGAAAACACGGTTCCTGCCACGAGTTCTGCCCCCAGGACATTCTCCAATCTCCGCACGTTTTAGAGGACAGCCGCCTGCCTTTGGCGCCCAGGGGCCGTGGCGGGTGCGTCGCATCTGAGCTGTTATATGGCAAGGGAACGGAGTAAACCCCGGGCGATTAAAATCTCTACACTCCGAACCATCCAGGTGCTGCTGAAGCTGCTGCTGCCGATCATGGCGCTGCGGAGGGACAGGCGCCATTGGGCAAAGACCGAGGGCAGGAACGTCGACGAGGACAGGTACAGAAAGAACGCAAGGCGGCTACTTGACACATTTCTCTCCCTGGGGCCCGTCTACATCAAGCTGGGCCAGTGGCTCTCTTCCAGGGCAGACATACTTCCGCAGCCGTATATGGAGGAGCTGGCAAAGCTGCAGGACAGCGTGCCGGTGGCTCCCTTTGATCAGGTGCGCCACATCATTGAGAGGGATCTGGGCCCCATGCGGGATACCTTTGACACAATTGACGAGAACGCCATATCCGGCGCGTCCCTGGGGCAGGTGTATCTTGCAGTGGTGGACGGCCAGAATGTGGCGGTAAAGGTAAAGCGGCCGGGAATAGAGGAGATAGTGGAGAGGGATCTCGCGGTGCTCAAAAGGGTGCTGCCCAGGGCACTGCGGTTCGTGGATCCGAACCTTCGCCTGTCCGGCAGGGCCATGCTGGCGCAGTTCATCGAGACCATTCACGAAGAGATGGACTATACCATAGAGTCAAACAACCTGAAGCAGATCAAGGAGAACATGAAGGGAAACAGCGATGTCATCGTGCCGCGGGTCTACGACAGGCTCTCATCAAAGAGTGTCCTTACCATGGAGTATATCGCCGGCATCAAGGTTACAGATGTCCGGAGGCTGGATGAGCAGGGGATCGACCGGCAGAAGCTGGTCACCGATGTCCACAAGGTGTTCTTTACCATGCTGCTGCGGTACGCCATATTTCACGCGGATCCCCACCCGGGGAACATCTCTGTTACCGACGACGGAAGGCTGGTTCTCTATGACTATGGAATGGTGGGCAGGCTGGACGGTGACACCCGCAAGCGGCTGGTCCGCCTGTACCTGGCCCTGGTGGAGAAGGATCCCCTCAGAACAATCAACGCCATGAACGAGCTGGGGATGCTTGCCCCGGACTTTAACAGGTCTGTAATGGAGCGGGCCATCGAGCTGACGGTACGGGCGATGCACGGCAAAAAGCCAGAGGAGATGGAGATCAGGGGCCTGATGGAGCTGGCAAACAAGACCATGAGCAGGTTTCCCTTTATGCTCCCAAAGCACCTGGCGCTCTATATGAGGATGGCCTCGATCATCGAGGGAATCTACAAGACCCACCAAGTGAACTTTACGTTCATCACGGTGCTCAAGGAGATCCTGGAGAAGGAGAACCTTGTCCAGGACGCCTACATCGACGAGTTCAAGCACGGGTTTCAGCGCTTTGTAAAATCTGTCGACGCGACAATATCACTTGCCCCGGATCTGAGAAGGTTCATTGACGAAAGCAGATCTCTCCAGCTTAACAAAAACACAAGGCCCAACATCCTGCTGCCCGGAAGCATACTGTCATCTGCCATGTTTGTGGGATCGGCGCTTCTGTACACCGCAGACGCGACCGCCGGCATCGTGGGTATAGCAGGCTCCCTGGCAGTCATGGCAGTCTTTGCCGCCTTTGGGAGGAGGTAGATGACACGCCGGGCGGGCGCTAATTGATATTTATTGCCATCCGCGCCGATCGGTCTTAACCATGATAATTGCCATTGAGGGCGGCGACCAGGCGGGCAAAAAGACCCAGTCCCTGCTGCTGTATAAAAGACTCAAGCAGCAGATGGCTGTCAAGTTGTTCAGCTTTCCGGACTACACGACGCCTGTGGGCTCCAAGATCAAAGCGATGCTGGATGGGAGCGGGCGGCCGTCCCCCAAAGAGATCCACCGCCTGATGGCAGAGAACAGGCGGGAGAAGCTAGTCGAGATCTCCGGCTGCCCGGAGGGCACGATACTGGTCATGGACAGGTACACGGCCTCCAATATCGCCTACGGCCTGGCAAACGGCGGCCTGGATCGGGGATTTCTTGAGGATCTTGACCGGGACATGCCAAAGCCGGATCTGGTCATACTGCTGGATATAGATCCGCAAAAGGCGTGTGACAGAAAAATGGCAAGGCGGGACATCTTCGAGAGCAACATGGAGCTTGCCGATGCCGTCAGACAGAAATATCAGGATCTTGCACACGAGCAGGGCTGGAAGACCGTGGATGCCGTAGGTACCAAGCAGGCCGTTCATAAAAAAATATTGGACATCGTTGCCCCCATGCTGCACCTTCCGGATCACAAGCCTGCCAGCCTCTGCATGACTGATACCTCCTGAAGCAGCTCCGGGTCGTCGATCAAGGCCGCCTCCTCCTGGAAGTAGGCGCTGAATTGTGAGATTGCGTCTGCGTACTGGTCAGACACCCCAAGGGGGACTGACTGCCTCTCCCACCTTCCCAACGACTCTACATAATCCGGCGTGCTGATCCCGTCCTCGTACAGGCGTGATGTGGTCGGCACGGTGCCGCTGGCATGCGAGCTGCGCTCATCATATATCCACCACTTCATCAGCTCTGCATACCTTGTAAGCAGGACGCCCTTCTGGATTCCGGTATTTTGGTAAAGGTCGGGTTCGCTGTCCTCAAAGGTTACGGCTACGGTATCGTGATCCTGCTGCCCGGCCCTGTCCCTGTAGCTGGCCGTGAGCGTAATTGTCCCGTCATCGGACAGCCTCTCCAGCTTTAGCAGAACAAGCCCGCCCCTGGTCTGGCCGTCTGACACCTTGGACGGAAACAGCGTGTTTACCTTCATTATCTGCCCGGTAGACTGATCCGCCTCTGGAGATCCGTACACGTTCTTAATCTCATAGCCTGCTGCGTCCATATCCAGCGTCAGGTCAAAAACCAGAGGAGTCACCATGAACTCAAACTCGTCGACCATTCTCTCTTGAAACTCGGACTGGGAGTGAACTGAATAGTAGTTAGCTCCCCGAACCTTTGCGATGTGGTCCACCAGCTCCGTGTTGAAGTCCACTCCTATGCCAATTACCGTAGTGTAGATGTTCTGTCCAGCGTTCTGCTCTATCATGCCAAACAGCCCGTCCTTCTCGATCTCGCCAAGATTGGGCATGGCGTCGGTGAGGAAGATTATTCTGTTCTCGTACTCTGACTGATCCGACCCGGCAACATCATCAAAGAGGGACGTCCCCATGCGTATCCCAGAGGCCATGTTGGTTCCCCCCCCTGCATCAATCTCCAGAATGCTCTGCCCTAGCGCTTTCTTGTCGGTGGCTCCCATGCTCTCCAGCGGCTTTGCCAGGTGTGCCCCGCTCTCAAAAAGCACAACCCCCAGCCGGTCCTCATCAGTCAGATGATCCAACAGGCCGATTATTGACTCCCCGGCAACTGCTAGTTTGGTCTTTGTAAAATCGTCACGTGATTCCGGCGACTGCTCCAGCCCGTATCTGTCATAGTAGTATCTGTCAAATGTGGAGCCCATGGATCCAGAGACATCCAGCACCAGAACCAGGTTGAGTTTCTTTCGCTCAAAGTCGGACTCTTTTATTCCGGAGTTCAGACCGACGGATAGGTAGTATTCGGTCTTGTCTGAAAACGGATCTCTGGATACCGCATAACTGTATGAGGGGCAAAACAGCTTTTCACATCTCTGCTGGCTGCCGGTGTCAAAATAATAGTCATAGAACAGCCCCTCGTACGTGATATCGGTGTATAGCGGAAGAAAGCCATTCTTGATATTCTCCCTAAAGTTATCGACGTCTTGGGATCCTCCAACCGCAAACCCTATGGAGTCCTGGCTGGCTTCCATGGACATCGATTCCTCAAAGGCTTGCTGGTACTGCTGCTGGGGAATCCGGGTTCCCGTATGCGCAGGATCACCCGGGTTGTCAACAAAAATAAAATAAAAGACGCCAACCGATAACGTAATTGCGGCTATCCCAACAAAAACTGGGAGCAGGCTGCCTCTAGCCCATTCCCGGCGCGGCATATCTCCCCCTGCGGTTTCTTACAAAGACTACGGCCATAACTCCACCAAACATGCCCACGACAACTAAGAGTGCGCCCGGCGATCCATTGCATGGCAGGAGAACATCGCCAGAACCCCCATCGTGGATCCGCTGTACAGTTTCTGCAATTTCTACGCGGTCTCGGGCGGGATCTAGCGTCTCTTCAAGCGTGCCAGCCCCGGCCTGTACCTCGTGGCCGGTGTTTCCAAAATAGATGCCCTCGGCGTTGATCACGTTGACGTCCGTCACGGTCAAAACCGTGGCCACAATTGCCGCGTGCGTCTTTTTACTCATTGATACATATGGGTAAAACGCGATTATAACGTTTGATGAAGTCATGATTTTACCAAAACCTTTAGTATCAATTCCCGCGAATGTGCCATAACGGTCATGCCAGACAGCAACAGCGATAATTCACCAGACAAGATAGAAATTTTCCTGTCCGATGACAAAAAAATAAAATCGATTGGGGAAATACTGACAAACAATTCAAGCAGGGCAATACTGCAGCTGCTGTTTGAGGAAGAGCTGACCGCAAACCGGATTGCCCAGAGTACTGGGATCTCCCTGCAGCTGGTGAAATACCATCTGAACAAAATGCAGAAGGTCAGGATGGTAAAAGTTTCAAGGATTGGCAAAAATGTAAAAGCGCAGGATATGAAGTACTACAAAACAACAAAATTTGCAATCATCATCCTGCCTTCCAAGGTGTCCGGACGGGCCAAAGAAAGCAAATTGTTAATGCACTCGTTTAAAACAATCTACAAGTTTGCTGGAATTGGTGTCGTGGCGGTGGTGTCGCTATTCTCATTATCCCTGCTGCAAAACCAGCCCCAAACCCAGGTTGAAGAGGCCGTCAATTCAGAAGGGAGTTTTGATTCTCCCGCACAACTGGATGCAGCCCCACCGGTGGGTGCTGAATTCGAGTCACTGGAGGACTCGCCACGCCTTGAGGAATCATTGGAGGTTGCGCAGCAAGAGGGACAGGCCGGGGGCGTACTAGACAGCAGCCCGGGTGTGTCGTTTTTTGACGGCGGGGAGGCGATACTGGCTCTTGTGATAGCGGGGATAGTGCTGGGAGGACTTGCGGCATACCTTCTGCTGCGATCTTATAGGCGCGCCAGGCATCAGACCGGCTAGTCTTATGGCCCTATTCCGTGCACGGCGCGAGAACTTTTCATCGCCCGGTCCGGGCTCGTCTCCAATGCCATGTCCGACATCACATTGCCTGTGCTGATCCCTGCTCGGTTGCCGGTTCTTGTTCGATCTTGGTGTTCTGTCTGCCGGGGCGGCCTGTCATACACAAAACAGAAATAAAGTCGGCACTACTACAAAATCAATCTTGGGTCGTACAGCATAATGAGGAAGAGAATTGTAATCAAATTATCGGGCAAGGTCTTTGGTGCAGACGGGGCCGGGACCCTGAAGGACTATGCGTCGCTTCTGCTGAGGATCAGCAAGATCCGTCAGCCCATTATAGTGGCCGGCGGGGGCAGCATTGCAAGGCACTACATAAACAATGCAAGATCTTCTGGCGCAGACGAGTCCACGCTAGATGAGATGGGAATCGAGATCTCCAGACTGAACGCCAGGCTCCTGATCTGCGCACTTGGAGACAAGGCATACCCGCACCCACCCACAACCCTGCAGGAGATAAAGCAGGCAGCAGACGGCGGCCTCGTGGTGGTGGCGGGCGGGCTCTATCCGGGCCAGAGCACCAACGGAACCGCCGCGCTTGTTGCCGAGAGGGTCGGGGCAGCAGAATTCCTGAACGCCACGGATGTGGACGGCGTGTATGATATGGATCCCAACAAACACAAGGAGGCGAAGATGCTCGGGCGGATCGAGTTGGGGCGCCTGCAGGAGATGCTGATACAGGAAGGGGCTGCGGCGGGCGGCCACGACCTTATGGATATCGTATCCCTGAAGACCATTGAGCGCTCCAGAATAAGAACCCGGATAGTCGGGGCCGACATAAAGACGCTGGAAAAGGCGATCCGCAGCAGCGTGGTCGGTACCACGATAGTTCTTCCCGGCGATTCCTAGTCTCGGGGCACCCTGGGGTACTGCTCGGTCCAGATCTCCACATCATCTCCCGTAAACTCCGGAATCCCGGAGAGTACCAGCTTGTCAAGGATCTCAAACGCCTCGTTCTTGTCCAATGCCTTTGACTGTGCCTTGGTGTAGCCGTCCTCGTCGGCCAGTATCGCAACAAACCCGTCCCGGGTCCTGATCACCGCGGCATACTCCTCTGTTCCCACCGGCATGAACTTGCCATCGACCTTCTTTGTGGTAAGGGTCAGCATGGCAAAGCCCGCTACGTTGAAGAGCCTCATCTGCGACGCTGCCGCTATCTGCCGTCCCTTCTGAACCGCCTGAAAGTATTGCATCATCGTACAGACGCACCCCGCCATAATTAACCATGCGAAGAAATTTTCGGCAGCGGGGGTCGGCAGGTGGACTAGGCCAGCCTCCTCATCCGGGCACAAGTTTGTCCATGCGAAGAGTCTTCGCGGGCCCGGCACGCCCAGTGACCCCGCACCAGAATCTGGCGTCCAATCTTAAAATATTAGATGCAAGAAATACCTGCATGCGCCCGGGCTTCATCTCTGCTGCGACTACGGTTGGCGCCCGCGCCTAAATGCATAACCATGAAATCAAACCGCCGGCTATTACAGATCAACAGGACTTTTATCATCTGCTTTGTAAGCTCGGCAATCACTACCGTGGTGGCCGTGCAGGTGCTGTCAGATTATGAGAACTATCTCAAGACGACACTCGTAGTGGCCTTGGGATATGTCGCCTTCTTTGGCGTTTTTGTGTCCCTGTTTTATCTTGACAACAGGGAGCGCTACAAAAGCATGCCGTCTGGCCTGATTAAGAAGGAGCTCATAGCCACGATATCGTCTCTTGGAGTAGGGGAGCTAGTCTATCTGGCAGTCAAGTGGACGTCGTTATACTACTTTCTCGAGCTCGGCATAGAGCCATACCTTGCATCCCTGGCATCAGAGACGGTTGCTGCCGCATGCTATATTGTGACAGTCACGGCGCTTCTCAGAAAGACAAAGACGGTCTAGTCGTCTGGTACCTGCAGGCGGATCTGAACCCCGCAACCCCACCGCCGAAATCCCGCCTGCGCACAGTGAGGTGACCCTGCTGCAGAACGCAGACTAGGCAAAAGTGTAGCATCGTAACTGATCGGTCTCATGAAGCTAAATAACGCGCCACGCCATGTTGAGGGTAATTTCTTGTGCCGGCGGTGAGGCATTTTGCGCACCGCGCATGCCGTGTGTTTTAGGTGCCCCGGTTACGCGCGCCATGGAGGGTTTGCAGTGTCGCTGCATTGCACGGTCAGACGGCGATGGCCGTTTGGTTCTGCGCGGGGCCGGGAGGGATTGTCCTGGTCTTGCCTGACAGGTAGTCCTGTACGAACTGGTAAAAGTTCACGCCGCGCTGCTCGCACGTGGCGTAGACGCTCATGAGGATCTTGGTTCGCCGGGCACCGGCATCGGACCTGTTCCCGTACAGGATCTTGCGGAATTCTGCGAACCTTCTCAGCGCCCGCTCGCTTACGTTGTTGTGGTATTCGACATCGTTCATGATGAAAGTGAACAGGCTATCTCCTTCCCGCTTCAGCCGCTTTACGTACCTCAGGCAATCCCCTGTCCTCATATTCCTTGGATATGAGGCACCGTATCCTGTATTTGAGGCTCTCCACTGCCCCGTCGGATCCGTGTCCCCTGGTGGCGATGGCGTCCTTGAGGATGCCGTACAGTTCCATGAAGAACAGGTTAAACTCGCTGCTGTCGTTCTTTTCTGTCGTGCGGTACATGTCCCGGAAGTAGTGGAGCAGGCACTTTTGGTGTGTCTTGCCGACATGGTTCCAGGATCCGTCCGAGTCAGAACCCACTATGCCTTCGAATTGCCCCAGCACGCCCATCGGGACCCTCTTTCCGGCTGAATCTTCTATCTCAAACAGCACGGTCTCCTTGCCGCCTGCGTCCCTTCCCACAAAGACCCACACGTACCACCCCTTGCCGTTGACGAACCAGCCCGTGGTGTCCCCGTTGACCAGCCTAGCCGCGTTCAGATCCCTCCTGATCTCCTGGTACAGCGGATCCAGCTCGGCGGCCACCCTGTCGCAAAAGTGGTTCAGCGTGGACCTTGGGATGAGCACCCCGTGAAACATGTGGAATATCTTGCGGATCTTTTCAAACGAGTCGATCATGCACCGCAGTGTCACTGTCTGGGCCATGACGTTTATCCCGTAGTGCTCGTTTGGCAGGACGCCGCCGGTCCGGGCCGCCTGCTGCCTGCGGCACTTTTTGCAGTACCTCCGCGTGATCACCCAGGCTGTCTCCTGCCATTGGCGATCCACCAGATCCTCGGTGGTCTTTTTGTACGTGGCCGTGGGTTGGGATAGCGTGAATCTGCACTTGCGGCACGCAAGCTCGTCTGCAGTCATCGTCTCGTGCACCACGTGGTCTCTCCGTGGCCGGCCATTCTCGCCTCTTGCAGGGGGCTTGGGCCGGGGATATCCGGCGAACTCCCTCACGTTGTAGCTGCTCCTCCTGCCGCCTTCAGGGCGCTGCTTGGGCGTCGTCTTGGATCCTGCGTCGGGATCCTCCGGGGGATTGCTGGAGACGGCGCCGTTGCCGGCACCGTCAAGCAGCCTGTTGTACATTTCGATGAGTCTGTCGTATTTTGCCTCAAGGTGCGAGCACCTTTCTTCCAGTTCTTTGTTCTTGGATGCCATCTGTCTTTTTCAGATGCCAGCTGTCCCTTTTCAGATGCCAGCTGTTCTTTTTCAGATGCCAGCTGATTGTTTGATCTCGTCAGTGACTCAAGCTTGTCATCACGATCAGTCATTGTCATCTTAAAGTACTTCAGCAAGTATTCTACGCTAGGATCGTTCCAATCTACTTGAGTCGGATCAAGTCCGAGGTTCACGCCTTGTCAGAAAATACTCTCAGCTAAATATGTTTCGAACAAGGCACATGTATCGCAGAATAATTCCTGTTCAAGTTGCGCGATTTTGCTTCATGAGACCGAACTGTTACGTAGCATCCCGATCCCGGCTCGGCCGCGAACCGTGCTGCAGGCCATGGCGCCGGTCGGCTAGATCATCTTGCGGTACGTATGGCAGCAGAAGCTGCATGTGATGCGTATCGATTTGGTATGGGTGCGGCCCAGCCTGAACCGGGCGTTTACCCCAGGCGCCATGAACGTCTTGCACTTCCTACAGAAGACCATCCTGAGGTGATACGGCATCCTGATTCGGTGGCGCGTGCTCAGCTTCCGCGCCAGGGAGGCCTGCCTCTGCGCCAGCTGCGGGTCGGTTCTGGCATTGGAGATCGCATTTTCAATCAGAATCTGCATTCTCTCCAGTGCGATCTTTCGAAGTGTAGCCTTCAATGGTATCTCTGCAGATATAACCACAAAAGATAACTGCTTCGGTATAATACGGTCGCCGGGATTTCCGCCCTGATTGGAGTGCGGTCACCGGGATTTGAACCCGGGTAACGGGCTTGGAAGGCCAGCGTACTGCCAGGCTATACTATGACCGCCTAGGGAGCCGTTTTGCGCGCTACATAAAAACCGTCTTTTCATACTCGTAGAGCACCCGGCTCGTGACCACATGGGCCTCAAGCGGGTCGTCGCCAATTCTGTACGTCGCGTCCATGACGCTGCTCACATGCGGGGCAAAGTGCCCCCTCTGAAATCCGCCTATTACTACGCACGAGCCTCCGGCCAGTTCTGATGCCAGTCGTGGCAGCTGGATCCTGTCGCCCAGGGTTGACAGCCCAAGTATGGCGCCGGGCCGGATCTCCTCTATCACCTCTGCAAGGCCCATCGTGTCAAGATCCAGCATCCTCCTGCCCTCATGCTCGATGGATCCGTCCAGAAAAAGCCTCTCCATCAGTCCCGCGAAGCGGTGGTACGATTTTGGCAGGCGGATACCGCTGCCAATAGTGATCACCCTGCCTGATATGGTGTGTATGTATATCGCCAGGCCTCCCCTGAGGTACAGCGGCGTGCTGCATGCATTCTGCAGGCACATGTGGATCAGGTCTGGCCTGCCGCGCTTCATCTCGTCTTTGATTCCACGCATAGCCGCGTAGTGCCAGGAGACATCAAGCAGGATCTCGCCGGGCCTCTTTCCCAGCCTTCTTGCGTGCGACACCACGGAGCGGTGGGCCTGAAGTTCCCTGGGTACCAGCTCCAGCGATGACTCGGCAAAGATCAGGGAGAGCAAGGCTACCCGGAGATGTCATTCCTGAGCTCGGCCCATGCCGGCCTTTCGTTGCCCGCATAGCTTGTGATGTCGGGCATGGATCTGATGGTGTACGCCTATCCTGACGTGCAGTGGCTGTATCCGCACTCGATGCAGAGGCTGCAGCCCTCGGCGAAGATGAGGTTGTTCTTGCACTCGGGGCACAGGCTTCCCTCGGGTACGCTTTCGGCGATATTGTGAGTCACAACGATGTCCTCGCCGGGCCTGATCTTCAGCGAGTTGCTTATCTGGTCCCGCATGTACTGGTTTGTTATATTCTGGGATACAAAGTCGGTCACCACCTGCGAAGGCACTACATCAAAGTTCTTCTCGGTGTTCTTGTTGGTTATGTGCAGAACCTGCTTGTGCCTTGAACCGTCCCTGTAGACCGTGATCCCCTTCAGCCCAAGCTCGTGTGCAAGAAGATATGCGGCTGCGACATCCTCCGGCAGTACGTCGTGTGGCATGTTGATGGTCTTTGCTATCGCGTTTCCTATCCACTGCTGCCACACCTGCTGTGCCATCAGGTGGTCCGACCAGTGAATGTCTATTGCCGTGACAAAGATCTTCTGCATCCACTCGGGAATCTCCGGTATTCCCTTGAGGGAGCCGTAGTTGTCTGCAATCTTTGCAAGTATCTCATCGGTGTACAGGTTGTCTTCCTCAAGCACCTGTTTTATTATCGAGTTGGCGTAGAAGAACTTGCCCAGGGTCACCCTCTTCTCATAGGCAAGGGCAAATGTGGGCTCCATTCCGTTTGAACAGCTTGCGATCATGGAAAGGGTTCCGGTGGGGGCAACGGTGGTCGTCAGCACGTTTCTGATTCCGTGCTCCTTGATTCTGTCTATGAGCGTGTCCCATTCGTACCTGTGCTGCTCCTTTGGCTTCTCATAGTAGCCGGCAACCGGGATCTTCCCGTCGGGGTACTCGGTCTTCGGGCACAGCGGAAACCTGCCGCGGGCCTTGGCAAGGGCAACACTCTCCTCCATGGAATAGTACGTCAGTGCCTCGGCCAGCTTGTTCTGCAGATCGTATCCCTCCTCGGAGTTGTACGGTATGCGTAGCTTGTAGAGAAGGTCTGCCACCCCCATCACGCCCAGCCCGATCCTGCGGGACTCCTTGGACGCCGCGTCAATCTCAGGCACCGGGTAGAGGTTCACATCTATTACGCTGTCCAGAAACCTGGTGGTCTTTCTGACGGTCTCCTCGTACCTCTGCCAGTCAAACTCGTACTCCCCGTCGGCCTTTCTCTTCACCAGGTTTGCCAGATTGATGGATCCCAGATTGCAGGATTCGTACGGATACAGGCTCTGCTCTCCGCAGGGATTTGTTGCGCGAAGCGGGCCCCCTCTTGCCTTTGCAAATACGTTGTACCGGTTGATCTGATCAAAGAAGATCAGTCCGGGTTCTGCACTCTTCCACGCAGACAGAGCAATCAGGTCAATCAGGCGGCGGGCGTTTACCTCCTTGACGGGGCTCCTGTCACGCGGGGAGCGAAGCGCATACTTGCCCTCGCTCGTGTTGAGCAGCGTATCCCAAAAGTCCTCCCAGAGTCCCACGCTGACGTTAAAGTTCTCAAGAATGCCGGGCTCGGTCTTGTTGGTGACAAACTTTTCAATATCCGGGTGCCACACCTCCATGATTCCCATGTTCGCGCCGCGCCGTTTTCCGCCCTGTTTTACCACCTCGGTCACCGAATTTATTATATTCATGAACGATACGGGACCCGATGCCACACCAGACGTGGATGCGACTATGTCGCCTTCCTGGCGCAGGCCAGAGTAGTTGATTCCGACTCCGCCGCCGGACTTGAAGATCATGGCCGCGTCGGACGTGGTCTTCATAATTCCCCCCATGTCATCGGGCATGTCCAGCACAAAGCACGCAGAGAGCTGCCCCAGCCGGGCTCCTGCATTCATCATCGTTGGGGAGTTTGGCAGAAAGTCCTGGTAGGCCATCAGCTTAAAGTACTCGTCTATCTTCTCAGCATAGCTGTTAAACTTCTTGGCGGCGATCATCCTCATCAGCTCCTTGAAGCTCTTGGTCATGTGTCCGCCGCGGGCAAGGTATACGTAGCAGTTGATTAGGGACCGCAGGTGAAACTTGTTGAGGTAGTAATTGCCAATCCTGAGCTTGTAGTCAAAGTCGTCCAGTTTTTCAAGATACGCCTGGGCCTCCTTGATACTCTGCTTCTGGTTGCCATTTATTGTGAATATCTGCTGGCTGTATATGAGATCGCCGATGGCAACAAGCGTTGCAACCCTCTTAAACATCTCCTCCGGGCCCTCGACGATCTCGTTCTTGTTGTTTCTTAGAAGGTACCTGGAGGCAAGGACGCGCAGGGAGTTGGTGTCGAATCTTTTTGCCACGGGATCAAGATCCTTTGTGTTGAGGATCCTCATCTTCTCTTCCCTTACCTTCCTTCGTTCGTGCCGGTACAGAATGTAGGCCTTGGCGATCTCGCTGTGTCCCCGCTCGATCAGTGTGGTCTCTACCATGTCCTGAATGGTCTCGACGCTGGGCGGCCGATCGGCCGAGAACCCCTGCTGCATGAGCTTCTCCACGACATGCTTTGTCAGCTGCTCGGCCACGCCGCGGTCGGGGTTGGATGTGGCAAACATTGCCTTGTAGATGGCGTTTGATATCTTCTCTTGGTCGAACCCCATGACACTGCCGTCACGCTTTCGAACTGAGAGTATGGTTGGTTCATTAGTTTGTGAGTTCAACAAGTAACTGAAATGTAGAACAAATGCGTTAATTAACGTTATTGAAATTTTTAAATGCGTTTTATGCCCGTTTAAGCTCGTATCTGGATGTTATTTTTGTGTTCAGATATGAATTACGACATTGTCAACACGATTTTCGTGTGACAGATTGGATCACAGCGCCGTCTAGGCCGTCCAAAACCAGCCCCCGATTCAATCAAAAAACCAGATATTCTGTTCCCGCATACGTCAAAATCTCTATGCTGCATCGTATAATGGTGCAAAAAACGGGCATCGCAAGACAGAGGGATTTCGGGCCTGTGACAGCCCATGCGCAAGACAGTATGGACGCGTGAAACGACATGGGGTTGGATGCCCGCGGGTTCAAGCGCGAGATCTGCAGGCGCAGGCGGCCGCACCGCGGCGCGGTTGGCCATGCCACGGGAGTCGGCCACGGGCGCCCTAGACGGCATCACACGCAAGGGGGCGGCGGCATGATTGACGTATGGGGCGGAGGCAGGGCCTGCAGACGGCCCCCGGATTGGTCACACGGGCCGGGTCATGTGGCAGGCACCGGTCAGGGATCCACGGAGCCTCCCAAATCTGCCATGCCGGATCCAGAGGCCCGGGACAAAGTAATAATCTTAAATTAGTCCATGATTCATAACAGACACGTGGAGTCTGAAGAGATGGCGCGATCCGGAAGGATCGGAGTAATCTACCCCGCCTCCGGGTTTAGCTGCCGGGAGCGGCTGTGATGGCATCAGAAGCACCCGGAAGGGGCGGAATAATCCGCTCTACCTCCAAGCGCGTAAAAATGATCTTCTCGGTCATGGCAAGCCCCAACAGAATCGACATCCTACGAATCCTAAACTCCAAAGGCCCTCTCACATACTCGGAGCTAAAGTCACATGCCGGGTTCAGGTCAAAAAAGGAGAGCGGCAAGTTTGCATACCACCTAAGAAAACTGCTCAAGCAGTCCCTGGTTGCACTGAACAAATCCGAGAAGAAGTACACGATTACCAATCTGGGCAAGCTCGTTCTCAGCCTTGCAAGGCAGATCGAGGAGAGATCCATAATCGAGGCGGGCAAGATGTACGTCAGAACGTCCAGCTGGTCCATTGAGGAGTTCAACTCGCACAAGATAACACAGTCCCTGGTTCGGGAGGGGGGCCTTCCGCTGGAGCTGGCGCAGAAGATTACGGAGGAGGTGGAGAACCGCATATACAAGTATCAGACTACACATCTTACCAGCTCGCTCATCCGGGAGATGGTAAACTCGGTCCTTCTGGAGCACGGCCACGAGGAGTACCGGAGCAGGCTTGCCAGACTGGGACTCCCGGTTTATGATGTGCAGGAGACGATGACAAATGTGGATTACACCGACGGCGGCAGCACAGAAGATCTGCTGCTGAGGGCAGGCCAGGTCATTCATTCGGAGCTCCTGCTTACGAACAACCTCTCCAAGGATGTGGCCGACGCCTACCTCTCCGGGGATCTGCACATTACAAATCCCGGACTCTGGTCCCTGCTGCCTGACATAGTCTTCTTCGATGTGAGAAAGCTGGTGGAGAACGGTATCGACATAGGCGACAAGCTCCATGATGTCTCCAGGCTGCCGGCGGCCAAAAACCTGGACGAACTGTCCTCACTGATATCGATGTCGATCTCCCTATCCAACAAAGAGGCATCCCAGGAGGTGGTTATGGACGGACTCGTTCCGCTGCTCTCAGAGTACGCCGGGATGCTCCCAGATGTGGGGCAAAAGATGGCTTGTGCGTTTGCGGCCGCATCCACCGTCTCAAGGTATAATGAAAAGCCGGCCATCGTCTCGTTCCGGCTCGTGATGGGTGAGAGTCCAGAGGTTACCTCCACAATTCTGGAGGCGTACAAAAGATACGCAGAGATCACCGCATCCCCAAAGATCGGCCTCATCATAGATTATGACAGAGCAGGCATCACCGACGTGTCTGAAAGGCTGGCAGAGATCATCTGTCTCGGCGGGCATGTTGCGTTTGTAAAGGGGCAGACATCGGCCGGGGGAGTTGCATGCGCTGCCAGGGGTAAGGATCCCACATCGGTTCACCTGGGTTCCATCTCCATCAACCTGCCAAGACTAGCTCTTGAATCCAACAAGGACGAGATGTACTTTAGGGCCAACTTGGTCATCCTGATGAAGCCGGTGCTGGAGGCCATGTCCATCCGGCGCAGGCACGTTACAGACTTGATCAGGAAAGGGCTGAACCCCCTGCTTGTAAAAAACACCCAGCACATGCAGCACGGAAGCGTATCCATGACGCTGAACCTGATCGGACTGCACGAGGCGGTCTTTGGGATTCTGGGGTATGAAGACAACAAGGACGGGCGCAACATACTGCGCGGCGTGATCAATACCGCGTCAGATGTGGCAAAGAAGGGCAGCAAGGCGAGCGGTGACGACATTAGAATCTGCATGGTGGAGAGCGACGGTGCGGCAAGGCTTGCATCCCTTGACGGTGACAAGTTCGGCAAGGCCGCACTTCAAAAAATCCTCGACGGCCCGGCCTACAGCACGGGCACCTCCCTTGATGGTTCCCGGATGGGCGAGTACTCTGCAGAGAGCGAAGACATTCTTGAGATCAGCAGGCTCGCAGAGATGTTTGGCGGCGGGCTAGTGACAGACTTGGAGTTCGGCCGGGGGTCTGATCCCGAAGCGGTCAGGAATGCCATTGAGAGGGCCTCGGAGCTACTCTCCTTCTTCAGGCCACAGATAAGGCCGGCCGTTCAGTAGCGCCTGCGCTCTTTTGTGCATGTGGGAGTGCGCGTAGTGGCCGGCGCCTGCCGGTTCCCCTACCTGTCCTGAACATCCAAGGTAAACTCCGACGTCGACACGGCGTGTCCACAGGAGGGGCACTTGCCCTTATGCGGGTTCATTAACTCCTTTATCGGCTTGAGTGTCTTCATGCTGGTAATCTTGCTGCCACACTTTCCACAGACTACATCGACTGACACAGCTGATACTACCGTGCCCGAATAATTAAGATTTCGGAATGCCCCGTCTCCCCTACCCTGGGTACCGGTGCGTGCGCTTCAGGACGTCTTCACACTTGGTTCGGGGCGGCCGGCGACCACGTACGCGTCCGTGTGGCAGCAGTTGCCTGCTGCCGGCACGCCTTACGTCCTTTCTAGAACTATGCCCCTTTCGTCAAAGCCGGTGATCCTTGCACCGACTCCAATGGGAAGGCTCTCCGGCTCTGCTATGCCTCCCATAAATCCCGAGATCCGGAGATCGGAGCCGTCCAGCCTGATTACCACCCACGCATACGGGACATACTTTTCAAAGCCGGAGGGCGGGACCGTAATTATGGTATAGGTAACAACAGTTCCACGGCCCTCCAGTGTCACGTCACCAAAACCCCGGGAGCCGCAGCCCTGGCAGAAGCAGACGGTGCCCAGCTGGACAAGGCCGCACCTGGTGCACCCCCTTGCCAGCACCTTGCCGGTTCTGACGGCTTCTATGAACTCTCTCTTTGCAGACATCTCACACGCTCTCAAATATGTGAACCGCGCAGCTTGCCCCGGTGGCGCCAAAGTTGTGCGTCAGACCGGTGCTTACGTTCTTCAAGTTCCGCTGGCCCGCCTTGCCGGTCAGCTGCTCATACACCTCCACCACCTGGCCCACGCCGGTGGCGCCGATGGGGTGGCCCTTTGACTTGAGGCCGCCGGACGGGTTAATCGGAATGTCGCCGTCCCGGGCGGTCCGGTTCTCCCGTGCCGCACGGTATCCCTGGCCCTTTTCAAAGAACCCCAGATCCTCGCTGTCAACCACCTCGGCGATGGTGAAGCAGTCATGAACCTCTGCAAAATCTATGTCCCTGGGGGTGATTCCCGCCATCCTGTAGGCCGCATCGGCGGCAATCTTTGTGCTGGGTATCGTGGTTATGCGCTCACGGCCCTGCAGTGCGGCAGGCGAGCCTCCGCGGCCAGAGCCCGTCACCTTGATGTAGTCGCCCCCGTGCTCCTGGGCAAACTTTTTGCTGCAGAGTATGACGGAGCTGGCGCCGTCGGAGAACGGGCAGCAGTCGTAAAGCTTGAGGGGGCTTGCCACCACGGGCGATCTCATCACATCGTCCACGGTTATCTTCTTCCGCAGGTGGGCCTTTGGGTTTAACAGTCCGTTGTCGTGATTCTTTACTGCGACCATGGCAAAGTCCTCCTCGGTTGCCCCGAACTCTGCAAGGTATGCCCTGGCCATTGACGCAAACAGTCCAGGAAAAGATGCTCCGGCCTGGCCCTCGTAAAAGAAGTCCGAGCAGTATGAAAAGTAGGTCGTGGTCCACTCTGTTCCGGTGTGGGTCACCTTTTCAACACCGGTAACCAGAACCGCATCATAAAACCCGGCTGCCACATTCGCAAATGCCTCCCTGAACGAGACCGAGCCGCTGCCGCATGCAGACTCGATGGACAGGGAAGGCCTCTCGGGGATGCCCAGATTGCTCATCACTACGGGCCCCAGGTGGACCTGCTTGTCGGCCACGCCAAAAACATTGGAGATGTACCCTGCCTTGATCTCCTTGGGCTCGATGCCGGCGCTCTCTATTGCGCTGGCAGACGACTGGACTGTAATGTCGGCGAGGCTGTCTTCCAGCTTGCCGTACTTTGTGCTTCCTGCGCCAATGACGCAGACATCTTCCATGAGCGGACTGGCGGCGTTCCATATAAAAATCGTTAAAGAGCCTTCCGGTACGGGATCGTCTCTCGTTTCGTTTTGGCATGTGCCTGTACATCCGGGTGGGCCATCGCGCCCGCCTCTCTGCGGCAGGCGGATCCGCACACGTCCCGGCGTACATGCAGTCCCGGGCCCGCGCCGCCGATGCACGTTTAAGAACAGAAACGGATACAGCAGACTGTGTCAGGATCAGCCGTACAGAAGACAGAGCAGAGGCATCACGTGAGAATTACCAAGAAGAGGGTGGATGTTATCCGGAAGGAGATCCTCCAGTACTTTGACACAAGCGGATACCTGTCGTACTCTGCCAGGAAGAAGAGATTCGTAATCCTGGGGACAAACTCTCCCACCGATGGCCTGGTGGAGTGTCCCGAGTGTGGACTGGGACAGCTGATGGTGGTGCGCTCGCTGAAGACCAAGAAGCGGTTCATGGGATGCTCGAACTATTACGGCGGATGCACCGCGTCGTCCCCACTGCTGCAGAAGGCCAGGCTTCGGGCAATCAAAACCCCATGCGTGGAGTGCGGATGGCCCATGGTGATCTTCAGGTACTCAAGGGATCAGAGCTGGACCAGACAGTGCTCCAATATGGGCTGTCAGAGCAGGCGCGGTTCGGCCTCCCGGTAGATGTGGGGCCTTCTGTTCTTTAGCAGCGGCAGGGCCTGGCGGGTCTTTTTGAGCTTGTCAAGCGAGATGTCGGCCAGCGCCATTCCCTCCTCCCCCTTCATATCGACCAGGACGGTGCCGTATGGATCCACTACGAGGCTTCGGCCGCAGTAGGTGTTGCCCACCTGGTCCGGGGATACGACATAGCACCCGTTCTCTATTGCCCGGGTTCTGTTGATGGCGATCCAGTGCTCCTCCTTTGCCTCTCCCTGCACCCAGGCAGACGGGGCCACCAGGATCTGGGAGCCGGCCAGGGCCAGGCTTCTTGCCATCTCGGGAAACCGCAGGTCGTAGCAGATTATCATGCCCAGCGTTCCCGCTCTTGATCTTGCCGGCCTTGGCATCTCAAACCCCGGAGTCATCTTTTTTGACTCGCGGAATCCCAGGGCATTATAAAGGTGGATCTTCCTGTAGGATGAGACCAGCTCTCCCCGGTGGTTCAGAAAGAACGCGGTATCGTACACCCTGTTCCTCTTCTCACTCTTTTCGTAGATCGTCCCCACAACCTGGATGGAGCTCTTCCTGGCTGCCACGGCAACGGCCCTCACAAAGTCCCCGTCGATCGTCTCTGCCATACGGGCCAGCTGGTCTGAGGTCTGTGACGAGCCGGTGTAGAACATCATAAACTCAGGAAACGCGATCAGCCTGGCACCCCTGTCTGCCGCATCTGAGATGTAGCCCGTGACTCTCTCTAGGTTCTCCTGCTTGTCCGTGGAGGCCTTGAGCTGCACCAGCGCGACTTTGGTCACAGTGCGGGAAGGCAGGGCGTAAAATAAAAAAGTTGGTTACAGCCGGCTGCCGGCCAGGTACCAGTTCTCCTTGGGTTTCTCGTCAAACACTATGATGACGTGCTCCTTCTTCGTTTTTAGGATACTGACTGCCGACTCGGTCAGGGCCCTGGCAAAGTCGTCCTTCTGCTGCTGTGTTCTGCCGGGATACATCGAGACTGTAATTAGCGGCATGATGCAGTGTGGGTTCAGGCAGAATTTATCTTTTGAGATGCGGCGGCCGCGTGACGCCGTCCCTGCATTCAGATACACGCATTTCAGGAGAGTCTCTGCGCCCGGTTCGCCACGGCAGGCTGCCACACGCCGACGATCCTGGCACCATGCGTCCGTTCAGTAGTCTCCGCGCCAGCCATAGCGCGTCCCGTACATGGACTCGGAGCCGTGGGTCTTTTTGTACAGATAGCCAAAGCCCAGTCCCGCCACAAAGCCGCCTATGTGAGCCATGTAGGCCACGCCGCCTCCCGCGAGCCCGAAACCCCCTATGAGGAACGGCAGGATATTCTGGAATATCAGCCAGAACGGAAGAAACCACTTTGCCTGGATGTGCATCATTCGCCAGAAGAACCCCATCATCAGAAACGTCATAATCCGGGCCCTTGGAAATATTACCAGGTAGGCTCCCAGAACGCCCGAGATTGCCCCCGATGCCCCCACCGCCGGAATCGGGCTGAGCGGATCGATCATGACATGAGCCAGTCCCGCGATCACGCCCCAGAGGATATAGATCCCAAAAAACTTCATCCTGCCGTACTTGAGCTCTATGTTGTCGCCAAATATCCACAGGAACAGCATGTTTCCGCCAAGGTGCATCAGGCCGCCGTGCATGAATATCGAGCTGAAGAGCGACACATACTCTACGGCGGGGCACTCGATTACGATGCCGCTGAAGACAAACGAGTTCTCCCCGACAACACAGGCGGGCACCGCCCCCCACTCGAAGAACATCTGTGCGGCCCTTGCGTTGGTGAACTCCCAAAACTGTCCGGTAAACGCAATCTCATACAGGAAGACCCCGACATTGGCAATGATCAGTATGATCGTGACTACCGGTTTGAATCCTGGAGGGTGGGGATTTTCGTCTTTAAGGGGAAACATGAATTATACTGCTGATCGTCCTGATTTGTATTATAGTTTTATTGGCGGTAGGGTGCTGCATCCCCTGTCCGAGCGCGCACATCCAGAAGCGTCTTCGTATGACACGGCGGGCGGTTCCGTATGTCTGCCTGGAATCCGGGGGCTAGGCAGGCACCTGCCGGCTGGGCGGCCTGCCGCACCGGGTCTGGTGTGGGGGTTTTGCGCGAAGCTGATCCGTGCCGGGCGTATGGCTGCCGGCTCAGGTCCATTTTGCGGGATCCTTCTTCCATACCCGCTTTCCGTCTACAAAGACATGGTCCCTCTCTTCAAACACTGTGTGCCACCTTCCGTTGTGCGGAAAGAGCCGGTTCATCTCCTCGACCCTCTGGTTTGTGGGGGGCCGGTTTGTCAGGGCGCCCCACCGCATGTTTGGGATTTTTGGCAGCATGTCGTTTATGTCCCTCATCTGGAATCATCCCTAGACCACAATGATGCCCGCCCTTATGAGGAACTGGATCGCGCTCACAAACTCATTGTCGGTGGTTACCCCGTCCACCCAGAACTGCGCCGTCGTCTTTATCCACGGAGGAACCTCGGCGGCGCCGTCAGACTCGGACTCGGTGGCGGGCACCACGATGATCCCCTCGTCGATGAGGAACTGGATCGCGCTCACAAACTCTGCATCAGAGGTCACCCCGGATGTCCAGAATCCCACGGTTGTCTTTATCCAGGCAGGAATGGTGGGCTTTACCTCAATCAGCGTGGAGCCAATTCCGGCATACGCGTCATCAAAGTCAACTCCGCCAATTATCTGCCCAAACACCACAACATCCAGTCTGTAGCTGCTCTGGGACGGAATTCGCAGCGTCTGGAAGTCTATTCCCTCTACAGATGAAATCCCCGGACCTAGCCCGTCACCGCCAACATCCTCTGCCAGTACGTCGCCGGTGCCGTGGTCATACAGGCCATAGCCGTATCTTACATCCGTTAGGAGGTTGCCGTCATCGTCAAAGAACGCAATCTCAAACGGAATGTCATCGCCTACACCGTACCTGTCGTCCCATGAGACGCTTACGTTCGTGCCCGTCTTGTCCCCGTTGGCAGGGTTGACGAGATAAAAGTCGAGGGCGTTCTTTTGCACCTTGCTCTCCGGAACCACCACAAAGCTCATGAGGCTGCTCTGCTGGTTCTCCTCTCCTAGCACGTTGTTGATTCGCTGCAGCTCTTGGCCGGATACCAGAAAGTGCAGTATGTTCAGATCCTCGTACGTGTACGGATCCAGTATCAGGACGCGCTTGTCAACCTCGATGCCGTTGACGAATCCACGGAACCCGTTTCCCTCGTTGTACAGATCAAACGATTTTGGGATCTGCAGCTCCTCGTGGACCACCGACACAAGCTCTACGTACTCCGGAGACCAGTCAAACGGCATGTCAAATGAGATCGAGCCGTCGGTCTGCTCAAAGTCAAAGTTCCCCACATCGTCATAGTACGTCTTTACGACCACCGGGATCTCGGCCGATGCGGTCTGGATTGCAAACGGCTGTTCTTGCGCAACGCTGACGAACGTCTCAAAAGACAGGGGGGAGTTCACTAGGGTTCTGGGACTAGTTGCTCCCTCCACACCCACCCGGATGTTGTAAAGGCCGCCCTTGTCAAAGATCGGCCCCTGAATGACAGGATCCTGGTTTCCCTGCGTATACAATGCCCCAGGAGAGGTAGGGTGTTCCGAGCCAAAGTATTTGGTGCAACGCCACAGGTCTATCGAGTCACAGTCGATCACCGGGCGAATCTCGATATCCAGATTCCCATCGATGTCATAAAACAGGTGATTTGCCAGCAGTCCGCCATCTCGATAGATTGCAATTCTGTATGTGACCTTTTCCAGTGTCTGGTCGGTATCCTGATCAAAGAACCTGACTGCCATGCTTGCCGAGCTCAGATCCCCCACGGTTATGTCGTAGGGAGTTAGCTGGGTGCTTACCGTTACCGACATTCCGGCAAAGTCTACCGGCGGCGCAACATCTCCTCCGAGGCCGTGCCCATGGGCTTCGCTCACAAGTGCCGGGACGGCAACGATTCCGGCAGCAAGGATAATCAGAAGAATGCTCCGGTACAACAGCTATAATACTCCGAAATCCTTATTTAAATATACGAAATATGTCCGCGCGGACGGTTCGGTACGAGCGGCTTGCTGCGTACGCGGGATGGGCGTATCGGAGGAGGTTCTGGTGCTACATACTGCTGGTGTCAGTCGTCGTGCGGGTCCAAGCATGCGAGGTCATCCGCTGTATCGTATTCGATGCGAAGTTTTTTTTTTGTAATACGGGTGCCAGTATCCGAATGAAGTGGGATCTGATCTCGTGCGGGGACTTGACGGTTCTCTTCCAAATTCGGGCGCCAGCGGCATGAGTGGCTAGTCGGGTCTGCTAACCTCGACGTATCCGTCGCGGATGGTAAACTTGAGGCCATCCGGGGTTGCCCGGTGTCTGTAGTATTGGCTTTGGTATGTAGCTGGTCCTTCTCTGCCTGTTGTGTATTGCGGATACGGTAAGCTCCTTGGCACCCGCTGGCCAGATCTCTGCTGCGCCTGCTGATCATGTACCACAACTTCATACGCCCGCACGTGGGCCTGGGCGGCAGGACTCCTGCCGAGGCGGCCGGGATAGCCATGGCCGGGCCGGACAAGTGGCGCGCCGTCATAGGACATGCAGCGCTGTTCTGCGCGTATGGCATGCGCGTCCCGCCAGGATCTGGTTAGCGACAGGGAGATCCTGCAGGACGGTATCCGGAGACACTTCTGCCTGTCCATCTCTTTGCGTACTGGGATAGGGAGTGTACTACTTTTCGGACTAGATAAGAGAACCGGACTTGACAAATTTTTAATAACGATAATGAGCAAATCACAGTATGAGAATCCTGCTGGTCTTGTTGCTGGTTCCACTTTTTGTGGTGCCTGCCTTTTCCCAGTCTGCCCTGCAGGTCGTACCCACAGAGAAGGGAACGCTGAATGTCGGCGTATGGGTCGACGGGTCCACCGCCGGTAGTAATACGAGGCTGAACATCGACTTTATCAACCCCTCCACGGGCATGACCCAGGAACATATCGATTACAGCGTAACCGTGACCAAGGACGGCAGCAACGTGTTTGGCCCCATCCCGCTGACACACACATCGGTGGGAACGGTAGGAATTCCCGTAGAGTTTGCTGAGGACGGGACGTACGACGTACAGATTGATGTGGAGGGAATTCTGTTCCGGCCGATTCCGCTCGAGACCGCAACCGCTACGCTCTTTATCGGCGAGCAGATCATATCCCTACCGCCCCTTGAGGTTACCGCACCCCCGACAGATGTCACCCCGGATCCCGTTCCCTTGCCCGACCCTACCCAGCCCATCGCCCCTGACCCTATCCGGCCTACTCCTCCTGACCCAAGCCAGCCCGCCACGCCCGACCCTACCCAACCCACCCCCCCCGACCCTACCCCGAACCCATACTCCAGTGACGGGGGCTGCCTGATCGCAACGGCAGCCTTTGGATCCGAGATGGCGCCGCAGGTACAGCACCTACGGGAAATCAGAGATGAAGTCGTAATGCAGACAGAGTCCGGTGCCGCCTTTATGGCCGCCTTTAATCAGCTCTACTACTCGTTCTCGCCAAGCATGGCAGATCTGGAGCGCCAGCATCCGGCGTTCAAGGAGCTTGTGAGGGTTGCAATCACCCCGATGCTTGCGTCCCTGTCGATCTTGGACCACATTCCTATAGACTCCGAAGCTGAGATGCTCGGGTACGGAACCGGCATCATTCTGCTCAATGTCGGGATGTATGTCGGACTTCCAGCCGCGGTGATCCTGAAGGTGCACAGGCGTAAGGTCAGGTTCTTGGACAGTAGACTACGGGTTTGATATGAGTGAGATTTTTATGTTACCCATCAAAGACTAGGGTTAATGAAAACATTAACGATAGCTACTGTATTTACAATTCTGGCTGCGGGAGTATTCGCGCAGCCTGCATTTGCAGATCATTCAGAAGCCATAGTCACCCAGCCGGAAAACGCCTCTTTAGTTCTTTGCCTAGATACAAACGAGTGCTTCGTACCGACCGACGTTACCATTGACGTCGGCGGCACGGTAACGTGGATCAACGAGGACATTGCATTACACAATCTGGCAAGCGGCACGATCCGCGATACAGAAGGGGTCGGAGATCTGTTTGGCAGCCCAACTCTTTTGATGCCGCCTGGCGACGAGTACTCCTTCACGTTTGACGACTTTGAGCCCGGTACATATCCGTACTTCTGCTTTCTGCATCCGCATATGTCTGGCACCGTAACGGTGGTCGCAGCGGGTGAGGACGGCGACATGATGATGATGGAAGCAAGCGCTACAGGCATGTTAGAGGACGGCACCATGGTAAAGGTATACGCTACAGAGCCAGCAGAGGGCGAGCGCATGGAGATCTCCGTGACGTTCGCAGACAGCGAGCATGTAAACTATGACCTCATGGTAACCCAGAACGGCGAGGAGGTACTGTCAGACGCAGGAGCCCACGAACACATGGGAATGGGCGAGCACATGACGGCACCACTGCCCTCATCGGATCCGGTGGACATCACAATCACGTTCCAGGGATACGGAGTAGCGGCACCGCTTACGGGCCCGATTGGAGAGGAAGTAGCCTTTACCAATGTGGTTCCGGAGTTTGGTACGGTGGCAATGATCATACTCGGTGTTGCGATAACGAGCATCATTGCAGTAACTGCACGATCAAGAATAACCCCAAGAATCTAGAACACTATTTTTATTTTCTTTTTTTGAGCATGGCAACCACTGCCAGTACTACGCCTGCCGCCCCAAGGGACATCCCAAATACGGCAAAGTCGTACGCCGGTCCCGCATCCTGGCCGGTGGCGGTTCCGGACTCCAGATCCCTTTGCAGCGCAGACATTGCCGCCTTGAGCGACGCTATGTCCCCGTCCCCTGCGGATGATCTGGGCGGAAAGTCCAGGACTGCGGTGGTCTCCACATCCTCTATGGGTATGTCGACATCGACTGGCACGCCGTTGATCTCTCCTGCGACGTTTACCGTCATCGAGCCCGTCTTGGTCGGAATTATGGGGGAGCGGTAGTGGCCTGCCCTGGTGTCTGCATTGATGTCCAGCTCCTTGCTCAGCCCCCCAAACTTGACTGTGGCCTCCAGATTCTGAAACGCGCTCTGCACGCCGGTTTTGGCGCCCTCCACCTCACCGGGCACGCTTATCCCAAAGACGATGTCGTTCTTGAGTCCCACCACCGGCGGCTCGATGCCCCATCCAACCTCGATATCATACTGTTCCACCGATACGGTGGTGTGGGCATATGCGGCCGAGAAGCCCGCGCCGCCGATCAGTATGGCAAGGATCAGCAGACCGTTCACGGATAAGGACTTGTCCTCCAGATCATTTTAAGGTTCGTAGATTGGTACAACCTTCAAAATCCCTGTAGACTGTTTAAATTATCTTGGCTGACTTGAAGAACTGATGAAGGCCCTGATCGTGCTTCTGGCGGTTGCCACGGTGGCGGTCCTGCCCGCATACGCGCATCCATTTACGGAGGAGACCAGTCCCCCTCGGTTCTCAAACGTACCCGTGGGCACCGGGGAGGTGGTGGTGCACTACTCAGAGGCGCTCGAGATCCAGTTCAGCAAGCTCGAGGTTCTAAACAGCAACGGGGAGAGGATCGACAACAGGGACACCGGGTACTACGACGGAGATGACTCCCTGGCTGTCACGACCCCGCCGCTGGAGGAGGGTATCTACACCGTCACAAGCAAGGTGCTCTCAAGGGTCGACGGCCACCTGGTCTCTGACGCCTTTGTCTTTGGCGTGGGCAGTGTGGCGCTGCCTGATACCGCGCCTTCGGACGCGAAGCTGATCTTTCTTCCCGAGGCGGGGGCAAGGTTTCCCGGGCTTGTGGGCCAGACCATAGTTCTGGGCTCCGTGATTGCGTCCATGTTCATCTGGGGACACCTGGGCATCGGCTCCACGGGAGATGCAAAGGCGATGCGCAGGCGCTACCACGGAAGGTTCATGGCGCTGATGGGGATCGGGCTGGTCGCAGTCTTTGTATCAAACATTATGATACTGGGAGTTCAGACATGGCGCCTGGAGGTGCCGGCCATGGACGCGCTGCAGACTGGCTCTGGCACAACGTGGATGATCCGGATGGCCATAACCGTTGCCCTTCTTGGCGCGTGGTTTGCGCTGGAGCGGATGGGGCGGCTCTCTGCCAGAAACCAGGTTCCCGTGCTGGCCATGTCCCTGGCGCTGATCGCCACCACCACCATGATGGGCCACGGCGCCGCAAGCGAGCAGCCTCCCGCGGTGGCGCTTGACTACATCCACAACCTGGTGTCCTCCGTCTGGATAGGCGGAGTCATATTCCTGGCCTTTGTGCTGCTGCCAACCTTTGCCAATCTGGGTGCCGGGCCCAGGGAGAGGTGGTCCCTGGCCATAATTCCCAGGTTCTCCGGCATGGTAATAATCGCGCTGGGGATCGTCATAGTCTCGGGCCCGCTGCTGATGTACCTCCTGGAGAGCAACCTGGGCGTGATCACCGCATCCACCTACGGGAAGCTGATCATGCTGAAGGTTCTGATCGCGTCGGCCATGATAGGAATCGGGGGGTACCACCAGATAACGCAGCGAAGGGCCGAGTCGGACATCCGGTTCCCGCTCCACAGAAGGCTCCGGCGCACGCTCAAGGTCGAGGCCGGACTGGGGGTTGCGCTCCTGATGGTGGTGGCACTGCTCACAAACGGGACGCTTCCCGCGGGCGAGGTTCAAACCGTAGAGGCGCAGCAGGCATTTGCCGGCCTGTCGGTATCCGAGTTTTCAGAGAATGCCAGATTCGACATAGAGATAAGACCGTTTGCAACGGGCACCAACAGAATCGTGGTGGAGGCATCCTCCCTGGACGGCACGCGGATCTCCGACATGAGCTCGCTTGAGGTCAAGGTCTCCAACCCCGGCAGGGGCATCGCCCCCATCGCGGTTCCAATGGACGCCATCCCGGGAGACGGGGTGCCGGCATACGAAGGGGAGATAACGTTTGGGTTCTCAGGGGACTGGCAGGTGGAGGTGGAGGCCCAAAGAACCCAGGGCGGAAACGAGGGGGTGGCGCTGGGTCTGCTGGTGAAGCCGGAGCTTGAGAACATCAGGGCCGAGATTGTCGAGTACGAGTTTCCAGAGCCCGCGGCGCCGCTGTACCCGGTGTATGACGGGGCAGGCTCGATCTGGATAAGCGACTCGTCGGGGCCCCGGATATGGCAGTATGCGATACAGGAACAGGAGTTCACCGAGTACGCCTTTGAGGGCAGCACGTCAATTGCGCTGGCCGTCGACAGCAGCGGCAGGATCTGGTTCACCGACGTTACCGAGGGGCGGATCGGCTTTGTAGATCCCGGAACCGGAACATATGAGATTATAGAGCTGCCCTCGATCGCCCCAAGAAACCAACCAAGCCTGCCGATAATCATCGACATAGCGCCAGATGACGGCGTCTGGATTCCGGTGGCAAACAAGAACGTCATACTGCGGTACGACCAGGGGCTGGACCGGTTCGAGACGTTTGAGATGCCCACAGAGGACTCGGGGCCGTTTGCCGTAAAGGTCGGGCCGGATGGAAAGGTCTGGTTCACGCAGCAGACGGCAGGACAGCTGGGCTACATAGACCCGGAGACCGGCCGGATCGCGGAGTTTGCCCCCGACACCCCGCTGAGCGTGCCGGAGACCATCACTTTTGATGCGGACGGGAACCTGTGGATATCTGAGCACCAGACCGGCGGCGGCATCACAAGGTTCAACCCCATACTGGAGACCTTTGTGCGCGTCCAGTCCCCTGACGGCGATGCGCTGGCCAACGGGGCCGTGCTCGACAGGTACCGGAACGTCTGGTTTGCCCAGCATACGGTGGACAAGCTTGGGGTATATGACCCGCACCGCGGCAGCCTCATGGAGATCCCCCTGCCTACGGAGGAGACGTGGGTCCAGTTTACCACGTCTGATGGCGACGGCAACGTGTGGTTCGTGGAGCAGAAGCCCTACAGGCTGGGCACGATAATGCTGACGGAGCTTCCGGGCAGTGCGGTGATATCTGACGGGCCGCCAGTCTCTCCCCTCAGGTATGCGGAGGTGGCAGGTCCGCTGATGGCGGCAGGAATAACGGCAGCCTCGCTCTTCTATGTAAAGAGCGTAAGGGATCAGAGAAGAATCGACGCCCTACTTGAGGATCAATAGGCTTCTTGCCGCCAGTCCGGAGAGCACGGCAGATGCGGTGCCGGCAATCAGGATTATGGCCGTGATGCCAAACTCGGGCACCACCACGACACCAAACTCCGTCACCGCGCCGGTGCCGCGTATGTCCTCGAACCGGATCGTGGTCTGTCCAGTCTGGTCCTCGGAGAAGGTGTAGGTCTCAAACGAGCCGCCCACCACGGCGTTGCCGCCGGTCCGGTATATCTCGCTGCCTGCCTGCAGGATCACAAAGCCGTACGTGGACTGCCGCAGCGGCTCGCCCGTTGCGCCGTCGCGGATAGTAAATACAAAGTTCGTGGGTTCCTCTGACTGTACCTCTACAGGATCCCACGAGATGTCCACCCGGAACTGCTCGTCCCGGGTGTATGCGGTCATGGGAAACTGCGTCTCGTCGCTGGCGTCCAGCGTAAATGTCATCACGTCGGGGATCTCCTGCCCTGCCTGCTTCTGCTGGGTCTTCAGGGATTTGACATGGTCGCCAAGCAGCACAAAGTGGACTATGCGCTCATCCTCCTCCGTGTAGTCGTCGATGGTCACCGACGCCCGAAAGAGGTCGATTCCGTTTACCCTGCCCGTGTAGCCGGGATGCAGAAACTCGGCAAACCCGTCTGGAATGTGAACCTCCACGTGGACCACCGGTATGTGGGATATGGTCTTCTCGCTCCAGTCAAACGGCATCTCCACTGTGACCCTGCCTGCCTGCGCATCGTACTCAAACCCTGACAGCGTGTCAAAGTATGACTTTGTTCGGAACTGCACATCGCCGCCGCCGAGATCAGACTGGGCGTGGGATGCCGTCTCCAGTATGCTGACATCGGCGCTGTAGACGCTGCGGTCATCCAGAATGCGGGCCGGATCATCCGCCGTCACAACCTCGATCTCAAACCTGTACAGCCCCCCGGAGCCAAGGGTCGGTCCCGTTATGGTCAGCGGGTCGGCCCCGGATCTCCAGACGCCGGACTGCGGATCCTGCTCCCCCGATATCTCCACGCTGTCGGCCGTCACTGCGTTTATCCGCAGCACTCCGTCATGCGCAAAGAACTGCTCCTGGAGTATCATCTGTCCCTGGTGGAAGAGGCGGATCAGAAGGGTGATGTTCTCTGCGCCCCTGCGGCCCGAGTCCTCGGTGGTGGTAACGGTGATCTGCCTGTCGCCGGACTCGGGTGAGATCTCCACCGTTATTGTCAGATCCTTTCCGCCGGCGTCTACGGACTGGACGGTGTCAAGATCCAGTCCGTGCCCGTAGGCTCCCGAGACCGGAATCAGCCCAAGAACTATGGCAGCTATCATAAACTTGACGTACACGGCATCCCCTGCGGGTTGCTGGGTTTCCGGTATGTAAAAATCTAAAGCCCCGCAGGCGCGGGAGCCGGGATGCCGCTGCGGCTATGTGTCGGGCCGGGCCTCAAAAGACGAACAGGGCTTGCAGGCTGTACATTATGCCGATCCCTATGATGATGCTTACCGTGCCTGTCGCAAGCCTCGTGATCTTCTGCAGCCTCTCAAAGTTTCTGGCAAGGCCAAACGGAACGCTCAGCGCCCCGCTTGCCACCATCATCCCGATGATCGAGCCGGCGCCGAAGACCAGAACAAATGCTAGGACGGCCTGGATGTCGCCAAGCATGGGGGCGCTGAGTGCGATTATGCCCCCGCTCCCTGCAATGCCGTGAACGCAGCCGATGAGATACGATTTGTGGCCATGAAGGTGGCCAGTACCGTGGCTGTGCGGGTGCGAGTGGGTCGTGCCGTCCCCGTGGATGTGCGGGTGCGAGTGCCTCGGCCTGGTTATGCCCCTCTTCGTGTAAACGGACAGCCCCAGTATGACTAGCATCGCGCCCACCACAAACTCGAATCCGTCAAACACCTGACCCGGTATGCTCAGGGAGAAGACGAGTATCAGAACGCTTACAAGAAGAATCATCGAGGTGTGGCCAAACCCCCAGAACGCGCCAAGCAGGCAGCTCTTTACGGCATTCCTTCTTATCTCGGGCAGCGCCGTGCCCCTCCTCATTTTGGCCATCTGCGTGGTCACCGCAGTCACGTGATCCGGCTCAAAGGCATGAAACAGCCCGATCATCAGGCCGGCAGAGAGCAGCAGAACCGGAGCTCCGCCGTCAAGCCCTACAAGCATCTCCTCCAGAACCACAAGCGCTCACATCCTTGCGGCATCAGGAATGGCAATCGGCTGGTTCACCGTTATCTCCGTCTTGTGATCCGACAGAATCTCAAAGTCCAGCCTGCGCAGCATCTCGGGCGTTCCGGGCATCACCTGGTCGGAGGAGAGGATCCCGGATATCTCCCTTTTGATCTGATCGTAGCCCTTGCCCTCCCTTAGCATGTGCGCAATGTGCTCGGTAAACAGCAGCAGGGTCTCGTTCAGGTTGATCCGCATATTCCGTCTCAGCTTGCTCTTGACCCTGTCTGCCGACGCGGCAAGCACGTCATTCTGGAACTGAAACGTTGTTACAATTGGTCTGTATGGCTCTTCTTGCGCAGTTATCTTGACTAACATCAAGATCTCCTGGGGATCTCCGCACGAGGGCTGCCAAAGCTGTAAGTGTTGCCGGTTCCACGGTAATCATGTGGCCTTACCGGGCTCCCCTCGTCTAGGCCCCTCTTTGTCAACGACAGGCCCGCCAGGAGTTCCACGATCAGTCTCTGTCCCAGTCCAGACGTAATCCCGCCGTTGTACGAGCTGTTGTCGCTTACATCGTATGCCGGCGCCACCTCGACCAGATCCATTGCGAACCTGTCGGGGTCAAAGGACTTTGAGAGCAGGCGAACCATTCTTATGCCCTCCCTGGACGTGAGGCCGTTTGGCTCCGGCTCCCCTGTTCCGGGGGCGTAGGCGGGATCAAACGAGTCGATATCCCAAGAGAGGTACACCGCGTCGGTGCCGTCGTTTGCCCTGTCTGCTATCTCCTTGGCAATGTAGTCGATTCCCAGCTCTTCAACGTCCAGCATTGTGAACCACTGGAAGTCTTGGTCTGACATCCACTTGTACAGATCCGGTCCTGGCCAGTAGCCGCGCGGTCCCACAAGGGAGTAGTTCCTTCCCTTCATGCATCCCATCTCCATTATTCTTCGAATGTGTGCCCCGTGATCATACTTGTAGCCTGTCAGCCCCTGCGGGGCGCAGTCTGCGTGCGTGTCAAAATGAATCATGCCTATGTTCTTGTACTTTTTGGCAAATGCGCGTACGTTGGCATAGGTGATCGAGTGATCGCCTCCAAGCATCACCGGAATTCCGTCCTGCTCGAGAACCTCCTTTACCTTCTGGGACATTCTCTTGTGGGACTCGATCACGTCACCGGGGGACACGTGGACATCCCCATAATCGACGGTTCTAAACGTGCCAAAGGGATCGGCCCCCGTCTCGATGTTAAACCTCTCATAGGGCGGAGACGGTATTGTGGACGCGGCCCTCAGGGCCCGCGGGCCGTATCTTGCCCCGGGGCGGATGGTGGTGCCAAAGTCAAACGGTTCGCCGATGATGGCGACGTCGGGCCTTGCGTTTACCAGCTCTTCATGGGTTTTCACCCATGGCAGATGCAGGAAGGTGTTTATTCCAACAAAGGGGGCAACATCCGCACCCCTGTAGTCATCGCCGTAAAACTCCATGCCCATTACGATCACTGTCTCTGCGGAATGTCAGATAATAAACATTTTTGGTAAAATACGTTTTTGGGCGCGCTGGATTGGGTGCGGGGACTCCTGAAACGAGCGCCCCTCACGGATCCGGGAGTGCCGCTCCCGTATCTGCGAAATCCGGTCAAACGGCATAGAACTAATTATAAACTTGAACCGCACAGTTACGCCATGCATTTTATCAAGCCCAAGGCCAAGCAGGACTTTGTCTCCAACGGTCTGTACTGGAAGAGTTACGGCGAGTTCAAGAAGGCAGTCTCAAGCTTCAACAGGGCGCTGGAGGAGGATCCGGGGAACGCGCTGGCACAGTTTCACAAGGGACAGGCGCTGTACCAGATAAACGAGTTTGTTAGTGCCGCCCAGTGCTTTGAGGACGTCGCTGTGACTGACCCAAAGCACACAGATGCACTGTACAACTTGGGCTTGGCACAGGAAAAGATCGGCAGGTATGATGACGCAGTATCCAGCTTTCTACGGGTCGTTGAGATCGACAGCAGGCACCTGGGCGCGCTGACATACATGGCCCTCTGCAAGAGCAACCTGAAGATGCACGGGGAGGCAATAGATCTGCTTGACCAGGTTCTGAAGATCGAGGGCACGAACCCTGATGCGCTCTACAACAAGAGCCTGGTCCTTGGAAGAATGGGAAGGCAGTCAGACTCGTCATTCTATCTGGACAAGGCAATAGAGGCGGAGTCGGGGCAGTCGCAGGATCTCTACGAAAAGGGTGCAAAGCTAACACAGCAGAGCAGGCACGAAGAGGCCATGCGGTACTATACCAGGGCCCTAAAGCTGGACTCGAAGAACGTCCGGGCGCTGGTGGCAAAGGGCTGGACCCTGGATCTGGCGGGGTTTTCATACAAGGATGTCTTTTACTTCTTTGACAAGGCGCTTGAGGTTGATCCTGAGAATGCCGATGCCCTGCTGAACAAGGGCTTGGTGTATGACAGGACGGGGATGTTCAAAAAGGCCGTTGACTGCTTTGACAGAATACTGAAGAGTGATCCGGGGAACGTTCGCGCCATGTACAGCAAGGGAGTCTCCCTGTTCTCGCTAAAAAAATACGGCGCGGCAAGATTCTTCTGCGAGGCTGCGCTGAGCATCGAGCCTGACAATGTCAGGGCGCTGTGCAGCATGGTCTGGCTTCTCGAGCACCAAAAAAAGTATGACGAGGCGTTGACATACTGCGACAAGGCACTGTCCATAGCACCTGACTATGTGTACGCCATCAGCTACAAGGGAAAGCTTCTGATGTCACTTGGCAGATACGAGGAGTCCCTGGAGTGCTACAGCAGGGCGCTCAAGCTGGATCCTGAAAACCAGCGGGCGATCTACTACAAAAGCCAGGTCATGGAGAAGATAGACGGCGAGAACAAAGAGTCGTTCTTCAAAAAGTTTGGAAGATCTTTTGGAAACTGATCCCAAAATAATTCGTAGTTTACCACTAAATGTTGCAATATGGTAACACTTTCTTCCCTCTGGCACTACATAATTCTTATATCCTATGTCCTTTAGGTTAATGGGTATGGTGCAGGTTAGTACATCAGAAGACATAGCCAGGGAGTCAAGCCGTGTAATCGGTTCCCTGTATGGTGAGGTATCTGACTTTCGTGTAAACACAACGTTCCCGATACCGGAGAAAGGAACAAGAGAGGCATGGGACGTGCAGGTAAACTTCATGCTTGACGGCCTCAAGTATACGGTGGATCTTGAGATTCAGGAAAAGGACGGACAGGTCACCAACGCAAGGCTGATTGACACAATGGTGCCCCTCTAATTTTTTTTTAAACCGCTTGCGTGCTCATATGGTCAGTATCTCCTTGGCGGTTCTGATCTTTTCAAAGATCTTGTTGATGTGCGAGTCCGCAAACTTTTCAAACGTCTGTACCTCGCGCCTGTCCTTGGTGTCCTTCTTATACACGGCATACTCCCTCTGGAGCCACTCAAAGTCGGACTCCTTGAGCCTGATTACGTTATTCTGCGAGTTCAGCTTGGATTCAAACAGATTCACCAGAAAGTAGCTCACGAAGTTTGAAAAGCATTTGGTTTTGTATCTTGTCCCGTACTCCTTCCCATGCAGATCATACTTCTCCCTCAGCCAGTCCTTCACATCTGCCCTTATGGTCATGGTGTAGTATCTCCCGGCCGTGTCAATCTTCATCCTGTGGGATTCAATGGAATAGCGCCCCAGCTTTACCTCGTTCATCAACATTATCAGGGTACTGGGCAGAAACATTCCTGGATAGAACGCATCCGTGATGCTCTGCAGGCGGGTATAGGTGCCGGGTTTCAGGCCTATGGTTGCGTATCCCTTGCCAGGCACAATACTGAATATGTTTGGCTTGCTTTTAATATTTTGTAGCGGCGCGCGCACTCTCCGAGCCGTGCAGTTTCCCAGACTGCATTGTGGGTTTCCTTTTGGCGTGGCGACAGGCAGCTGGTGCGTGCGCAACGACAGATCACGCCGCGGCCCTGCCGCAAAGACTACTTTCTCTTTAAATCCTTGATTATCCTCAGCACAATCCAGAACGATGCGATCACAATCGTCCCTATGCCAATGCCCACTAGAAATGAGCCGTCGCCGTCCTGCTCCAGCTGTGTAATCCCAAATCCCACAAGAACCAGAAGAGCCGCGAGGCCAAACTGCTTATCCATGCATGGGTTTGTCGCCGTAGCTATTAATCTTGTGGGGAGGCGCAAGGTGTGACATTACGCCCCACTTCATTCGGGCACGAAACGGCACATCCGGAAAAATACCTGCGACCGGTCCGATGTGACAGACGAACCCGTGCGGTACGGACGTACGGCGCCGGCGCGAGTCGGGGTAAGGCGGTAGCGGCCGCCTGCGGGGACGGCATGCCGGCGGCCCGTGCCCGGCGTCGTCTCCGTGGGATGCTGGCGCACAACTTTTACCATAATTGTGGCATGCGTCCAATTTTTATTGGTAATTGTAGTATACGTTTAATTTTTTGTTCGCTAAAACGTACTTTACTGCAATTTTTCAATATTTAAATAACATGTTGACTAATTACTAGTTGTTAAATGGCCGAGTTTGGTGATTTTGGAATAGCGATAGCAGTGTTCATAGCAGTCACTCTTATCGTTGGAATTTTTGCCGGCAAGCTGGTGCGGGGCAGCGGAAAGAGGCTGATCGTTGCAGGGAAGAGCCTGCCGCTGGCGCTGGTCGGGACGATGCTTGCCGCGCAGGCCGTTGACGGAAACTCCACCCTGGGCAATGCGGCCCTCGTCTTTGAGTTCGGGTTCTGGGCGGGCGCGATAACGCCAATCGGCCTGGGGATGTGCCTGCTGGTCGTGGCCGCATTCTACGGAAAACCGCTCAATAAGATGTCGATGATTACCCTGCCAGATTTTTACTTTAGAAGGTTCGGCAACGGCGCGGAGGGAATCTCCGGAGTTTTGATGATAATCAGCTTTATCATTCTGGTCGCAGGCAACCTGGCGGCAAGCGGTTTTATTCTGGAGACCGTCTTTGGAATAGACTACTTCTGGGGTATACTGATCACGGCGCTGGTCGTGGTGGCTTATACCATGACCGGCGGGCTGTTTGCGTCTGCATACACCAACCTGTTCCAAGTCTACCTTGCAATAGGTGCATTCTGGGCCGGATTTCTGTTCTTTGCCGGAGGATTTGCCGACGCCCCGTGGAATGTGATCTACAGTAGCGCCCCGCCGGAGTTTCTTGATCTGTCCGGGCTGTTTGATGTAGCCAACGGTGCACTGATTAACTGGGCCGGCCTGTTGGCGCTGGGATTGGGCGATATCATAGCGCTGGACTTTATGGAGAGGGTGTTTGCAGCCAAGAACCCCAAGACTGCGCAGAGGGGAGCTCTGATGGGCGGACTGCTGACGATGTTCACGGTGGTGCCAACCACGATGATGGGAATCATAGCGTACCACTACCTGGCCCCGGACACCGCGCCCAACCTCGCGCTTCCGCTGCTGGTTACGGGGCACCTGCCCTTTGCCATTGGGGCAGGCATACTGATGGGCATCATAGGCGCGTCAATGTCGACTGCCAGCGGGGGACTGCTGGCAATCTCCAGCGTGGTGTCGAGGAACCTGATCAGCAGGATAATTCGCAGGAGGTGGCTCGGCAAGGCCACGATGAACGACAGGAAGCTTCTTGTCATGACGCGCATAGCGCTCATACCCATGATGATTGCCGGAACGGCCCTGGGCTACTTTGCCCCGGCGCCCGGAATCTACCTTATCCTGGCGTTTGATATCGTATTTGCCGGCGCGCTTGCCCCACTCACATTCGGCCTGTTCTGGAAGAAGGCGAACATGCCCGCCGCAATTGCCTCCCTTCTTGTGGGTTCATTTCTCCGGCTGTACTTCTTCTTCTCGTTCCCAGAAGATCTGGCTGGTCTTGATACCTTCATACCGCCTATCGTGTCCTTCATCCTGTTTATCGCCGTGGCTCTTGCGACCCAGAGCCGGTACCCAGGAAAGGCCCGGCACGATGTCAGGGATTACATCCCCCCAGAAGAGGATGTTATCGAGGGAGAAGATCTGAGACACTTCCAGGAGGGGGACTCGATAATGGGCGGCAGCGGAACGGGATCCGGCGGTCCGGGTGACGATGCCCCGGGCAAGAAAACCTTGGCCGGCAAGTGACCACATGCCTCCACCCACCAAAGATAGTCCATTCGTACGGGTTCGGCGATGAGCCTGCATGCGGGGCGGCCTGCCGCGCTGGACGCAAAGACGCGCCCCGGTACGCAGGGTCATACCCAGACAAAGAAGCCGGTTTCAGCAAGGTTTAATATTTTTCAGACTCGACGGACGGAATGAAGTATCCGGATATATTCAACCCCGACCTCTCCCGCATCGGAAGACGTGACTCGCAGACGTACAATGTGGTCGCCGGCATACTCGTAACGGACGTGATCAAGACCTCGCTGGGACCGCGGGGGATGGAGAAGGTGTACATAGACATACTTGGCGAGGCGACCGTAACAAAGCACGGGGGGGCATTCCTGCGAAAGCTGGACGTTGACCATCCTGCTGCAAAGGCGGTGGTGGATGCGGTCAACACCGTGGACACACACGTTGGCGACGGCACCATCTCGGCCGCGGTCCTGATGGGCGCCATGCTCAGGCAGTCAAAGGAGCTGCTCGGCAGGGGGTTTCCAACCGCGGTTATCACAAGGGGTTTTGAGGAGGGCATGAAGTACGCGCTGGAGGCACTGGACGAGATCAGGATCGAGGCCGATGCCGGGGACAGGGCGATGATGCGCAGCCTTGCAGTCTCATGCCTTGAGGGTAAGGCGCTGTTTGATGCTCTGCCCGACGGCCGTATGGCAGACGTGTTCATCGACGCGGTATGCCAGGTAGCCGATCTTGAGCGCGGGACGGTCAATACGGACGACATAAAGATCGAGGAGAAGCCCGGAGATCCTGCCGACATTCGGCTGGTGAGGGGAACGGTGATCGACAAGCCGGCAGACAACCCGGGGATGCCGCGCACCGTCGGCAACGTGAAGGTCCTCCTGCTAAACGATCCGCTTGAGACGATGCGAACCAAGGCCGAGTCTGAGATCGAGATAACATCCCCAGAGCAGATGGGCCGGTTTGCCTCACAGGAGGATCTCGACGTCCTTGCGACCGTCAAAAAGGTCGTTGACTCCGGGGCCGGATTAGTGGTGTCAAGAAAGGGGATCAGCGGGCTGGCCCAAGAGCGCCTCGCGCGGGAGGGGATCATGTCTGTTCGCAGGGCCAAGTACAATGATCTGTGGTGGCTGGAAAAGTCGACCGGAGCCAAGGTCTGCAGGAGCGTTGAGGGCATCTCTGGTGGCGAGCTGGGATTCGCAGGCAGGGTCCACGAGGAGAGCGTCGGCGGCGACAGGATGGTGTTTGTCGAGTCCGAAGATCCAGGATCGGTTACGATCCTCCTGCGGGCAGGCTCCAAGCGCCATCTGGACGAGTTCCACCGCACCGCCCTGAATGCCATTTGCGTGCTCCGAAACTTTATCGAGTCCCCGTTCATAGTGTATGGAGGCGGATCCTGCGAGGCGATCATGGCAAAAAAGATCAGGGAGCGAGCCCCATGCCTGGAGGGAAAGGAGCAGGTGGTGGTAGAGCGGTTCGCCGACGCCTTGGAAGAGATTCCGATGACGCTTGCGCGCAATCTGGGGATGAGCGCGCTTGATGCGCTGCCCGCGATGAGATCAATGTATGCGGTAGCCGGCAACGGCTGCTGGTACGGCGTAAACGCAGGCACCAGGGAGCTGGACGACATGGCCGGCACCGTGGTCGAGTCGCTGGCCGTAAAGCAGCAGGTTGTCAAGACTGCCGTCGAGGCAGCCAACATGATCCTGAACGTGGATGACGTCTTTGTGAAGGATCTGATCGACAATACGCACTGCCACATCGATGGGACCGTTCACGCCCACAAGGAGCCCGGAAGAAACCACAACCACTGGGAGCAGGAGGGGCTGGAGCAGCGGCAGATGCACCACTACTACTGATGGCGTGCACGAATCAGGCCGCTTGGGACGGTCCGGGACAAGGTTTTTGAGCCCAATGCCAGAGTATGTGTGTATGAAGGCAGACGAGATGCTCCGGGATCTTGGAGTGCTTCAGGTATCTGATTCCTTCTTCCCCACAGGCCTGTACTCCACATCCAGCGGTCTTGAGACGTTGCTTGTGGAGGGGCCGGTCTCAAAGGAGGATCTGGTGGAGTTCATCTCGGCCCAGATCGCGCAGCAGCTCGGTCCCTGTGACTGCGTTGCGCTGGCAAACGTGGTCGGCCTTGCGGAAAGGCACGACCTGGAGTCGATTCTGGAGGTGGACGAGACGGTGTTTGCCATAAAGGCGGTCAGGGAGGCCAGGGAGGTATCGTGCAGCTCGGGCACCCAGCTGTCAAAGACCGTGCACCGATTTGCCGGGGATGGCGTTCTGTCAGAGTTCCTTGAGGCCGTCAGGGGCGGCTCCACCCCGTGCACGTACCCTGTCGCGTTTGGGGTGTGCTCGCATGCCCTGGGAATAGACCGGGAGAGGGCCGCACTCTCGTTTCTTTATGGCTTCGTCGTCAGCGTGGTGGGGGCCGCGCTGCGCCTGGGGGTAATCCAGCACCTTGAGGGGCAGGAGATCATCCACGAGCTCAAGCCGGAAGTCATCGGGGCAATTCGAGAGAGCATGGACGTTCCGGCATCTGAGATCTGGCAGTTCTCACCACACCTTGACATATGCCAGATGAGGCACGAAAAGATGGACTCGAGGATGTTTATCACCTAAAGTCCTGCGCGCGTCGCAGCTCCTGTACGCACTGCCGCGGGAGCGCCCTTTGTGCCGGCAGGGCCGCGCCCTAAAAGCCGTTCTTGTTTAGGATCAGCCCCAGCAGGGCGGCCCTGGTGTACTTGCCGTACTCTGCCTGCTTGAAGTACTTGGCGTTCCGGGAGCGGTCGATGTCTGCGGAGATCTCATCAAGCCTAGGCAGCGGGTGCATGATTATGGCACCGCTCTTCATCCTCTTCACCATGTCCAGGCCGATCACATAGCTCCCCCTGACCTTGAGGTACTCCTCCTCGTCGGGAAACCGCTCCTTCTGTATTCTTGTAACGTACACCACATCAAGATCGTCGATCACGTCCTCCAGGCTGGCAGACTCGGTAAACGAGAGCCGCTTTTTGATCTCATAGACAGAGTCGGAGCGGATTCGCAGCGAATCTGGGGGATATCAGATGCACCTTGACGTCATAGTTTCCCAACCCGTACAGCAGCGAGTAGACCGTCCTTCCGTACTTGAGATCTCCCACTATGCCGATGTTCAGCCCGTCGATCTTGCCCTTCTCCCTCTTGATGGTAAACAGATCCTGGATTGCCTGGGTGGGGTGCTCTTCGGTGCCGCTTCCCCCGTTTATGACCGGCTTGTCTGAGACCTCGGCGGCAAACCTGCTGGAGCCGTCACTTGGATGCCGCAGGACGAGGACATCAGAGTAGATGGACATGATCCTCACCGTATCTGCGAGGCTCTCGCCCTTCTGGGTAGACGATGACGTCACATCGGCGATTCCCAGGGACGTGCCGCCGGTGGCTGCCATTGCGGCCTGAAAGCTCAGCCGCGTCCTAGTGCTTGGCTCAAAGAACAGGTAGCCCAGTGTCCTTCCCAGGGTAATCTTCCGGCGCGAGTCCGGCGGCATCCGCAGGATCTTCTCGGTGGCACCAAAGATACTCTCCAGCTTTTCGCTGTCCATGTCCCGGATCGAGATCACGTCCTCCTGAAAAAACTCCTCCATATCCCATGGATATATACCAGTACAATATACAAATTATGCTGATGCAGGAGTCGGAGCTGATAGTCAGGAGGATTCGCGATGGTACCGTGATCGATCACATAGATGCGGGCAGGGGCCTTCAGGTACTGGACGCGCTGGGCGTTGACGGCCTGGACGGCAGCCTGATCACCGTTGCGCTCAACGTGCCCAGCGGGAAGTTCAAAAAGAAGGACATCATAAAGGTCGAGAACATGTTTCTCCAGGGCGACGACACCAACAAGCTTGCGATAATCGCGCCCTCGGCCACGGTCAACATCATCAAGAACTACAAGCTTGTGGAGAAGCGCAGGGTATCGCTGCCAAACGAGATAGGCCGCATATTCCGGTGCTCGAACCCTGGCTGCATCACAAACAGCCGGGAGCACATCGAGTCCGTGATGGATGTGGTGGACAGGGAGGGTGTGATCCTCAAGTGCAGGTACTGCCGACGCACGCTGGACGTAAGCCAGCTGGAATATAATTAAAAATAAAGATCGTGTGTGGCTTATTGGCCCAGAATGATGAACATCATTACTATGCCGTAGATGGCGATTGACTCTACCATGCCCACGAATATGAATACTTTTGACTGTAGCGCGGGGTTCTCACTTATGACTGCAAGGCCGGCTGCCCCTACATGACCCAAGCCGATGCCTGCACCACCTGCCGCAAGACCAAATGCAAGGCCGGCTCCAACCAACCTCAGTGAATCGGAGCTGCCCTGCGCGCCTTCTTGTGCGTACGCCATGCCGGTAACACTTGAGATGCTGATTACTGCTGCAGCCAGTAGTGCCAGCGTGATAGTCTTCATTATCGATTCTTGCTCTTCAAATTCCATATTTAAATCATGATAACAAGTCCCGGCACGGGAACATGTGCGCCCATGCGGGCCTTTGCGCCCTGCTTTGCACAAGTCCCCGCCGTACCCATGGATCGGTGGGGGGGGGGACTGCCGCTATCCCAAGGCTCTGCTATAGCTGGCCTGCTGCCAGAACCATCCGGGTGCTACGATCTGCATCCTACAACACTCCGGGCAGAGCTAGGATCTGCAGACGCCTTCAGATGCTCTTTAGGGTCTTCTTTTTGATGCCTGCCAGATCTTTCCCTACGTTCTTTGAGAATTTGTCAAAACTCTCACTCAGAGACGACTTTGAGCCATCCACCAGTTTCTTGATGCTTTTTTTTGTCATTGCTTCCTCTTCTCCATTGCAGCCTTGACTTTTTTTAGTTTTGCGAATTCCTCCCGCTCCCTCTCCTCCAGGGTGGCAAGAATAAACTTGATTCTCTGGTGGTACTGCGGTATGATCACATTCTCCAGAGCGTTGAGGAGCTTTTGGGTCTTCTCCAGGGCCTTTGCCAGACTGAATATCGAGTTCTCGTACTCGGCTGCCTTGCATATTCGCGGCAGCAGCACCTTGATCTGCCTTGCCGCCCTGTCTATTGACGAGTTTGTGTCGGCAAATCCGTAGGGCATGGCCTTTGTGTCCTTCTCTGTAACGTTGAGCGCCGGTATCTTGACATCCACCACCCTCTTTATGCTTACATCCACCTCCATCACCGCGGGCGTCATCTGGGCCACCGAGTCGACGGTGGATGTTCCCAGTAGCAGGTACGCCTCGCTGACGGATCTGTAGATGTCCTGCAGCGGATCCCAGATTCCGCCCCTGGCCTTTGAGGCCTCCTCTATCATCTCCTCGATGTTCTTCAGGAGCACCTTGCGCTTGTCGTCGAGGATCTTCTGGACCATGGTGGCCACCTGGCTTGAGCGCTTGTACTTTAGGAGCTCGATCTTTGTCGCAGCTACATTCTGTCCAAAAGACATGAGGCTAACTTTTCCCGTAGTACTGCTCTATGTACTTGTCTTTTACCTTGGTGATCTCGTTCTTGGGCAGCTTGGAGACTATGCCCCACAGTATCTTGAGCGTCTCCTCGATGGTTCGGTTCTCGTCTGTTGCCTGTGAGAGGAAGCTCTTCTCGAATCCGTCTCCGACATTCATGTACTTGAGGTCTATGTCGGTCAGTCCTGCCTTTCCCACGATTCCTGCCAGGGCCCTCACCTCCTGGGCTCTTGAGTATGCGTCGTAATTCTGATTGGAGATCTCGCCGTGATCCTCCCGGGTTCTGCCCTTGCCGATCCCGTCCTTCATCAGCCTGCTGAGGCTCATCAGGATGTTTACCGGTGGGTATATGCCCTGCCTGAAGAGATCCCTGCCCAGGACTATCTGGCCCTCGGTGATATAGCCGGTAAGATCCGGTATCGGGTGCGTAATGTCGTCAGACGGCATGGATAGAATGGGCACCTGGGTCACGCTTCCCTTTCTTCCCACCAGCTTGCCTGCCCTCTCGTATACGGTGGAGAGGTCGGTGTACAGATAGCCCGGATAGCCCTTTCTTCCAGGCACCTCCTCACGGGCAGCACTGATCTCCCTTAGCGCTTCTGCGTAGTTTGTCATATCGGTAAGTATGACGAGGACATGTATTCCAAGATCAAAGGCCAGGTACTCGGCCACCGTCAGCGCCACCCTGGGCGTGATTATTCTCTCGATGGCGGGATCGTCGGCCAGATTCAAGAACAGCACGCTTCTCTTCAGGGCACCTGATTCCTCCAGGCTCTTCCTAAAGTACTCGGCCTCGCTGTACTGCACGCCGATGGCCGCAAAGACTACCGCAAAGTCATCCTTGGTGCCGACTACTGATGCCTGTCTTGCTATCTGGGCTGCCAGTATGTTGTGTGACATTCCGGAGCCGGAGAAGATGGGAAGCTTCTGGCCGCGAACCAGGGTGATCATGCCGTCTATGACAGAGACGCCGGTCTGGATAAAGTCCTTGGGGTACTCTCTCTGCTCCGGGTTCATGGGCTCGCCGTTGATATCTACGAACTTGTCTGCAATCGGATCCGGCAGGTTGTCCTTTGGTCTGCCAAGTCCGTCAAAGACCCTGCCCAGCACCTCACGGGAGACGGGCATCTCCATTACCTTGCCGACAAACTTTGCGTTGGTGCCTGAGATGGACAGTCCCGTGGTTCCCTCAAAGACCTGCACTACGGCCTTGCCATTTCCGACCTCGAGTACTTTGCCCAGCCTCTTCTGGCCTTCGGTTGTCTCGATCTCCACCAGCTCGTCAAAGGCGGCGTTCTCCACATCGTCTACTATTACCAGCGGCCCCTTGATCTCGGCGATCTTGCTGTACTGGACCCCTCCCTTGACGCTCAACTTGAGACCTTTACCCCCTTGATACTCTTGAACTGCTCGTCCATATCCTTTAACAGTGTGGCAAACTTGGGCATCTCGTCATCCTTGATACTCATTCTGGCCTTTAGTATTGATGAGATTATGGGCATTGCCCGGATATCCACTAGCGTGGCTCCCTCCTTGAGCACCTGCTGTCCGCGCCTGTAGAACTCGACTTGCATCTCCAGCAGGCGATACTGCTTTTCAGGACTGCAGTAGGTGTCTACGTCATCAAACGAGTTCTGCTGCAGGATACCTATCTTGATCATTCTTGCAACTTCCAGTATCAGCTTCTCCTCGTCTGGCAGCGCCTCTGGTCCCAGCAGCCGCACTATCTCCTTCAGGGTATCCTCCCTCTGAAGCACGCCGTAAACCTCGCTTCGAAGGGCCAGCCAGTCCTCGCCGATGTTCTTGCTCCACCACTTTGCGATATCTGCCAGATATCCAGAGTAGCTGTTCATCCAGTTGATGGATGGATAGTGCCTCGAGTACGCCAGCTTGGCATCCAGCGCCCAGAAGGTCTTGATGAATCTCATGGTGTGCGTTGTTACGGGCTCGGTAAAGTCGCCACCGGACGGCGATACTGCGCCCACCAGGGTAACCGAGCCGTCACGCTGGGGGCTTCCCTGTGCCTTCACGCGGCCGGCCCTCTCGTAGAACTCTGCCAGTCGGGATGCCAGATATGACGGGTATCCCTCCTCTGCGGGCATCTCCTCCAACCTTCCGCTCATCTCGCGGAGAGCCTCGGCCCACCGGCTGGTAGAGTCTGCTACAAGCACGACATCCTTTCCCATGTCGCGATAGTACTCGGCTATGGTGACTCCCGTGTATATGCTGGCCTCCCTGGCTGCCACAGGCATGTTGCTTGTGTTTGCCACCAGGACTGTCCTGTCCATCAGCGGCTTGCCGGTTCGCGGGTCCTTGAGGTGCGGGAACTCCACTAGCACCTCTGTCATCTCGTTTCCCCTCTCGCCGCAGCCGATGTAGACTACCACTTGAGAGTCGGCCCATTTTGCAATCTGGTGTAGCGTGACTGTCTTGCCCGTTCCAAAGGCGCCAGGAATCGAGCCCGTGCCTCCCTTTGCGATGGGAAAGAAGGTATCGATGACCCGCTGGCCCGTGAGTAGCGGTACCGTTGGATCGTACCGGGCCTTGTAGGGCCGGGGGGTTCGTACAGGCCACCTGTGGTACATCTTGAGGGGAGACTTTTGGCCGTCCTTCTCTACTGTTGCAATCTCGGTCTCGAGGTCGTAGTCGCCCTCGGAGACGATGTCGGTGATCTTGCCGCCGGGGTGGTTCGGGGGCACCATTATTCCATGATCGATCAGATCGGTCTCCTTGACGGTACCGATTATGTTTCCCGACTCGATCGAGTCGCCCACCGATGCTGTGGGTATAAAGTGATACTTTTTGGTCATATCCACCGGAGTGGTAACGATCCCTCTGCCGATAAAAGAGCCGGACTTCTTTGAGAGCTCCTTGAGGGGTCTCTGTATGCCGTCATAAATCTGACCAATGATTCCGGGTCCCAAAAGTACGGATAGTGGGTTTCCAGTGCCCACAACCGGTTCGCCCGGCGTGAGTCCGCTGGTGGACTCGTACACCTGTATGAATGCCACATCTCCGGTAAGGCGGATTACTTCGCCTATCAGCTTGGCATTGCCCACCGTGACGGTCTCGTACATCTTTGCCGCGGCCATTCCGTCTGCCCTCACTGCAGGACCGCTAACCCATACTATTCTTCCTTCTACTGCCATATCAACTACCTATTCCGAACTTGGTTGCAATTTTTTTCCTAATTAAAGGCTTCATTCTCTCCAACTTTGCGTCTACTGTACTATCAAAGGTCATGATTCCATCCTTGGACTTGACTATTATCCCGCCCATGCACTCGATGCTGTCCGGTGCCAGCTCTGCATCGGTACTCTTTGAGAGTAGCTTCTTTACTATTCCATTGTCCTGCGTGCTGGTAAAGACCATAACCTGCGGGGTTCTCAAAACCTTTGTGGACTCATCCAGCATGTCAGATATCATGCCGGCGTATGCGGCATCCCGTTTGGCGTTGCGTATCTTTTTTATGGCGTCCGCAAACACCCTCTCAACTGACTCCTCTACCAACACAAGCTGTCTGTTTCGCGCCTCCAGATCCGAGCTTCCCACCAGCTGTTTCTCCAGCTTGTCGGCCTCCTTTCTTCCATCGCTGATCATCTTCTCGTACTCGTGCTCCAGTCTGGGAAGCGAGTCGTCCAAGGTGCCGTGGGACTCTTCCAGGGATGTCTTGAGGCCTGAGAGAATTTCATCTTTCGTGTGGTTGAGAATTTTGTCGATAGTTCTCTCCAGAGCTGGATCGGATGTCAACGGGTTTCGGAATATCAATAATGGATTTTAATGTTTGGAAAATCCGTGCCGCATTGGGCAGATGATCATCCGCCTAAAAGAAATCCGCGGCCTTCCGGCGGGCCTGTGGCGTCACATGCCGGAAATGATGCCGGAAGGATTCCTGTCTTCTAGGTGACCGCCAGTAAGGGAGAGACTTGTCACGGCTGCCCGGACTGCCGGTTGGGGCGGCCATGCCTGCGAGACCGGCGCGGATCAACGGCCATGCAAAACATGGGGACCACGGCCAAGTCCCGGCAGCGCGCAGGAGCGGGCTGTGAGAAAGATATTAAAAACCAGAAAAATTCCCGTGGGGTGTCTTGGTAGTAGCAGATCTGAAACTGGCAAGTGTGATTCTTCCAAGGGGAGAATCGCCGCAGGCTGTATCCCGCCTTGCCGAGTTCGAGTGGTTCCACAAGGTGGATACGGACAGCGATCAGCTGACACCGGAGATTGATGATCTGATGCTGGATGCCCAGAAGCTCTTCCAGTCGGTAGACGACGTTGTAAAGGGGCTTGGGGTGCCACCCCGGGTGGGGATGCTGGAGATTCTCTTCAAGGGTACCACCATCAAAAAGAAGGACTATGAGATAGACGAGATCGCCTCGCTGGTTAGGGACATGGGTAGCCGGGCGCCCCAGGTAATAGACCGGCCCTCTGCATTGCTGTCGGACCTAGACGACACAAGGAGATCCCTAGACGAGTACCGCTCCCTGAAGGACACCTTGGATGTTGTCAAGAGACTGAAGATGAGCGTTGCGGGATTTGGACTGATGAGATACTTTTACACCAACCTGTTTGTAATCAACACCACAGACTATGCAGAGATAGAGCGATCCCTAGACGGTGCCACAATTACAAAGTACGAGCTGGAGGGAAAGGAGCGGGCGGCGGTGCTGGTAATCTCTGATGCTGCTGATGCAGACAGGATCCTCAAGACAATGCGGAGCTTTAACTCCAACCCATTTGGCATACCCGAAGGCTTCCCGCAGGTTCCCAGCGAGGCACACGCGCTGGCAGAGTCAAAGATCAAGGAGCTGGCATCAAAACAATCCTCACTGGAAAAGGAGATCTCCTCCGTGAAGAAGAAGATCCGGCGAGACATTATGGTCATTCACGAGTCACCAGGATGGCAAAGGACATTCTGGAGTCTGTGAGAAAACCAGGAGGCACCAGGCACTTTGCAGTAATTCAGGGGTTCATACCGGTAAACATGGAGAAGCGGTTCAAGGATATCATGGGGAGGTGGATGTCTGTGGTGGAGGATGTTACGGATCCCAAACTGGTGGAGCAGTCTCCGACACTGTTTCAGAATAAGAGGTTCATCAGGACGTTTGAGGTAATCACCCAGAGCCAGGGAATCCCCTGCAAAAAAGAGTCGGATCCCACCCCGATGATTGCGCTGATGTGGCCCATCTTCTACGGCATAATGTTTGCAGATCTGGGTCATGGGCTGCTGCTGATGGGACTGGGGCTGCTGCTCAAGGTAAAGGGACAGGGAACCCTGTCGCGCTGGGGCATGCTGCTTGCCATATCTGGCGGCGCCGCTACCATAGCGGGCGTCGGCACCGGCGAGATGTTTGGATTCCACATAGACCACTTTGAGCCATTTGGGACTCTGCTGGCGAAGGGCGGACCGCTGTACTCCGTCTCGTGGCTAGTGGGATCCCTCACCGTAGCCGAGCTCACCTTCGAGCAGGTAATAGACATACTCAAGGTATCCCTGTTCTTGGGAATAGTTCACCTGTTGTGGGCCATGGCGCTCCGCATAAGGAAGCTGATCCGGGCAGGCCACAAGATTGCGTTGTACCTGGAGGCCCTTCCAAACGTCACCCTGTATGGTGGAATCGTGGTCATTATGATGTGCGCGATAGGATCACAGTACGACGTGATAAACATGTACTCACGGGTTCACACAGAGCCGGTGCCGTGGGTCACCATATTTCTGGGAGAGTGGGCCCAGGTGTGGATTGTAACAAGAATTGCGGTGGTAATCGTGCTCGCGTCCATAGCGGTTATGATGGTCGGCGGAATGATGCACACAAAGAAGCATCCCGAGGAGGGGGGCAGTGTGGCAACCGTCGTCATGGAGGTCCTGCTTGGAAAGACGGTGGAGTCCCTGGCGCACACCATAAGCTATGCCCGGATTGGGATCATGCTGCTGGTGCACGCGGCCCTGCTGCTCACGGTAAACAACGTGTACGTATCGCTTGGCGGTGCCGCATCCATAGGTGCCTGGGTAATGATCATAGGTGGAAACATAGGTATCATGATGATCGAGGGGCTGATAGTCTACATCCAGTCCCTCAGGCTTCACCTCTTTGAGTTCTTTACAAAGTGGTACGACGGCGGCGGCTTGCCGTTCAGGCAGATAAGGCCCGAGCTGGTATACAACCAGCTGCGCTGGAAGCCCCGGACCTAGTCCGCCGGTAGTTCCGGCATGTTTCCCCACTCGGCCCAGGATCCCAGGTACACCCTTGCCCGCTTGAATCCCATCCTCTTGAGGGCAAGAAACGAGTTTGCAGCCCGGTATGCACCCTGACAGTATGTCACCACCTCGGCATCTCGCGGAATGCGGTACATCCCGGACAGGGAGCCTGCGTTCTTGAAGGTTCCCGCATCTGTGAGGTTCTCCTCCCAGTTGATGTTGATGGCGCCCGGTATGTGGCCTCCCCTGGCCGCCCGGATGGACGTTCCGTCGTACTCGGCCGCACTGCGGGCATCAATTATGGTCAGGTTGTGGAGGTTGTCCCGTATGTCTTCAAAGCCTACAATGACTGACCCGTCAGGCACTGCATCAAACCGGGAGGGTAGAAAGGCATTTGCCCTCTTCTCCGTGGGTCGGCCCTCCATCCTCCACTTCTGCAGCCCGCCGTCAAGCATGTGCGCGTCTGGATGTGACAGGTACGTCAGAAGCCAGACGCCCCGGGCCGCAAGCATTCCTGAGGTGTCGTCGTAGAATACCACCTTTTTGCCCCCGTCCACCCCGGCCATGGAGAGAAGCCTGGCTGTCTGGCGGGCAAACGACGCGATCCCCTGGCGGGAGCTGTCTATCCAGTGAAACGTGAAGAGGGAGAGGCTGACGGCGCCGGGGATGTGATCCTGGGCGTACTCGGCAAAGGATCTGGCATCTACCAGCAGCAGATCCTCGTCCTGCAGGATCCCGGACAGATCATCGGTGGACACTATCACATGCTGACTGCTGACACGCGAACTAAATGCATTTGGGTTTGCCGGGATCACAGACCGTGGCGCACCACGCGGATGCCGGCAGCTCGGGCATAGCCCGCTCTGGCAGTCGCTCTAAGATAAAAAGAGAAAAGAAGAAGTTTTTTACTCGTTTACGTATGCTCTTTCTCCGTGCTGGGCAAGATCAAGGCCGATCTCCTCTTCTTTAGGAGTGACTCTGATTCCACCTGGCCATACGAGATCCATTACCTTCAGTATCACTAGGGTAACGGAGAACGCGTATGCTACGGAGATGATGGCGCCTAGGATGCTGATTCCTTGCTGTTCCATGCCCTCTGGTGTTCCGGTCCACGCACCAATACCGTCACCGGTATCCCATATGTGCGGACTGGCAAGGGTACCTGTAAGAATAGCGCCCGTAAGGCCGCCCATTCCGTGTACTCCCCATACATCCAGAGCATCGTCCCATTTGCGTGCATTCTTGAAGGCAACGCTGGCATAGCATATTGTGCCGGCTGCAGTTCCTATGATGATTGCGGCCATTGGTCCAACCCAGCCAGATGCTGGCGTGATTGCAACAAGACCCGCAACCGCTCCGGTTGCAGCACCTACAATGCTTGGTTTGCCTGTATGCGCCCAAGACATCAGCAGCCATGTAACAGCAGATACTCCAGTAGCGAGGTTAGTCACTACCCAAGCGCTTACGGTGACTCCGTCGACCATAACCTGGCTTCCCGCATTAAAGCCGAACCAACCGAACCATAGAATGGATGCACCAAGTACAACCATTGGAACGTTGTGTGGCTCCATGGGAACCTTGCCATAGCCGAGTCTTCGGCCAAGTATCAGGGCTCCCGCCATGCAGAGAATCCTGAGGATATGTGTACGACAGTACCGCCGGCGAAGTCGAGTGCAAAGCTGGGTGACAAGTCTGGGTTCAGATCTAGTGCACCGCCTCCGATGTATCCACCTCCCCATACCCAGTGGGCAATGGGGTCATAGACCAGTGTCCCCCATAGGAGGACGAAGATTATCAGAGCGCTGAACTTGATCCTGTCAATTAGACCGCCAACAATTAGTGCTGGGGTGATAATTGCGAAGGTTCCTTGGAACGCCATGAATAGCTGGTGTGGGATTGTTCCGGGCCAAGAGACGCTACATGTCTCATCGTCGTGAAACACCTGCATCTGATAGGCTGCTGACCATGTGTCAGTACATGGACCTGGTTCGCCTAGTGGGGCAAAGTGTGACACCTGGTTTAGTCCGGCATATTGAAGGCTTCCCATGAACATGTTTGCATCGTTGTCTATTGGACCAAAGGCCAGTGAGTACCCAAAGGCCACCCACTGGAACGCCATCAGACCCATTACGATGAAGGTCATTCCGATTACGTTGACTGCGTTCTTTGACGTGACAGTCCACCGTAGAAGAATGCTACACCGGGGGTCATGAAGAGTACCAGTGATGATGCTTGTCAGCATCCATGCAGTGTCTCGGTATCTATACGGCAAGGCAGCATGCCACCATCGCCGTCGTCATACCAACACTCGTTGGGATTTGCTGTGTATATTCCACTTGTTCCTTGTACGTATCCGTCCATTCCGTCGTCGACTGATTGGGCAAATGCTTGTGACATTACGCCCGTTGATGTTACGGCTACCGCTGCCACAAGTAATAGAGCATACTTGTGGTTTCTAGAATTCATTGATAACCAGCGGGGTTAAAATTATTTAAGCATAAGATTTTAAATATGGATAAAAACTAAATCTTTAAATCTACTTCTTTGGGGATAGATCCCAAAATATATTTATATGTCATGATATGGTTCCCTGTATGGGGGCAAAACACGATCTTCATCTTGCCATATTCAACACCTTCAGACAAAGACCGCAGAACTGCCGGCGAGGCCGTGCGGCAGCGCGACATCTGCGCATTCTGGGCCACCCGGGGCAAACCTGCAGACAGGACGCGTACTGCGATCTCCAGGCAGATAGCGAGGAATGGCACCATGTGGAAGAACATCTACTCGGGGGTCTTTCGAGATCTGGACGAGATACTGACCCTAGGAGGGTGGTAGAGGAGAGCGGCAGGCTACCGCTAACGCGGGGCCCGCGGGCGCTGCAGGAGAGGGGCATTCCATACTACCGGCTCACCCGGAAGGGGAGCTGATCTCCCTTGCGCTACCCGGCTTGAGCGGCCGGAGGGACATGCTCAGGGAGGGTGCTGTCTGATGACGGTGCGGTGGATGGGCCATTCATGAGGGTCTTTTTAAGATGGAGGAGTTCGCCCCCGCTTTACCTACTCGCTGCTTGAAAGATACATCAAGGGCCTACTGCGAAGGTACACTCGAAGAGCCTGTTTCCGCTGTCCGTGGATGGCCTGAAGGCTACCACAGGCACCGATGTCGGGATTCAGGAAGAGTTTATCCTGGGGTTATGAACGAGCCGGAGGCCGAGAGGGATTTGGTGCTGGCATTCTGCACAAGATGGCTCCGCAGGCGCCACAGCTCCCGCCAGAGGCTACGCAGGAAGATCCGGAACACATTGTCATAGTGCCGCCTGCCTTGGAGCCGGAGGCATGCCGGGGGGTGGACAGCTGGGACAGCAGGCACCGGGTTTGTCCGGGCACATGGATGTGCGCCCAGCCAGAGTTCTGCGCCTGGGGCAGGCGGCCTCACATGGACCGCGCTGGCAAACTTTAAAATCGGCTTCAATGAGATTCATCACGATGGGCAGCTCGCAGACGGTCTATGCGTCGGTAAAGTCATACAGCAAGAGGGGGAGGTTGCTGTCTCGGGCGGTGCTGCAGACGCTGGCAGAGTCGCGGGATCTCGGAGAGCTTGTCACAAGGATAAAGAACACCACATACGCCGATGCCGTATCGGATGTGGAAAAGCCGTACACGTCTGAGAAGATCGAGTCTGCCCTGAGAAGCAACCTGGCTGACATTCACTATTCCATAGCAAAGACCGCAGGAGACTCGGTCATACTTGACGCATACTATCTCAAGTTCCTGCTCTGGAACTTGAAGATCATTCTCAAGAGCAAGGCGCTGGAGAGGACCCAGGAGGAGACCGAGATACACCTGAACCTGCACGCAGAGGAGCTGGTAAAGCAGCGGGATGTCGTCGTCAAGGCCATGGTATCAAAGGATCTGGAGGAGGCTGCCGCAAGCCTTGGCTCCACCCGGTTTGGCGATGACATTGCCAAGGCCGTCGCACTCTACAACGACAAGAAGAACATCCAAGTGTTTGACACGTACTTTGACAAGATTCTCTACGCGCGGCTTGGCCGCGCCAGACTCAAGGAGAGGGATCGTGACGTTGCTCGCCTGGTGGGCATGGACATTGACTCCTACAACCTGCTCAGTGTTATCAGGGGGAGGTTCTGGAATCTTGACGAGCCGCAGATCCAGGATCTGATCGTGGCCCAGACGTCTGGCGCCCCCCGAGAGCTGCTGTCAAGAATGATCGGTGCCGCGTCCATCAAGGACGCGTTTGCAGAGCTGTCAGGCACCAGGTACAAGGATCTGATTCCCCAGTCAGAGGACGAGCTGGACGCAATTGCAGAGTTTGAGAGATCCTTCGAGAGGGCGATCTTCAATGCCTGCAACAATGTATTTACAAAGATGTTCAGCTTTGCCACTACGGTTGGGATTACAAAGCTGACCGCCTTCGAGGTGCAGAATCTTGCGGCCATTGCGTATGCCGTAGAACAGAAGATACCGGCAGAGACGGTCATGTCAAAGATCGTTACCGGGAGCGAGTAGGTGTGATCAAGATACGCCGGAGCGGCAGTCGGCGCGGTATGGATAGGCACCTTTCCTGCGCTCATGCTTGCGGTTCCGCCCCTATGGCTCCTTCTTGTGGTCTACCTTGGCACCGGGCAGCTGCTGATCTGGGCAGTCCTGGGATTGGGCGCCCATTTTGCCACTCTGACATTCTCTGCCGGAATCTCCGGGTTTCTGGTTAAGGGTGATTGGGTAGTGTTGCTGCAATGATGGGCGATAGAAACTACCGGGATCTGATCCAGAACGCGGTGGACTCGATAGGCAAGGAGCTGGACATACAGATAGACGCAGAGGACATCAAGACGGTACACCTGGCCGAGGCAGTTCAGTGCATGCGGCGTTCGTACTATGACAGGGTAGAGCCACAGCATACCGGGCGCGGGGGTTTCAACGAGCTGCTGGCAGGGATGCTTCGCAAGCTTCACTACGGTGTTGAGGCAAAGGACTTTGCGATAGACGACATCAAGCTGAGGGGCCAGGCAGACATGATGGTGGATGATGCGATAGTTCTCTTCAGATCGGCTACGGCGCCCCCGAAGAACCCCAATGCGGGGGATCTGCTGTACCTCAACGCATGCATGTGGATATACGGCAAGCTTGACGGCATCATTATCTACATCACCGGCGACAGGCAGGAGGCCTCGTTCTCACTCACCAGAAACAGGAAGATGTTCGAGGAGACCGTGCGGCGGGTCAGGGTTCTGCACAACCTGCTGGAGGACAAGAAGACGCCCATCTTGGAGCCGTCTGAGGACTGTGCATCCTGCCCTTACTACAGCAAATGCTACATCAGGGAAAAGGTCGGCAAGTCGATCTCCCTGATGAGCCTGATGGGCATGGACAAGGAAAAACCATAAGACATCTGAAGGCCGCGCATCCTGTTGACGCTGTTAAGGTCGGTGGATCGATTGCACGAGACTCGTCTGCTGTACCAATCCGGGTAACCTGGCTCCCCCGAAGTGCGCACCCAAACCAAGGAGATGACCTAGCGCAGTCGTTCCCCTTGGGCGAGTAAAGAAAAATTGTAAAGGGATATCCTCTTCCTAATCTAAGGACTCGGGATGTCCCCGTCCTCGGAGTGCAAAGCAGACTACTGCAAATGCTATTGATACTCCTACTGCTGAGCCAAATGCGGCCATTGATGCTTCTGCCATTTAAGAGAGAAGTCATGAGCGGATCATATAATACTTTTCCAGATTTTTCTATATGTGAACAAACAATCACAATTTGTGAAAATTAGGATACATAGGAACCGTTCAGGGAAATTCGAAGGATATCTCGTTCTGGCCTCCGGCAGTTACCGAGCTCAGGGCGTATGTAGCCTCGCCGGTAACCCGCCACTGTGCGGTGTCCGTGTAAAGGGAGCTCCAGAACTCTGGCGTGTTTCCGGTGTTCCTTATCGAAAAGCTGTCGCGGATTACGACAGACTGGTTGCTGAGCAGGGTCACATAGTTGGATCCCACCACCAGCGACTCGAGACGCTCGCCGATCTCTCCCGCATGAATCCGAGCATCGCCCTCGTACAGGTGGTACGACACGAAGGGAAGCAGCACGGATTTTGTGTTGGGGTTGACCACTGTGAACTCGATCTTTATGTCGGCAGACCTCCGGTCCACATCCTGAACCAGTATCTCCTTGAGATGGATCTCTATGGGAAGGACCTCCTGCGGGGCGCTGTCCTGGGGGATGAGCCCGGTGCCGGCAAGGCCGCCGGTAAGGGCCTGCCCGGAGACGGCAATCACTCCTAGGGTCGCAACAAGGGCTATTGCGACCGCCACCACAAAAAATTTGGGATTCATAACGCGTTTATGCCCGCAGCCATCTTAAGTGTTGTCAGATTGCGGCCGTGCGAGATCGCATTCCTGCACCGGCCCGGTTGCGGCAGACGTCCCGTATCCGCTGCGGCGCTCCAGGCTCTGTGCAGGATCCGCGCCGAACCAGGTTCCGTACATGCGGCGCCCCTGATTCAGATCCCGTCCAAAAAGGATTATTAATCGAGTCAGGGCACTTATGCCAATGAGCAGAAAGAGGGTGGCCATCGTAGGCGTAACGGGATCCGTGGGCCAGGAGTTTGTCCAATCACTGGAGAATCATGTATGGTTCGAGGTCACGCAGATAGCTGCATCGGAGCGCTCTGCAGGAAAAAAATACATGGACGCCATCAGGGATTCCAACAGCGGAATCATAGCCTGGGAGGTGAACGGTCCGATTCCCTCATACATCAAGGATATGACCGTAGGATCCGTAGATGACCTGGATCTGTCACAGCTGGATCTGGTCTTCAGCGCAGTCGAGTCAAAAGCGGCCAGGGGCATCGAGACCAAGATCGCAGCGCTTGTTCCGGTAATCTCAACCAGCTCCGCCTACCGGTACGAGGAGGACGTCCCAATACTTATTCCAGGAATCAACGACGAGCATGCCGAACTGCTTGAGGTACAGAAGAAGAACCGGGACTGGAAGGGGTGGGTGGCCCCGCTGCCGAACTGCACCACCACTGGTCTGGCAATCACGCTCAAGCCGCTATACGAAAAGTACGGTGCCAAGAAGGTTCTCATGACATCCATGCAGGCAATCTCTGGTGCGGGGCGCACTCCCGGAGTGTCGGCCATGAGCATATCCGGCAATATCCTGCCATTCATTCCCAATGAGGAAGACAAGGTCAGAAAGGAGACCAAAAAGATTCTTGGAAGGCTAAAAGACGGAAAGATCGAGGATGCAGACATCGGGGTCAGCAGCACTTGCACTCGGGTTCCCGTTATAGACGGGCACACCGAATCGGTCTTTGTAGAGACTGCAAAGGAGATTGATCCACAGATGGCAAAGCAGGCCTACGACGACGCCAACCGGGAGATCACGGTCAGGGGTCTGCCATCGGCACCAGAGAACTACTATGCATTTCATGAGGATCCAACACGACCACAGCCAAGAATCGACCGCGAGGTGGGAGACGGGATGACCACTACCATAGGACGGGTGGAAAAGGAGGATCTCTTTGATCACGGGCTCAAGTACGTGCTCTTCTCACACAACAAGAAGATGGGATCCGCCAAGGGCGCAGTACTTTTAGCGGAATCTCTCTACAAAAAAGGTAAATTCTAAACCGTTTTTGAAATTCTTGCATTTTCGTGCATCCTATATAATAGATTTTTATACATTGGATACTATTATAATCCGAAGACATGGCAAAAGTGGACCGGATTGACATGATGATCCTATCGGAGCTGTCACACAACTCTGCGATCTCTGTTCCAAAACTGTCAAAGAAGATCCGGGTAAACACCAGCGTGGTGTACTCGAGGATAAAGAGCCTGCAGAGGCGCAAGCTGATCGAGCGGTTCACCATTGATGTAAACGATCACGAGCTGGGGTACCGGATCAAGGCCCTCATAGGAATAAAGATGAACTCAAAGAAGAGGGACGACGTAATTAACAGGCTGTTTGAGATCGACGGCGTCAGGAAGATTGCCGAGGTTACAGGCAGGTTTGACATTCTGGTTACGGTCTACTCCAAGGCGCTAAACTCCATGCACGAGATTGTTGCAGATCACATAGGCAAGATCGACGGCGTAATCTCTTCTGAGAGCTTTATCGAGATGAAGACGCGCCAGAAAGCAATGCCATATATGCCCTAAAAACAGGCGGCTTGTATTGCAGAGACAAAAAACCCAGTCCCGTCTTGCGGTATACTACGAACTCTCAAAACCCAAGATATGGTATCTCCTGGTGTTTACTGCCTTTGGAGCAGCCCTTACCGCTTCAAACCTCTACAATATTCCAATATCTGGGGTAACATGGGCCCTCATGCTGGGGTCGGTTGCCGCGGGCTCGGCAGCAGCAAACACGCTTACAAACTACCATGACAGGGACATCGACGCTGTTATGGAGCGCACAAAGAAGCGTCCCATTCCCTCTGGCAGGATTACCCCGGAGAACGCACGCAACTTTGGTATCGTTCTGGCAGGAATCTCCCTTGTACTGGCAGCGGCCATCGCCCTTGAGACAACGCCGGAGCAGGGAGCCTGGGCTGCCATATTCATTGCCTTTGGACTTGGAAATAACGTGCTGGTGTACTCGTACGCGCTAAAGCGGAACAGCTGGTCAAACATCATCTTGGGCGGACTGTGCGGGGCTCTCCGCCGATGATCGGCTGGGTTGCAGTAACCATGAACGATCTGTGGACCATGGGGCTTGTGATGGCAGGCTTGGTGTTCATCTGGATACCCATGCACATATGGGCCCTGACCCTGCACTTCAAGGAGGACTACAACAGGGCAAACATTCCAATGCTTACGGCGATCAAGTCAGAGTCGGCCTCGGCAAGAATTATTGCAGCGTCCACAGTCGTAATGGTGCTGTTCAGCGTGGCCCCGTTCTTTCTGAGCCTGGGTGACGGGGAGCCGATGATGGGGCAGGTGTATCTGTGGACCGCCGTTGCCTCTGGCGCGCTTATGGTCGTACTGTCTGCGTGGGTGGTGCTCAAGCCGGTTGAGAGGGCATCCTGGCTCCTGTTCAAGTTCTCCAGCCCGTATCTGACGGTGCTGTTTATTGCGCTGATGGTGGATTCGGCCCTCTAGCCTGGGTGACGACCTTCCGTATGTTTCATGTCTCTTCACCGCGGCCGGCCTGCCCTAGCAGGCTGCCGCCTGGAGGCTGCCCTGGATGACATCAATAGTACGTAAAAGGTCAATTTTTAAGATCATCTGACCTTTTGTCAGGCCCGTCATGTTCTGTTATGAATCAAAAGGAGATCCAGGACGCCATCAAGAGTAGCAACGAATCGGAGATTAAGAGAAACTCCATGTACGGAGAGACCTTCAGGGATATCATAGCAAGGCGGCAAAGAGTTCCGGCAGCTAGTAGGATATCCGCTGCCTGCTGGAGCTGCGTGCCGACGGCGCTCCAGAATCTGGGCATGCCTACCTGATATTGATTTTTAACTACGGCGGATCCCGCAATAGTGTGTCTGGGGGAAGGTTTGCCACTCTGATTGGCTGCATCGACGGCAGGGTTCAAACTCCACTTAACGCGTGGATCAGGAATAACTATTCGGTGGACTATGTGGATACCATTACCGAACCCGGTGTGGACAGATGGGCCGGGGATCTGACATACGTCAGCAGGATAAAGGAGAAGGCAAGGATATCCCGGGATGCCCACGGCTCAGATCTGATCGTCGTATCGGGCCACTATCAATGCGCCGCAAATCCAGGCTCTGCAGAGAACCACATTCCTCAGATCAGACAGTGGGTCGATGTGATAAACTCGTGGGGATGGGGCTCTAGGACTGTGGGCGTCTGGGTTAACAAGGACTGGGCGGTTGAGCCGGTTACAGGAGCATAAGGCGCCAGCAGACGCGGCACTCGCATCTAATTCAAGATTCTGTCACATCGGCCCTGTCGATGTTTGACGAGGCACTGCCTGGGCAGTCCGGGGATTCTTTGACCTATTCTTCTGGCTTTGCCTTGACGGTTCTCGGCTTGCGTTTTCTTGTCGTGGGTTCCGATTTCTTGGCCTGCCGCTTCTTAACCGGCTTGTCGTCCTTCTTGTCCGGCAAGTCGCGTACAGCGGGTGGAGCGTCATCTGTTTTAGTATGCGGAAGGCTTGCCGGCTCCGGCTTCTTGTCCTTGATCACCTCGGTAACCTTCGACACCTTGGACTCGATGGCCGGCTCCGGCTTCTCCATCTCTAACTCCATACTCATCTCCAGAACTGGGCCAAGGTTATCAAATGCCACCTTGTTGTCGTCTACTCTGATCGAGCGCTGAGAGCCTATGCGGTGCAGGCGGATCTTGCTGCCCAGCGTCCAGGTGTCAAGCCCGTTAAAAATAGTGCAGTAGGATCGGCCACCCCTTAGATCATCTATTATGGATACCCTGTCGACGATCTCAGGCCTTTGAACGTCAGTACCAGTATCTTGTGGCGCAGCACAGACTTGATCCTGCGCTTGGAGTCATAAGATACCTCGGAGATCAGGTAATCGGCCCACTTTGCCATCCTAATACATGGCAGCATGCTCCATTTTATAAACAAAATGATTCCGGCGGGGCAGGAGACTAGATTGGGCATGGGACAAGCTCCAGCATTCTGTCTCACCTGTCATCATTTACGCCTAAATCTGCACGAAACGGCCACAAGTGTCCAGATGTGTCTCCTGCCTGGCACGACACCCCAGTCAGAGCATGCAGCAAACATCTGTCTGGCAGCAGCCGGTGCGGCGGGGCCTGCCGGCTTCCGGGACAGCCCCTGCAGGAACGCCGGATGCGCCACGTGGCTGGCCTGTCCTGCCGCGACAAGGACGGGCGAGTCTTCCGGATTGCGTCAGACTGCCTGGCGCCGTCAGCACGCTGGGTTTGGCATTGTGGTCTTTACGGCAAAAAATTGGCTCCTTAAGGGCTCTTTGGCACCGGTTTGGCTCCCGTGCCAGCAGCACGGCTGCGCGCATCCGGATGCAGGCTGGCGCGCTTTTTGGCACCATCCACCTCGATTCCCTGGAGCTTGTCTTCTTCGTAAGGCATTTTCATGACTGGTTTTAACAATGAGAATTTTATCACAACTGTCTGTATTTTTTACATATCAGGTTAATTTTAACTACATCTGGTATGGCGTCAGTGGGCCACAGACTCCCTCTGTGTGATATACTTTGCAGACAGCCTGTCCCGCTTTCCGCTTTGATTAAAGTGCCTGATCTTGAGGCTGGTTCCGCTCTCGTCGACAAACTCCAGCTCAAAGCGGGAGAGGGACTCCAGTTTTAGCCTGGCTCCTATCTCTCTGGCCAGCATCATGTCTCCGTTGCCGATCTTGACAATCTTTCTTCGAGCCTGCAGATCTGACAGGATTGTGGCAATGTGGGACACCAGGCCGTCCACCGAGGAGTAAAACGAGCTCTCGATCTCCCGGCCAAGGTAGTAGACCGACAGCCCCAGTCTGCGCCCGGGATCAATTCCCAGAACAAGCTTCCTCTCCCCCAGATCCGGATCAAGTCTCTGCAGTATTATGCCACGCAGTACTGTAGGATGCGAGTCGATCATCTCCTCAAAGAACATGTATCTTGCAGAGCTCCGCCGTGTTTCCCTCCGTGTGGTAAGAACCAGATTTCCTGTATACGACTCGATCTGATCCGGGAGTATGGAGTCATATACCACATCCAGATTTCGAAGAAATTTTGAGAGCCTGTAGTATGGTCTGCCATAAGCCGTGGCAATGCCGATGCGTGCGTATCCGAACAGGCTGATGGTAAGGGTACCGCTCTTGTGTGATATAGGTTTATTTTTCTAACACGGCCGACACAACGTCCTCGACTGCCTCGTCAAAGTTTGCATCAACCATGGTTTGTATCTCCTTCAGCCTCTCTTCTCCGTCCCGGGTTATCTTTTCTGCCTGTGACTGGGCCTTTGCACGCGCTTCGGTAATGATCTTCTCGGCCTCTGCGGCCGCCATCTTGCGTACCTCTTCCAAAAGCCTGTCGATCTCGCTATGTGCCTTGATTGACAGGTTCTTCTTCATATCTGATGCCTTGGAATGCAGAGAGTCCAGATCATCTTCTAGCATCGAGAGCGACTTGATTATGCTGCCAACCTTGGATTCGGCCACGCCGTTCATTTCTGAGATGATTTCTGGGCGCCATTAATTAAATCATACAGCTGCCGTGCGGATCCGGCGACCCGCGCACACTGTCGTTCCTGGGATGTATTCTACTGTAGCAGCAGTATGGCATTGACAATATCGCCCTCTGCCTCGGCAAGGGCTCCCTTTGCCCTCTCCTCATCCACGCCGGCCCGCTCGCACACAGTCCTAATGTCCTCATCAGAGAATATCTGTACCTCCAGCTCTCTCTCCTCGTAGTTGTCCGCACTGACCGTGTACAGGGCGCCGCCCTCCTTTGCCTGCATCTTGGATACCTGGGGCTTTGATAGGATTATCTCTATCTTGTCTGTCTTTATGATGACCTCCTGAACGTCTGATACCTCCTCCATCTGAAGGCCCATCTTGTCCATCTGCCGGCGCATCTTCCGGTTTCCGCCCCGCATCATGACATCCTTACTGCTCCTCTACAGTTTTAAAACTATCTCTGATGCGGACCGCCACCCCGCGCTTCATGGACATGATCATTGACCTGGACAGTACCGCCCGTCCCACAGCTACGACCCTGTCACCGTGGAGAACCGGCGTCTCCGATGAGATGGAGACGTTTCTTCCGCACCAGACCACATGGCGACAGAAGACGGACTTGCCCTGCTGCACGAAGGGCCTTGACTCGTCATCGATCTCCAGACAGCTCTGCCTAAACGTCCTGCTCTTGAGCAGCATCTGTGCAAAGTATGGTGATATTGCAAGGCCGCCATCAATTCTCAGCGTGCACAGGAGCCGGCCGTCGTGGTACACGCTACGAATCCGGCGGTTCTTCCTTGCGAGCGTGATGCTCAACTCCTTTGGCAGATACCTGGATACGCCACTGCCAAACAGCGCGTCTATCGTGTGCTTGAGCTTCAGAACATGATCCATCATGTGTGGTGCGGTACTGGCAAATATTAGTCCATGCGCTGCGCGCAGGACAGAACCGGCAGCGTCCGGAGTCACATGTGCAGATTTGCCCTTTTGTATATGAGCAGGTATAAATTATGTAATTCTCGAATGTCTATATACATTATGGGGGAAAGAGAGGAAACCCGGAAAATCCAGTTTACCGGCAAGTCATCATATATAGTATCGTTGCCAAAACAGTGGATTACAGATCTGGGACTGAAGCGGGGCGATCAGCTCAGAATGATGCGCGACGGATCGTCGGTGCTGCAGATCTACCCGCCAAAGTACAAGACAAGAGGGATGCCGGCAGAGGCTGTAACCATCGAGATCGGACCTGAGGAGGCCAGTCACACCATAGTCAGAAAGCTGATCTCGCTGTACTTTCTTGGCCTGAACACCATCAACGTAAACCCAAAGAGCGGAAGGCTCCGGCCCGATCAGAGAATGGCGGTAAAGGATGCGGTAAGAAGAATGCTCATGGGAACAGAGATAATCTCGGATCATACGGGAGGGATAACAATACAGGTGCTGGTCAACCTGCTGGAGCTCTCGGTAAACGGAGCCCTCAAGAGAATGCTGCATCTTACAGTGTCCATGCTAGATGACGTGATGCTTGCCATGCGGGAGAACAACATGGATCTTGCCAAGGAGATAATAAGCACTGACGACGAGGTGGACCGGTTTGGGTTCTACATAATTCGCCAGCTAAAGATTGCAATACAGAACGAGCACATGCTAAAGGAGCTTGGTTTCAGCAATGCCAGGCAGTGTCTTGGATACAGGCTGGTTGTGAAGAGCATCGAGCGCGCAGGCGATCATGCGACACGAATAGCCTACGATCTGCTGGAGTTCAAGAAGGAGATGAGGCCGGAGATTATGGACAAGATACAGGATATGAGCAAGTTTGCCCTGTCCGTGCTAGATGATGCGTGCCTGTCCCTCTTCAAGGAGGACTACCTGCAGGCAGAGGAGACCATTGAGAAGGCCAAGCTCATATTCGAGTATGAGACGCGCGTGACTGACGTAGCCAAGTCACTAGACGCTGAGGATCTCTATCGCACAAGGCGGATCACGGAGGATATCCGGAGGGTGGCCGAGTATGCCAGCGACATAGCGGAGATCGTGCTTAACATCAACATAGAAAAGGCACTAAGAAGAAGGCCTAGTTCTGGTTATCTCGCCAATGAAGATCAAATCTGCCATACTAATCACATACGACATAGAGGATGTCTTCAGCGAAGCAGCCGCACTGTGCGATTCTGCCGGGTATGCGGTATGCCATACAGTCAGGCACCGGTTTCTCAAGAGGCCAAAGTATGGAGTAAGCGAAGAGATTGTACAGCGGCTAGAGGAGGTGGTGAACAGCATGCAGCCTGACGTAGTGGTGTTTGACGAGATTCTCAAGCCCAGTCAGAACTACAACCTGGCGTCCAAGCTGCACATAACTGTTCTGGACAGGGAGGCGCTGATACTGGAGATCTTTGAGAGCAGGGCGTCTTCCACCGAGTCCCGGCTGCAGGTAAAGATGGCCCAGCTGAGGTACGAGATGTCACGAGCCAGGGAGAAGGTCCGCCTGGCAAGGATGGGGGAGCAGCCGGGCTTTATGGGAATTGGAAAGTTTGAGGTGGACACTTACTACACGACATCAAGCACAGAATGCACAGGGTCAAGTCCAAGCTGCTCAAGGCAGGAAGGCAGAGGGAGCTTCACCGCAGGTCAAGGCAGAGGGCCGGATTCCAGACGTCGTCGCTTGCAGGGTACACATCTGCGGGAAAGACCAAGCTGTTTAATCGGCTGACAGGAGAGCAGCAGAACAGAACAAGAGCCTCTTTACCACGCTGTCCACCACGACGCGACGCGTTCCCGTGGGGGACGGGGTGTTTCTCATCTCTGACACGGTCGGCTTTATCAGCAAGCTGCCTGCCTACATGATAGACGCCTTCAAGTCAACCCTGGAGGAGCTGCTCCATACGGACGCTGTGATAGTCGTGGTGGATATCAGCGACCAGGCGGCGGACTTGAGGAAGAAGTTTCGGAGCTGCATGAAGACGCTGTGGGAGATTGGCGTCGAGCAGGACAGGGTTCTGTACGTGCTGAACAAGTCGGACCTGGTGGACGCGCCAGAGATCAGACTCAGGCCCGGCTGCTGGGCCTGGAGGATGGCAGAAAGTGGATTGCCGTATCGGCAAAGACCGGAAGCAACATTGCGCAGCTCAAGCTGCTTATCAGGAAGGTGTCAGACAGGACGGGACAGCCTGCAGAGGACTACGGGGTGGCGGCTTCTGGTAATTGAGGTGCTCCGAATCGGCCAGCGGCTGGTAAGGGACGACAGGGTTACCACTCATGTGGCCCTGGTCTCAAGGGCCTTTGGCGCCCGGCGGATCTTTATGAACGAGGTAAATCCGGAGATCAGGGACACTCTGGAGAAAGTCAACGTATCCTTGGGAGGGAACTTTGAGGTGATCTTTGTTGACGAGTGGCGCAAGCTCCTGCACGGGTACAGGCACAGATCCAAGATCGTCCATCTGACTATGTACGGCGAGCGCATTGGCAGCGTGCAGGAGCGGATCCGCCAGGAGAAGGACATCCTGGTGGTGGTGGGTGCAGAGAAGGTTCCCAGGGAGGTCTACGATGCGGCAGACTACAACGTGGCAGTTGGGAACCAGCCGCACTCGGAGATAAGCGCGCTGGCGGTTCTGCTGGACAGAATCCAGGGCGGGAGCCAGCTTGATGCCGAGTTTCCGGGAGCCCAAAAGAGGATTCATACCCACCGGGCACGGCAAGAGCGTGGTGAGCGCAGGATCGCGGCATCCCGGCGCATCGTAGGCTGCGGCCGTATCTGCTCCGGCCGCCGGGACAAATGCAGCATGCGACGTACCTGGTTTGCGTACCGGCGCTCTCCGGCGCCACACGGGTTCTTCTGCCACCGGCCGTTTTGCGCTCCGGAACGCGGCCTGCATCAGGACAGTACGGATCCGAAATCCCCCGCTCAATGATTATAAGACGATTGCCGAACATCTGAGCCTATGGCAAAGGTGTATGACGTTCCGCCTGACCTTCTGATCAGTCGGCTTTCTGCAATACTGAAGAGTGAGGACATTCCGGCACCTGCCTGGATACCCTTTGTAAAGACCGGGGCACACGCAATCAGGCCACCCCACAACCGGGACTGGTGGCATACAAGATGCGCCTCTGTTTTAAGAAAGATCTACATTCACGGCCCCATGGGGTGCAGGATCTCTGCAAGGTGTACGGCGGAGGCAAGCCTTCCGGGTACGGGGCGGCACATCACAAGAGCGCCGGAGGGGCCATCATCCGCAGTGCAATTCATGGGTTGGAAAAGTTAGCTATGTGAAGAGACTGGACAAGAGGGGCAGGATAATCTCAAAGCAGGGAATGCAGAAGATTGACAGGCTGGCAACAGACATACTCAAGGAGCTTGGCTCGGCCAATCCCCCAGCTAATGATCTATGCGTAGTGTGAAATGAGCTCTCCATACCCAGACGAAAGAGATCACTCTGGACAAAAGCCGAATCAGGCTGAGATCAATGCGCAAAAGGATGCCGCGCTCAAGCGGATACTGGAGCAGAAGGCACGAATGCGGTTGTCAAATATAAGAATGGTCAAGCCAGAGCGTTGCTGGTATGGTGGAAGACTATCTCATCGGAATGCGTCCCAGGAGGCTGCCGTCCCAGGTTACAGACGACCAGCTAAGCAGATACTCATCTCCCTCCAGCAGCCAAAGAGAGACTTAAGATAGCCGGCGCTAGTCTCCCGGAGGCGGCCCTGCCGCATCCGGACTTACGCCGCTCTCTTTTGGGTATGGCATACTCGAGAACCACCTCGTCCCTTGAACCGGGATACGCTTCGCAGCCTCAGCCTGGCCGAATCTGCGATGCTTGGGAACCTGCGCCCCGGATCAGGATGCCGCAGACTGTCCCGCCCACAAGGTACGGCGCAACGGTGACTATCACCTCGTCTGCCAGGCCGTGCTTGACAAGTACCAGTTTTATGATCCCGCCTCCCTCACAGAAGGAGCCGAATGCCACGGATGTGGAGATCTGCAGCAGTGCCCTGATATCGACCCTCCCTCCGTACCGCATACCACAACCTCGGCGGCGACTCCTCAGGCGCAGCATGTCATCCTCTGAGATTCTCTTGGTGACTGCAATTATTGTTGGAACACTGCCGCTATGGTTCTGAGAATCTGGATCCGGAGGAGATCGTGCCACGGAGAGTCCAGGATGACAGACGGGATTTCTTCGCAGCCTGGCCGTGAGCAGCGGGTCGTCAGCTCCAAGGTGTCTTCCGATCAGGATGGCATCGGCGCGGACCGCAGCAGGTCGCACGCGCCTCCTGTCGGACCCGGAGGAGAGTCCAGCGTCGCCCTGAACCGTGGGCGATCTTGCTCGTCCACCGACACTGCGGCGCTGAGTATCACCCGGGGCCTAGATCTGGCCATGCACTATCCTCCCGCCGATCATTACTGCCCTGGATTGCCGATTCGGATACGCGGTGCACTACCGACGCATGCGGGTTGTGCATCGCTCTCCAGATCCAGCGCATGCTGTTCACAATACTGCGTCTGCCGGGGCGTCCTGCCGGATTACCCCCACATCACGGCACAGGATCCTTGACGCGTTTACCGTGGCCATCTTCATAATCTCCCGTGGGTCGATCCTGGACCGGTCCCTACCCATGGCGACCTCACGTGTAGTCCATCTCCCGAAACATATCCGGCGAGTTTACCATGATGTTGTCGGTGCCTATTGCAACGGTGCAGCCGGCTTTAGCATCATGCCCACGTCGGTCCCCCACCTGCCAGGCGCGTTGCCCTTGGGCAGACCACGACACCGCGGGTACCGGCTGCCGCAAGCCGGATCTCCTCCGGAGACGCATGCGTCATATGCACGACAAAGTGGGGCCGCATCTCCAAGGCCCCGCTCCACCTCGCTCCTCCCCGTTACGGTACGGGATGCCTTGGTGCTCTGCTCCGTCTCTGCCGCATGGATGGCCGCAGCTTGGGAGTCTGGGAGTAGTGCTTTAGGACCGCGTCGCTGTTCTCGTAGCCCCGCTTATGCCCAGACCGTCACAACACTGCAGACCCGGGCCAGCTCTCGCCTTCTGCGGCTCCACAAGGCCGCTGTTCTTTCGTATCTGCCCTGCGTTCTGGTAGCTCTCGATCCGTCCCATAATGACGGCCGGATCCCGACTTCCCGGACCGCCTTCCTCAGGAGCGCAACCACCGGCCATGCCACCTTCCCTAAGTCAACAAACGTGGTGATTCCCTTCTTACCATGGACTGGCAGGCGGCCTCATGAACTGCACCAGGTGCCCGTCGTCGGTTCCCTCAAGAACCCGGCCTTTACACGCCGGATGCCGGATGCGACCCTGCCTGTCGGTCGTCTCGTGAGGGCCACACCTTTGCCACCGAGTCCCCCACGTGGGTGTGGCAGTTGACCAGGCCCGGAATCAGCAGCAGGCCCTCGCAGTCCACCTGTTCCCCGTCGGCGAGCCGTTCTCCGGCCCGATGTCGCAGAACCGCCCGCCACGGATACCGATCTGGTATCCTGCACATACCTGAGGTCTTCTCCAGCAACACGTGGCATTTCTTATGAGCATCGCGTCTCGTAGATCTCTGGTTTTTTCTGTCCCGAGTCTCGCATGCTGCGTATCGTGTCCAGGGATGCGGTGGCAAGGCCTGCGGCCTGGCGCGCGGTCCTGCCCGTTCCTATGCCGCAGTTGATCACCATGCCGCTCCGGCTCCTGTCGGCAGAACATCGGCTACGGGCATCTCTTGCCTGCGCGTCTGCCACCACCATGAAGTTGTCCCCGCCCATAAGAACGAGAGGGCTCCCCGCTTCTGGGAAGAACTCGGACATTCTGGCGTACAGATCAAAGATGATCGACGAGATCTCATATGGCGCAGATCGTCTCGGCCCTTGAGGTGAGGTTCTCCACATCAAGGTGCATGATGGTCACCATGTCATCGGCGCCTCCGTTGAGGGAGCCGTATATACTGTGGCTCTCATTAAGGGGCTTTTTGGATCTTGCCCTGTGCGCCTGGATGTTTGCCTCAAACGGGCTTGCCGCGCGGCCCACGGACATCGATAGCCTGACATCAAACTGGGACTCGAGCTCCACCTGTATGTCTATGTGATCCTGAAGATCCAGACCGTTTGTTACCGCAAAGAACTCGTCGGCCCTGTTCAGGAACACCAGCGAGTTCCGGGCAGAGAAGAGCTCCTGCACCTTTCCATACATTGATGCCTGCAGCATCTGCAGGCGATGCTCACGGTCGCTTCCCAGCGTGACGGTCCACGGCCCGTAGCCGGTAATCTTCATTATGGTGAGCTGGATCATCGCCCATCCTCTGGTACAAGATCGCCCCCCGCCTTTATCCTCTCAATCTCTTGGGATACCTTTGCTGCCGTCTCCACCGACCTCTCCGCTACGGGCCTGATCCGGGCGTATGCTTGGCGCTCGGTCATCCCGGGTCCTGTGATTCCTAGGGATACCGGCTTTTGGTGCTTTAGTGACAGATCTGACAGGGCCCGGGATACTGCCTGCGCTATTGCCTCGTCGTGCTTTGTCTGGCCCGGATGATTGCCCCCAGTGTTGCCACGGCATCGATGCCGGGGTTCCTGAGCAGGTGATCCACCACCAGTGGCATGTCGTATGCCCCGGGAACATGGCTGACATGGACTACCCCCAGTCCCAGCAGCGAGGCCCTCTCCCTTGCCACTTGGAGCATCCTTGATGTTATCTCCTCGTTAAAGTCCGAGACTACGATGGCTATGTTCATGATCAGTGTACCCTTGCATACTCGACAAGGCCCTGTCCGTTCACAAAACGGAATGGCGTTCTGTCTTGCGTATCTCTCTGCCTTGGCCACAGATAGTGCGGAGTACGTCTCTGCGTCCAGCATCTCGCAGATTGCGGTGACTGGTCGGAGGCCGGCAATCTTTGAGAGGTATACAGAGAGCTCCGTATGTCCACGCCTGCGGGCCAGCAGGCCGTTCTCGGCCATGAGTAGCGGCACCATGACCTGGCGTCCTAAAGGATGATATGACTTTGGTCCTTGCGTTCTCCGCGTCGTGCAGCTCTGCCATCTTCCGTATGGTCAGGGCGCGATCCCTGTCCGTAATGCCGGTATACGTCTGGTAGTGGTTGACTGCGATTGAGAACGTTGGATGATCCCCGTAGGGCGCCAGTCCCATGACCATCTCCTTGGCGTCGGCATCAAGGGAGTCAGAGAGCGTGTGGTGTATGTAGCGCAGGCCGAGCCTCTGGGCCGAAGGCGTGATCCACTGCGTGCACACAGGCCGCCGGCATGCTGCCGCATCCGCGCGACGTGCTCTGCGGTAATGTGCTCGGCTGCCACCACCATGTCGACCTCGTTCTCACGGGCCTGCCGAGTCATACAGCAGGACAAACTCGCCATGCCGTAGCGACTCGATGGCGGCATCAAGGTGCATGTGGTAGGTCGTGGCTGATCTGATTATAAAGCTTACTAGAAAACTGGTAACTACCACTAAATTTGTAGGTGTTCTTCCCCAGAATGTATTTGCCCAGAATGTCGGTTTCACATTACTTTGTCGCCTTTGACCTTGCGTGTAAAGTTTGTTACCTGGATTGTGTGCGGGATCATGCACACAGACGCCATGTTTTTTCTGGTATCCACTACGGTCAGGCTGATGCCGTCCACGGCAATGGATCCCTTTTTGACAACATACCTTGTCAGCTCCTCGGGAAGCTGGAAACCACACCTGCACCTCGTCGGGCTTTCTGGGATCTCCGCTATCGTGCCCACGCCGTCCACCACGTGGCCCAGGACAAAGTGCCCTCAGCCTGTCGCTGGCCTTGAGGCTTCGCTCGATATATTTACCGTGCTGCCTTCTTCAGATCTCCCATGGCTGGTCTTCTCATGCCGTCTCCTGAATCATCTCAAAAACTGCACACTTGCCCTTGTTTAGCTCTATCACCGTCAGGCACACGCCGTTGAGCGCCACGCTCTGACATATCTTCAGCCCCCGAGCACTCTTGCCCAGGTCCACCGTCATCCTGATGGCGCTCCGGCCGCTGGTGCTGCGGCTTTATGCTCTCCACGTGCCGGTTCCCTCGATTATCCCCGTAAACATCTAACCTGACTGGAGTGCGGTGCGTATAAAATCATTCTTTCGCGTGCCTTGCGGCGCCGGTTCGCGTCGAGTCGTACTCGTGGAGACAGAACTGGTGAAACACGGTGCACTGTTCTGGGCAGCCTGCCTTATGATGCCTGGCATGTCGTCTAGCAGGACGCCCTGGGCCGCCAGAGAAACGACTCGTCCTCCCTTTCCAGCCTTGCAAGCAGTTCTGCTTGTACTTTCCTACCTGTTTGAGGGAGCGGTCTGAATCTCTGTGCCCGGTCGTACAGGCCGATAGTGGCCCTCCTCGTATCTCTTAAAGAATACAAGGGTGTTTGCCTTGTTCAGCAGTGCAGTCGTGTTGCGGGATCCGCATCAAGCACCCTGTAGTAGTACGACAAACGCCTCCCGTTTCGGTTCAGCTCGTTTAGCGCCAAGACGGCGCTGATTGAGGCGCCCAGGTGTCCTTTGGGTTGCGCAGGGCCAGCTCCTCTGCCAGCGGAAGACGCGGTCCCGGTGCGCTTGAGTTCTCTTGCAAAGATCTTGTTCTGAGTTTCCTTCTCTTTTTTAGCTTGGTGCGTATGAAGTGTTTGAATTTGTCTTGATTGTCAAGTGTCTTAAGGGCGGGCGGGGTGGATGTATTGCAATTTGCGAGTTTTGGAGATTTTCTAATCTTGTATTCTCATGTGCGTACTCGTCATGCCGTTTCTCTCAGCACCTTCTCGCAGTGACCAGCGCCTACTCAAACTCGCCCAGGGGGAGAACGCCGTGGCCATGTTCTGCAGCGCAGTCATGGTCCCCGTATGCCCTCTCCAGCATCTTCTGCAGTAGCCTATCGACGTCGTCCGTACTACCTGCACTCGTACATCCGAGTGTATCGCATTACCGGATCCAGCACATGAAACAATTGACCCGTATATGCGGTGGGTTCGGTTATGTTTAGTGCCATTCTGCTATGTGACCGGTGTTCTCCGACAGTCCCTACGAGGAAGACCACATATCCCACTAGAACGTAATCCGTCACTGCGCCTGTTCTGCCGGCCACAACAGTCTGATTGTTTACCAATCCGCGCACGATGTCGTTGATCCGGTCGTACTTCTTCAGCGGGTTCCGGTACACTCCGCCCATTATCCGCCAAGTCTTGACTCTCCGGATGGCATGCTCCACGTAGACGCGAATCTTTGAGTGCAGCCTGTTGAACTCTTTTTCGAGCGCCGAGAGCTTTTTTCCTGGCTTCCGCCTGATCGGCTCCATCACTTCCACCTCTTCGTACATCTTCTGCGCCCCCGGGTAGCCCCTGTCCGTATAGACCCGCACCTTTGTCTTCCCCTTCTTGCCGTCAGACCCGTCCCGGGACGGCAGGCCGGAGGGAAACGTCGGGTGCTTCATCCTGTACACCCTGACGTCGTGGACGCGCCCTGGGGAGTGCCTCGTGTTGTGGATGATCAGGCCGTTGTGTTCACGGTGTACTGTACCTTGGCCGTGTGCCTCCCGGCCTTGCCCGAATAGTGGGACTTTTCCATGTCTTTCCGCTTGGGCCTCTGCACCTGCTGCTCCGAGGCGTCAATGAGGCACCGGAGCCCTGGAAGGATCTCCTCAAGCTCCTCAAGGGTCGAGGCCCTCTTTGCCCTGTCGTGGATCTTGGCTGGTATCGGGATGCATTGCCTGACTACCGGCGCGATCTGGTCGATGGAGCGCGATACCGTGGCCTGGCCCACCCCGAAGACCTCGGCCGCCACGTCTTGGGTGGCATACGTCCTGTAGTAGAACAGGAGGAGCAGCACGCGGTTGCGCAGGTCGAGCGCGAACCTGCGCCCGGCCCCGATTGCGCGCCTGCGGGGCCTCTTGGAGAGCCTCTCCCTCTCCGCCTCAGGGTGCGCCTTCTCCACCTTTGCGAACAACAAATCAAATTCCTGGAGGGACATGCCCATGAGGGTCTTGAAACGCCTGGCGTTTCCTGACAGCTTGGTATACGATAGCATGTGACAGGCTGGATCGGACGATATTTTGATCTTGCTGCCTTCCCCAGGCCGCCGCCTACGGCGAATGGGCTAATTACGAATCAGTTCTCAGGACTACCTGTCAGGCAAGACCAGGACAATCCCTCACCCGGCCCCTCGAGCAGAACCAAACGGCCATCGCCGGCTGACCGATTTGCAAGTGCAGCGAGTCAGACTGCAAACCCCCATGGCGCGCGCCGCGTACACCGGGGCACCTTAAAACACACGGCATGCGCGGCGCGTAAAAGTGCCTCACCGCCGGACACAAAAAATTACCCTCCACATGCGTGGCGCGTTATTAGCTTCATGGACCGATCAGTTACGAAATGCTGCTTGAAAGGTCATCGTGCCTGAACTTCATGACGCTCAGGTCCTCTATTGTCAAGTTTTTTGTTTTTTAACTATTCCCATAAGGTCAGCAGAGCCCGGCATCAGATTAAAGAATTTATGGAAAACAATTTATGATAATATTAACACTCTACATGCTGATTATGTTAGATAAATACTCAGATAATAACCACAGCACATTGTTTTATAACATTGACAATGATGTTATTTTTCGGAATTTCCCCAGCCGGAAGTCCAGTGCCTCTCCGGCGCCGTTCAAATGAATGCCCGACGGCAGCCGTGCTGGGGGTCCGTGCTGGCCGTGGCGCTTGCGGCGTCGGAGGGGGGGACGCGCAGCCCAGCAGGCGAGCCGGAATTGGGCGTCGCGCCAAACCCGGCACCGTACAATCTGGCCGGCGGCCGCCTGGCAGATTCCGGGCCCGTCGCGTGGGTAACGGAAATACGCGTTTGCCGCAAAAAACTCAGGACGTCACGCCCCCGACGTTCGTCTCATCCGAACTTAACCTGTACACGGGAGAGTGCTGAGCATCACTTTTTCAAGAAACGATAGATGTGACGCCGCGTCAAAGTTAACGCGACCCAAGATCCACGTGAGGGAGTATGGCACTTACACGGGCGGCGGCGTGACCCTGACTGCAGCGAGCTTACAACCGCTGCCGATTCTGCCACCATCTCGTTTTCAACCTCACTTAAGTGCACCATGCGACAGTCGCGGGACTGACCGGCCGGAGTGACGACTCGAGCCAGGGCGGTGCGGACACGGCCGGCAACCTCATCATCGCCACGTTTGACGTCTCCACCGCATCCTTCGTTGACACTCCTTTCGCATCGGATCAAGGAGCACCATCCACGAGCGTGCATTCTCAAGCGACGGCGCCAAGATGTTCGTGGTGGGTGATTCGGAGACAACGTAAACGAATACACCCTAACAACACCTTTTGATATCTCCACTGCCTCTTATGCTGGTGATAATGAAAGATTCTCCGTCGCATCGCAGGAAAACAATCCACGAGGCGTGGCATTCTCAAGCAACGGCACCAAGATGTTCGTGGTGGGTAATCAAAGAGACAACGTAAACGAATACACCCCCTGTCCACCCCATTCGGACGTTCCACGCCGCCTTTAACACAGGTCACATTTCCGTCGCAATCGCAGGAGACCTTTCCACAAGGCGTGGCATTCTCAAGCGACGGCGCCAAGATGTTCGTGGTGGGTACTGTCGAAAAAATACGTAAACGAATACCCCCACACCCCCCTTTTGAATCTCCCTGCCTCTTATGCTGGTGATAATGAAAAATTCCGAGTCGCATCGCGGACAGCAATCCAACAGACGTGGCATTCTCAAAGCGACGGCCGCAAGATGTTCGTGGTGGGTTGGTTCCAGAGACCGCGTAAACGAATCACACCCTGTCCCCCCCATTCGACCTCTCCACCGATCCTTCGCGGCGCCTTTTCCGTCACGCGACAGGAAGGCTCGCCAGGAGGCGTGGCATTCTCCAAACGACGGCGCCAAGATGTTCGTGGTGGTAATACGGAAGACTCGCAAACGAATACACGCTAAGCTCGTCTA